AACGAACGAATTGCATATTTTATCATTACAAAATTCGCACAATATTTCAGGAAGTGGTTTTTTAACTGTGGATAATTTTAAGTGTAGTTATTTATTATTATATGAAAAATTATTGTAATAATAAACCATGATGTCATCACCCTCCAAGTTGCAATTTACACAAATAAACATACATATCTCAGTTAGCTGAAATTTTGCAAACTGATTTTGCAAATTTTTCGCATGATTCATCACTCCACATATTAAGTATATTCTAGACGTAGCTTTTGACTAGTGTCTGTCAACCGAATCAATATTTCAACCCGTTGTGGATTTGTTTTTGTTGGCAGAATGAAACCAAAATTGATGTAAGACACGCGTTAATCCTCACCGGAAGTTGTACATCTCTTGTCGTCGCGTATTTTTTTGTTATGTTAATCTTGTCATGTCACCCTTCTTATCGCCGTCATGGAGCGAATGTCATTGAAAATTTTGTGGAATTTGTTGGATAAGAGCAGCATAACAGAATTGCGGTTGGTTGCAAATTCAGTGGCCGGGGAACAGCGTGGGGACAGAAGGACAATGTCCCCACGGTTATTCGATGTCCACATCATCTCCCCATATTATATAAACCCCTCCCTCCCCCTATCCCACAATGTTAACGTCCCCACAGCTTCCGCGGCCACTGGATTTGCAATACATTGTCACCAGTGCGAACAAGATAAACCAAACCACACAATACATTTAATTATGAAGCCATTTAAGCAAATAAACGGAATCAATAGACTTATTTACTTCGTACTTGAGTGAGAGAGGAAGTTGATACATAAAAGCGTGCCCTTCATCGCATCAAGTATTGGTATTAACTATTCATTACATTTTGCATTACATTACATATTATTCAAGTGTTTTCCACCGTAAATAAATATTTGACCAGGTTTTTCATGCATGGTAATCAATCACAATACATGTTTCCCGCAAGGTGTGGTACTATTTACTCGTGTATGGCATTTATTATACATTTACATTATTATTACGTGTCCCTAGCTCGCGTTCAGCTAATTTTTTTACCGGTTTTCCTCCCCCTATAATCAAACCATGCGTGGTATAAATATGTAAAACTTAGCGTAAATATCACTGACTAAGAGGAAATCACATTATAAAAACAAAATTAAAATTCTAGTCGGGCAACCATTTAAAAAAAACGAGTCGTCAAATTGACAGAATGGTGTCGTTCGTATATATTTTCTCACAAAATGACTTTTATGGTAGTGCCGATCAATCGATAGGTTTCCACGTATTGGAACCCTTTTCGGAAAGAAAAGTGTTGCCTATTAATTGGTCGTGGTGCTGATGGTAATTTAAATTGCTGACTAAATTGGTGAAATGTAATAACGTAATGGGTTAGTTTTGTTAGGTCAAAAGTTTTTGGGGTCAGTAAGTTATCGTTGCTTTTACATGTACAAAGTCCTCCTCTTTTACGTGTTGATCCATTACAGAAAATGCATAGTCACCCATTATTTTTTCATGTTATTTTTCACCTATTATTCAACAATGTGCATAATATGTAATGGTTCTTGTTTCGTCGTATAGTGAAAGACAATTGGGAGTGGAATGTGCAGGCAGGGCAACATAAGAGGAGGGATCGGATAAGGCATCATTCATCATTATATTATACGAGAACAAGCACTAATGAAAAACAGGTTCGTTATTGGGAACTGAGATTTTCGAATTGAATCCGCATTTCGACTTGCACATAAAGCTCGGGTGCAGTGTTGTATGTACATACATTTCGTAGTAAGAGGTGCAGTGATGTAATGTAGAAGATGTATGCATGCAATAATAATAATAACGCATCTCATCTCATCGGATCACATATGGTGCAAATATCTAAGAAGTAAATTGGGAACAACAAGATTTTGTTGTTTCACTTTGATGATGACGGGTAATAGAGGTTTATAACGTGTTGGAAAATCTTGTATTGCTTTTGCATGCACTATTTCGTGATCCTTAACACAATACCGATTCGTTGGTTCGTTCGTGTGGGAGCGTGGATCGGAGAGCTTAAAGATTATTAACTTTCATAGTGTTTGAATTTGATAAATAAATCCTTGATAATTGGGTATTTCTGTTTGTTTGTAAAGTTTTTTTTGGATCCGTCTTGCATTTTTCTTCGAGTGAAACACGATCGCCAAAAAAAAAGATACATATTTTCTCAGTGAATTGAATACAATCCTGAACTTGACGAAAGATCAAGGCGAGAAGGGTAGCATGCAGAAATAATAATAACAATTTAAGAAGGTCGAGTCTGACAGACGGACCTGGTTTGTGAGAGTGATTGGAATTGATTGAAGGAACAAATTCCTGCAGCCAAATTTTATCAGAGAAGATTGACTACTTGTGTAGCCTCGTTTTTTTACATCATACATACAACAACATTTTATAACAAATCATCAACTTGAAGGAATTCACGAGTCAAACAAATACCAACTTTTAGTTGGCAGAAACGGTTCGTTTTGTTGGGACGAATGCCTGCCTGCCTGCTGGTTTTAATAATAAAAGAGCGTAACCGATTTATCAGAGAGTAATAAATTACAAGTATCTCACAGAGTTGAGAGGGTGATACAGATTTGACGGATTTTTCATACCTTTTTTTAAGTGGTCGCATCGCAGGTTGATATGGACAGACGCCTGTTATGACTTCACTCAAGTGCTTGCTGGTGACGGGAGAGGAGAAGAGTTTTTGGAATTTTTTCTGGTGCCATCGCCATGTATGCAGTTAGTTATATCCAGTGTGGTGTGTTAGATAAGGTGCCCGTTGTCTGATAAGCGTAGGTGGGTGGCCTGTCCTGATTAAAACAATTTACATACGACTCTGACAGTAGTGGCGTCGTCCCTGGTGGACAGGACATAAGTTTTTGGTCCCGTTGCCAATTAAATCGTGTCATTTGTTGTTGGGATAGTTCAGCGAGTGATAACTTTTGCTATGTGGCAGGAAAAACGGAAATAGAGGAGAGAGAAAAAAAACGTGGTCCAATTTCGAATCTGTGATCAAGATTTGCGTCCTGGATGTGGTTCACTTAATTAATTCGCTATCGCCATCAACCCCTCGATGTTATCTTTGGCTGAAATCCATCACATAAAAAGTGGCCATTTTCCCCTCATGCCAAGAGGAGTTTGGTTTGTTGTTTCAGCTCATTTCATAAGTAACCCAGATCCGAATTGGTCTCGAGAGGACTTTATCTTAAGGATGAGGAGTGGAGTTTGTGTGGGTTAACAGGAAATTACCTTAGTACATATGCATAAATATGACGTAACCAAGAAATGTGGGGTGTGTTCAACATTTTCACGGTGGCGACATGTCATGTATCCCGAGGTCTGGCGAGCTTGTGACCGAATTCTGTTACAAAGTTCGCTATCTATCCATGTGAAAAAAGTGAATGAAACGAAATAAATGAAGACTGACAGGAGAGCTAAGTAACAAACACGACCAAGTTTTGGATAGCTCAACTCCTTACTACTTTCTCCCGTCGGGGAAGATAATGATAAATGAGACATGATGCCAAGCAAGAGTTGGCTCAAAAGCAAGAAACTACTTGCAACTACTCATTGACTAAAGTAAATCCAAATCTTAGAGAAAAAAATGGGTTCGGCAAACCCCCAATTTGTTTGAATTGAGCCAAAAAATTCTTTGTTTGGTCATTGACGCAAAAAAAACGAAACGTGATAAATCAGGCGTGTGTCATCCCTCCGATTTTTCCGTAAATCTATGCAAAATGCCGAAAATGAATTTCCTCCAGAAAGTGGAAGACTTTTGGAAAGACCATCACGGCTCGATGCTGTCACTGCCTACACAAACGTCAAACCCCACCAAAAACCAGCAGCAGCAGCCACCACAATCACGTCATGGAGGAAGTAGGCGAAACCTAAGCAGTAGTGGTTACAATTATAATTTGGAAAAGGAAAATGGTCAAGTCAATGCCAACAACACGTTCCTCCGGACAAGACGATATCACAGTTCGCTCTCGTTACATAAGTTGCAAACCATCGCGGTGAATCATGCCTCACAACGACAACAAGTAGCAAACAGCACTAATTCGAAACGGTCACAACCAACTAACAATACTGTCCCGCAGAACACACCCCTAAATAAGAATCGAAATACTGCTTCGTTATCAAAAAGTTCGATAAATCTGTACAAAAAACATCCCCAACCTCAACAAAGCGGCGTTCTTGCAAGTAACAATAATAAGTGTTTCATAATCCTGACCCCGTCGTCAATAGTTGGTCCACCCCAGAAAAGTGGAGTAGCACCACCATCCGGGTTAAGGTATCGCAGTAAATCGGGGATAATTAGTGGTGGTAACAACTTTAGTGAGTATAAAAGCACCACAAATAGAAATAGAATTAGTGAAGAAGGCGAAGACGGAGATGATGAAGAGGAAGCATTAAAAGGTTTACGAAACAGGGAGGAACGTGACTGGAATAATTTGCGACATTATCAGAGTAGTTGTCGTCGATCTGCATTTTTTAGCGAGTGAGTATACACATAAATAATACCGAGTTGGTTGTGTTTAAAATGAGCTGATATTTATTTACTGATGAGGATATAGTATGAGTAATGGTTTTCATATTATTTCATGCAAATTGAGCTGAATAATTTTTGCGATAGATTTTTTATTTGCGAATCTATAGATGTGCAAAAAATTGGTGTATGTATTAATTTCAAACAGTTGTGACGTTTTGTTATATACGATGTTATTTTCTCCAAACTAAATACTTAATTGGTCGTGCTGACGAATAAAGGCTCGGATTAATTAAGCACTGGGGTTAAAAACGGGTGAAATTGGATGGATTTAATTTAGTCGAGATTTTATTAGCTGAGTTTGTACATTGAAAAATAAAATGCTCTAAACTTTCTAAGATTGATGTCGATCGATCGATCAATCAATTGTCAAAATAAAATCAAACTGTGCTATTTTTCACAAGAGTTTTAAGTTTTGAAATATTTTTTATTTCAGTCTATGGATTCACGACGAACCCAGTTTTGAGAGATTATCGGAAGAAAAGATAAGCCCACAGTCATCTCCCCTGTCTGAAGATTCGGATATTACTGACAGCAAGGTAAGAATACCATGATTTTGTAAAAACTCGCTTTATTAATCGGTCGCCCAACTTTTATTACAAACAAACATGACGAACTGAACGTGATAAGCCCTTAATCCTTGCGATTTAAAAATTTTGCTAGTAAATGCACGCAGTGGATATTGCTACCTATTCATTTTATGAGTCTCAAAACGTCACGCATGTCTGTATTTGCGAGGATTTAGAGATTTTACAGTTTAAAGTATTAGCCACAGATCAAATTGGATTTGAATGAAATGTTAATCTCTTAATTATCAGATATCAGATATGTACATAAGTATGCACCTTATTCAGAGCTTGAACTTTTGACTCTTTATTAAATATGTAGCCACCGTGGTGTGTTTATTCTCATATTTTGCATAGTTGTGGGGATTATGCCCCCTCAAATATTTTGATGGATTACATAGTACATATTCCACATTACATCATTCGTGGTATCGTAGTCGATAATCTGTAAAGTTTGATCTATAAAGCTCTTAAACGATGGTGTACTTTCTTTCTTCTCTCCACGGGAAATTTTTAGTTAAAAAGAAGTTACTTATTAGCATAAACTTAATATTAATAGGACGAATGAAATTTTAAAGCAAAACATTCACTGATTAAATTTTACAAATATTATGACCAATCCCATAATCATAAAATTATTGACATTATTAATTGATAATTAAATCGTTGACTGTTCCATACAGTCAACTTTACCAATATTGGTAGAGTTGATAAGCAACTATGCCCTTTGACATATCTTCATGCAATATTCTCACTTGGTGACAATTATCATGATAGCAAATGTATGTATGTCTTTTGTTATGAAATCCTATCCACGTGCGTCGTGTGTCCTTTACACCACATTTTTAGAGAAGAATCTGTGCGTGGGACGGGCAGTTGGCTTACATATAAACTCGAAAAAAACGATGCACATGTACATATGTATGTCCAGTAAATGCAAATATGTATATTAACAAGGCGAAAGATAAGCCGTGGTGATGATATGATAGATAACGCATTATTATGTTGGCGTAAGGTATTTTTCTGATTATCACACGTCCTGTACACAATATTAGTGTGTGGAATTTGGGTCGAGAGTCAAATGCTGTACAATAAAAAATAAACGAATAAATGACAGTTGGTGGTTTCATCGTTATCATCAAGCCTGGTAAAATAACCTTTAAACGGAAACTTGCCAAATTGCATGTGTGTGATTCATTCCTATATTTCGAACCCGTCGTCGTCATCACTGGGACGTTTCTGACCAAGAATATTATTCGTGATTTGTGTTTAATTTAATAGAAAATAGTTTAAGTGCATAAATATTTATAAATGTGACGCATATTAAGAAAAACCACAAAAATTGCACAAACCCTTTAAACGGAATATTATTATGCCTTGCTGGCTTGAGGTAATAAAAACTTGTAATTTTAACTTTCTGCAAATCGTGAAATTCAATTTCGCTTATTGTCAAATTAGGAATTTACTTACTTACAAATTGTTGTTGTAAAGGTTAAAGACGTAAATGTTGAACTTGTATGGAATTACAATGAGATTGTCTTCTCCCACATTCGATTTTAGTTTTTGGATCTTTTGAACTCGAAAAGTAAAAGGTTCACGATTTCAGATAAGGGAAAAATGTCCCACGAAACGGACATGACGTGAAACTAAAAGTATTTAATTAGAAAGTTAAACGAGATTTTGCTTTATTTTATATCAGTGTCATGAACTTGTACTTTTATATTGTGCAGGTCACATTGTTAATCGTTAGATAAGGCTGAAATCAATGTATTTATGCCGGTTATAAAAGGGTGTAAAATTTATTAAATGACAAAATTTAGAAAATTGAAGGTTTGTTTTTTTATGCCAAAAATACGCAGAAAATAATTTATTACCCGTCAAACAAAAAGAAACAATAGAAAGCTTGGTATCTATTGAGACGATCGTATTGGGCTAAATTTCGATGAATTATAAAACGATGAAGCCCATGAACGATTTTTCTGATTTTTTATATGATATCAAACAACTATCAAACTACCATTCCTGAAAATTTCAGGAATGGTACATGCCCACAAGTGGAGAAAGAAATATTCCCCTGGGCTATGTTTAACACGTAGTTAGATAGGCCAAAAACAAAAGCGCAGATAAAAATATGAAGACCACGAACGATTTTGCAAATATTTGCATATGTTGATGGTCATACTATTGGTGATTTTTCATCAAAGAATTGAAGATGGTACATTTCTAGGTTTCGAGAAATTAATTCAAATGTATCAAAAAACATGGAATGAAATGGAAACCATGCAAAATTACCACAGGTATTAATAAAATGGTAACCATGTTGCGCGTTGCTACAATTTTGCATAACATTTCCAATGTTTATAAACCACAGCCCGACAAGAAAAAAAAACATTAGTTACATTCATGGGTTGGAAGTGACTCAAATAGGACCCTTGGAGTTATAGTAGACATGCTGAATAATTGTTTGATAGTATAATTTGCCAACGCGCCAAGTTTGAAGTAAATCGGGGTTCATTTGACAAAGTTGAAAATGAACAGACATACGAACAGACAGACTGGCAAAACGGTTCCCCAAGCCTTAAATCGGGGTAAGAATCATTGAGCGCCATTTACTAATCAAAAACCACTGACAACCAACCGAATTTTGATTAGATATATTAGCCCAAAAAATCACCTTAATTTCTTATCAAAATAATTCAAAACTCATCGAAATTTAGCCCAAAACGATCACCATAACAGATAGACTAATGAAAGTACTAATGACTGATAACTACCTTGGTTGATTTTATGTACTAAATTAATTACTAATTTGCAGATGAGATGGCAAAAGACCACGGCGTCATCCAACTCCTCGTCGTCTTCAACCATGTCGGGAGAAGGTCAACAGCGACGCCCAAAATCGTTCGATTGTTCACAAAGAAAGTGAGAATTAATTTTCTATAATTTCTTAATTAAGTGTAAATCCACCCATTTAAAAAATTCTGAAACACACAAAGTAGTCCTAAAAAAATGCCGTAATTGAGACTCACACTTGAGAAAATTGTGTCATTTTGCCTCATCTTTTGGCCCAAGTTTTTCATATGCACGCTCTGATAAATATGTTTTATGCTATTCTTCTTCTTCTTCCTTATGAAATGATGCCACTCAAAACTGAGACAAACTGTCCCATTATTTGGCTGAGAATGAGATGAAGATCAAGTTTCGTTATGAGAGGAAGGACAGAAGGAAAAACAGACAGTCAAGGATAAACTTAGGCTTATCAGAGATCACGCAGTTTTGCATATCAGCATTGTAGCTTATAAAATACCATGACGTGAAGGAAGATGATATCCTTCCCTTGTGTTTATTAAAATAAATCTGTTACACGGTGGATGCAGATTAAAATCCTCATTTTAATTTTCAGTTTTGCATTTATTATTTACTGTTCCTCGAAAAAGTTGAGGCAGATTTGCAAGCATTTATTTTATTTGATGGTTTCTATAATCTAAGTTTTTGTAACTTTTTGTTTTGTTTTCTGGGAATTACGATTACGGCGTAAAGTTGTGTCGGATTAGTAAATAAAATAATTTGAACCACCACAGAGCCTTTCCGGTCGATAAAAATTTTGTTGTTTTGACCAAACCAAACAGTTTGATTTCACGAGTGGAAGGAAAAGACCGTCATTTTTATTTTTAGCGAGTCGCAAATGATTCGTTCGTAAGCAGTTTGTTGTTTTTATTTTATCCTCTGATTATTAATCAAAAAAACTGGTTGGATTAATTACTCATCTTCCTTCACAAGTTATTTCTGGTTTGGGTGAGTTATGAAAAAGTGTGTAAATTTTGATATTAATTAATATAGAGTAATGACCTTGTTTTTAGTTGTGTGTTCTAGTTTAATGCAGTACTAACTGATTTAGTAATTAATCGCAATGCTCTAAAATCGGTTTGTCCATTTCGTGGTTTTATTTTAGAGCATGGATGAAATACTATCGTGACATGGAAATATCGTCGGTCAGTACGACAGCCAATACTAATCCTGGTGTCACTCCGTCATCGTCCTCGTCGTCGTCCTCCCATTCGACGAAACCTCACAGTAAAATTACCAAAGGAAGTATCAGTCATCTTCATCTGCTCCCTCCACAGCCTTCAATTGACCAACTTGGTCCAGGAGACGGTGGAAATTCTTCTTCGTCCTGCAAAATCCACGGACATCCTAATCCCTCCGAAATGGGGGTTCCCAGACGCACTCCAGACACGCTGGGACTCACACCAAGCTTATTTCAACGATTTTCAAAAACATTTTCGCTTAGGTTCGGATCAAATTCTAATATGAATAAAGTGGGAGGAGGAGGTGGTGGTGGTCAGCCAGGGGGAGTGAAGGTCAAAGCGGGCAAGTCATCATTAGCGGTGGGAAGTAGTCCGGATTTGCATAATCGCTTTGATAACGGCGATATGCAGAGGTAACTAAATAAATTTTGGTTTATTAAGATTTTATTTTGTTAATCTATAAGCACCCATTATAAAATGCGAATTCATTTTCAGTGGGAAAATGAGGAAAGAAAAATCCAAATCCATCCGTGGCGAAAAATGTCAAAGTGGAGACTCTGGCATCGGAATTGACGAATCCCATCATCCAACCAGTCGTTTGAGGCGGATTCGTTCTGAATTTATCGAAACGTCATGTCACCTCCATCCAGACGCAGCCTCAACTTTTGGCAATGGTGCTCCTAGTCGAAACTCGTCCGCCGCAGTGCTTTACGCCGGCGAGTGTGCATCAGCCATTGGAAAAATGTCCCTTGTCGAAATACCTTATTGGGAAGAAGAAAAAGAACGACAGCAGCAGCAGAGGAAAAACGTGGGCAGAGGTGGAACTCTCGCCGCATCGTATGAAGATGTCCTCGAAACAAAACTTGATGGTGATGAGGACGACGGATTTTCCTCCGGTGAAGACAGTGGCAGCCGAACGGGTAAACTGAGTGACAACGGACCTGACGACATTAATAATGACCGTCACGATAACCCAGCAGCCTATCACCACTACCATTCCCTCCCTCATAAAAATTCGAGAAAGGGAAAGAAAGAAAATAGTCATCACCCCATCAACTTAACCCCCTCAGGACGTAGTAAAAGCTTAGAAGACGAACAAGACCAACAAGATGATAAAATCATTATCGAGGATAACAGCATCAGAGGAAAAGTCATTCGAGAAATTATCCTAACTGAACAAAATTATGTCAAAACGCTCAATGATATTGTACAAGGATTTCTAAATCCGTGCCGAGCTCGGGTAGATTTATTCAGTGGAGAAAGTGTGCGAAATATCTTTTCCAATGTTGAAGACATTCTCAGACTTCATGCCAGATTTTTGGAAGCGATGAAAGAGAGGATTCATCCCACTGCGATTTCAAGTTCGCATATTGGCCAAATCTTTACAGAATGGGTGAGAAATTGCTAACCAAGCAATTAATTTAATTAATAAATTGGTCGAATCCCCAAATTAATTGTTACCATCTTTTGTTTTTTTTGCATATCAGGCCGACCACTTCAACCTGTACTCTGAGTATTGTTGCAACAATCCAATTTCAATGGCTACAGTGCGAAGCTTGATGGAAAACCAGGAATATGCAGAGTTTTTCGAAGCTTGTCGCAGACTACAATTAATGGACAAGCTGCCCCTTCACGGGTTCCTGTTGCGTCCCATCCAACGGATTTGTCAATATCACCTTCAGTTAGCAGAACTGCTAAAACAAACTGAACCCACGCACGAAGATTATCCCTCCGTCGTAGGAGCTGTCGAGACCATGAAGAGCGTGGCCATGAGAATAAACGATACACAGAGACAGTTCGACTCACTGCAGGAGATTATACGTTTACAAAATTCTATTGAGGGATGGGAGGTGAGTAGCGTGAAGAATGGGTGATTGTTTAATGATGACATCTAACAAACTAAACTAAATTTCTATATCTGTACTCTGTCGTGTCCACAGGGGTCGGATCTCTTGAATCGCAACTCGACCATTCTGACGAAAGGAGAACTGGGGAAGAGTACGCCTGGGAAGAAGATGAAAGATGTGTTTTGTTGTCTACTAAATAAGGATTTGGTATTTTGCAAAAAGGTGTGAAACTGACAGGAATTTACTTGAACTCGTTTTCTTTAATCAACTTGTATTTTTTTTGCTGAATGAAATTCTTTTTCATGTGACAGGATTACATAAAGAAAGGAGGGTACGTATTTGATGGCAGGATAGACCTTGAAGTTGGAGTTTGGCTGAATATTGACAGCAACGAAGAAGGTAAAACGAACCAACTTGATATACATTTTTCAGAAATTTTACCTGTATTTCTATATTTCCAGACGAGTATTTCGGCATGGTTCACAACTCTTGGCGAATTTACAGCCATGATCAAAAAACTTGGGTCTTGTTCACCGCACCTACCCCCACCGACAAACGGAGATGGATCACCTCCCTCGAAAACGCAGTTCAAGTCAAGCCTGCGGACCCAAGAATGTGCACCATGGCCAAGTTGACAACCATGTTGTCCGAAGATCGACCACATCATCACCAATCCCAAAATTACTCTTCAAATTTTAACACGTTACCAAAATCTAGTAAGAAATCGAAAGGCAAAGTGAGTAACGGAACGAATGGAAAAATTGATGCGGACGCAATGCTGATCGAAGTCAGTAAATTAAAGCGATCCACGTACACTAATGGGGTTCAACAACAGCACCAGCAATTGCAACCCGTTCTACAAAAGGATAACAGCAGAGCCTCAAAATTTTATGTTTGAACATGACAAATGCTAAAATCTACCTGTATTTTTTAACCAGCCTGGTTAAATGAAATGACCAACAAGACTTTTGTTGACTAATTACTGCTATGCATAAATATTATTTCATAACTGCCATATTATTTTTTAAAAAAGATACGAGTTTTTTAAACAATATTATTTGTTTGTACTGACTATTTTAATAAGTGTACAATTACCTAATGAGTTTTAAACAAAATAAAAGTGCAATTTTCCCAGTTTTGCGCAAAATGTGGAGTCAATAATTTTTTGTCTTATTTAAATAATGAACTTTTACCTTATTTTTTATTTAAATATATTACACCATGACGTAATTGAGCGTTGTATTATACAAAGCTAAAGTTTAGAGATTAATAATAAAATACCTAAATAATTATATAATAATTATCACACAATTTATCATTGTTTGTTTTACTAAGCGTATAATAATAATGAGCGAATAAAAATTGAGTGTCATAAACTACTAGTGATAATTGTTATAAATCTATCACTTCGATTTCACGATCTTTAATCGTATCAGTACTACTACTGCTAAATTCTACATTTTCACTAACATCTCTTAAATCGAGGTAAAAATCAACCAAGTCTCTCACTCGGACATCCTCCTCCAGTTCCGGTCTCGAAACCATTTCTAAGCGTAACTTCAAAGCGTACAGTTTCTCACACATCACATCACTCGGACAAACTATTCTAATACCGTCTAGTTTCATCAGTCTCGTCAAAATAGCAATTTTTAGAGCGCACAGAATTTTAGGGTTGGAACACTTGAATGCAACCGTGCCACTGGATGATTTCGAACTAACTAGGATTTCGTCTTCTAAATAGTACATGGCAAACGTGGGATCAGTAGCTGAGATTAAAGTTGTAAAATCAGCCTCACTGGACATTGTCAACCATCTAGGTTTCGCATCTTTTAGGAGAATCTGACGGGGAAATGATTTAAGTAGAGGGGGACATAATTTGAAAAAGAATTGCGTAACGGCTGGTATTTCTTCATCCTCTTCGTCGGCACTTTCTAGTCTTGGTGTTGCTGTTTTGTTTCTCGCCGGTTTGTTATTTGAGGTAGAAGGATTTAACAAATTAAATGGTACGAGAGGATCTAAAGCTCCACTAGGATCGAGCATTTCCGTTCTTAAATACCTCATTGGAGTTAACATGTGCAAAATGTCAATCGCCGTTCTATAAATATCTAACGTCTTGGCGAAGCTACGTCCTTGATGGTTTAAGGTGAACACGACACGGAGACGCAGTTCGACTGGAGCGATGGTCGCACTCGTGTAGAAACAAGATGAGAAACTTTGACTTGTTCCGGGATCAAAATTACTGTCCAGACTCCACGAACTCACGTTTGAGTTAACGTCGACAACAAATTGCCAGTGAGTGGGGGAAAACGAAAAGTTTTTTGACACATTTTCCACTACAAGCCGCATCGTCTCGTTAGAACGAACAGCGTCCAACCTTAGGGGACTCGGGAATACGGAAACGGTCACTTTAAACACTTTGTCTAATATATGATTACTTGACTTGGAGTCGCTTTGAGAATTATTTTTAACTTTACAAAAAGAGGATAAATTCTGAAACAAGGTCAACTCTTTTAAAATCCGTTCATTCTCACATTTCTTTACATTCGCTTGAGTAAGGGTTTTAGATTGGGCGATTAACTTTTGAACAAAATCTTTTTGAGTGTCAGCCATCTCTTGGTCGAAATATTATGCTTGAGGTTGTGGCGACGACGTTGACGTTGTTGTTCCAGAATCACAAAGTTCATTCGTCGGTTGGATGTACAACAGTGTGTTGGTAACCAATCCATACTCTTTTAATGTCGAATTTCCCGAGGTAAGAATTCCATACGGGAGAGGAAGCACGATATCGAATTTTGTCGGTTTTTTGATCTGCTTCGTAGAATCTCCGGATCCATTTTCAGAGTTGACGTGTTTCTCCACATGTTCTAACACAGCGTCAATGGTGGAAGAAGTCGATAAGCGAAACTTATAGGAATTCCCTGCAATTTCATAGAATATAATTTATTTATTTAGATGGGGTAAATTACAGATTAGTTAAAATAATTCCACAAATTGTGTACCACTCGTAACATTTTTTAGTTTCAGACAAATCATTTTATGGCCGTTTTGGTTTTTAGTGAGCTTATTTAAATCTGGAAGAGTGATGCATGCAGAAGTAGAAGAAAGCGACGCATCGGAAGAAGCACAGGATGCAATACTCAGCTCAGAATTCGTCCTTAATTTGATACATAAAATTAATCCAAACACTACAATAATAATAGCCTAAAGCACAAAAAATATGGTTTGCACTACTTTGGTAAATCATTTTTCAGAAATTGTCTTAGAGGGGCGGACAACCGTTCAGTGCCCGGAAGTAGTAGCGGTGCAGACTTGGAGTCACTCAACTTCATTCCAGGGCCACTAAAACCGGGGCAAAGTTCGTGGATGATTGATCTCTTATCTGAGACCTGCAAGATGATACTTGCATGAAATTTTATTTTTTTAAGGATAGGAAGAAATAATTTGAGTTGTCCTACAACAAACACGATTCCATCGGGATACTGAGAATGCAACTCGGAGGGGAAATATCCACTGAACATTTCGTTAATTAATTTTATCACAGAGAGTGTCGCATAACTTCGGAAACCAGAGTTTCCCAGGATTAGTCCATTCTTATAAATGACTAGAGGGATAGTATCTGCGTGCTGAAGTATTATTTAAAGCAAAAATTAAATTAAACACAGTAATTAACATCATCACAATTTGCCTTAAACGTCGCCTCGTTTCCAACTCTCGACAGCTGCATTGACTGATTCCTGTCCATCCGAAAATTCAAGAGTGCAATAACGTTCAACAATTTGTCAAAGTCTGGCGCAATCGGGACCCAGTTGACACACTCCTTTAAAGAATTGATTCCCGTGCTGAAGGGTTGAACAGGAGTCTGATGAGTAGAAATATTTGACGCCGATTTCGACGGGATTGTCGTATTAGACGTACTGCTGCTCGAGACCCAGTTGTTCGGCTTACATTCCACTTTTCCATACTCCGATTCCGAGTCTGAAGTCCCCATTTCCTCAATTAGTAACAATTTGTTTAAAATGTTGGTTTCCTGATTGACCAATTTATTTTCGAGAGATTCCAACTTGTCAGAAAGTGATTCCATGTCTATGGAGAGGCGTTCCATGAGCTCATTCGACCCGTCAACGTCTTTCTTCTCCTTTAAAATCTGCAACTGTAACTCGACAACCTGCTCTTTCAACTTGGAAACTTCGCAGTCCCGATTTTTAATATGGACAGTGAGACCGTCCAGGCGAGACTTTAACTGGTCCAGTTGAACATTGCTTGAACTGTTGGGTGAGGACAAATTGGTCACTTTCTCCATGACTGATTTTGCCGCAGCGAGAGCAATTGGCGTGGTGGATTTTCTTGTAGGAGTTTTTGGTTCTAAACTTGACTGTGATACCGATAGCGTCGATTGATTAGCTTGAAGATTTATTCTGGACGATTTTAGTTGTCTGGATCGATGTGGAAATAGTTGAGAAAGTGCTTCCAGGTCGAGTTTCGTGGAGGAGTCTCCCGTTCGAAGATCAATCACGCTTTTGGTTCCTTCAGGTTGTCGAATTGTGTTTGGAATTTCATCTTCTGGGACTGCAGAGGGATAAAATGATGCAGGGGGCTTTCTCATTTCGTATTGTGCCCTCATCAAAACTTCTTTGCGGATGGCTTGGAATTCGTTTGACAGTTGTGGGCTTTCACTCACCGTCCCGGCAAATTGCTTACTCAGCGCGATATGACGACTCAGACCTGTTGACTGGGGTTGTTTCTTGCTTGGAGTTAGCAACGTAGGAGGTGACGTCGACCTGATCTTGGCGTTTGAAGTGTCCAGCGCTGGAGAGGACACAACACGGGGTAGTTTGACCGTTGTTGTAGTTTTCGACCCTTTATTCACTCTGCCATATGTTTACGAAAGCAATAAAAGCAGAAGCAAGTGCAATAACAAAATAGGTAAAATTATTTGTTGAAATAACGCCAAACTCACCCAATGGATGAATCGTCAGTAATATTGTCACCATCTCCAGCAGAAGACAAATTCGGGAGGACGATGTATGGAAACTTTGGATTCTTGTTGTCCGTCATTTCTTCAACCAGACCAGAACAATCAATACAAATTTTTACCTGCATATAATATAGAGTATATAATGCAAACATTAATTGATTATTATCAAAATAACAACTTTAGCCTTACTTAAAGAGAATTGTGAAGCGAGACAAAGGAAACGTTGACATTTGCTGGACCCAGGTTAACTCTGATATCTTTTACGTTTCTACGATCCTGTTAAGGTCATGAGGTACAATATATAAACACACAATTAGTAAACTTATTGTTAGTAAATAAATAATTAAATAACAATTAAAATTATATTACCACACATTCAAGGAAGATTCTTCTCTCGAGTCTCGCTCGTGTCAGTTTCACTTTTCACTCTCACTGCGTGCCGGTGTTTTTTATGAGCAAAAGCGGTTTGAGAGTTCAGCTGTCACAAGTTTCTCGTTTCTCAATATCAAATCTATCGAAAATTTCTGAAACTTTCAAAACGTGTGACATTTTTTTCGAAATTTGTAATTTAGCTTGTTAGGGAGTGACGGGGAACTATAGAAATCTGCAAAGCACACCAATTTTGATAACCTAAAGAAATAATCCAAAGGTCTGTCTTTCTTATGAGATATTTTTATGAATTTTTATGAATTTTGATAATTTGTTTTATATCATATTTAACGATTAGGTAATGTCGAGCTCGAGAGTAAGCGGAACAATGGCCAGACTGGTACGACTCACCAAACAGATAAGCAGGACACACTATGTCAACTATTCATCAATGCCCAGGCCTGCAATTAGCCAAAATCCAGTGAGAAGCTGCAACATAAAACAAACTATTATTGCAAGTTCTCGGAAATTTCAGTATTTTCGAGGTGATGATAAGAACAAGGGCAAGGGATTTGGCGTGGCCGGGATTATATCTGGTGGGTTTTGCTTGGGGATTTTAGGATTCTTTGAAAAGAAGGAGGAACTTACGCCAGAAGATGAACTATTGATCAAGATTAAGCGATCGATTTTAGCAATTCAGGTGATACTTCGTTAGCTCTGATTGTCAATTATCACTAGTAGTAGGCAGTAAATTAGTAATATAACTCAGCATTTTCACCTTTTACAGGAAGGGGAAGTGCAAAAGGCAGAACGACACTTGTCTGACGCTTGGAAAATGAGCACCGAGCTTGAAAGAGAAGACGTCAAGACACAAATCATGGACATCCAGGCGAATCTGGCCCTACAAATTGGCGAATTGGACAAAGCCTTGCGATTATTTCAGCTCGTCACGCAAAGAATGGTTTATCATCAAAATGTCGAAGTAACGGATAATAGCGTGGTAGAAATCAGTATCAAATTAGCACAAATATTCGCAATGAAAGGAAACAAGGAAGAATCTTTGACTGGATTTCAATATTGTGTAGACACTCAGCGTGAAAAGGTATACAATTTTTATTGAAATGCGTGTAAAAGTAGTTATATTCTATATATTTTCATTGCAGATCAAACAAGGCGTCAAGGACGAAGACACCCTAATGCTGGCTGCCTGGGCGCTCCAGAGTCTTGCTCAAGCATATATGACCGAGGGGACTCAGGAGAATAAAATTGACCGTGCGAACATCGCAATTGCAGCCGAGTACGAGCATGAAGCTCTTGCTTATGTTTCTGAAGCGGTGGGACAAGATTCACATCAGGTTCCCCTTGATTCTTAATTTTGGTGACATTTCCAGCAATAGTTTCCTGACATAATTAATTATGTATTACAGGCAGTCGTCATTGCAAGCGATCTCGCTTCTATTCTCGCTTTACAAGGAAATGTGGATGGTGCCTTAAAACAATTGGAAGAATGTGAGAAAATTGCGGCTGAAAAGTATCAATATCTTCGTGCTGCAATTCGAGTGAATACTGGGAGTCTATATCTTCAGGTATTCAGTAGATAACACTTTATATTTATGCATTTCGCTAATTACATGGACAAATATTTGATATTAATTTATTATTAGAAAGGAGAATACTCAGAGGCTAACAGGGTCTGCAAAGAAGCCAGAATGATCGCTGGGATGTATAAAGATCTCGAATCGGTCATGCGAGCAGATGAATGCATCTCAAAATCTAGGGACGAAATGAGCTCAGATACGTATCAGCAGCAACAACAACAAAATAGAACATCAACGTCGTGATAATCGATCAAAAAATAGTATAGATAATTTATAATTTCAACGTTAAATGTCAACTCAACTCAACTATAATTGATCAATTTTAAGATTCTTTGTTAAATCATGTTCCTAATTTTACCTTAGTTAGTTTTACTCACATCCAAATAGTCGATTGAGTTATTTAATGCGTTTATTAGTCACTACCTTCTTCGTCCTGTCCGGGTGGCATATTAAATAGAAAATTCCAATTAACAAAATCATCACAGCGTGACAATTCATGGCACCTGTTACATAACTGATGACTTACTCCTAACCTAACCCAACCAACAAGTGTCTTCTACACTTAAGTGATACCTTCCTCCTCACTATAAAAGGCAGCGTCATTAATTTTAAGTTTAGGTAGTTAAATAAGTCCAATTTAAAAATTAGACTTAATTTATCACCATATTTGTTACTTCTTATGCGTGGTAAAGATGGACAATCCTTTAATAAAGAATGGTGCTAAAATCGAATTTACGAATATGAGCCAATATACCTAATCTATCTGTTGCCATTTCTAACACATACATAAAAATCATGATTACCTACGAGGAAAGTCCAGCTATGAATTTGTGTTTGGATTTCCATACGTAACCTTTTTTGCCTCATAATAAAACATAAAAACACAACAAAGTGGTTCTATTTAGGAAAGGACCATAATTATCTTGGTGATTGTCCATCCATTTAAGGTGAAGAAATTCTATGAAGAAAAAAGTAGCAGGGACAAAAGGACAAGAATACTCGAACATGAATTGACATTTGAAATGGAGTCATAATGAGCAATCGAGGTGACGAAGAATATTATGTAAAGTCCCCAGGGGCTCAGAGAATGACCACCAACTTAACGCGTCATCTTGTAAATTATTGACTTGAGCAGAGAAAGTATATGTATATTTTCGTAAATATATACATATACCAAGTTACCAAAAAAGGATGAACACAACATTTCCAAATGCGTGCCGGTCCAATTAATACAAAATGAATTGACCTAAACCATAGCTGACGTTCGAAAGCTCACAAAAATATACTAAACTCAAATTGTTTATCCTTGAAATCATCTAGAAAAACCGTGTCTAACTTATAATTTATTAATTCTTCAATAATTTTCAACCCGGACAAAACAATGGGACATTTAATTTAATTGAAGCTGATTCTAAAACTGTCCTCCATGACATAATGCCAAAGATGACTCGTCATATCTGCACAATTCTGCAAAATCCATTTTTTGCCCATTTTTTCATGGTCTTTGTTACTGAATTATTTAGGCAAGTAAAAAAAACCTTTCATTTTTATCGTCAAGCTTGCATGCAATTATTGTAACACCTTTCATCATACATACGATTTATCAAAGACAATATTCACTCATGGTTTAAATTAATTAAGGACAAATCATAATTAGTTTGGAAATAAATATAAATTTAACTTTACTTGCACAAAACATTGAAATTTTTCGCAATTGCATTTTCTACGCCTTCAAAATCATGATGGCAAAATATTATGAATTTGGCATGCTGCTTGATATTTTGTGTGATCATGAAACAATCAGAAATGTACATACTTACATATGAATGAAAGTCTATATATTTAAGGACTTGTGCACGTTATGCATCATTACTGAAACAATGGACCTGTCTCACTCGATTTTATTAATGAAGTGCATATAATGAATTTATATACGAGGCCTACAATAATTATTGCGAATTGTCACAAACACAATATCTGATCCATCGCACAATTAGTAAAATCACGATTTAACCTCACTCAATGTCATCCATCCGTAACGTTTTCTGTTTTATATGGTCGGTCGGCATTGCAAAAAGAGTTGTGTGTAGTGAGATAATAATTAAGCGGGTGATGATAAATAAACAAACAAATCATGCACAAATGTGCAATCATGTTCTGATTATTTATGTGTCTGAAATTAGTTTTGTACACAACATTGACGCAATATTTAAGTAATTCAAGTGCAAGGATCTTTTGGACGGATGATTAATTAATTAATCACAAGGATCACTTCGTGGCGTGAGGTATCAATGGTTTCAATGAAATGAATCACATGGTGGTCTTGCTTGAGCAGAGATACATGAATTTAAAGGTTGTAAAAAGGATGAGCAAAAAGCATGAAATTGATTAGAATTACACGTGGACGAGGTATTATTGTTTCTGTCACTTTTCTTGTCGTAATAACTGTCCTTTTAATAAATTACTAATAATAATGTTCATGTTTTGATGATTAATTTGTTTAAAAAATAATGGATAGGAAAGTTATTCTATGGTCCTATATAAATTAATCGCATTTCCATGAATGAAACATCTCTAAATTCAGAATTTTATTTAATTCATGCACATATCTTTGCTAAAAATAGACTAAAAAGTCACCCGATCTCACGTGCATCTGTTCTGTAACAAGATAATGAATACATGTTCCATCCGTTAAAAAAATCTCAAATTCTCAACAACAACAATACATTCGTATATATTTGCCACCCCGAAATATCTTTAGGTCTGCATCATGAATTGTGCTTTATGCATTTTTTGCTCTGTCCTGGACCATTTGAATTTACAAGTTTTTAAGTAGTAATGTTCAAATCCAATTAAAGTCTCGAGTGGTTACACTACACCGCACCGAACCTGGTGATGACGTCTGAAAAAATAATATATGTAATTATATAATTTCATCCCTTCGATTTCAATTTAGCGTCTCAGTCGGCGGTGCGATGAAGTAGTCTGCAGTTTATAATACAAACTTTAATACGGATTCAATTGGTAAGCCATTACATGAACTATATTTTTAGCTGTGTGGGTGCAATTTAGTGCAATTTTAATATTTAATACTCCCCATAAACATAAATACCAAGCAACTCTGCACTCTCAGGATTAGTCGAGGTGTTAGAATGTCATAAATCACGTTTCTTTGTTCCTTCCTCGCATGTGGAGAAAAGCTAAATTGCAATTTTTTCGTAGGGTTAAATTCCATCCATTCCGATTTAATAATGAGGCTACTTACTTTGCATGCATGCAAATCTTGCATTTATTTATTCCTTAAAGTGTTTGCAACAATGGTGAATTTCCTCTTTAAAATGAGCTTTATACACATTCAACACGCCATGAGGAACTGAATACATACTTGATGGAACATACTTCGAAAGGAAACATTTAAGTCTTCAAACCCTAAAATTATTTACTCTGGAGTCTCGTGCTGGTGATGATTTTACTTTTTTTTCCTACCTTTTCAAAAATTACGGTTTTCCAACGTTCGTAAATCTTTCCGTTGGACCAGTTTCTCAATATTATTAAGTAAATACCATGCCAAATATTACATGAGGAATCGTGCAAACTAGACACAAATTACACCTCGTGAGAGTAAGTACACAGTTGCAAATTTTGAGATTAACTAGCATTCCATTCCGTCCATATCAACACGAAATTCATATCATTTATGAGTGAGTATGTACATATTAAAATATTATGCATAGCATAGCCTCCTCCGGCACTCATAATATAATCTCAGCAAAAATCTCAACTTGTCAAAGTAGTAAGCTAAGCAGCCCAGTTTATCTTTCTTCGCTTGGTCTCCTTCCCTGTCGTCCTCTTAGATATTTACTTATTTGGGGTGCCTCCAACGTGACGATAATTGGAATGACGATACATATTACAAAGTAAAGTAAGGAGGAAATCTGAAGAATGCACCCTCTTGTCGTCGTAAATATCTGTGTACATACATCGTCAAGAATAAAACTGCATCGGCAGAAGAAGGATTCTTTCTTATTGTTTGGCATGCATGAAAGTGAACCTTGAGATATTTTATTTTTATAACATTCCTAACCCGACCATGCACTTTGCACATTTTGTTGTCCTGGGTTAAATATATGGACAAACTTTAAGGGAAATATTGCCACTCAGGTCTTGACATGGAGGAGGAAACAGTTGACAGTCGGGCTTGGTGAAAGTGAGATTAATTTCAAGTGTCCTGAGTTCTGAGTGAAAGTGATAAGTACAAAAAAATTGAGAACAATGGATAAGCTGGGCTACATCGACTGGTGGGATTGGCGATGGACGACCGGCGTCCTTTGTGGGGTCGGATTACTGAAAGAATTCCAACCCTCGGAACCATTCCTGGTCGATTTTGCTGTAGAATTTGGAAACTTCACGGCGTCTGATGTAAGAAAGATACGGTAATTTATGGATAGATAAGTATATAATTATGGTATGCAAATCTCTTCAGATGGTCCACGAAATCCTGCCCGCGACGACGTACGGTTATTTCGTCAGTCTCCTTATTTGCGTCCTTATCACGGACTTTCTCCGGTACAAACCGATCATAATTGTGGGCGGAGTGGCGTCTGTGATATGCTGGAGTATGACGATTTGGACGTACGATAAAATTTGGCAGGCTCAGGTAAAAAAATAAATAATTGCTTTAATTTCTTTACATTTGACTAATTATTTATGTAACTCTCTCAGCTCCGTCAAGTTGTTGAAGCTGTCGCCCTCTCCACCGAAATAGCATACGTGACCTACATGTAAGTAAACCGAATTTTTATTTTTTGGCTCGTAAGTTTCCGAATAGCAATTAGTTATCTAATTTCCAGGTACGCCAACGTGGACCGATCTCACTATCGGAAGGTGACCTCCTACTCCCACAGCGCCCTTCATACGGGACGTTTCTTGGGCGGGGTCGCAGGTCAACTCATCCTCTCAGGTCATTTTCTCCATCTTGACAAACTAAATTACGTCACGTTGGCCGGAGTCTCACTTTCCCTCCTCGTCTCCCTATTCCTTCCGACGGTGAAGAGGTCCATCTATTTCGACGCGAGATTCTCCGTCATCTCCAACTTCTCCGGATTCACGAGTAACGACGGGCGCAGAGTGTCCAGTGTCGCGACGATTTCGACACTGAGCAGCGGGGAGAGAAAGATGGGGATGTCGATGCCAAAACCGAAACAGGTCGGGGCCAAGAAACGGATCGTTAGGGCGTCGAGGGCGTTAGTGAGAGACTTTAAGATTGCGTATTCGAATCGCTATGTGCTTAAGTGGTCGTTGTGGTGGTCGATTGCGCAGGCGATCTATTTGCAAGTTGGGATTTATGCGGAACCTTTGTGGAAAGAGGTGATAATAACGTTCTTCATAAAATTTACGTGATTTTGAGGAGAAAATAATGAGCAAAAATGTGTAATTTTGCTATAAATTGTAATTTTCTTTGTCCAGATTGAGGAGGAAACACATGCCAGCATTTATAACGGCGTTATCGACGCTTCACACGCTTTGCTAAGTATGTCCAGCATTTTTTCCATCTAAAAATCCTATTTTTGCAGACCATTAATTTTTTTGGGAAACTCTTGCAGGTGCAATTTTAGCAATTTGCGTCGTATTTATTCGACTCCCGATGTTAAAATGGGGCGAAATCTACCTCTGCCTGATCTCTTTCATCCAAGGTGCAGTACTTTTGTGGATGTCACAAACGCACATTCTCTACGTCGCGTATGGATGCTATATCGTCTTCCAAACCTTGTTTCAAGTCGTTATCATCATTGCGGCGTAAGAAATTTTATACAAAATGAGCTTTGGCTAGGATAAAAAACATACGTATCAAAAAAATTTTTCTACATTTTTTAGAGCGGAAGTCGCCGAAAGCATAAAAGAAGACAGTGAAGCCTTCATCTTTGGTCTCAACACGTTGCTCGCACTCATAATTCAGACCATTTTGACCTACGCGGTCGCAGACGAGGCTGGATTTGACCTTGAAATCAGACAAGAGTTTGTCGTTTATGCCGTATACTTGGGAATTTTGGGGTTGATCTTCCTCCTCATCGCGATCCAGAGGAGAACTCGGCACTGGGATGTTGAAAACACTTCCGGTGATGGAGGCGACGCCGGGAACAACGACACCACGGGCGACGATTTACCAGGAAATACTCAACCACAGCCAAGTCCGCCGAGTAATTTGGCGAGGTGGACGTCAATTTCTTCAGCAGAAGCGGCTTATCAACATAATGGGCTGGCACCGACGTAGTTGTAGAATGTTACTAAAATTTTGGCAAATTTGCCCTGCATTTTGACTGAATAATGCGGAAAAGCTGTGATTTTTTATTATTTATCGTCAACGATAAAAGTGTCATACTGTGTTTTGTGACATACATTTATTTTACACGTACATAAAGTATTTACTTAAATTCAGGATTTCGTTGTAGGTGACGAAACCAGTTTTAGTTAAGAATCGAGTACTTTTTACTGTAAAAGATGTCTGGGACTGTAAAATGAGCCCAATTTAATACTTACATCTTTGAAATTTGTAATCCTATACCTTTCATAAAATTATTGCCGTAGGTTGGTTTCGTATATAATTTTTTATAAGAAGCGATACAGTGCAAGAAAGTAAAGTAAAACGATATAAAATTACTTTATTGGGGAAAATGAGACTTTTGGATCACATTTTTTTAGTAGTTTTACCGATAGTATTACTACCGACTCATATTTCTCATGCATCAATTACTGAGACCACACCTTTTGCGGATTATGGTAAGAAAGTTACATTTCAATTTTGAAAAAATACAAAATTTCCAAACTTTTTTAAGGCGACACGACCCTGACACCACACACGGAGTGTACCACTGCTTCTGGGGATGTCGGAAAATGCACAACTTTCAGCGAATGTTATCCCCTCGCATCACTTTCACAAGACAATTTTGAAACTTCATTAGAACAAGAAATTTTGGAAACATCGCGATCAGAGTTATGCTCAAATTCTACGATTTGTTGCAAAATGGGGAATTTTCTCTCCGACGGGATTTTGAGTGATGACGACGAAGAAATTAATGTGAATCAGTCATCACCGTTTTATGAAAGTGGATCAATCTTTCCGAAAGATTGTGGACGCTCATCCCTCGTAAATTGGCGGTGGGGTGGAGCAAGCAAAGGATTTTTGTGGAGTAACAAAGGTCAAAAGATTACTGGGGGTAGGACCGCGCTGCAGGGTCAATTTCCGTGGATGGTAACAACAATTGAGATGGACACAGTTTAAGAATCTAATAGTTAATGGTAAATGTTTTAGGTAGCAATTTTTGGCAAAAATGGTAAAATTACTTGTGGAGCTACACTAATAACGAGGGACTTTGTGTTAACTGCATCGCACTGTTTGTCAACGTGAGTTCGTAATCATATTTTATTTTTTATATATTTTTTTTACTGATTTGCATATCTTGAAAAATGCCTTCCCATCTAAAAGTTCTAAAACTACAGATATTCTTCATCCGACCTGAAACAACTAAAATTGCACATTGGGGACTACAACATCATGAGCTTAAAAGACGGTCCGCACGAAGTGAGACGCATCGCACAAGTCATTCTCCACAAGCGATTCAATACCCAAACATATGTAAATTACAAGTGAAATGATAACATCTTATCGAATCTAAATACAAACATATCTACAGCACAACGACGTCGCCTTGATACGAATGGATAAACCTGTCACCTTTTCGGACCGAATTCAACCCATCTGTCTTCCCCGAGCCGACACCAACATACAGCAAGTTGAGGGCAAGGCTATCATTGTGTAAGAAACGCATGGATAAGACATTATCTTAACTGTGTTATTGTTATTATTTTGCCTCATTTTTAGTGCTGGTTGGGGTCGTGATCGTCAATGGGGCTATGATTCAGCGATCCTTCGCATGGTAGAAATGCCGGTCTGGAAACTTGAAGAATGTCGCCGAATTTACGACCTTTTTGCCCCCAATCGCATCATGTCATCCATGAACATTTGCGCAGGGGACGGAAGGAAAAATAAGGACGCTTGCATTGTAAGATTTTCAAATGCAAAATTATTCATTCCATTAAAAATGATTAAAATGTCCATGAAAATGAAAAGGGCGACAGTGGTGGACCGATGATGGCCGAGCAAGGAAACACCACGCCCTCAACGAGACATAGTAATTCCCCCCTCGTACAATTGGGTATTGTCAGTTGGGGGAAGGGGTGTGGCTCATTTCCAGGTAGGATAGTCGCTTTTTTACGTTTGTACCATTTTCCCCTTAATATACACGATTTATGCCTTTCCAGGAGTTTACACTAATTTGGCCACGTACGTGCCCTGGATAGAAAAACATATTAGAGCTAATGCCAATCTACGAAAAATATGATGATACTAAATTGTTTTAAATATTATAAATTATAATTAATACTAAATAATAATTAAATTAATAAATCTTCCTCGTTTGTGGTGGTCTCGTTCAGTTTGCCCCAAGAAGCCTCCTCTCTTCCCACCAAGCAGACCCAACCGCTCAAGTATTTTTTTACGTGTCATACTCATAAATCATGGAATTTTGTTTTGGTTTGGTCCGTTCCATAATTAATTAATTAATTCAATAATTAAATAAAATAGGCCGAGGACAATTTGTCCTTGTGGTATAAAACTGTTACACTTCAAGTTGCAATAAAATGAGTTTATCGGGGTCTTCGCGACAAAGTTTATCTGGCTCAAGTCCGATGAAGAATGGTCACGACCAACCATTCCGTGGAGCTGGTGAAACTGTATGTGTGGGCAGTCAAAGTGGCAGATTTGTTAACCGATTAGATGAACAGGACCGTGAAATTGCAGCATTGAAGGATCGCTGCGACCTCCTTACGGTGAGAAATGTCGCAGCTAATTTGTTAATGTTTGATGTTCAAAAGTTTGATGTTTGTCTGTTCTATGTAAATCAAGGCGCACTGTATCGGCCTAGAGAAATGGAAATGCTCGGTGGAAAAATGGATCAGGGAAGAATTTGGTGAGTCTTAAATATAGGATAATATTTGTTTAAATTCGAATTATTATTATTTTTGTACTGAATTCAAGATCCCAACTTTCCGTCCACCGGAGAAGATCATAAACAAGATGGTGAAGGCGAAATAGAAGACCCTGCCGTAGATAGTGATATCGAGGAGGAGGAGACACGCCTCTTCAGCAGTCTTCATGAGAATGATGATCATGGAGGAGATGAACATACAGATTCTCAACTCGAAGAAATGTGCACGCCATCCATCGTTGACGTGCGTGGCGCAGTTAATGCGACCGAGATTAATACTTCTAATGAAACTAGAGCATCAGCTTCTAGGGCTCCTACTCACCGCACTACCACATCATCTACTCCAGAACAGAAACAAGAACCGTCCCCACCGGCGAAGAGATCCAGTCCACGTTCACCTGCCAAGGATAATACAGCCATTGATAGGAAATCTTACCCTTTGAAAAAACGGTTCAAGGAAAACGGTAACGACCAAACAATATTGACTGCCACTACCAACCCGTCCAAGCCTTTGGTCCTTACCTTGCACAAGAGGCGTAGTAGCAAGACACTTGAAAAACATGAAACTCAGGTGGCCCCCAACAAACCATCAACATCGTCAAAAATAAATTCTGAGGATGACGATGATGATGAGGATATTTACATAGACTTACTGGCAAAGTCGGCCAATGGTTCTCCTAAAAGTAAAACTGCAAGTAAGAATAAGAGGGCATAATAAATGATTGTAGCAAAATATTTTGATTATATGGCTCGAAATTAATTATAGAGATCCAAGAGGTCGTAAAGCCACCAGAAGATTTGGCAACACCAGGCAGTGACGAAGAAGAAGTCATTTGCGCTGTGTGTGCTGACCCGAATGTTGAAAAAGATAACGAGATCCTTTTCTGTGACAAATGCAATGTTCCTGTTCACCAGGCCTGCTACGGAGTTCAAAAGTATTATAATATTATTAAATATTTAATAATAGTTTTATAACAACATTATAATATTATTTCAAAGAATACCAAAGGGAAATTGGTACTGCAATCCATGTAATGCTAACTTAAACACTGCCGAACTCCCGTGTCGCCTCTGTCCTAATAAGGGGGGAGCACTCAAGCCTGTTCTCTCTCCAAGTATGAACACATGGGCACACGTATTCTGTGCCTGGTGGATCCCGGAAGTAAGAAAAAAATATTCACTATTTTATCGAAATATAAATATTTCAAAAATAATTATTGTTTCAAGGTAAAAATGCAGTCGACGAAATTACAAGAGCCGATAATGGGAATTAGCTCGATTGACAAGCGTCGATTAGCATTAGTCTGCTGTATTTGCAAAGTGAAGATGGGAGCACCCATTCAGTGCAAATATGGACCATGCAAAAGAGCCTTCCATCCAACGGTGAAAGATTAATAAATTAAAATTCATTAATTACAATCAATTGATAATTTAATTAACTTTAGTGTGCTCGCGCTACGGGACTAAGAATGGACATGGCAGACGGTGACGCAGACGCCGATTTGAAGTTGGAAGCATTTTGCGAAACGCACTCGCGTGTTGGCAAGAAAGTTAAAGCAAAAGCCAACAAAAATAAGTAATACTTTTTCCTTCCGTTATAATATACCTTATAATCTATTTATTTAAGCCGTCCTGAGGTAAGGATTTCAAACAATTATCCTGTAGGAGTTTGACACTTTTATGTCATCGATCAATTATCACTCACTTATCAATTAATAGCTTAGGAAAAAATGCAGAAAATTGCAGTGTACATCATCTTGCTCAACAGTAACTTGTTTTTCTACAATGACATGCAGATATATATAATCGTTAATCATGAACTGAACATCTTGTTACATTATGTCTTTAAGAAGCCTTTCATAATATTTATTTATGTAAAAAATCACTATTTGGCAATAATAAAGACTTAAATTTTCGTCCAACAAAACAACTCACTTGCTTATTGTGATTTATATTTATTCAATTATTCGTATCATTATTACTTAATTTTAAACATATTTTTATGAAAACTGTTATTAGTTTAGTATTATCAATCAATTGCTGGGTATACGGACGGGTCGAAGAATCTTTGCATTTCACACCTTAAGCCAAACTAGCCCATAAATCTGTCACGAATTGTTGAGGGTCCCCAATTTCATCCTTCAGTTCTATACCAGGAAAGTAGAAAAATGTTTTAATACTTTAATCACCCTCACTACTTTTAACATCTACCACATCTTAGTAATGCTCAATTTTACGTAATTACCTAGAGCCTCAAGAATTTGGGACAGTTCTGTCGCAGCCAAAAGTTTTTGCTGATACATTCCAAGCAAAGCGGATGTAGACTTGACGAGTGGTTCATCATTTTTACGGATATAATCAGCCAGAATAGATGACCATTCTCCAGCACCGGTCACGTCCTGAATCATATACAATTTATGTAAACATTTGTAGTAATAAACTTACATGTTTAGGTAATTATTAAAATGATCAAACCTTGAAAACGAGTGTGTAGAGTCCGTGAATCAATCCCAAAAATATCATACCGGGTCGGTAATGGGCATATTTGGCATTTGCCAACTGCTTAGACCTAAATCCACACACAGCAAGCATCCGCTTGACCCAAGTTATTCGATTTTCCTTCCATCTATATCAAACAGTTTAGCTCATTACATAATTAAAAAATATATTATATACACAATTCCACAAAGTTATTAGCATACCCCGGACAAATATTTTTTTATCCTACCCTACTCATGTTGAGCTCAACACGAGTAGGGTAGGATAAAAAAATATTTGTCCGGGGTATGGTTATTAGTTACATCACCTCTCAGGGGTATGCACCATCAAAGACACGATCAAATGGTAGAAACTTCCATCCACCGAGGTGGCGTCTTCCTTCCACGAAGGTATCGCTGCAGTCATGTACTTGTCCACGCCGTTCATTTCCTTAGTCGCTAGCCGGGTGGTGTTGAGGACGTAGAGCGCCGTGTGAAAGAGGTAGGGGACAAGATGCATGTTTGATTCTGGACCTGGAGGAAGAATAAAATGTGCATTAGTAAAACAAATGATACTGAAGATAAGATAGCTCATTACTTACCGCCACCCCCAGTATCCTCGTGGAAACTCTTTTCTTCCGCAAATCTTTGGAGGAGGAGCTTTATGTCATGTACTCCAGAAGCGAATCCCACGTCGCGATGTCCCGTAGCTTCTTGAAGATAGGCGTTATGGCGGGCAAGACAAGCAGCGAACGCTGATTCTGGAACTTGTGGACCCCACAAAGGAATCAATCCGTTACAACGCGTGTTTGCGTTTTGGAGAGATGCAGACTCCCACTCATCCCGAGATCTTGCCAATCTAGTAGATAATTAAAAGATTAGCGTTTTAAATAGGAAATATGAATCTTTCACTTGTACTGTAAATGAGCTGTAATTACCGTATCGCAGCCATGTGGCAATCAATATGAACGACGTTAAAGTGGCTCACGGTACAATACCCATACGACTTACGACTCTTGCCCTCCAACTCTTCCAAAATGCTAAAACATAATGTCAATAAAAACGTCTTAGATTTAAAGTCATAAATAGTTATATGTGTGTTGTATGCTTATTAATAAGCTCAACTCATAATGCTTACCATCGCTTGCTGAACGTATAGATTCCGAGCACTTTTGTCGGTTGATACTTATACCCTTCCCGACAAATTACGCAAATAAGTCCAGTTTCCTCAGCAAGATCTTCCATCTGCTCAAGGATAGAGGACGTAGCAGCGGTCACTTGGCCCTTCTCATTCGTCTTCATTCCCATAGTATTTAATTGGCGTTGTCGCATTGCCATTGCCATTCGTTTCTTTTCTTCGCGTGTAGCACGTCTTGCGGCTTCCACTTTTTTCCAAATCTAGTAAATTAAATTGAAAATGAATTAATGGGGTGATTTTTAAAATGAGCATTCAACTTTTTCAACTTATTTTTAAAGTTACCTCATCATGAGATCGTAAAGCTTCCAACACGTTTTCTGCTAAAGAACCGACATGCTCATCGGACGACACCTGCTCGAGTTGGTGGATCACATAGACGCATTCTTTCCCTACAGACTCCTATCAAAAAACAACAAAATTATATTAGCATCAAACTGTATTCCACATTTTAAATAACCACTAATTAATCAAATAATTACTAGCTCTACCAACCTGACTCGCTGAATGCCCAGTTGCAAATCCTGCCAAAAGTCGCAGAACATACTTCAACGCTGAAAATAACATTTTTCATTATATTGGTTGTTTATTATACGTTATTATTAATAACAGCAGATATTTAATTATTTGTATTCACCTGGTTTGGAAGCCATTTCTTTCCACTCATCGGAATCGGGTCGGCCCAGCGGCGGTTTCATGAATGGGGCTCGAATCCCGATATATTCCAAGCAAGCGTCGACAAGCTTCCTCTCAAGGGCCAAGTCTTTAAATGTTCCGGCATAAGGACCCGTTTCCACATTAGAGACGAGAGTGCAAATGTGGTCCAACTAGAATTAAAGTCATTAGTTTTACTCATTTGACACAATTTCGAGGAATTTGTACCTGGTTTGTAAAATCAGCGTTGGGATCATCATCAAACTTGAGAAAGTCGAAACAGTCCTTGAAACTATCAAAGATGAGGTTCATCTTCACTTTATCCGTGTACGTGAGACCAGCAAGGACTTTGAAATGCATGGACATGGTGGCTTGTCGTGCTTTCAGCTTATCTGAATAATTATTAGATTAAATAAGTATGAATTGTAATTAAATCTTTGACCTACATCCATACTCTATTCAAGATAAAACAAAGACTAACCAGAAAGTAGTAGCAAATTCCGAACGTCCTCAATTGATCCACGTGACTTGGCAAAATTAGCGTAAGCTTTCTTATCCAGGATACACGAGTCAGCAAGTACAGCTTCAAGAATCTGCAAAAAAAACAAGTCATGAATTATTTAGGAATCATACACTGCGTGTTATTAAGGATTAATTGACGACTCACCTCAAGAATTTGATCAGTCAGATGAACCACACCGGAGGAACCCTGTATCGAAGTTAAATCGTATTCCAGACAAAGTCGTAAAACCGGAAGGAGTGATTGTATCGCACTCAGCGAAGGAGCCAAGAGGGCATCTCGACCTGACGTTATTTTCGCACAGTATCCGAGTAATTTCAGCGAAACGCCAATTAACGGTTTGGTCTTTGACATGACAAGAGGTTGGTTCAGTAGATTTTCCAACGAGTTCAACACAACCTGAGGTAAAAAATACAAATAAACGTTAGAAATTATTCTTGAGGCTTTGTTGCACAAAATTTGAATCACAAAATTTGAATTTTCTTACCTTGAGACCACCACAATTGACAAACACTTTAGCCAGTTTATACGTGACTTCGTTATCCTCTTGACCTTCATTTGGTGATGCGAACGATTCTACAAATTCCTCTGTCGCATCCCCCAACAGGCCACGCATCCGATACACAATTCTCATCGGGTCGGTCGGACCATTAGTCGGCAACCACAACTTCTTATAAACTTCCTTTACAGGGAGATCCAGTGACATGATCTTATTGTTGACGAGCAGCTCCATCCCATTGTCATCCTCCAACAGTGCGACCAGCTCGCAATCCGTGCAAATCTTATTTTTAATGTCTCTCATCAACGGTCCGATTCCAGCCTCATTACTGCTATACGGATTTCCCAACATTCTCCCCTGAAGGAAGTCCTCCTGCTGGGGATCTTTATCCAGGGTGACGAAAAACTCGGCAACGTCGCTTTCCTCGTGCACGATGAGAGAGCAGACTCTTTCAAAGACAAAGACGGGTGTGGCCAAGTCCTCTTTCGGACACTTTTTCAAAGTTTCTACACACACAGTCATGAAGATCTTGGTTTCCTCTTCAGTCCCAGATGTAATTTCTTCCAAAAGTTGGAGCAGGATTTCTTGTGCCTCCTCGATCGGCCGGGTTCGATGGAGTCGAATCCTTTTGAGAGCTAAATAACCTCCGAGGACAGTGGAGAGAAGGGAAACTCTCTTATTCCGACGAACGGATGGGATCGCGAGGGTGGACAAGAGTTTAGACAATTCGAAGACAGCCACACCCTGAGAGAGATCTGAGTGAAGCGTGACAGTTTCTAAATGGTGCAATTTCTCGATTTGGCCGTCCAGGAGTTTGCAAACAATGCTCAGAGCACCTTTAGCGTTGAGGAAGGCGGCAAATTCTGATGTTCCAGCTAATTCTCGGTAAAGTTCCATGAATTCGCGACACGATTCTCCGTAGATGGGTAGATCTTCCATAAAAGTTGTGAGGAGTTCCATAACCTAGATTTAAAGCATTGAATGCTTACATGTTCTATTCAAGTGAATATAATTTCCAACGTATACACTACCTTTAATCGTCTTTCTGGATTCTGTGACAAGTCTTTCAACAGACCAGCACTGAATGTTCTCGTTTGTACCGATCCAGGACAGAATAGCAACGTTTTGAGCCACGAGAGTTCCTTGCTGTCAAAGTTGACACTTTCGGTAGTGTCAATCTTGTAGAATTTCTCCACCCATCGACGCCCATACTTTTGTATGAGGTATGTTTTCCTCAACTCGGGTTTGTTTTTCATGGCGAGTTTTGCAGGTTTCCTGACATTGGCTTCTTTCTTGGCAAGAGACTCCTTTACCAGCTTGGCGATTGGTGTTGTAGCGGAAGAAGAAGATGATGATGGTGGTGGCGGCAGTGGGAGCAAGCTTGCCGGCTTCGGTTTCGCTTTGGGCAATCGTTTCCTCCAGTTTTCAAAGGCAGCGTCAGGGTCTCCACGTAGCCACCCTGCCAATTAAGTTTTTAAATTAAATGACACATTGTTGCTATTTACATTGTACTCAAACAAATGCATACCTTGCAAATCGACATGGACTCCTTGAACTGGGACAATTGTTAATTTATCTGGTTCTCCAGATTGCGTTGCTCGAATGAATGTTTGAATTATTTTCAGACACGATAACAACCCTGCCTCACTCGAGGTAGGGGTACGAAGTCGATCGACAGCTTGAATAAAAATTTTCATCAAACTTCGTAGCTTAATTTCCCAGCAAGAGTCGTACATTCCAAGAAGGGAAGAGAGCAGAGATATTTCTTCGGAAGTTTCAAAACTAACGTCATTCCAAGTTCCACGATTCAAAGCGGAGCTCACCCTATGAAATTACAATACATATTAAAATTGTTCATTTTGCACGTTAATTTTCCACCTCACCTTGAATTAATCATGTCCGTAAGTTGTGACGTGGCGAGAGGATCATCCTTGACAAAGAAACAGAGCGCATTCTTCACCTGTTCCTTCAACGCTGTAAAGAAATAATTCGGTGAACAAAAACATGAAACATGACAAATCCATTGTTAACTCACCTGTCGAACCCGCAGACTGTGAGAGTCGAAGAAGAAAACTCAAGAATGACAAGTCGAACGGATCCCGCGGACTTCCAGCAGTGATCAAAGCTTGCAAAAGTTTTAGTGACAATGTAATACTTGACGCTCTGCAGCCGTAACACCGACCTAAGAAAATAAGTGAAAAGTAACGTCACACTATTATATGTCATAGATCATAAAAATAAAAATTAGGTCTTAACGTACGATAAGTGACCGTGTCAACACTATCCAAAGTATACGCGACTGGATCCACCTTCAACATTTCTCTCCTATACGCGCCCACTTTCTGCAAATTTATTTTTCAATTGTCACATAACTATCTACATATATGCTGATATACTGTCTTATAAATATATGGAAAAAGAATAACTAACCCTCATAATTCGATTTAGTTCCTCGTAGGAACTCTTGCAGTCAATCGCATAACAATAAGCCAAACTCTGAACGTTCTTGAGCACCAGTGATCCTGCAGCATGACTCAGTGTGGAAGGTCCTCCACCAGTTAACGCTTGGACACCAGGTCCTCCAAGGGTCATGATGTTGCCTGCTCCCATGCTGGCGTTAGCAGCGGATATACTGCCAACTGAAATATTGTTGTTATTTAAAGCATTAGCGGCAGCAGATGCATAAGTAGAGACGGCGGCAGGCCCAATCATACTCGCAGAGGGTGGGGCCGCAGCCACTGTCGTCGCCGAGGATGATGTTGGAAATGGAGCCATAGAGAGACCCGCCATCGACTTCTTTTCCTTAATCGACTGGAGCATGGATTCCAACCCGGCCTTCATGTACTGCTGCTGCTTGTAGGTTTGGTCCGCCTTTTCAAGAAGAGAGCTGACCGCGGTTTCGGATTTTTTGCCGTCCTCCTCATTTTCTGAGCAGATACAAATAAACAGAATTATTTCGCACCGAAAAGAAAAAGTTAAAGATCTCAATTAAACAAAATGTTTAAGTTTACCGATCGGGTCAACCGCCACGACATTTTTCGCAAGCACGCTAATGTCTAACTTGGCATATTTGCAATGCCTGTAAAAAACACGACAAATTATTTAGATGATATTGACCAATTTAATGTAAGCGACTATTTTTTCCACTGGGACCCCCTTTTGGACTTTATTTTGAATGAAATCTGGAAAATCGTGTTCAGCATAATTGACTTAGTCGGTTTAGACCAATTTTGGATCTCAAAAAAAAAATTTCATTTGGCGCAAATGGATGATAGTTAGTCAGTAAAGGGGGTTGACATCTCCCTGTTTTCTGAGATAACCACTGGACCGATTTGGTCCAACTGGGGCTTATAATGATCAAAAATACTTCCTCTTGGGTGATCCGAGAGATGGTAGTGATCCGTGACCTCGATAACCTAATTTTGACCTTTTTTTAATATGTCTCAAATCTCCTCAAAATTGTATAGAACTATGAGCTTCAGGATCAAACAAATTGTTTTATTTTGAATAGAATAATGTTTGATCCTGGAGCTATAGTATATACAATTAGTGTTAGTATTAGTATATACAATTTTGAGATTTGCGACATATTCAAAAAAGGTCAAAATTAGGTTATCGAGGTCACGGATCACTACCATCTCCCGGATCACCCAAGAGAAAGTATTTTTGATCATTATAAGCCCCAGTTGGACCAAATCGGTCCAGTGGTTATCTCAGAAAACAGGGAGATGTCAACCCCCTTTACTGATTAACTATCGTCCATTTGCGCCAAATGAAAATTTTTTGAGATCCAAAATTGGTCTAAACCGACTAAGTCAATTATGCTGAACACGATTTTCCAGGTTTCATTCAAAATAGTCCAAAAGGGAGTCCCAGGCGGAAAAAAATAGTCAAGCATAATTTATCTTAACTCACCCGCATTGGTGGCATATGAACGGATCTCTCTCATCATAATTAATTGCCCTACATTTGTGACATTGATACACATTCTCGCCGCAGTTGGAGCACACGCCTGGTTGCGCAGGAACTGACGCCGAACATCTCGGACACTGCAAAGTCTCCGCGGAAGCTTGCACATTTTCGTAAAATTCCAAAAACTCGAACATGATATTTGCAGCCACGATAGGAACACTAAAGTCTAATTTCACTTCCGTCTGGCTTGGACTAAGGCTGACTTTTCGAGCCATTTGCCAGAGATTTGGTTTATTCTTCAGTTCCACAATCGGGATGTTTTTCGGTGAGTAGTAGATTGTCATGCTTTTAATCATTCGTGCTTTTTTCACTTCAGTGAGACGAATACTGAGTCGGATAATGCTCAAGGTTGAGGTCAATTTCACAATTTGGCTGTTTGCAGTAAACTTTGCATCCGACTGTAACAAAAAAATGGTAATATTGTCATCACAAAGCAATTCATAGATGGTTCATTCCTAATTAAAATCAGTACCTTAATAGAGTTCAATTTCTGAACAGAGTATGGTTTATCTATGTTGTAACAAACTTCGCATGGTTCAGACTCCAAGTAATAGCCATCCACCGACACGAATGGAACCAGAGAGGCGTAGATATTTGCGTTGGGATGACTCAGTAAAGCATCGCCTTGAGCTTCGATCGAAGAAATACAAAAGTTGACCTGTTGCCTCAACTAGAAAGAAAATACACAAATCTCAAATATATATAGTTAAACAATAGTTAAATAATATTTATCTCATTACATCTCTGGCCTTTAAATCGTCATTATTCAAGGTTGCGTATCCCAGAATGTCTACAAATTGAGCGGCACGCGTTCCAGCAGAAGGAACAAAGGGCCCTAAAAACATAAAACATGTAACTGAAATGTTTCGTTTGTAATTCAATAAAAACGAAAACAAAAAATTCTAAACTTACAAAGTTCCCACATTGTGTTGACAAGTTTAAGTTGATGGGAGCAATCAGAGGTGTTAAAGAAACCCAACATGAGAGAATGTGCTTGCCAGCGTGTCGATAGGACGGAATGCTCGAGCAGATATTTCTTTACAAATTCTAAGAAAGTTCGCTTCTCCACCGTATCGAGAACTTGGTGAGCTAAAGATTTCAAAGATTTTTCGTCCTCACTCATCCGACTCATGGTGGACTCGGATTTCGAATCAAAGGGGACGCCATCAATCGCAATTTTGAGCAGGGTGAGGATTGATGTTGTTAAACTATCGTCAGCCGTGCAGCCCACCTGAATTAAGTCATTAAACTCATTATTATTCAAGTATTCATAATAAATTCTGAGAAAATAGGTGAGAAAATTAACTAACCTGAACCAAAAACTGCAAGGCGTCCTCATTTTTACAATGGGTCTGCCAACTTGCCGACCTCTGTGTCGCGATGTCAATACAGGTAGTTCTGTAATTTGAAATAAAAATTATTATTGTATAAAAAATATTATTCCCGTCTCAATAGATGAGATCAGTATATGTAGCGGGATTTTTAACGTAGCATAAACGGCAGCAATCAACTCAGTCATTCTGGAATAAGTTTATTTTCTCAGCCTGGTCTATTTTTTTAAACTGTTGACTAATAATTTATTTTTTAATGGAGTTGACCTTCAAGTTTTAAGACATGTCAGGGAGGCTATCTAAGTTGGCGAAAAGGCCCAGGTAGGTTCCACATTTACCAAGTATTGTTGGATCACCACAAATTGGATCCCTTATTTATTAATTGTATTAATTAATTTGGAGTTATCTCTTTTTATAGGAAAACATACAAGTGCAAGTACCACCCATGCACTTTTGTTGTGGACGATCTCGATGCAATTGATTTGCATGAAAGGAGGCAATGCATTTTTCGCCCAACATCCTTCCCACCCCCTTCGGCGACTTACACTCCCTCATCGTCATCATCCACCTCAGCTACTCATCAAATAAGTGACGATGAGACGGCATCCTCATCTTTTGCACTTGTCACTCCTCCCCCCACACCGTCGCCACAAATAGGAGGCTCGAGCGATGACTCCTCTATGGACAGCATGGGTGAATGGAGTTTTATGAACCAGTCTCCACGAACACCACAAGCTAAGAAGTATGTACATAAAGTTTAAATTAGAATGTCAAACTTAATTTATGATTTTCCAGGGGTTATGTACATCCTTGTCCCAAAAAGTGTGGGTAAATGTTTAATAGGCAAGCGACTGCTGCCCTTCATGCTGAGCTTAGTTGTGGTTTAACTTCTACAGAGAAGAAAGCTAAACTAAAAGAAAAGTGAGTAAGGTTGTGATTCCATTTAATATTATTTATAATTCAATGTGATTATTGTCATTGTAGATACGGTGGGGACCCCAAACACGAGTGTGATAAATGTGGAATTGTGTTCCAAAAGCCAAGTGCACTACAAAAGCATTTCTGTGACACTAGTCGAGAGGATTTAGAAAAAATGTATGTTTCACTAATTTTTATAATAAATCTAATGTAGTTTGTCATATCAAAATGATATTAAACAGGTTTAAGGACGATGACAGTCACTGGTGCGAGAAATGTGGACAATTTTTTGTCCAGAGTACAGACAAGCCTCGACATGTTGTCATCTGCCAGACGACAAAGGAGGAATTAAGAGAAATGTAAATATAATAAGCAATACATACTTATTTCATGTTTTATTATTAACGATGATGTTGAATAGATTTAAGGGAAAGCCTGACCACTGGTGTTATCCGTGTGATATTGTTTTTGCATGGAAGCAAGATGCTGCGTACCACACTCGCATTTGCGGAAAAACAAAGGATGAGCTGAGGACGATGTAAGAACATGCCAGCACTCGTAAAATAGCAATACTCTTAGTCGCATAAATATTTACGTTTGATATGAAATAGATTCGAAGACAATCCTGAAAACTGGTGTAGAAAATGTGATACCGTCTTTACAAATACCAGCAATAGAAACAGCCACGTCGCTATTTGTGGAAAATCCGAGGAGGAGATAAGAACATTGTAAGAATTTGCATACTATATACTTCTTTTCTGATATTTACATAGCATTTTCACATGTAGATTACAAGATGATCCTTCTCATTGGTGCAAAAAATGCGATCCACATGTCTTCTTTAAATGGACAAATAGTGCAGAGTTGCATATTCTTAAGTTCCACACCAACATTAACATATTCAACTTGTAAGACCAAAGTATAAAGTGTCTACCAATAACGAATGCGTATTAAATTTATTTTACTTTATTTACGATAGAACTAAATCTCAAATGCAACAGGTGAACCCTCTCAACTATAATTATGAAAGAAATGAAGGGACACAAGATCCACTATTCCCTCAGGATGAAAATTTTAGGAACATCGTTGGACAGAGATTGATTTGGGCAAATACATTTTCCGAGTACCTACTATCCAGACAAACTGATTGTTATGTGTACCGTGTTGCTGGATTAGAAGGGGTCAAATGCCAACCTGATACCTCTGCAAAGGACTTCATTGTTGCAAACTTTTCTCAATTTGGGATTTATGTTGGGATCAACTCCACAATAACCCATAACACAATCAATGGATGGCATAAAAAATTACCCCACAAATCAACTCCTGGACAACTTTTTATCAGAGGCGGAGATGTATTTTTCCTTAGTGAGGAAACTTTCTCTGGTCCAGATGCATTTAATGTGGCTAGAGCTAATGAGGCATTAGAAATCGTAAGTTGTTTAATGTTATTCGCACAACCAAAAACTTATACACATAAGCTCATTCTTGTTATTTATGTTTCATAGAATTACGGCCTTATCGGGATGGAATTCGCACAACAAGGAGACGAGGTTACCAATGTCATCAACAAAAAAAGAGAATTGCGATCTTTGGGGCTGAATGATAACGAGACGCTGTCTTCAATGTTGGATGGTGCAATCAGAGGAAGAAAATTATATTGCATAAACGAAGATTGTTCTTGTCCTGCATTTCGTCATCTTCTTCTAAATAAATGCAAAAAGGAGATTTTTGTACTTCAACCCCATCACTTTGAACAACTGCCCCCACCAAATCCTATCAACCAACAAAGGAGCACACGACCACTGGATGAGACTGGGATTCAAACGGTCGTCAAGAAGAGGTTGTCAGATCTGAGGAAGGAGATTTCACTTTTGCCCGTCCTCATTTACAACAACTATTCCGTCATCGTTGTAAAGCTGGCCGACTTTCCAGGCCTGACCACACCCCGTGCAATAGTTCAACATCTAGTGGACAATTGGGATAAGAATAAGATTGTTATCTGGTCTTATTTTGGTAAAGGAATTGAAGGGACGGATGAAACAATTAACATGCACCACAAGAATGATCCCAGCACTAGTTCCATTATGTCTGAGGTAGAAAAAGGAGTAAGGATGGCTATACAAATCTCATCAACAAGGGGAAAGTCAAAGGAGGATGTGGGGGAGAAAGAGTCATTCATGATAGTGAGTTTTGTTTGTCCATTTTCCGTTCAGATGCATATAAATATGTACTAAAATCTGTCATATTTTTGCAGTATGAGTCCATACAGAATGCAAAGAAGAAGAAACCAGGTGTTCGGGTAGCTTGTCTCAACCGACGTATGGAGTGGGGTGGTTGGAGTCGACTTTCTCCTGAAATCCAGTCCCTAGCAGAAGAAAGTGGTTCAATAGGTATCTCCCCTTTCTCTGCTGCACCTCAGGATGAGACCCCACTATGGGAGGAAGGGCAGTTCCAATTCCCCATCAACTTAAACCGGCAATTGGACAACCATGCCATCAAGCTTGTCAAGGTGTCAGTCACTGAAATAGATGAAGACGACGAGGAGGAGGAAGAAGAGGAGTTTATGTGATTTAAAAGTTTACCGGTTTTTTATTTGAACGAATTGTTTGTTAAGGTACGTTGAGTAGTTGGATGAATTAATTAGTGAATAAACGTTATTACTGTTATCCACAAATTCAGCCTTACTCGTCAAACAGACCCAGTGTTTCTTGGTACAGAAAATCAATTCCAACTTAACTATTTATTTATCCATTAATTGTTCCATAATGCATAATTTTGCAAATGTATGGGATGAATATTTGTCAATGCAATCTTTATAGATTTTAATAATACTTTTTGGTAATATATCATAACGGATAGATTTTTCCTGATTAGAGAGTGAAATTATGTGAGCGAGCGAGGAGTGTGGCGATATTTTGGGGAGAAGAAAAGAAAAGAAAAGAAGAACTTACAAATGTTCCACCATTGCGACCAGTTGCGAGTATTTAAACTCCATCTTGACCACTTTCGCCAATCGTTCGGTATCCGAGTTCCCATCGAACCCAATCAACCTTTTGAATTCTTGGAGGTGATACTTGATATTATTCGTGTCTCGCAGAAGGTGATAGTTCTCACGAGATCCGGCAATGTTCAGTAAGAGTTTCCTTGCTTGCCTTCGGACGAAGGGAGCGTTTCGATTTTGTAACATTTCACACAAAAGTTCTTCCCATTCCTGGAAAAATATAAAATTGTAACAAAAAATGTTATCACCCAATAAATCTACAACAGCTTGAATAACTCAACAACTCGTCTTTCTGCTGCAATGAGTTGTACTCACCGTATCAAAGATGGATTGTTGCACCAACACTTTCTTAATCTGGTAGGGAAGACGCAATGCCATTTCTGACAGAAGTAGGCTCAATTCCTCTAAAATATCATTCGAATGAGTTTTGATGTACTGCTTTAAGAAGAAGGGGCTGTAATCGGGAGGATTTGCCACAGGGTAAGGTTTTAGTAGAACTGTCCCCAGTGGGTCTGGAACCGCGGGAGGGGGAGCATTAACACCCAAAGCGGGGCTTGGGACGGTCGCTTCCGCCTCTTCCTCGGGCTGTCCTTTCCATGTGGACCGCAACATGTGGAGGAGTTCTTTACAATAGTTAACAATTCCAGAACGTTGAATAGTTTCAGAGGTCGAGCGAGCGATCCAACTGCTTTCCGTTTTTTGGTCACATCCCCTCCAACGAGAGACGAGGATGCTTAACATTCTAAGCACGACGAGAGCCATTTCACTCGCCTCGTTCCTCTTCCAATCAGACTTTCGCTCAATTTCCTAGAAAAATAATAAAAAATAATAATTTAATGCATCAACTTTCCACCAATAATATTATAAAAATAATAATTATAAAATTAATTGCTCACATTAAAGTTCATCATTTCCAGTAATCTCTTGACCACTGTTTCCACACTAGCCACCTCCTCATCCGTATTTCCATCCAACTCTGCCAATATGACGAGCATCACTTGAAGAAGAGGAATAATACTCAGGGCATCTTTACTATCCGAGATTTGGTTTGAAATTGCCTTCAACAGAGCCAATCTGAACGGTTTGGCTAGCTGTTGTTGTTGCGATACTGCACTAGGTGTGGAGAGAGTCATACTTCCCCCGGGAACGCTGGACGGGTCATCTTTGCTGGTTGACCTGGCCTCACCACTCCCACTTCCACCTGATGCCCGGGATGACATGAATGTCGAGAGAGCATTGACAGATTGTGACGTTGAGGACGAAGCAAGTATTGCACTTCTGTCTTGAGAAGTTCCCTCTGCATTCGAACTTCCAGAACTGTCAGATCCACCCGGTTCTGAGTTTCTCATAGTTGAGCCCTCTGTGGCCACTGTGCTTCCCTCGTCGTCGGAATTTTGTGATGCAGTCGCATCTGACTCGGCCCCACCTTCGCCGCCCGGCACGTTATCATTATCTTGATCTTGGTCGTCATCCGCGGGATGGATCGCTTCTGCATGAAGAACTTCTTGGTGCATATCCTCCAAAGCTTGCAACCCCTCTTGAATCCCTTGAATTGCAAGAGCAGCACCTCCTGCCTGTTCCTGCAAGCTCAGCGCGATCGCTAGTTCGACCATGGCCTCGTCTTCTGCATCCGATTGTAAATCCATCCCGTGAGGCATGGCGAAGCCCTCCGCCCCCATGAAGGCATCCAACGGATTCATCATCTCCATCTGGCCGTCGTTATCCATCTGCCCGTCTAACATGACAATGGGTTCGTCTACTTCAACCAAGGGGAGCTGGTCACCGTCTTGGTGGGCGATGGGTGGCACGTTTGGGATAGAGTCACGTGGACTGTCAGCGGTCGGGGTGGCGCATTGAGGTGGAGATGGGCCAGGAATTGTAACCTTCCGCTTCCGTACGTTCTTTGGTCGGAGTCGTTTTACGAGAACGGTCCGGACAGGGACACATATTTGATTGTTTCTAGAGAGGAGGAGTCGAATGAGGCAGGGGGACAGTTTTGAGACTAGTGACACATCAGACGCCATCACCGAGTAGATTATTTCACCAAGCCCCATGGCCAATGTTTCGACACGTTGAATTCCTGCAGTAATAATTTAATTAATTCCAGTATTCATGTATTACGAAGGGTAACAAAATAACAGTAATATATGCGAACCTGGTCTATCCACGGGAACTACGAAAGAATTCTTTGGCTTGACTTGCACCAACTTTTCAAAAACTTTGCACAACGTTTCAATAACTCGGGAAGGATTCATTGCTCCATGATAGCCAAAATCTTGAATTTCAAATTGTGAAATGTGATTCGGCCTTACGGTGGCAATGTTCTTGATACATGTCACGATGTGATGGAAAAATTCCGGGTCCACATCCTTCACGGGCTGCTCGTTCATTTCCATTAAGCTCTTGACACACTGGTTGATGACAGACTTGTCTCTATGTTCGTAGTATGTGTTTTTGCTCAACAGGACGGCACACATAAGATTGCGACAGGGGACATTGAGTGGGGGATAGTTTTCGAGATAAATATCCGTCGCAACTTTTAGTAGGCCTTCCATGTCTTCAATATCGCGAGGACAGAGGGACACGGCGAGCTCACAAAGCTCGATTCCACTTGTCACGATTCTAAGAAAATTTAATAATACTGGTTAAGTATCACAAGAATATCAAATAAATGATTTGATAAGAAATTACTTTTCAATGTTGTTGTCATCATTTTTCTTGTCACCAATATTTGGAGCAATACCCACCGCGGCGGTAGCCAATTGTGCCACAGTATCTTCAGAATCTTCCGGCCAACCAAATGCATCCTTGTTTTTTCCGTAACTAAAATTAATTAGATAAATAAATAATCAATTATTCGCACAAAGCAATTAATCTCTCTAATTTGAATTAGATATGATTTGTTTTACATTTTAACAGAGTCTACAAAAGTAACGGATTGAGAATCGTGAGATGGTCCAAAAGTGATGATCAATTTAGTATCTGCTTGAAGGCTTTCTTCTCTAGTTAATGGGACGTCGTACCAACGAGCTCGTGTCAGAGTGACATTAATTGTCCGTCCAAATACCTAAGTAATTTAAGCAGATTAATAAATTGTACAACTCGAAAGTAGTAATAAAAATCACCTGAATGAAAGAGGGAACACGACCAGAATCTTGTGACCCAAGCAGGATTCGAACACCTGTAATCACCGTGCTCGCGTCGTTGTTGGTAACTTCGATGTTAAATCCGATCGATTTCGTGGCGACGACGTACATGCCTGTGAAATAATCAAGCAAATTTGTAAACAACGTTAATCAAAGTCGAAATAATACAAGCAACATGTTTTAAGAAGAAGTACTCACCTGCCGTATTCAGTCGATTCTTTAACTGTGCCACATTATAAATTTGGAGTAAATCGTTCCCCCCGAAATCAACGTCATTTATTGGTTGACAATGTCTATGATTAAAATGATTAATTTTTTTTACGCATTTTATTTGATTTCCTTATATTTTTAAACAAAAATAAACATTATTAACTTACTCAAAGAAATCTGTGGGAAAGATTGGTTGTCCATTGGTTCCCTTTAAGAGTTTGCTCCCTTTCCTTGAACCAGGTCCACCTCCGGGTCCTCCTTTACTTTTCACAGAAGACTTTGGTGGCACGCAGTCCGCTTGGGGACGGAGTCTCGGACTAAGCCAAAATTCAGTGCAGTCTGCAGAGTCGAAGACTTTGAGACTTCCGTCCTCTCCGAGGATGACAAGAGAGGTTTTCAACCGTCCATTTTGACCGATGTGTCGCATCGCGACCATGTCCAAGGGTCGAGACTTCCACTGAACCTTGATCTCTTGGATTTCTGATTTGTTTTCAGTCATCATTATTCCATATGGAGTGCCGTCTACAAGTAACAATAAATAATTTATAGAATTAGTTTTTTATCTATCCATTTTAACGAATTAACCACTTTAAAAACAGTTTTCTACCTTTCGCCACGGCAAAAATCAGGCCGGGGTGACCCAGCACTTCCGTCCATTGAGTCAACCCGAGATTTAAATTCTTCGCCCCACTCGAATGTGTCTTTGGGAAAATAAGGACCGCCTTTGACAACGGGGCAGCGCCACTCAAATCTTCCAAAACGCCCACATAACTGCACCCATTCGGGTATGTGTAAAAGAGGAGTTTCAATGGATGCGAGTAGTGAATCGAGATTCCCACCGTTTCCTTCTTCTCTCCCGTCGTGGTAGCTGCAGCAGCCCCACTTCCCGCAGGTGGTGGGGCAGAGTCAGCGGCGAAGGCCGAAGTATCGTCATAATTTAAATCATTCGTAATGTAATAAGGTCCATTCATCGCACTTGTATTCTCATCCAACTTTTCGTAATAAATTCGCCCGTCATTTGCAATGATGACGATGTAAGCAGTGTCATCCTGCACGACGAACGTAGCATCCCTCACTTTTCCAGAGGGGAGGAGGAAATAGTAAATGGGGGCGATCACGTCCTTCCCAAGGTCATAGATTTTAACTGCATCGGCGGATAAAATGGCCATCTGGGTGTGAGAGCCGGGGACCCATAATGGCTTAATGATGTGATTTTGTCCCTCTAACTGTGGTTGCAGGACTAAGTGGGATGCGATCGAGCCTCCAGTTCCAATCACGAGGACGTGACATTCCTGAATAAGATAATAATTAAAATTAAGTTTATCCCACAATTTAATAAATAATAATTCAAATGTCACCTTCAACCCACAAACTGCGAGAACATCATCCCTCAACGGATTGGCAGCCATGGTTAGTGCCGTGAATGGCAGAGTAAGTGTCGCTAGACGGGGAAGGGTTAATTTCTTCTTGCCAGTTTCTGCACCCGAGAGTAAGGCTCCCAGCTGAAGAATTGTAATTTTCCCTTTTTCCTGACTCATAGCGAGGTAGTGTCTCCTCGCTCCCGGGGCGGCCAACGCTGCGATCGTTGATCGCCGAATTATCTGTCCGTTGATCAATTGTCTTATTAGAGATCCCTGATCCCCGTTGTATGTCATTTTAATGTTCTCGAATGCATTCTCTTGGGAGCCTAAGGATGGGATCTGAAAGAAACCACAAGAATTATTATTTATTTATTGTTTATGATCAAACAATGGCTAACATGATACAATACTTACCATCAGGTCGTCGCACGGAATAAATTCCAACTGACCCTCGTGGCCACGGCGGAGTTGATCCAGGGCTTTCTGCACCCGCATAAAGGCCCCGACTTAAACAAAAGACAATGAATATGATTAATTTAGGAATTATTGATACCACAAAATTGTCAACTTACTCGGAGTTTTCAGTGAGGCCAGCTTGCTCACGGAAGACTTTAGTTTCATCAGCGTGTTGAGTGGTAAATGTTCCGAGAATGATCGAAAGGCCGCAATGAGATCCTCCCATTTGACTGGACCCTGCATCTTAATCAGCCCTTCGCGACGGGGTTCTTTCGTTGTAGATGATATAGAGCCACGTGCTTCAAGCCCTCCAGCGGTGGGGGAAGAAGCTCGGCGACTATGTTCAGTCGTAGTAGTTGAACTACCAATGACATCAGCAAGGAACGGGTTATAAGACGTCGATCCGCTACCACCTAATGTTGGCGGCGCAGATGTTGACGATCCACTGGATACGAGAGCCGCCATTCCCCTATTGTTGCCTGAAGAGGAGCCCAAATCATTGGAAGCAATGTTTGTTGGTCGCCGCACTAAAGCGAGGCAGGTTCCATCCGCTTTCGCCCCACACTAAATTAACCACGAGAAAATTAAATTATTATAATTGACAATAATTATTTTTAATTATTAAAATCATGAATGGTAAGAATAAGCTAAATATCTCTCAAACAAAACAATAAAAAAAACTCACATCGCAAAAGAACGATCCGAACTTGGCATATGTTACGTCATGTCCTTTATGACACACTCGAGCGCAGATAGAACAAACTCCGACGCCATCAACCATTCCACACGTATGGCAATGATACCAATGCTGAGACATGAACTCCTTCTGCGTCACCGTATACGTGCAGAGGCGTCCGTTGAGCCCTTCGTCGTCTGAATCATCACCTCCACTCTCTTCCCCATCGTCCCCTTGATCAGCATCACCAATCTCAGACTCACAAAGGTCAAACGTATCCTCAATTTCGTTCGGGGGTGTCGCCGTACCAGGAGTCTGTTCCCTCTCGAGTAATCTCTGAAACGAGTTTTGACCCATTTTTCCTCCAATGGAGATCAAACTTGGATTCTGTGCTGCGACGGACTGTAGAGTTTTTCCCACGTCGAGCATGTACTCCATGATGGTCATGATGGCTTGAAGGGTGGGATATTCTTGAGAATACTCGGTAGTAGTGGAAGTAGTTGAGCCTGATTTCTTAACAGTTGTTGAGCTCATCGAAGATTTTACCGAGGCATCAATCGCAGCATTCATCTGTGTTTCGACATCCTCCGTAAAGTCATAGAGCCACTCGGTCATTTGTTGGAATAGCTTTGCATGTCCTTCCTCCGAGTCGCACATGCTCGCCATTTGGATAATTACTTGAAGAACGTGCTCAAAGGAGGATAAGTGATTCTTCTTGTTCTCTTCCTTCCCTCGAGAAACGTTATTTTTGACGACTTCAATCGTTTTTGACAACAGGTTGGGGATTATTTTGTGCTCCTGATGCTTTCCAGCGAGTGTGATCAAACTCGAAAAGAATTTGCAGACGGCCTCCACAACGCTCTCGACTTGTAAAAACTCGGCTGAAAAGATCCGCTGGGGAAGTTCTTCAAAGTTTTTGAGTTCTTGGTATAGAAGAGAGACGAATTTTTTGGCGTCTTTTTCACACATATCGTGACTGAGAAGGGTGGAGAGAAAGTCGCAGATTTTGGTGAGTACTTTCTCGTCTTTCGTTGTCATGAGGAGGTCGAGAAGAGAGAGTAAGAGTTTTGGTTTCCCCGTGTCAGAGCTGAGTAGGTTGAGGAATATTCCGTCAAAATCGCAACTCGGAACCTTTGCATCTTTTGTTGTTGACAACAAGATGGATAGCAGGGCGTTGAGACTTTCTTGAATAAAGGTGTCGTGGGCAGAGTCCTTCAACGCGGCGCGAAGGGGGGCTGAACAGATTGCTTTTAACGTCTCAGCAGCGAGAAGCTCAACCAGTTTTGAGTTGAGAGGTGCATCTGTCTTGGCGTAGGTAGGATCCACGGCAGTGCCGACGATCTCGCCAAGAAATTCGGCCGACTTGCTAAACAACAGTGGGAGAACGAGGGCAGTAAGTTCCTCCTTTACGATTTTTGATACTTTGGTGTTCTTTGGACAGATTGCGGACCCGATAAACTTGACGGCACTTCCGAGAATGTGTTTTAGAGAGCCTAAATAAAGAAATATATTGCACATTAAATCTGGGTTCATGTTAAGTTAATAGAAAAAAATTAACTCACCCTGATTAGCAGACATGTGTCCGTCCAGCACTGCCAGAAGGTAGCTCTCCCCAGGAAGAATATCAGACTTGTACTGACTCATACTCCAACCCGGAAAAGAGTCAAAGTCCTCATTGACACACTCTTCCATCGCTCCCTTCAAATTTGGGTCGACGCACTTCATCACAATCTTTGACATTGGATTGTTCATCAGAAAGCCAGAACTGATTGAAATTAAATGCATAGCAGAAGACTTCCAGTGTTCGCCTCCTGAATTTCCCTTATTTCTTTTAATCGAATCGTCAAGAATCCTATTTTGAACGGCGAGCAGACTTTCCTCAAGAATCCGGATCATAACGACGAGGAGCTCCTCATCCTCAGAAATTTCCTCAATTGTGGTAATGCTATGCGAGAGAACGGCTTCGATAGCAAAGTAGAGTGATGGACATTTCGAGCCTGGTTCACTCTCCGATGCCGCCACGACCCAATCGATTGATTTATTTAAAATCTTCAATCCTGTTTTTGACCCGAGCGCCGTAGATTTGATCAGATTTTCCGCTTCTACAGGAATCATTCCCTGTTTGCAGAGGATGTCACGAATCCAGGAAGAGTAGGTGCGATGTTGGAGCCGTGAAATCCAAATGATAAGGTAGAGAACGCGGGCGGGCGAATCCAGAAATTTCGATTCCAACAAGCTACTCGTATTGGAGAGTGTCTGGAGATACTCATGCGGGGGTGGAAGTCCGAACATGAGCCGATTCAGGAAATATTGCACGTAGTAGATTTCCGCGTGACGGGCTCCCTCGCTATAATCGAGGAAGGAAATCTCTGAAATTTTTATTATTGCGTCGACCAAGCTCCTATAGTCGACCTTGTCCTTGGTTGACTGTGAGTCTGTTTTATTCATGAGGAAGTTCATCGCAAGCCCGTCAAGTCTATATTATTGAAGAGAAAGAAAAAAACAATGTAAAATAATTTTAGTTAATTTTATTCGTAGTGGTATATCAGTATTTATGTTAATAAAATCAAACGTCTGGCAAACCTAGGATTTTCTTGATAGTTTGGCTCCGTTGAGATCAAGTTGTAAAACTTTGGTCGCGGAGATTCATCAGATCCGCTCAGTTCCCAGATTCTTTCGACGACGGTGCACTCGCAGAATATGCGTGAGGGAGGGAGTGGTTTAGAATTTGGGGGTTCGCTCATCGTCTCGCTGGTGGACATGAGACCTGTCCCTCCTTGATCTCCAGCCGTTGCAGTGGTGGGGGTGGTTGCGCTGTCTAAGAATTTAGCTCGTAGCTTCTTCCCCGAGGGTGAGCTAGCAGGTGGGTGTGGTGTCGTCAAGGCAGAACCACCACTCTCTGTGGTATTGGATCCTTCATCGTTGAACAGATTGTATTGGATTTGTCCAATAAGGTTCAACCCAGGTTCGTACAATTGACGGATAAAATAGTCATAAAAGAGGAGAAGGCGGCCGAGGGACATGACTTGGTGTGGTTTCGAGATTTTCCCTCCTAGCTTGTCGCTCACCTTTATTAATACGTTGGAAAAGTCAATCATGATTTGTTTCTTTTGCATCAGGCTGAGCGTATGGAAGAGGAAGATAATGGCCTGGCTGTGTTCGACGGGAATGTCTGCGTACCCGGCGGGGACATTTTCGGATGTGATGTCTTCAACCAAAGTGTCAAGAATTCTCTTAAACATCATGACAGTAACATTTTCTCGATCTGGTCGCAATAACAGGACTTGGATAAATACGGCTAGGCTGCGTGAGTACATGTTAAATGGCCAGCGACCAGGAGCAGCAAGGTCGATACCGAGTTGAAAGAGAAAGTTGGTTATGACAGAAGGAGAGAATAATTTGAGGGTTAGAATGTTTTGGGTGAGTTTGCTAATTTCATGAGAAAAATCGACGTAAACTTGGTTCAAAGTATCCTCGAAGATGGTGGAAATTGCTCCAATTTCTGTGGATGACTTTTCTTGGTCCAAATCTTTTAGAATGAGTGTAAGTAGGGTGGAAATTTTGTCAGAGTTGAATCCATCCTTGGCAAAGTTGCGAACCAGGTCGGACCGGTTGCCGACAATGTCTTTCGACAGGAAGGATAACATGGAGAGTGCAGTCTTCATAAACTGGAAACGTATAAATTATTACCATATTAGGTTTGCGTCATATTAAAATGTAATTTATGCAGGTTGTTTGTTGTATTAATTAGATAAATAAATTCACTTACCACGGTAGCATTATCCTTCTCAAGTATAAATTCCTTGATTAGTCCGTTAATGTCATCATCGCCTCCTTTCTTCTCATCCAAAGGACCTCCCTTGCCATCCCTCTCACTCCCTAGTTTCGACTCTGACTCAGCATCCGTTTCAGGTGGAGAGAGAACGGATTCCATCCACGAGCCGAGTATTGGTTCATCGTCTCCATCCTCGTTATTCCTATCGTCCTCCTCATCATCGTCCTGGTCATCGTCGGGCTCGTCTTCATCCGTCGTCATGAGGTCTGACACGGACCGATTCTCGTCTTCAATTTCGACATCAATGTGATCATTTTCATTATCTGGAAGTGGATCATTACTATCACCAGCAGGGCGGACAACTGCGCCACTATCGACATTGTGCTCCACCAAAATAACGGGATCGGTATTATTAATTTCCGTAATTGCAGTCTCATTTTCACCATCCTTCTGCGCCTTGAGCATCTTGAGGCGACCCGCTTTTCGATAACTCAAAGTCGTCGTTTGCATCAAGACTTCCACGATGCCAAACTGATCAAAGAAATATGCGATCCTATCTTCGTTCGAGTTTAACTCATCAATTTTAAAGCTCTTTCCGGCTGGTTTTCTGATTGAAAGTGGTGTAACCTCTCCGCAGGGTAGGGGTACAAAGTTAGAAGCCATTTTGGCAGCGTGGCATGCGATGGAAATGATGATCTCGTTCCAGTGAGTTTGGACATGGATCAAGTTCATTTTTTGTCCCAAAGCGGGTTCTGCAGAATGACTGACTTCATGCATATAGGTGTCAATGGACATGAAGGCGTGTTTGGAAAAGACGGCGGAGCAGTTTAGCCAAGTCTAATGAAAAATAATTACTTCTTATTTTGTTCTTGTTTTTTTAATTATTTAACGTCGTATATGTATAAATTCGATAATTAAACCTACCGATTGTAAAAGGGCTGTATCCTCCTGGAGAATGCGAATCACGGTTTGTTGTATCCAAAGTGCCTCTGCTACAATCAAAGTTCCAAATTCATACTCAGACTCGCTGGAGTTAATATTAGCTCCCGAGCCTGTAGAACCAACGACTTGACTTTGAACCGTTGACGACCCTCCGGAGGAGGAAGACGCAGCCTGAGATGACTGTTGCTGAGCGGAAGATGATGAAGGAGGTCCGCCACCATACAATTGATTTGCAATAGCGGCCCCAGCATTCATTGCGGCGAGACCAAGATGACACAGTTTTTGAGCATCGGATGAACTCAGGGGAGCAAACTTTCTCACTCTCATGAGTTGATAGGTTAATTTCAAGTCTTCTGAAAGTGATGCCACTTCCGATCTATAGGATTATTAAGTAACAGCATTATTGGAATAATATTTCGAGAAACAATAAATTTCAACTCACCCAGAAAGTTTATGATGAATAATTTTACGACTAAAATTGCGAACAGTGTCATGTTGCAAAGTGAAATTGTCCAATAGAAACTGCTTCAAGGTGGGTCGTGCTAAACAAATATCGACAAATTTCTGTCCAGCACGGAGTGACTGGAACGTTTTAGACACTTCTTGGGTGAGGAGTACCTATAAAAATTTTTGCAAACACGGGATTATCTATCGTCGCCTCATATCTTTTCAAGCTTCATCTTTAAGTACGCTTACTCTCATTGGCTTATTAGTGGGCAAGCTCATCACTGGCATGGACACCTGCTCCAAAATCATTGCGGCAGGATCCATCCGAGCTCGTCGGACCTCTTTAACATTTTCTTTGGTGGTAGTATCCTTATCCCAAGTGTCTAAAGAAACGCAATAATACCGTTAACTTTATTCAAAATAATTAATGTGAGAGATATCGTCTTACTTGGCGAACTGTTTTGCACTTTTGGTGGCAATTCATGGTTTTTAAGGAGTGACAGCATGTTCGACACTTCATCAGGTGACATGGACAGTTTCCCAGTACAAAATTCCTATATATACATGGAACGTAAATTAAATAAAATAATTAGTTGATTGCAAATATAAATACCTCTAATTCACCATTTTCTTACCTGAATGACACTGACATACGTCTTGACACTGATTATAGGATGATTTCCCTTCAAAATTGCTGGCAGTCTTGACAAAAGTGATTCGCACAAAATTTTCGTGGCAATACATGCCGCTGGGAAATTTTGTCTTGGTACTGGAAATCAAAAAATTTGAATAAATTAACACAATCAACTATGTAACACAGCATTACGACCAACTCTATAAAATTTAACTTACACAGATCACTGCTAGCTGCAACTGTGAGTATATGCGTGGCGAGAACTGTGACGACATCATAAAACACGGTGTAATTGCTGGATGACGATGTGCCTGATTCTCTAATCTCCTTTTCACTGAAGAAACACAGGATAAATTATTATAATCAGTCCCTATAATCAATCCTTAAAAATAACATTCCCCAATTTCAAGTCGAAATTTTCAACTCACCTATCACTAATCGCCCTCAACAAAGTAATAACTTCATTTTTAGACAACGAACCGACTGAATACGTCACGAATGGTTTAATGATATTGTTCCACTCAATAGTTCCTGTCGTCGAGGGAGGCGATATTGTAGCCGTTGTTGTTGTAGTCGTCGTCGTTGGGGGAGCATTATTGCTGCTGCTGATGCTGGTCGGAGGTGGTCGACCACCACCCCCAGAGTTTGACGCCATGATGACGCTGTCGTCAACTCAGTTACTTATCGTTTTATCTGCTGCCTGCATAGGTCACAGCAACCTACAACCTAGAATTATTTCAAAATGTATTCCACCTCAAATTTATCACATATTTAAAATCAATTATTCAAATAGTTACCAAACTCGTGGCTGATGTTCCTTCCTTATAAATTATAAGTTATAATGCAGAAAGTCTGATGCGACGATAAACTTCTAAATTCTGAAATCACAAAAATTCGAGAAATATGAAATAACAAGAACACAAGTTGTGTCACATAATCTTCCATTTTTTTTAATTACCCGATTTTTTTTCTATCTACAAAACTCTCATACGAATAAATAACCTTTGCACTCCCACTCTTACCAAGAAATTAAAAACGTTTTCTGCTAAAAGTTGAGTTGACCAGAATATAAATACCTCGCAAAACTTAAAAATTCGCTTATTCCGTCTGAGGAAGAGAGATGATGCGAATGATTTGCTTTGCTTGCTGACTTCAGTCCGGTCCTATTTTTGCTCGTCATTCAAATCAAACCAAAACTCAAGTAAAGTCGAGATCAGCTTGTGGGCTCGTTTACCTTTCGCGTTCTCCACGGAAAACTGATTTCATTTCCAACGTTTTTATCCAAATTGATTTCAACAGACTAATTTTTTTTTAATTTTCAAACCCGTGTTTACACAAATTTAGACGAAAAATCGGATTTAAAAATTCGACGTAGATTTAGAATGACTCGATTTTGCATGTTCTCATCAGCACAGAAACACATCGAGAGGCAGCAAATCGGTGGTGGTGGTGGCGAGACACGCAGGGAAACGAGCAAGCATACGCGGCTGCCATTGCTCATTTCCATCCATTTCTCCGCTGAATGAAGAAGGTTGAAAAAAGGTTGTTGATTTGCAGTTGCAGTTTGCAAATTATTATTTTGCAAATTTAAATTTGCATAATTATACCAGCCCTGATAGACTAGGGATAAACTGTTGTGGTCGCAAGTGGGTAAATTCGCAGAGGTGGAATATTTTAGAACAACGAAGGATTTGGAATTTATGAAATAGGTAAATTAAGTTTGGCTTAATTTGTTTAGTTGAATCAATGAATACGGTAATGTTGAATTCGAATAATTATTCATTTACAGCTGTTGGGCTGAGTCGGAAATTTTGAGCTGGGAAGAAAATAAACAGCAAATTTGGAGAACAATTCTGAACAATTATGTCACATCACGGAGGTGGAGGGGCCAGATACTTCAAGACTGGAGGTATTATAATTCTAACTTAATTTTAAATGTTGAGTAGTTAACCATATAATATAAATTATTTAATTTAAAATTGTTTCGAAAGATGGGTACGGATCTTCTGGTTCAAAACGGTACCATTCTCCAAATGACGCGGGGGGCGGCCGTGGTGGGGGTGGAGGTCTAGGCTACGACGCTAAAAGGAGCCGTTCTGACACTTACGGTGGCAGCTATCACGTAAGGCGAAAATATACCTTCTGGTTCTTTCTATTGTTCTTCATTATTCTGTCACGTATAATTCATATTTTTTAAAAAAGGAGAAATGATAGATCTTTTCCATTTCCTTGCAAAAACGAGTTTTATTCATAAAAAGATGGCTGTAAATTGGTTATGATCCCAACACAACCCAATATTCCCTAGAACACGTAGCCTGATTTTATTTCACTTCCCCCACAAACTCCCCTCCCACTCCCACTTTCGATGTCAAATACCTACCATCGAAGTATGACCAAACAGCTCTCCAAATCCATCCAATGTCCACTTGGGTATATATAATATAAAAGTAGCCCTGGATGTTGTCTCATAAATCGAATCCAATCAATGAATGAAATGAATCTCTCTTCTACATGCTCTGTGTTGTAATGACCAGCCTTTCATGTCATAAAATGGCAAACTTTATACCGAAAATTTCCAGACGTCATCATCGTCGTCCTCTGCAAGATACAACGATTACGGCGGTGGTGGTGGTGCCCCCAGCAGTGGTTATGGGTTAAGCAACCGCTACAGCAGGATGCCAGGCTCCTCGTCAACGTCGTCATCATCATATTACGACTCTGGATTGAAATCTGCCTCCTCCAAATATGTTGACGATTACAGTAAGGGAAGGAGTGGTGGAGGAGGAGGAGGAGGTGGACTGATGAAGAGCTCCGTGAGAAGAATCCCCCCAGCCCCACAACTCTCTTCCTCCATTTCGGCATCAAAGATGCGACCACCATACGGATCGTCGTCATCCTCAAGACCACTCCCATTAATGAAACTCAATACAGTTTCAGGATCCAGCAGCAGCACTGGACTTGGTGGAGGATCCAGAGATAATTATGGAGGCTCGCGGTAATAATCATCTACATAAAACCTTCTCCTGATAAAAAAAATCACAGTTTTCCACAGTCCCTATTTTGCATAATAATTTGCAAAGAAAAATTCCACGAATAGCTGAAGGACAGATAATGAAGGAGAGTTGAAAAAGAATGTGAACATCAAGTTAATGTAGGACAGCTAATCTACCAGGACCCTGATCTGCTACACAAGTAATGATACCTACGTGCGTGCGTGAAAATTTGATGATGACGATGACCAACTAAACTAATCATTCAATTCGAGGAAGGAAGAACCCCAAAAAAATTCTGAGTCGAATCATAGTCCAATTTAGGTTTTGGTCCCAAATTCCTTATAGTACAAGTGTTTTTTAGTAGCGTTTATAAATAGGTCGATTAAAAAATGGGTAATTTATTACACTCTCTAATATGACTTTATTTTTCACTTCGTGAAACCCAAATAGACTTAGGACAGCCCCTCCAGAGCATCATTCATCATCCAGCTACTTGTACTCGTCATCATCATCGTCATCTTTACACCGGAAACCGGAAGCTAAACGGCCGACCCGTCCTACGATTACTGGGGTTCTTCGAAATCCGTATGGACCAGTTTCTTACTCTTCAACTAAAAGTTATTCATCTGGAAATGGTGGGGCGGCGTCAGCATTTAAGCGTGGCACGATTAGGGCTGCTGCCTCGGTGACGAGCAAGATACGACGAAGGGCTATTCCGTCATACGAAGATAGAAAGTAAGCAATAAGCAAAAATGCTTTTCATTATTAGTCACGTAATCAAGTTGATACCGTTAACTAATATTAATTTTAAATATTTGTCAGGAAACGGATCGAGTCGTACTCCAACTCCCGCAGAGATTTGGATCGAACTAATCGAACAGAGAAACATAAAGTTGCAGAGTCCTCCTCAAAGAACAATAAGGACTCACCCGACATAATTACTGAAGGAGGAGATGCCATTAAGAAGGAAGTCAAATTACCCGATGGTGAAGTAGGCGTCGTGCTGGACGAAGTTGGCGGCGACTCCGACTCGGACGAAGGAGGAGAGAAGGATGAATCAGGCACCAGTCCAGGAAAAGCTGTTAAGGGCGATACACATGATGAGTCGATGGACGTGGAAACTGGTGAAGGAGGATCGGCTGAAGGGAAAGATAAAAGTGAGTGTGGGGAAGACAAGGAGGGCAGCACGCATGACCATGACCACGATGAGAGTAAAGGAAAGGATAGACGAAGGTCGTCTTACGACAGGGAGTCGTCCCCCTCAAGCAGAGCCTTGTTAAAGATGTACTGTAAATATTGTGATGTTCGACACGTTACTTTTAGGGTAAATATCTATATTATGTGTCAGATTTTGATTTGCCTGGTTTCTGAGCTGTATTTTGTGATTGTCGTGTGTTACAGGAGTACAGCCACCATCTCCGATCATTTCCACATATTCGAGCCATGAACAACGCCGTTACGGATATGAGGAAGATGCTGTCCAAGGTACGCACACAACAAAGAGATGAACAACGACGTATTGAGAAGGAGGAGAAAGTCGAACTCTCGGACACCACAAGTTATTGTCGAGTATGTGAGCTAAATTTCCGAACAGACCCCAAAGAACACGAGGCTAACGAACTTCACAATGTAAGCACGATTTACAACTAAAACTAACAAGTAATGATAATATAAATTTAATTCAAATGTTTGTTGTAAATTGTAGGAAATTAAAACACTGATTTACAAACGGTGTGAAATTTGCGACATTGATTTCCGAATTTGGAAAGTTTATCTGTATCACATGGCTGCTTTGGAACATGTCAAGGTAAGCATTTAAAATTCTTTGAGACTTGAGATTAAAGATGTTGGCAAGCTTTTTCATTATTTATTTGGGTTGATTTTAATATTAGAGGGTGGCAATGAAGGAATTAAAGGATGCGGAAGGAAAAGTCGATGGAGTAAAAGGCACAAATTTGACACAGGAAGAACTTGGTACATAACAATTGCTATTTTCTTTAAATACACTGTCAGCCGTGTTTCAATTTATGTACAATAACATTTCCGTATTGTTTGTTAGGTGCGGATTTGGTCGAAGTTAGAACCGTATTTTTCTGTAATGCTTGTGTTCGCTACTTACCCATCAAAGGTGATATAGATGAAGCCAAAGAACGACACTGTATGACTCTGACCCACGTCAAAGGGGTAGAAGAGTTCCATCAGAGAGAAAAAAAGATAGCAGAACGACAACGAATTCGGATGGAACGGGAAGAAAGAGACAAGGAGCGACGCCTGAAGGAGAAGGCTAAAGAAGAAAGTAAAGCATCCGCAGAAGGTACGGCTGCTACAACTACGACGACAACGGACGAAGTTCCAGAAGGGACAGGAGAAGAAGAGATGGACGAGTCAGGAGGGAATATCGAGATTAAGAAAGAAGTTGGTGAAGAAGTGGAGGCGAGTGTTATTTCGGTAGAAATATTTTAAGTGTAGAATAGTTTAATTAGCAAACTCTCGTGCTCTGTCTCTGTCAGAGTTCCTAACGTTAATGCTTTTGTTTAGAAAATGGAAAGTACCACCTTTGATACTACCCTTGGTGATGACGTTGAACAGCCGGAAGTCCCAGCCGGTGAGGAAGAAGAAGACGAAGAAGAACAGGACGTCGACGAGGACGAGATTGAACTTCATGCTGGAGATCTCCCCGACGATGAGGAGAATGATCAAGAAGATGAGGACGATAATGATAAGAGTTCCACTTGGAATCGAAGGACCCGTTCGGCTAAGCTTGCCAATTAGATTTAATAAGTAATTTATCCATCTGTCAAGTAAGAGATTCTAATGATCTAAAGATTTCAGATTCAAAATAGAAACACAACTATTTCTAAGTAGTATGTAGGTATGTAAGTTACCACTTATTGGTCTATTAATTGGCAATTATATCCATATCATCACAGCTTATAGTTTACGCTCATCCTACTAACTTTTCCATTGGCTTTTTAGTGCTAGAGTTATATTTATAATTTGATTTGATTCATTTGATCAGAAATCATAACTAAAGATTATAACAAAATACATCATCATTACTTATGCATCATCACGTTGTATTACATATGTTCTATACTATGTTTTTAATATTTGAATTGTTATTTTCTCATAGTTAGTTAAAGAAATAAAGTCATCACTTGAACGATTTGTTGAGAAAGGGAAATTGTTTTTTAATTAATCAAATAATTCATTTACCACACAAAATTTAGCCAGATATTGGAATAAGTATCGAATTAGAATATGAGGAATCAATAAAAGTAATACAACAAAAGTAATTATTGGGTCGGGTTGATTGAATAATACACTTAAAATGGAAATCATAATTGAATCACCTGCTAAATTATTACGCATTACAGAAAGTTAAAACTGGGCTCGTGGAAATTTTTGAAGGGGTTTGTTTAATCAGTCATAAATTATAGGCAAAATAATGTAGTTTTTTCTTCTACACAGTTCTCTTTCGACGAATCCGAATCTAAAAGTATTTTCACGCGTTTTTCTTCATGATAATGAATGTTTTACACTGTTTCGTTATCCACATTTCCAATTCCCGCAGAGTACATAGATTATCACTCAATAGATTGTAGCTACATATAATTACAAGTAGTAGTAGTGGTAGTAGTATCACCACTAGTTAATTACATTATCATCATCGCTACTTAATAAATTAGTATTTCATCGTTTCATCGTAAATACACTAAAATCGGTAGCACAAATAATTTACACTCGACTCTCGTTTTTTTTTATCTTCACCAGACTATTACCATACAATAGCTATATCCATGCATGCATGCACACGCACTTGAAAAAGTCAGTTTTATTTTACAATTTTTGTTACAATTCCTACGTTTTACTCGATCTCGATTTCCAATTACGGCGACGGCAACGACGACGAATTGATTAAAACTCATGATCTAAAATATTTATTAATAGACTAATAATAATTTTGATTAAACTCTGTCCCCGAGGTTATTCCGGCAGAGGTTTCAGTTCCTTTATTTGTTTGATGAGGTATGCCTTCTCATCGTTAAACTGCTCATCTTCGGATCTGGAACAGAATAGAAAAGAATAATTGTCAAAACAATTTAACCACGAATTTACAATGATTATTTATTGCACAAACCTGTCTTCATGAAATTTTGTTAAAAATCTGCAAAGTAAATGGAAAATTAGAAAATGACGCTTTGAAATACACAAACTTTTGCATGCTTATTTAGATATTTTAAAGATAAAAGTTGAAAATACGAACTCTATCAGTTTTTCTTGATTGCGAAGTAGGATGTCCAATATTGGCTTTGGTTTGTTGGGATTGGCAACAAATACCTATCGAAAGTCATTACGTTGAGATATGAAATAATTGTATGTATGAAATTTAGACCCACCTTAAACACATGAAAGGCTTCAAACTGAATATTTCTCGACTTTTCCTTCAGCATATTCATCATAAGCTTCAAGTTATCGGGATTGGAAATGTATCGGGTCATCACCTTTGGAAACATGTCAGACACAAATAAAAACCATATAAATCCTCCAGGGTCTACTAACTAAAATTAGTTTGTGGTACTAACGGTGAAGTTGTGCCGGTCAAGGAGCAACTCGCCAAGTAACTTCAAACTTTGTCGACCTGAAAATGAAGTAAAATATAAAAATAAAAGAAACCAACCAAAGGGTTGAAGGGATATAACATTCGATTCCTTACGAGTCACATAATTTTCCGAGTTTAGGAGTTGCTGATAATGGTTAAAAACCTTGTCATAGTTGGCTTCGAGAAACTCTGCACTCAATAATTTATGCCGAGTGAGCAACTCCTGGAAAAGCAAAAAGAACGCGACACGATAAGAAAGTACCCCCATTATGATATCATAAATAGTTAATGACCCTACTTTGAAGGTTGAAAAGGCATCTGACGCTATATCAAATGTGGACACTTCCACATAATTGAAGAATTTATAAAAATCCTCGGAATACACGATGATTTTCGCCAACGCTTCGTATCTAAAAAACACATTAAAAAATGTCACATTCCCCGAACCTTCACAGTTCAAGTCGAAGTGGGAATTTACTACAAGTCATCTTCCTCACTCTACTACTTTTCCCTCACCGGCAGCAATTTTTACATAAATTGTTAACTCCACGTTTGTTTAATTAAATATGGAGGGGGAGGAGTCGTATTCTGATGACGACGACTTTGTCTCAACGCAGAGGAAGAGACCCAAATTGGTTGAGAAGAAAAAGAGAGTGAAAGTGGTGAAAGCCGGTCCATCTACTTCTGCTTCTGCTGCTACAAAACCGTTAGTTTTTTGTTTTCTCTCCCCCTGCCACTATTTCTCACTTAATATTTACTTAATATTTTTATTTTGTGTCGTTACAGTGCAACGATTGAGACACCCGCCCCTGCTCCTCCCAAACATCTGAAGGTGGAGACGACGAGAGCGGAAGGTTGTGCAGAAGGAGAATTAAATCCACGTGGGATGGAGGATCACGACAAGAGAAAGTCAGTCACCCCTACCAGTACTGCTCGGGAGGATCAGGATTTTCAACCTGTTTCGTGGGAATTCGTTCCGAGAGTGGAGGAAATGAAGGTGGACGAGGAGGAAAAGAGACCCATTAGGGATGGGAGAGGAATTTTTGTTCGTAATGGGGAATTGGCAGAAGAGTTCCAAATAAAGACCACAGGTGTGTCCGATTCGAAAATTGGCAAAATAAGTAAAGGCAAGTTAATTAGATCTGAGTATGATAAGATCTCACAGCATATGACAATGTTATTATTATTATGCTATATAGATGAAGGGGTCGATAAGATCAGAAAGACTATTCTGCGGTTAGTTGGTCTGGCTCCGGATGCAGCCATCTCTCCTGACCTCCCTTTGTTTGAAGCGTCCCCCGAACCAACCTTTACACCCGAAGAGCAGGGATTGACTGCCGGACAGAGGGAGGCTCTCTTTAAGGAGATTTTTGGAAGATGTGGTCGTGTTGAAGTGGATGATAAGCCGGGATGGTTTCTAATTATTCACAAGGCCCCCACCACCGGGATAATACATCTTTGCTTGGAAAATTTGAGGAAGAATGCGAACGCTACCGTTTATTCGGCTTATAGGCTGTGTACAGAACCTAGTAAGCATATCTCATGTTGAGTTTTTGTATAATTTGTGATGTGCATTTAAATAATTCATATAATAATTGCAGAGTGCTACCAGTATTCGAATACTCTTGCAAATGAAGTACTTCCTAAGTGTCCCATGCATCAGCCCGAACCGATTTACACCGTGATGAAAGTGACTGATTACAAACGGAGGGACGTGCTGGTTCAACTTCATTTGAGAATGACCCACTCTGTGGGGTTAAATGCATCCGAACAGAAGAAAGATGAAGAGACTGAATTGCTGCTGTGTAGCAGATCTTATGGTTCTCAGGCATGGATAGAATACTCTGAGAGTCGAATTTCAACACTCGCAACTAAGGGACTCAAAGGCAAGGCCAACAAGGACGAGGATGATAAAAATCGTCCGATTCCCAAGTCCATCTCACGCTACCATTTCGCCAACGAGGAGGAAGCTCTCAAGAAGTTGTCATTTGAATCAGTGAGTGAATTTGACTCGGAATCGTACAATATTGAGTATTGAGTTGTCATTTCATCATTATTATTATGTATTTCTAGACGATCGGTATGTTTATGAAACTCGCTCCTGGAACACAACCTATCATCAATCTCGACGACCTCATCCCACTCTGTTACGGGATGGAGAGTGAGATCGATGCACGTCTCAAGGAGTGGGGTATGGAGCTCAAAATTCGTCGTCACTTGACACCGGAAGAGAGGGTGGAGGTCAAGTACCCGTTCCAAGGAGAGTACTTTCTCACCACCACCGTCATAACCACTCCCACCAGAACCACCTGCATCACTACCGCAACAGCAGCAGCAGCACTACAACTACCGGCGAAAGGGAAGACGTTTTTGTAAGCCGTCATGTCTCGAGACATGCACTATTTTGGATGGAGTAACACTCCCGATTTCAAGTCCCGTTTAAATGGATCAGGGACTGATGGTGCTCGGGAGTATAAGCGCATAACGGAAGCAAGGGTCTATCCACCGGGAATTAACCTTTAGGATCCCAGTCCACGAATGTCATGGAATTTATTAAATTTTCACTTAAATCCCATGTACACAAGTGTCATGGAATTTGTAAAACATCCCACAAATCCCAAGTCCACGAATATCATGGAATTTTGAAATTTGACCCTGTGTCCCAGATACATGAATATCATGGATACGCGACAAAATGCGTTGAATCCCGTATACACAAATACGTGTATTTTCAAAAAATTACAAATTTGGCGACCGTGGAAACATTGCATGAAATTGAAGGGTTTTGATATGGCGCCCGAGTTAGGGCTTATGGAATCGTGATGGTTGTCCGTCTGTCTGTCTGTCCGTGAACAGGCTAGAGCCAAAACGACTGACCCGATTCACATGAAATTTTTAGTATATGCAAATTGGACAAAGTTAGAAACGAGTTCGCAGATGGGGAAATTGGTCAAGTGGTTGACCGGTGGGGGTCGTCTGAGTGGATGGGGTACTATACACTAAAATTTCAAAATTGTCATAGAAAGCTGAAATTTGGTATAGAGCTTGCTAATGGCTTCTATTGAAAGAATATGAAGTAAAATTGCAAAATCTTACCGAGGGGACCCTATGGGTGACCCATGCCGGTTTTAAGACATTGTCGTAAAAATATAAAAATCGGCATAGGATACTGAATGGGTTCTCATGAAAGTATATGAAGTTCAAAGTGGTCAATGTGTAACCTTAGTGACTCTAGAGGGTGACCCATACTGGTTTTAAAAGTTGCTATTTTCAGCTGGAATTTGGGATAGGGGCTAAAAATGACTTCTGAATAGCAAATAAAACTTTGGAAGATTTGAAAGAAGCAAGACACAGTGGTCCTGGTAGTCAAGGAAGGATTTGTAAATACTCCACAAAATAACAAATATTCTGCACACATTCGACCATTCCCAACACGGGGTGTGGTAATCGCAGTCCGGTCAATTCGGACAAAAATTTAGGAGCGGTCCGTCCTTGACTAAGGACATTGTATAATTGCAGACAATGTAGGTTTGTGGCTATTTTTGAAAATCGGTATGGGTCATCTCCCTCCTCCACCCCATATTGTCCCTCTGGTTAAATATTTTTAGATTTCCCCTCCGAGTCTTTCATTACACGCCATTAGCACTCAATGTGCTGAATTTCAGCTTTCTAGCGATATTTTCAAGTTTGGTGTCGATTCCACCCACCTATCTATATGACCTCACTCGACAGATTTGGCTCACTTGCGAACTCGATTATTTTTGGCACCTGCAAAATTTGAAGGCAAACCGTTTTGGGTGTATGGTATCGGTGGACCGAAAGACAGACATGGCAAATACATAAGGCCTCACTGGGATAAAAATTTCTGGTTCGGGCTATGCGAAGCTGTACTAATAGGTTTTTCACCACGGTAATAGTATATGTATATGGGAAGTAGTTTTTGTGGATTATCATTGCATGTGATAATACAAATATATTCCGTTGGTTTTTTCTTGAAAATAAAATTCGGGTCAGTGTGGTCGAAAAAGATTCAGCAGCTTGGGTGCGTGAGGACAGATAGCTGACAATTATTTGGGCCTTAAAGGGCATTTAATTGAAGATTAATTAGGGACTTAGTGATACGATTTTTCGTGACAACAATTTTGAAATGGGATCCTAAAGGTTAAGGCTCCAAACACTCCCTGTTACCTACTCGCCAACTGTGATGATCCTGATGATGATAAGAAGAAGAAGAAGAACATCAAGACAAAGACGATTGAAGCTAAAATGATAATTGCTGGCTACATTGCATACTTGTTAGGATTCCATAATCCTATTGTTCCTAGATTTTTGCCATGCTACTCTACTAATAAGTGTGTCTCTTTAAGTCTTGTTGATTCTACTTCATGGGGTGAGATTTGTGACTTCGTTAAGTTATTCTGGGGTATCGAACCAATGTTGGGGACATTTGTGGGAAATTAATTTGTTTATGTTTTGTATATTTATCTGAATATGAAATAAATCATACCTCGCACATTCTCGAAGCATGGTGCCACAATTCAGAGCAATGTCTTGATGTTCGTACCTACAAAAAAAGAAAAGAGTCAATCACCACACTTAATTTAATAGAAACGAAATACGATACTAAATGGAACAAGAACAAGATCTCTTTGATGATGACATTCTCTCCCCTAATTTGATGCGACGTGAACACGGAAACGATATAAATTTTCCATTAGGCACACGGAAACGAATGCTCTTTGTTCTTAGAACCAAACAATAAACTTAAGATACGACGATATGGGATCTATCTCTCTCTCTCCCTCGGGTAGTAGCATTTCTGTAGACATACCCTGAAATGAGGGTGAATAGAATCTCAGGTTTCGTGCACATATATTCCACCGTAGGTGAACGGGCACCAATATGTCTTCTCAGAATATTATTGAATATTTGGGCAACATCTTTCTTCCCCTATGAAACAGAAATATAGTCATGAATAATTATGTACATACATCTTCATACGTACTTTTGATATTTTTTAACCCACCTCAAATTCAACTTTAGACAAGTTGTTGATGAGTAAAAGGAGCAAATTGCTGTTGTAAAGCTCCTGGGAAAGTTGCTGTTGATGAAAATCAAAAGAAACAAAAATGCACGTCTTAAAATTTTCATTTTGGGCGACAATAAGTATTTAAATGCGGTTCAAGTCTTACGGCAACCAAAATCTCAGTCTGTTGTTCCGTATCGGCCGATCCGAACAGAATCCCTTTAACGTTCGTCAACTGTTTTGAAACTTCTTCTTGAGCCTTTTCTGCCTTTTTATCACCACGCTCCAACGCAGTGACGGCTTCTTTCAATGCCTTCACCACCTCGGCCGGGTTCTTCTGTGATTTTCCAAACAACGGCATCTTAAGCATCGTGTTAGCCGACTATCTTGATGTCGTGTGGTGCCGTTTTTTAGCAGTGTTTTCGCCCACGCAGGGAGATTTCAGCGTACAAAGTTAAGTTATTAACCACCTGCTTCGTCTCTCTCTCCACCACCACCACTTTTCCTGCAAATAATGAATTCTGTTAGATGTTTACTTAATACTAAACCAATTTACGATAATTATTTCATTCCATGGCATAAAACTCTAATTGGATACACGAGGAGAGATAGAAAACCATGATAGATATTCCATCCAGCCAGAATATAATATCGACATTTATGGACTTTAACACCAATCCAACCACGGATTGAAGGTCGACTCAAACTAAATATAATAGTGCCTTGTTGTTGTTAGGATAAAGAAAATTGCAGTATCATCGTTAAATCTCTAAGCTAACTTGTTCTATATTGGACTAACCAACTCTCTCTCTATCTTTCATTCTTATGAATAACTCGACTAAATAGTTGATTTTAGTAAATGCCTGGCGATACGATGCGTTGTTGTTGTTTCATGCACCTACTTAATACATAGTTCAGTATTTAATATTGACTAACTGCCACGGGGGTTCTATCTATTAACTGGTTAATGTATGCATGACATTTAAATAATAAATATGTCTGTAATAATTACCCACATCCTCACTAAAGTTCATTAAAGGTACTGAAAATGAGTTGAGAGATAACTGGAGGAATTGTACAACTTGTGATAAATGAGTGACGGGGATCAAGTGACAAATGCAATAACAATGACAAGATGACTCATAAACAATGAACACAAATACTCGTAAATTGTGATTCGGAAATTTTTGAATTTTCTAAATTTTCCTAATATAATTACATGGTCTATGATTTTGTAAATAATAAATAACCAACATAAAATAAAACGTTAATGAGTTGCAGATTATGAAAATAAAATTTGATGGTATACTACACGTGAAAATTTCATGCACATTTCAGAGTGAAATGTATGTAAAGCCAAAAATTGATTGTCGATACCGTTAGTAAACAAATTAAATTGATAAATTTACATAATACTTACGTATTAGATCCAACTCCAATCCTTTAGTTTTTCGAATCCCACCAATTTATCACCGACAATTTTTCAAACTTCACTTATCTTCAGAATTAGAACACCTTGGTCAACCTTGTGCAAAACGAAGTTCACAATTTAAGAGCAAAATCCCATCTGCCACAAGTGCCAATACAGAAATCAATAAACAAATCGAGACACAACTACGACCACTCCTCACTTTTAGTAGAATTGTTTCAAATATCGTTTCCCATCTGTTTGTGTCGTCCAATTTCCGATAAGTACTTTAAATCGCGACACTTTATAATCAAAAACTAAATTTACGTGCTTTCTCCCAAAACTAAACCAAATCCACACCCCACTCAAACTGAAGTGAAAATCTGACTTTCTTCCCCCTTTTACGGCACACCCTACTTTAAAAATTTAGGTCAATTTACAACTTTAAAATAAACCAATTTCACTATCCAGAATTGTGAAATGTTGGTAAATATTTCCGAAAAGGAGAAACTGGCCCGTCTGACTTACAAGTCTGCGATGAGATATAAACTTGCACTGTTCGAAGGAGCGAGCGGTTGGAAAAATCCTCCACTTTATGACCCAGCGTAGCTGACGAAATTATATGAAAGAATTAAAATTGCGATAAATTTTGGAATTTTCAATCAATTTTTGATTGATTTTTCATCCTCAAAAAGTAATTGATTCGGTAGAATGTTGCAGTAAGATGCGTGGAAAACTGAGAATTATCACATTACCCCGAACGCTGGTATTTGGAAAGATAAGCTTCCTGGTATTTCATATTACATAATGAATAGACTTATCATGAAACGAAACATTAATAAAGTTGATCGAAATGATAAGTATTGACAGGAATTGAAGATAACACGATTACACAGCATTTAACGCACTAATTATAAATATTACACACTATTTTTCTATTTACTTTCGGAGCAAAAATGTCACAAAAACTTTTGCATGAAATGACACACTGTTGAAAATTGAACAAAATGATTGCAAAACAAAAGCATTTAGAAGTCTAATGACTCAGAGATTATTGATTAAAAAACATTGCGACTACGATATTGCTCGATTCGGTCAGTCCAATTTCTACTGTTAAATAACGGAACGGTTTACTAACGCAGTGAAATATTTGGCAAGACGAAATCCTGCTTTTTCTGTCAAAATTAACCCTTCCAAAAAAATCGGGTATAAATTTGTATCAAATCAAACAGCACAACAACGTGTAAGTATGTATGGTATGCATCTATTATTGCTATTTTTTAAAAATTAGCAATGCGTATGTCTTTAGTATGGAAAATTCCTATCACCAGTTTTACACGTTTTGCAAAAAGCCAAAATTATAACCAAATTTTCAAAATCAAACTCACCTTTGTCTCACCCGAGGAGATCAGATTCTTTGAAATCTCTACAATCAGCAAACTGAATCCTGCTTCCTTCCTTCCTACATCTACATCTACATCTACCCAAAATCAAGTCTTCCTTAATACAAATACTCACAAAAAATTCGGACTCTTCTTAATGAAGAAAGGATATATGTAATCTGTACTCAGGTACTTCTTCATCTTACCAGAAACTTGTAGCAACACCACTAACACTTAAACATATTGGACACAAAGATCAGTTCATTGTTCCGGCTATGTAACTTTTTTTATGATGGTTTGCAGTAACAGCACAACCTCGCTGAGATTTTATGGAGTTTTTAGTTGTTGATTTTATACACTAGAAGAACAAGCCCCATAAATCATGTAACCGTGTAGAGACCGAGGAAAAGACGACATCATCAACAACATCAAGCAAAACTTGTATTATATTATATCCATATCTGTCTATTCAGCAATACCCGTCGACTTTCTGCATGCATTCCGCTGTTTCTTCTACTTCAGATAAGAAGTGCAATCCGACCTAATACGCAAATTATGAGAGCATAAAGCACAAAGACGGGATAATAAGGACGCTAATGGTTGAACATGACACCACCACCGGTCCGACGACGAGGTTGACGACGACGCCGGCGTCATGTTTCTTCCTAGGCACTTAAAACAACGGATTTGTTTTGTCTTGGGAAGAAATATAAATACAATAATAATCATAATGATATTACAGAATAAAAACATTTATAGTGTAGCTCGATTTATTTAACCGAATAATTTCATAAGCAATTATTCTGCATACTTCGTTACATGGAACACAATGAATAATAATATTTCTGCAGAAATTCGCATTATGTAAAAGCCCTAGTTTTACTGCGTATCGTAATAATACCGATTTGGACAATAGTAATTTAATTATTATGCAATGCAACTATTTACAGTTTATTATTACAATTGCAGACTTGGGTTGACTTAAATTTTGGATGTATTCACCAACCAACCAACCAAATAACCAAGTCAAGATATATATTTAATGTATGACTGATTATGATAACATGTGATGTGGGATACGCACGAAGATAAGGCCAGATATCGGTTTAGCTTAACTATTGGACTATTGGATTCTCGATGATAAAAATATTAAGAATTACACGTGTGCAGAAATTGTATTGGGATAATATTATTATTATTTTCATCGGAATTGTAAAAAGTAAAGAAATGGGGAAATTGAGATTGCTGATTGCTTTATCCTTAGTTTTACTTATTGCTACGATTGATACTACTTTGTCAAATAAATCGAGTAAATCTTCCAATTCGCCGACACTGCCGCTGTTATATCTCGCAAAAAATGTGACCAATTGTAAAATAGATTCTCCAGAGCTATTTTTCTGGAGTGTTGCCCAACCTGCATTAGCTGTCCTGAATGAGGGCAAGTACAATTATCTAACTGCATTCATGGAATAAGATTGTCATTTACATATTTTCATTCCAGTCGGCAAAGTATTACAAAAATATTTAATAATTGCAGAAATTAACTAATCAAAAATATTGCTCCGGAAAGAGTTTGCAATCTGAATTGCCAATCTCCGTTTAAACTTAAACGAATCTGTCCACATTTTAATGTTAAAAATATTTCAATTTTAATTTAGAAATTGAAATTTTTTTGCATACATACCTTACAAAAATCTATAAAAGTTACTAACAAAACCTTAATTATTACTACATAATTATGTAGAGACGCACGGGTTTTTTGGCATCCTCATGGACAAACTGGAAGAAGTCTCCAACTCTGACGATGATACTTTGGACGAAGAAAAACTCGAAGAGCAATGGCTCTACATTATGGAAACTATTCAAAACAGCTTAGAAAATGGATTTAACCGACTAAAAATGTCGTGGGCATTATTGGTCGCTGTATCTGACACGGTTCCACTTCCATGGGAGGTCACCGCCCAAAAACTCGTCGTCAGAGAGCTGATCAACGAGCTCGAGTTCAACTACGTCATGATGGGCGCCGTGGTCAAAGCTGGCGTCAAAGAAATTGTGGGGACCTTGCAGAAACGAGTTGTTCAGGGTAGAAAGAAAATTTTTGACAAGCTCAAAATCTCAACTTTTTTCGAAAAATTATAATTTAAAAAAATATTTCAGTAATTCAACAACTAGAAAAATACGTCGACCAGTTAACCAAAGATGGGGAAGATGTCCACGAAATGAAACTTTTACATAAAATGGAGCAAAGTTTTGAGCTCGTGAGTTGAAAAAAATGGTTAACTTTTGGTATAATATTTTTATAAAGTATTAATTTTTTTAAGATGAATTCCACCGATTTCATCGCCAAATTAATGCGTCGTATCGTCAACCGAGCAATTACAGCTTCCATTCCGGCATCATCACAAGCAAATAAACCACCCGTGATGAAGGTCTTCTTTTCGCCCATGATGGAACAGACGGCCATCGTATTTGAAGCTTATCGACAAAGGGGTCACATTTACGCCAAGACGTTTTGGAACGAAATTTCCGTCATTATGAGAAAGGACATGGAATCATCCAGTCCGAGAGATTTGTCATCATTTTTACACCATTTAAACTCAAATAATGATCTTTTCGTGGAAAATGTATTTGCAATTTTGGTATCTGCGATTCCGATTGCGAAATAAAATAATTTTGAGCAAAATGTTAAAAATAACTAGATGTAAAGGCAGGATGCATAAAACAAAAAAATCTGTCAAGTCAATTTACAAGTTTTTAATAAACTTTAAGATTTGACGATAGATACATTAAAATCACAATAAATCCATTACTGCCAATCATTTTATAAAGATTCCACAAAATACTACGCATTTAACAAAGTTCATTAATTTCCTACCCGATCTTGTCACATTATCCAGACTTTAGCAAGCACAAAAGATATCGTAATCAAGCAAGACAAAGGTTTTTACACCTTTACTCATACATTCACATGATGTTTTTTTCTGCATGCATACCACTTTTACAGGACTTTTACATACTGTGTCTCCCCGCATCGTACATACATATATTTCCATTTTTCTCTATTTACCAACATCCCCGTGTATGTACGTACAAACGTAATACTTATGCATTGCCTGGCCAGATTCTATTCTCCCTGTTAAGCAAATACTACCATACAAAATGAATGCTGTAGTATCTGCAACTCTTTATTACACACGAGAGAGACTACACAACCCAGCTAAAACCTTAATAAAATAAAAAAAAGACTTGTTGTTACCCAGCCTAAAAAGCTTAGCTTAAAGCAGAAGAGAGACCAACATAGTACATAAAATATCAACCCTATCTATCTCCTACAATATCCTATTCTAATCCTAAATATCAGTAATAATAGCATTTCCTCCCTCATCCTCAACGCATATTATCGTCAATCGTCGTCATCAACATTACAGTAAAGTTAATAAGCTAAAACTCTATAAAAAAAATTATACATATGTATAAAACTGCAGCACTACAACAGCTCCTCATTAATTATTTAGTTTGGTGAGTCTTTAATTTTGTACGTATTTAATATCTATTTTACTTCTTCTCCTTGTTCTTCTTCCTGATTTACTTACTTGCTTATTGCGCAAGATAACTGCATGGTTCGCAGGCAGGTGTGAATCCGTAAAAGTTTTGTTACACGGCGAAGAAATATAAGATTTTTTAATATTCTTTTTTATATGTGCAGTTTAATAACTGTTTTATTTTATATTTGCCTTAAATGAAACGTACCCCATATTTATAACGCATTGTTCATTGTGTTTTTAAGTGAACGTAGAGTGATTTGATTTGACAGGAAAATTGTGTCGTGTCGTGATTGTCGTTATGTTGAATTGAAATTCAATTTTAGGTCAAGCTTTACCAACCGCACAACAAATACTAATGTGAATGGTGGTAAATGGTAAATGGTAAAAGAGTTGTCAGAGTCAGTTACTCGGCAAAAGTGACCACAAGAATAGTTCTCAGAATAAACATTGTTTTACTAAGAATTTGTTTTTTATTATTTGTTGTGTCGGGTGAAAGTTATTCCTTTGTTTCCATTTCATTAAAGAAATTTTGCGTGGGTAGTGGTGGTGAAAAGTGGGATGTTTTATAGTTTCCGTGGATTGGCATGACTCCAATTTGTGTAGTTTGTTGTTCAATTTTTGGTTTAGTTTGATAATTTTTTAAGAAATTAGTTAGAGTTTTGTGTCAATTATAACATTTTCGTAGCCTTAATATATCTACACACGATTTGTCAGGTTTGGAATGATTGGTGGAAAAAAAGTAAATTCACACATTGTGATTATAGTAAAATCTCCGCTATGAAGAATCCTGTATGAAAAAAATTAGTTTCCGAAACGATTAAAAGTCCGTGATTTCGTTGCAGGTACACATTAAAATTTAAAGTAAAAGTCAGTCATATAAAATATGTATGCAAATAGTATTCGCATTTCCTCTCACGTATCCGACATTGGTTTACTTGCTTTGCTGTGTGCAAGTAATGCATTTATGTATAATGCATTTGCCAGTTAACTAATTGCAGGATGGATGATGACGCTTAAAATGGTGGTGATACTTAAAATGCTTAAATGCTTTATGTATGTACGTATATGTACATAAACCATGTATGTAAAATTGTGACGATTCGTCACTACTGACAAGACTTGTAAGAGTTGAAGGCATTCATTGAATTGACCATTGAACGGGGTTGTAACTCACATCAGAGCAATTAGTCATCCACTTTCTTCTCTGCTGCTGATTATTAACTAACTAAACAGCACAACAAATAATAAGTGACACAGTCAGCCTGTTAAATGCAGAGTAAACTTGTGCATAACTAAATAACTACGTACAACTTGCACAAGCGTACGTATTAACTGAATTTAGTTGACTAATCATCCATCCATTTCCCATCGCTCGATAAATTCGTAGTAAATAAGTGATAAATATATCTTGAAGGCTTCTTTTATCTATCAATTTGGTTAAGTTAAGTGATAAGACAAGACAACATACTTGGGCGGACAGATTTTATATCATTATAATTATCAAGTGGAGACGACGAAGGGCGTTAGCATTTAGCAGCTTGTTATTTCAGTGGTGGTGCGTGTTTTTAGAAAATATAGTGAATAAAATTCGAAAATTTGTATTTAGAGATTTCTGCCTGTTTTAAAGCATTGTCAAAAGTTTAATGTGTAAACTTTCACTTTGTTCCAGACCCTGATTGATTTATACAAATTGTGTAAACGGCGTTGAACGGTGCAAAAATGGTGGATCGATTAGGTACGTAAATAGATTAAACTTTACATATTTTCTGCAAATGTATTGAAAGATATTTAAATGGTGAATTTTTCTCCTTCAAATAGTAAATAGTGAAGCAAACTCTAGGAGGATATTAGCTGTTGAGAGCTGTTTCGGCAGTTCGGGCCAGGTAAATATTTTTTTTGTAAAGTGTTACATGAAAATTATGACGAATTTTATAATTACGTTGCTAATTACGTCAATTTTAGCCACTTTCCGTCCCAGGAAGAGTACTTGTGGGTGAAGGAATACTTACCAAAATGTGTAGGAAAAAGGTAATGGCGATACTAAAATAATATTAACAAAGTTTTTATTTCATATGAATAATGTGTATGAATATTGATTTATTGTTTTAGCCAAAGCCGAGACAATTTTTCCTATTTAACGACATCTTAGTTTATGGGAACATTGTAATTAATAAAACAAAGGTAATTAAATATCAGATTCTTTATAATCACAATTTTGGAAAAATTCATTAAACCCCTGAATTTTAATTTTTTCTAGTATAATAAACAACACATTATTCCTCTCGAGCAAGTAAAACTGCAATCTTTGGATGATGACGGTTGTAAGTAGTACATTACACATTTACATGATTCATTCATTTCTAAAATCCAGTAAACAACTCGCTTTAATTAACTCACTTGATCATTTTTAGTACTAAAAAATGGCTGGATTTTACGCACTGCGACTAAAAGTTTTGCCGTCTATGCTGCCACTCCCACTGAAAAATCCGAATGGATGGCGCACATTCAACGCTGCGTTAGTGACTTGCTAAAGAAAAGTGGGAAGAAGGCGATTGAAACGCATGCCGCAGTTTGGGTACAGTAAAATTGAAATAATTTACATAATTTACTCTATCCTGAGACGAATTATAGCGTTGAATGTTTGGTGTCAAAATGCAGGTGCCAGACTCTGACGCTCCCACCTGCCAGATTTGCAGGACCCAGTTCACCCTCCTTAATAGAAGGGTAATTTATACATACTATTTAAATTCGCCACATTTTTTACAGAAAAATCTTCACTTTTTCTCAAGAAACATCCTAATTTTCCTCCTAATTATCATTGCAGCACCACTGTCGAAAGTGTGGAAACGTAGTTTGTGGTTCATGTTCCAAGGGACGCCATCTTCTCCCCTCTCAGTCCAAAAAGCCACTCCGCGTTTGCGACCCATGTGCCGAAATATTGACCGGAAAGAGAGGCAGTGTCAACAATCAGTGTCAAAACGACTCTTCCGGAGAGGACGATTCTGACGATGAGGAAGAAAACCCCTCATGGAACTCGGCCCCACCACAATTCTATCATGGAAATCATAAAATCTAAACTGGACTAATTTGTGAATGTGCATCCGCATCGTAGCGTGACTATTTACATATATTTGTGTATGTATAAAATAATATGCACATATTTCGTGCTATTGTTTGTGTTGGACAATAATTCTGTAAAGTTACCTGCTGTACTTTTTTGTATCATCAACCTGTCAAACAAATTGGGCTTCTTCAGATCCTCTCTACATATTGTACGTGGAACCGTTTTGTATTCAATTACTTGGACAGAACTGAAAAATAAAATGTGAGTGAAAGTGCTTAATAACAGAGTGAAAGTTAAGTAAAAGTAAATAGGAAGTTTTGCTAATCGTGTGTGTGACAATATTCTTATCACAATAATTAATTATGCGTATCTACATATTTCGTTGAAGAGTTCAAAGTTTAAAAGAATTCACGTTTTCTAACATTTGCATACATATAAATATACATAAAATGACGTAAAAAAAGAAGAGACCAAACCTGACTTGCTAATAATTCGTGTTTAAACAAAACAAAATTTACCTGCTCAATAGTGCCTAAAAAAATACGACAAATGACAACTACATACATACATGCGACCACCCACCAACACCACGTTTCAAAGATGCCGATAATCTAAATATTTAATAGTTCGTATGTACAGAATTAGCATTAAGTAAATAAGTAATGTATGCATAATATAAAAAATGGTCTGAATTTTGAAAAGTCTTCTCTTGGATAGTCGACAGTAACGGAATGTCTTGAAAAGTCTGATAGGTTTACATACATACACAATTATATTAAATATATGTAGCTTCTGATTGTTATTGCTAAAAAATGTTACTAATGCTATAAAATTATTTCTTGCCCGGATTGTTACTGCACAAACTTTTAGTCTAATTTTGAAATGAACCAACAAGTTTTGCTATAACTTGGACCAATAATAATTAAGAATGGTCTCAAACTTATGGACGTTTCGCATATTTCTGTTTGTTCATCAAATGAAATAAACTACTAAAATTTCGAAAATGTTAACATTTTAAAATTCTTTTTTAATTCGTCTCATATTTTCTTCATTATTATCGTAAAAAAACATTAACATTTTGCACTCCACATTATTCTCAGGTACTAATCAATACATTAATAGAAGAGTATTTGCCTTATCATTATAAAATATATGTCTCGATTCCTCCCATCTTTTCGATAACGTTTTCTAAACACCCCTCAGTAAAACAGTCCTTGTACCCCTCAATCTTCAAATAGGTGAGACACATTGAATCACAAATTGCATGTAAGGATAAATCTGTCATGAATCCGTGTGCAGTTTCCTGAAAAAACCAGTTCAAGCTAGAAACATTTAAGACTAAATTTGCATTAATGCTTAAATTATTTTAACACACGTAATAAATACAGTCACAATTTTTTAAGATCAATCTCCCAATCGTCGGACATCTCGTGATTCCTAAAATTATCCCGAAATCTGTTATGTGGCCGAGTTCAAGTTCGAGTATTTTCAGACCTGCCATGAATTATAAATATACAAGTCAAGTAAAAATTCTGTCATTAAAAAATTGTATTTAATTACTAACGCTTCATCCCTCCGATCCACGGATGTGTCCTCAAGTGATCGATATCCTTGTCATCAATAGCATCCAGGACTTCCTCCTCCAATCTAAACTCTGGAATTCCACACAATCCCGAGTCAATCGGAAGGGAACTGACGCCATAGAATTTGTGAAAACAGACTCGAAGCTCCATCAAGTTTGAAAGATGAATAAAAACGAGTCGCAATATCGAATTGTCAATCTGCATTGGTAAAGAAATATGTTATGCAATGTTTAATTATAAAATTTTAACAGAAAAATAATTACATTATTCATTTTGAGCGATCTCAGAGCGTAGAAATGTGAATAAATCATGGTTAAAGTCGCCGGAACGTATTTTCCTTTCGAGTCATAAATCTCCAAATCATTCAAACCCTGATTTAACTTTAGTCCCTTCACGGAACACGTGCACAGCGGAAGCTGGTCCTCCTCGTCGGGCAAACTCATCACAAACAGTTCCAAATTTCTCGCCGTACTCGTCATCAAGGGTCCCTCATACCCAATCAGGCTCAACTTGGTCAAGTTATCTAACGGTTGGATCGGATGGAATTGCGCCGCCGTGACCCCGTCGGTAAAAGTTAATGTAAGCTCTCGCAGAGTGTCCTTCAACTTGGCCAAGAATCCGTTCAAGTCGTGACTCTCGAGCGAATTTGTAAGCACGAGATGCACATATTTCAGGGGAAAATGCTTCCCCGAGAGAATCTTCACCTCGGGTGGGGTCACGGACAAGTGATTTATGTGGAGATAGGTCACCCTCGGGTGTATTAAAGCCTCTGAAGTTATCAAATTGAAAAAAGTTCGAGCCCTCTGTTCCAAAAAAGGGGCGAAAAATAACCTTTCCAAAGTTTCCTGTGGGGCGAGCAATATTTGAAAAATGTTTTCCATCCAAATTCTTTGATGGTGGCGAGACTCCAAATCATAACTTGAGTCGTAAATAAATAGAAATTTCAATTTTGAAAATATTTCCGGATTGTCGCCCAACAATGTGGATTGTTCCGTTAAGAAGGACGCCTTCCCGTTGAGACAGAGTTCTTCGAGAGAGGTCAGTTTCGAGAAGACGGCTTCCGCCCAAGTCGTCGAGTACTCGGAATGGTAGGAAAGGTCGAGGGATTTTATCCCGGTGCAGAATTTCGTAAAGAAATTGACCACGGGGATGCTTTCCAGGTCGACTTCGTTGCTGATGTCGAATGTGTTGCAGAATTGGGGGAGATTTGTCAGGGAGAGGAGTTGGGTGAATTGGTGGACGGATTTGAAACTGATTTTGCATCTCTTGAGCAGAAATGGGGTCGCCTCAAAACACCACGAAGTGCATATGAGACGACATTTCTTCAAGTTATAGACGGACAAGTGGTCGAAAATTTTTTCTAAAATCTGAACACATTTACATTATAAATTAACAACTTTTTTTGCAATGAAAATGTATGAATAAACTTACATATGGGATGTCCAACGGATTTAATTCCGGACACTGATAAAAGCTTTGACTCATTATTATCTATGTATAATTTCAATTATTTACGTATTTATAGGAATACTTTTCCATCAATAAATTACGATTCAACAAATAAACTGTGTTTTTTTATTTCTCTGAAACAGTGCCAACTTTGGAAATGATACGACGAGTCACAATATTTTCAGTGGAGAAAACTATGCAAATTCAGTTTCGTACAAGTTCGTAAACTAATTTTAGAATGACTCGCTCGTACTCTGATACTTTGCTGCTGTCTTTTCTGTTCACTCTGTTTGCAGAAATGGGACGTCAATGATGTGTGTCAAAGTGTGATTTATTCATCAAAATGGTAAAAACCGCAAGATAAATAATATGGAAAAGATGTGCGAATTTTGTTGTCTACCAAATGCCCTCAATTCAGACACACACACGCCAAATAATCTTGTTCATTTTATGATGCTGAGAACAATGCATTTTTGTTATGAGTTATGATTTTCTTTGACAAATCAGAATGTACTAAATACAATTCCATTCATAAATGTAGGGTTGATTATTGGGCTACCTTTATTTTCAGGATTTCATTTCCATATATCACATACTATTTACAAGTTTATCATTACTTTTGCACAAAATTGTCATCCAATTGAGATCAATCTGTGATCTTTTTATTTACATTTTTTCAATGAATTTCCCACTTTCGGCGTCGTCATCGACCAGATTTTCATTTTTTGCCACGAGGAAGGATTCGTCCACACGTCGGACAGTAGCATTCGCATAAAGACGCGGTGCCACAAGCCCGTTTCCGGTACTCGTCCTTTTCTTCAACGCTCAGTTTTCTCCAACAGGCCCCCGCTCGTTTGGAGATTTCCGTCATTTTTATCCCCTTCTGCTTAACAATGAGACGCTGGAAGTGACAAGAGAAAAATATGGCTATGCAAATTATGGTGTCAAAGGTGGCAATATTTTATTTTTGCATACGTCTTTCACTTCAATCCAGAAGAGCAAGTAAGGGTTCCTGGGGGTGCGTTTCGCGGCGCTTCTTTTGCCCTTCTTTGGCTTCGCCATTGTGGATGCGCAAATGAAAATGTGAAATGTGGTTTGTCGAAAATTTCAAAAATTATGGAAAGTGTTCAAGTTTGTTGATATTTTATTTAGCAAGCAAGGTGAAGTACGTTGTTTAGGAAATAAAACATTTTTTTATAGTCTACTGTTGACTGTGATTAATTAATTAATTGCTACCAAAAAGCAGTGGTGGTCTGATGTGATTATGTGAGTGATATGATTTAATTTACAGAGTTTTATGAAAATATTTGCATACATTCTAAATACACTTTTGTTGATCTGTAAGAATATGATATGAAGATGTAGCTGCATAAAAGACATTTTCTGTTATTAAAGAATTTAGCATTACACTTATTTTTTAATACACTAATTGTAAGACCAGCATCCCTACAACTCTTCTAATGACACAGTAGTAGCGATAGAAGAACATGAGATGGGTATGGTGACTTATTGACCGTCGTGTTCTTGACATCACTCCCAATCTCGTCCCCGCAACCTTGAAACAATTCCTTCCATGAAATCTTGTGGAGACTGAGGGAACATCTCGCCGTGGGAAATGTGTTGCACCCCTGCCCCAAAATTGGCACCCAGCACAACCAGTTCGACGCAGCGGCCGCCGCACACTTTCGACATTGACATCCGTCCTCGTGTTTTTCCAGCTCCATCGGCATAATGACAACCTCCGAGTAGTGATCTAAATTCGAATATCTTTATTACGGCCGAAATTAATTATGCAAATGTATCATTTCTTAATTATTTACGGTGGCAGTGATTCTTGCTGCAAGGATTCACGTTATAAATGCTCCTCTTCACGTCCCCCTTGTCGAGTGGAAAGGTCATCACGTTGACCTTTGGGGTGGTCCAGTAGCCGCAGACGAGGTCATTCTCCACAAGACTGTTGGACATCAACGAGGCCGGATCCGTATATGAGATCCACTTGATCGAAAGAAGGCTCACAGAGGACAACAGCTTCGACATGTTTTTCCCATTGATTCCTGAATTTTTGACCTCGTGAAGGGCAATGGTTTGATTCGTCTTGCCGGAATAGAGCCGCTTCGCGAGGAGATGGGTGTGCAAGGTATTGATGACTTTGACTTCGTCGCCTTAAAAATCAAGATTTGATTTAGAATCAGAAAGTCATTTTTAGGCTAAAAGTACTGAAAAGTCAATTTATGTACCGTAGTCGCCTCGGATGACCAATTTTTCTCCAGGGTTTGACGACGGGCCGGCTGACGACACTTGGACGACGATGTGAACCTTGTCCCGCTTGTCGCGAAAGAAGGCTTCCCTAACTTGCAGATGAGGCACGGGTTTCAGGGCGTCGGACTTGTGCATTTCGTGCACGGGGGTGACCCGTTCGACATTTTTGAGGGGGCACTCTTGCCCTTTGATGAGAACCCCGATGGGATTGGTGCCGCTGGAATAGACGATCGTGCCGATTAACGGGATGAGAATTCCGATTCCTAGAATGGTCAGAGTTGAGGGACCTTGCTCGAACTTCGACTTGACCCAAGTGAAACATTGCGAGGGAAGACAGCAGGTGTCGTAAGGGTTATCGTCGTCGTCGTCATGATCGGGCTCTAAATCAAGCATTGTGTGGACGAGTGTGTGACTTATGTACAGTTTTCACAGTTTTTTAAGGAAGTTGCAAGTACATGCATGAAAAGTGAGATAGATGAGTTGGAAAAATTGTTTTACTTTTCGCCCTATGAAAAATGACTTTGTATTTTATTCTTTGTTACACTTATCAGATGTCTTAGTTACCATTTCCGCGGTCATCATTATACTGAAGGCTAATCATGTCTTGGGTAGGCGTTGGGTAACTTTGCAAATTTTGACACGAGGGATATGGAACATGATATGAAAATATGCCATGTGTGTGACATGTTTTTATTTATCTATATGGATCTGAGAATGCATCAAAAATTACTAATATATGTATCGGTTGAATAAAGCCAAGACCAGTTTTAAATCACACCTTTTTCGGTGGTTTAAGATGTTACTTACATACTTATTGTAATATGTTGTATTTACATCTTGTGCAATTTTTAAAGATTTTTTTTACCAAATCATTCTTTCATCCTGTTCAGAAATAGATTTTTTGCAAATTTATTCAATAAGATGGGAATCATGACCAGATCACAACGGGAATCTGAGACAACAAACAATTCAAAGAATGTGTACATGCCTCCTGGCTACTCTTGAAAAGAATATGACAATGACATTGCCACACAATGAAATATTTATTAATCCGTCAATTTACTGTTATTTTCAATCTAAATCCCACTTCCGCTTCGCTTCCTCCTATATAAACGCCTTGATTTTCGCATTCTCGTTTTCATTTACAATACGAATCGTACATTTCTCACATAAATAAGTATTTGGCTTGAGCTGTTGATTTTGAACAACATTTAAAAACTGTTGCAAAAATATGTCGACCTCATATTTTATGGTTATCATTCTCACATTGTTGATCATTTATTATACAAATCATGCCAAGGTAAATTCTCTCCCACCCTTTCATATAAAATTTTTGAAAAATTACAAATTTTCATACATGTAAAATTATTTAGGGTTCAACGCTAAAAACATCTAATCCAGTTGGACACCACGGACTGAGATTTACTAAACCACACAAAATTCAAACAGCAACGATAAGAACAACACCATCAAATATCCATAACAAAACCACACCTTCCGAGACTACGACATCGGCCTACACCAAAATCCACGTCCCTGCTCGTGACAGGGGAGGAAAACGGATAAGTTGCTGGACTGATCAGAAGTGCTTGGACGACTGTAAAACGCTCGGATTTAAAGTGGGATCAATACATTCATGTAAAAAGTGTCAGTGCGATTATTAGCGAATAAAATACATGATAAGACATTTGACAGATTATACCAAATGTGTTATATCACATAAATTTATTATGGGATGTTATTTGTCGAAAATTTGCAAAAAATGTCACCATCATCATCAATCACCCCATATCAGGGCTATTGTTAGGTTGCATAAGCCTATTAGTTATCAAGTACTTTTCATATTACGTTACGTCGACCGACTGTCACTGATAACGAACAATTACGCGGAATTTGCTAATTTTGGGTGGCAACTAATTAAATAAATTATAAAGAACTTGAAATGATGCATTCAGTGGTGCAGTCGAGGTCAAGCTCAACAGTTGAATTATTTTGTCACTTTTTGGCAGATTGTTTCAAACGATAACTGAAATAATGGCTATACTTCCGTCTCTTCTTCTTATCGTTACGATGATTGGGTTCTGCGCCGGAGCCCCGGATTTTATTTTGGAGGGTCACCAGCGCACAAACTGGGGAACCTGGGGAGGTATTAATATTATTCCATTTCCCAATTTTAATCAAATTAATCAAGCAAATTACACCAAAAACTAGACATGGCGACCTGTGCCCCGGGTTCGTACGTGTACGGATTTCGACTGAAGGTCCATTCAGACCAAGGATTTTTTGGGGATGATAGCGCCCTCAACGGTATCGAACTTTTGTGCATCAGCCCCACGGCCAAACGCCCAGCGAGAAACGCGTCCATGACAGAATTTAGCACGATTACGTCGCTCGTTGGTCATCATGGATCTATGACAGGTTTACAAGAGTGTCCCGATCCCGGATTTGCTGTAGGATATGAGCTCAGGTCGGAAGGGGATCAAGGTTTTGCAGTGGATGACACGGCTGCTAACAATTTAAAAATTCATTGCTCAGGTTTGGGAATTTTGGAAGGAGCTGGGCAGGGTTGGGGTCAGTGTTTTTGAGATTTTGGTGTTGATAAGCATCTTGTGATAAAGTATTGTATATGCATGAATTTATAATTATGTAGGAGATTGGACTGGGGCGCTGACTTGTCCACGAGGGCTTAAGATCTGTGGAATTCAGACGCAAGTTGAAGGGCCAAGTAAGTTGGAAATTTTTTTTCTTGTACGCAAGGTTTGTATTATTACTTATTGGTTTGACTAACTCCCCCTTTGTAGATAGCGACGATACCACCCTGAACAATGTGAACATGGGATGCTGCGTTTAGTAAAATGGAGAAAGACGAATAGGTTTACGAAACTGAAGATAATTCTTTATGCTATTCTGATTTCGATTTACTGTATTTTCGCCAAAATATTAAAATAAATATTTACGAAGCATGCTTTAGTACGAGATTACGACTAAAAGAATAAGCCCGAGTGCTTTATTAATCCATACTTGCATTTGTCAAGATTTGATTCAACTTGTCACCATATTGTTCCCAATTTGGATATATGATTACCGAATGGCGATAAAATTCAGTGAAAACAGGGGTATGGCCCTGTACATATAAATGTGAGTACATCTCGACAATGCAAGTCCAAATTGTGTACAAATGGGAAACCACAAAGTTATGAGAAATATACCTAAAATCAATTTTTTGCTACTAAAATAAGTATAATTTGCATGCATGATTTAATAAAATTGAGAAGAGAAAGCAGCTGAAATTCGGTTACTAAAAATATTTAAAACCTCAAATCATTCCCATCGTTTAGTTTTTGGGAACAATTATAACAATTAAAATTAAATTAAATTAACTGACTAATCATAATTTATGGAGTGTGATTTGGAACAAAATTTTGAATGCGATGCGAGGTGAAAGTTTAGAACAGGAAACTAATTTTAATTAATTATGGAAAAGCAGAACGCCGTTTAGTAGATTTTGCAAGATTTTGTGCTGCTCAAGCAAAATTCTCGACATGAAGTATCATCAGTCACTCTTTACTCGTGCAAGAGTGATGAATGATTCGTTTGCTGTGCATATGTGAACTTATCTGCGATTTCAGTTCACTCGCGGAATTCTAAATCTCCTCGTTCGAGTTCAGTTAGTTAGTTTAGTTCCTGCTGCTGCCGAACATAAATAAAAGTAGTCACAGCAGTTTTGTACTTTTATTCCGGTTTCAATTGAAACGTTTGATTCCTTCATTCACAACGTTTTTTATACGATTTATTTTTTCTCCTAGTTGATATTTGAGATTGGATGCAAGTGAATCGCATTGTTTAAATTTGGAATCTGAGTGAAAATAGTTAATCAGAGGTAACATATTTTTTAAGAAATTTGATAAGTGTGATAATTTAATAATAATTTATTTGATGTGTTGGTTTTTTTAGGTGACAGCGTGTGGTGGCGAATAGTATCCGGTACTGTTGGATTTTTTCGTGGCGCAGCGTGAAATTAATTGATGGTAAGTTTTCAATTTTTTCCTTCCTTTACAATCGCATCCTTTCAATAATGTAGGGTCGGGAATAATATTGACAAAATGGAACCTAAATCCCTTGTAATTTGGCATGATTTTAATGAGCCAAATTCATAAACAAAGTTAATTATGAGCCACAACTGACACCTGTTTCATGTCATGTCACATTCCAAAGTTGGACAATTACAAATTATCGATTAAAGCGTGTAACATTTAAGATTTTGTAAACATGGTCCCCTCAAAGAAATGCGTAGTCAGCAGCCATTAAAAAAGTTTATTTAGGTTTATATCATGTTACAACGTCTCTGCACAATAAGTTGTAAGTCATGAATAATCTGCCATCTCCATTGTAATTATAACAATATAATTAATTGTTCTCTCTCTCTGCTTCATAAAATTGATAGACTGCTGCATATTATGCACCATGTTATTCATCTCAATGCTATTTATCCCATTATCATGTTAAACTTGCATAATGCAAATGGTCTAAACAAATCGAAGGGCAGAATGAAATCGAAATACTTGTGTACTGTGTACGTCAACAACGCCACGAGCAAATCGACGTTTCATTAAATATTGTATGTTTATACTTTACTATAACATAACTCAAAACAATTCATCCTTGGGAAAATGCAGTTTTAGTCAAAGTCGAACAATGTACTGCTGAACACGTTGTATGTATTTTATGGTGGGTACAAAAAGTCAAAGTCTTTGTCTTCCTAAAAGTTTAAAAGCCAATCGATCGTTTTCTTCTGTTTCAATCAGCCAGTCATCCATTTTGTATGTAAGTTATTGAACTTTAATTTTGCAATAGTAGTTCATTCGTTCTTTTGCTCGTGGTATATATAATTAACAGGTAGGACAACTCCAATTTTAAACCAGTACAGATAAACTGTTTAAAAATTTAAGGTAGAAAAAAATTGGGACGAGGAGAGAGACTTTTTGACGTTTGCTCGTTTATTTTTATGGAGACGGTTGTAATTTGGCCACTTTTTAGGTTCATATTTCTGGGCTTTATAGTGAGTTCATGTTTCAATATGTATCCACAGTCCAAAAGAAAAATCCAATTTTATTATAATAATAGTGACCAAGTTATAAAACTTTTTGTAGAATATGGGTCATAAATTAATAATTGAGCTTCTTAATTTTCATAAATACTGACGAAGGTTAAGTACAGACGTCATATTTATTTATATATGATTGGATTCCTTCGGGCCGGAATTATTATTATTGACCGACTACGACTAAGGTCTTTTCATCAACAGGTTGACTTGACATTCCTCTCTCCTTTGACGTATTATTACAGCAAGTAAAGTACATATATACGTTCAACCGAAAGCTATTTAAACTTTATATAACATTTCAACTAAATCAAACATTAATGAAAAGTCGGGCAAATCATAATTTCTATAATCCAAAGCGAAATTGTATTTATTATTTATTACGTACACACATACGAATCCATCCACTTCATAACGCCGGAAATTCGGTGAAATCAAATAATCTAAATCCACGTCAGCTATATATTTCGTGCCCGGATCGATACATCGAAAGTCCACGTAGGATGGAAAATGTTTGAGTTTAAGTTGGCGATGCTATGCGACACGGGCGGCTTAATATGTCGACCAGGTAGCAAAACTGGAACTGAACTTTCTCCTGCTTTCTCTCCTCTATCCTCTCTGATTTCGTCTATTTGTAGTTCTCAAGAGTTGTTGTCGTCTCATTATTTCTGCCACTTGTGTCTCATTTCTCGTGTGGGCGAAGAGGGGGACAGGAATTCTATACTTTTAATACTTACTTCTTTTGTAACCTAATAAGGTTGACCTTCGACCATTTCTTGATACATATAATATGTGTCACAACAAGTGTAATCATTAGATTTGCCAGGTTCTAATTTCACACTATATAGGACATGAAAACGAATCACATTTTTTTCTTCGTTTCCCTTTTTATCACTAAAGTTGAGCTACCTACACATTGTGTAGAGAAAAAGTAATTTATATTCTTATTATTGCTGAGCACACTCCAATCACCAGTAGAGAGTTTTATGGTTTGATGGGTAAGTAAGTTGATTTAGCGACAGGATATTATAATAGCATACCACGTAGCCTGGTTTTTTAGAGAAAGCTTTCACCCAGTTTTCCAGTATGCATTTCCATGTATTCATTCGTTTCGTATTGTGGCGTGGTTCCAGTATATATAATTTCTATCGACATGTGCGCTGGTGTGGTGGCGTGTCGTGTTGTTGACTATGGCTATTATAGCGTGACAACGTTTGTTTGGTTTAGTAGGAATTTTATAGTTATTACAATTTTTAATAGAAAAGTTTTTTTCCTTTGTGAAGGACACACAGCTATTAGTTTGAAAGCATAGAATAATTTAGGCAAGATACATGCATAAATAAATTCTGTGTTAAATGCTTATTTTCCCGTGTTCGTGTATGTCCTCCTGCCTGCTGATAAATCTGGTGATAAATAATTTCTGTAAATTACTTTTTTTTCCAGACTTTTTGAGAACCTAAATGAAAGTGAAACTCGGTAATATTCTCAAAATGAAGACTTCAGTAGTGCCAAATAATAATTCGGGGAAAGCCTCCACGACAAGTAAATCGAGTAATAAGGAAGCCACAAAGTTGGTGGAGAAGGAGTTGGAAGAGGTGAACAAGCAATTGAAAGGGATGTCTGTCGGGTCGGCGAATGGGAGCAAGAAATCTAAATTTTTGAAAGAGGGGGCTAACGAGCTAAATCTTTGGGAACAGAAGGTTTCACTGATGGTAAACTTTATGAACTGGGCCTAATTTGCATATGCTTAATCATTTTATAAATTATTAGCTCAAATTGAAACAATGGATTAACGTGACTGAAGAGGGATACAAAGTTTTAGGAAAGAAGGGACCCAGCATAATTATTTACAAATGTGTGCTGGTCAGTTTGTGTAGATTAGGGAAGGTGAGTAGTAAATTCTTGAGTTTGTTCTTTCTTTCGTATGTCATGGTATATGCATGCATTTTTCTTGTGTTTAGTTTGACGATGTCGTCGAATTACTCGAACAATGGAAACGGACGGCTCCATCGGATATCATGTTGGAAACGAAGCAGAAAATGGAGGGTTACTTAACAGCGATCAGATCTGGGGTGGATGTGACCAAGCTACTTTTAAATATAGAGGATGTTATTAAAGTTTATGATTCTGGGCTTTATTCGTCGTCTTCTTTTTCGGGAGCGACAAACTCGTTGGAGCCGAATTGGAAGTATGTTATGTTAATTTAATTTAGTTTAATGGCGATTAACCCAAGTGTACTTTGTCTGTCCAGGCATCGACCACCTCCACAGCGTCACAATACATTTTCCATGTGCCCTCGCTTATCTTCTGGGACGGACTGTCTGTACGGGAATGAATGCTTATCTGCACATTCAAAAGAGGAAATGAAGGAGTGGCAGCAACGAATTACGTGGAAGAGCAAACTATTAGCTAATGGTGGTAGTAGTAATTGTGATGGAGGGGCAACTAATTTAGCAAATAACGCTGTCTCTTCAATATCTTCTGGGGTGTCCTCCTCAGCTCTACAAAAGTCTAGCATTCCAAAGGATCAAATTCCACCCGCGTACCGTAACCTGCCACCCGCCTGCATGTATTATCTCGCCAGTTTGGCTAAAAAAGTGCAAGAGACAAAGAATTTAAAAACTATATTCGTCGATGCTTTACCTGATGTTAAAATAAAGTGAGTATAGGATTTTTTTCGATGTGTTGAACAGCAAAATTAATTTAAATTAATGTATGCTTTACAGATTATCAACTGCTGCGTCAATCGTCAAACGTTTAGGATGTCGACCCGTCGTGAGTAGTCACAAGTGGTCCTTCATGATCGCTTCGAAGCGACCGCTAGCTACCGTTACTTTATTACATGATGAAACTAGGGATCGTTTCGCAATTATTGTAAGTAAAATTTTGTGGAAGTATTTTTTTAAATAAATTGTAACATAAATTTTTTCCAGGGTGCATTTTTCTTTAACTCGAAACGTGCCACGTTGGATTTAGTAGATTTACACCCAAACAACAAGAGCCAGAAGGTTTGTAAAGTAAATTTGCATTTAAAGTTGAATTATTCGACGCAAGTTTTCTTACCAATATATAATTTTTTTAGGGCATCCAAGTATTAAACACATTTATTCGCCCCGAGATATTTATTCCTTTTAACGGTTCTTGGCCTGATTGGTGTTGCTATCAGATCGACGTAATGTTCGAAACAGGAAGCCAGTTGCCCGGAAAATTTGAACAAGATGTAGTATTTGACTTTAAAAATGATCCAAAAATTAGTAAAAGGGTCGGCATTACTTTAGAACCCCCAATAATTCAGCAGCAGCAACAGCAACAACCCCCCAATAAAATTGAACCTCTTGTTCCCGTTTGTGTGAAACCTGCCAAATTGAAGCCAAACATCAGTATTTCTAGTTCCAGCTCGGAGGACGCACTGGAGAGGGTTAGAGACACCGTCTCCCTCAATATTCCTCCCTTGCAAAGCAATAACATTGACACTAACACTACTCCCACAATTTCAAGATCAAATCCAAATTCATCCATCGAATCTGGCTCCTTGTCGCAATCTGTGTCTGACTGTGAGGACAATTTTGATGACGATTTCAGCCGAACAAGTAGTAGCAACGTTAACAATTTTAATGTGACGGACCCATCTCTGTTAAAAAGTGACGGAAAAGTGGGGGCGATGGAGAACTTGAAGGACAAAGTATTTAATTCTCAGCAAGGAAACAAGTCACGTTTCGAAGAGGTTGACTCTGTTGCTGGACTTTTAGTGCGACAATGGGTCAATGGGACGGAGACGAGTTACAACCAACTACTTGACGATTTGGAGGAAGAACAGTTGACGAGAGAGAATTACGTTTCTTGGATGAGTGAGTTAATTAATTATTTAATTTGATTTCGTTCTTCCTTGCATTTATTTATGTCTATTTCCTGTTTAGATCGATTTATCCAGTGTGAGATAAAAGCTCGGGAGCAGGAGTTGTTAAGACTTAGCGTGAAGTCCGAAATTCATATTTTTACTGGGACCAATATTGGCGTGGATATGAGTACTTCACTTTCCGTGGGGCTGTTTGGAAAACTGTTTTTAGCAAAGTATGAATATTTCATTTTAGGATGATGATTATAATTCTACAATTCTTATGAGTGGAGTGCATATTTTATTTCAGAGATATGAACGAGGATTCAAAAATTGGGCGTTTAATATTCAATAATTGCCGGTCCATTTCAGTCGGCGAGGTGGAAGGGTCCATCATATCTAAACCGAGAACTTACGTGTGTCGCGTAATTAACAAAACTGACCGAGCAATAATTCTACTCATTGGAAGAACGGCTGTAGAAGAATTGAAACTTTCTCCCGGAACGATTAGGAAACTTGACATTTGGTTGCATTTGGATCACACATATTTAGACCTCTTGAAGGCTATTTTACAAGGAGTTACGGATCATCATCTTAAACTATTATTTCCCGTTTTTTCCCAAAATCAGCAACTTTGGGATTTTAATTCGTTAGTGAGTGATAGCGCTTTGTAAGTTGTACAACTAGTAGGACTCCAAATTAGTTTATACATTCAAGGGATCAATATAATAAATATTTCTTTCTTCACAGATCGAGATACGAACAAGACGACACTTTAAATAGTAAACAACGTGACGCTATTCAAGCCATTTTAAGTGCACCAAGCAAAGATAGTACTTCTCTGTCGAATACGGCAGAAATTCCTATTCTTATCTCGGGTCCACCCTCGTCAGGAAAATCGCAACTATTAGCTCGTAGCATTTTGTCGATTTTTAACCCTCAGAAATCTTCACAATTTCAGTCTCTGAGTAGAATTTTAATTTGCACCCACACCAATAAGGCTGCAGACGAGTGCGTTGGTTTTAACATTTCCTCCATCAGCTTTGATTTATAATGGAACTCTTAAATTACACACATATTTTTCGACTTGTAACAGGTTCATCACTGGGCCCTTCAGCTCTTGGTTGTCACAATCGAGTAGATCAGAGTCTGTTTTGCTTAGAATTTATCACGCTGACCAAATGGCACTTAACGTTAGTTCTGCCGTTAAGAAGGTAATCAATTTTTCTAAGATAATTTAGCCTTGTACACATTTAAATCTTTCCGAAAATTGTAGCACTGCTTACTAGTAAATGATGAAACAAGTTTTCGATACCCGACTCTGGACGAGTTGCTCTCTTACAAAGTTATCATCGTAACGGTCTCAACCTGTCTGGAACTTTTGCAGTTAGGTCTCCCCGATTGTAAGCGACGCAGTTATCTATTGATATACAAGACCTTAATTTCAAAACTTTAAAATATATATTTCCGACCTTCAGACATATTTTCACACGTCTTCATTGACGAATGCCACCGTATGATCGAAGTGGAAAGTCTCTGTCCAATTCTACTTGCCGGAAAGGATACGCGAATTGTAATAGCTGGTGATATGAAACTGTTAAACCCAGAAACTTTTACTCTACCAACGCTCAAGTCCAAGTACAAAGAAGTCACCCTTATCGATCGGTTGAATGACTTGTATCCGGCACGCCACCACTTTAGAATTTGTCTCGATGAGGTTTACAATATTAACCAGAACATTGTTCAGGTGAGGACTTTTACTTTAAAATTTTACCAAAATTTATTAAGCCGTTAAATACAAATTTTTTGCAGTTTTTATCCCAAGAATTCTACTCATCAACCGTCAAATGTGCAAAGTCGACCACAATCGACCATCCAAAGTATTATCCTCTCACGTTTAGCATTGTTCGAGGAGGCGAAGAATGCCAACCAGATCATGGCGAAGGGTATGAATTATTAATAAATGAATATATGATTTTAATTATGAAACAACAAATTATTACATTTCTATCATAGGTATTACAGTATGATGGAAATTTACGAAGTCCGAGATCGAATTGCACATATAATTCAGTCGTGGCCACCATCATGGGGGTCTTACAAGGACCATGCGATTGGAGTAATTACTGCGTATCCAGATCAAGCTTTGGCGTTGCGAGTCAAACTAAATTTTGAAGGATTGGGATTTGTGGATGTAGAATCTCTACCCAATGTTTTATGTAAGTAGCTATATACAGTATTCCCTAATTAATTAAAGTACACGTGTAATTTTATTTGAACTGTACTACAATTATTGTGGAATGATATTTAATTTAGCAAAAAAGTACCGGGTCGTAGTAATTTCCCCTGTGAGAACTTTTACGAATGAGGACACCAATAATTTACAATCAGTGAAAGAATCGGATTCTGGAGGTGGATTTTTCATAAACCCAAAAGCAATTTATACAGCGTTGACTAGAGCTCAAGATTTGACAATTGTTGTCGGAGATCTTGTTGCTCTTTGTAACGTCGGGATTTGCAAGTATACAATTTGAAATTTTATTTATCATCAGGTATTTTGGTCAGTTTTATAGAGTTTTGAATTTTATGTTGATTTTATTCAGAGATATTTGGCGACAATATATCAGTATCTGTCGAAAAAATAACTCATTACTTGGGATGCCTGGAGCTTTTTCTTCTCCTACTCACAATAGTACTGAAAAACAACCATTTAAGAAGGAAGGCCATAAAGTCAGCGCTGTCGTTTCACCAATATCAAGACCAACACCTATGTCTATTCCGTCTCAAATCTTGAAAAAATGTGAACTATTCTCGTCATCTCCCAATTTAGACAGGCAGACTACTGACTCCTCCATGCAGCTTAAATCATCATCTGGCGATATTCTCAGCGCAACGGATGATAAATCAGGCTCGTTGCAAAAAATTCGCTCACTTTGGAATACTCCAGAACCACTTGAACCCTTAATACCCCGTAAAACAGTTCCACCTTCGTCGATATCAAACAACAAAAAAGAAGAGACGAATAACTCAGTCTTATCTTACTCTGATATTTGGGGCAATATTCCAACTCCAACTTTGGGGACTGGAAGTCTAGGAAATTTAACTGATCCGTCCTCTTCAATCTGGGGTCCACGTAGTACTTTGATTCCTGGCAATAATAATGTAGGATCATCTAATCAGCGACAACCACAAATTAGCGATGCTCAACAGCTTACTACTCCAACCAGCAGTAGCAATACCAATAACAGTAGTAATAAAAATAGTTTGAAAGGTACTCCTCCTCTTCAAAGTACGTCAAGTTTCTCAAGCTTTGAAGAAGACAATTCTTACAAGAGTCCATTTGAAATGCCAGACGTTCGACTCATGGCGGAAGCGGCTCTCGTTCCGAGATCTCATAGTGGAAATACTCTGGTGTACACGAATCCACCCACCGTAGCTTCAGTATCACCTTACCGAACAGTTTTACAAAACCAAGCATCAGTCCCTCAACCTGTGTCAAATGTGCCAGAATTGCTCAGTTTACGATCCCCATTTTCAAATATTTATCCCAGCCCGAGTCCCCCCTTGTCAAATAATTCAACTCAGTGCTGGTCCGGAACCCCTTCACCGCATGCAGACCTTGCCCATATTATGATGAATAAGCAAATAGTGGCCAACAATATGGCCCACGCCCATCTTCATCATCTCCATAACTATCCTCCTCCTCCCGGATTGAATATGCCAACTCCTACTCAAAGTCACATGTCGAATAGTATTACTCAAAGTCAAGAACCATATTTCAGAGCTACAAGTTTTGAAATCGCTCAAGCAAACTACGCTTACTATCACCACGGTCAACAGCCTCGCCGCCTCGGTTACACTCCACCACCTCGAATGCTCCGCACTTATCGACCACTTGGCCAATTGTTGCATTATGGAAATGAACAGCAGACTGCGACTCCTCCTCCTCCCCCACAAGAATTCAACAACTTTAACAACTCCAATGTCTCCAGATTTGCAAAAGATTCCCCAAAGAATTTCGACTTTTTTAAAGAAATGGAACTAACTCCTCCGAACGTGCCAGTCTGCAATGACAGCTTTTCATCCGCGTCATCATCGTCATCTCAAGATCAAGACAATAGTTTGGAAATTGACCCGGAAAATAAAAAGGCTGCATCAAAGTTCATGCTGAACTCGTCAGAATTTCCAGACCTGACAAAACCAACGAATCTGTCAGCATCCGGAAAGACAGAATCTACAGAATGGATTGAAGTAAAAAGTACTAAAAAAGGGAAAAAGGACCACAACCAACAGCAACAGCAGCAACCGCAGCAGAGACACAAGAAGAAGAAATCGTCCACCGTAATCTCAACCGTGTCCACTTTCCCCTTTGACAGTAAGAACGATGGAAACAAAGTCATGACCGTGTCCGACATGATTGACTCTTTGATTGAGATGGGGTTTACGAAGGGGCAGGCAATCAAAGCTCTACAAATGTGCAATCGTGATCTTGAACGTGCTGTAGAATGGTTGATCCAATACAGCAAAAAAGAATGAGTTATGAGAATGAGAAAGTTTTTAAAGTATTTTTTTATTGTCCTGATTTACTCATCTGTTATATCTATGTTGTGATATTAGATCATTGTAAGATGCATAATTGCACGGGACGAAATTGTTATTGTTCTTAGTTTGTCCCGTGTCCTTCACTGTCATGATCTTTTATTTAGAATTATACTTTCACTACAAATAGTTGTTCGATGTTCATTTACATTATTGACTAAGTATATATATACTACATACATACTTGTATACATATATATTACGTTAAAAATCTTTTATGATTATTATATGACAACTTTACAGGCTCCTCAATAATATTATCCGTTCTATATATATTAACAAATTACATCCACACTGATCCTACATGTTGTTTACTTCTTTATCATTCAACAGATTAAAGTTGTATGTTTGATTGAGGCTGGATCATCCCAGCCTATTTGTGGCGTCCAATCCAATACACGTAAAACTGATCCCATTCATTGAATGCATAAAAAAGCGAGAAAATATGTACTATGGACTTGACACACCACGCCAAATACATAAGCATGTGATAATCGGTCTTGATAAGTAAATAAGCGCACTTAATATTTTCATGGATGCTTTTTGCTCGCACTTTGGACCCGTTTCTTTTTAGGATTTTATCAGTTTTACAATAATTCAAGTGACCATCGAACGTGATATTGCATCTGGAACGAGATTTCATCAGTTTTATGATACTTATTATAAATATAAGTGACCATCGTACATGACACAGCACATCTGCATCTGGAACGAGAAGCATCACAACAATACCACTTAACTTTGCGAAAATGCTCTTATTCACTTTGGCGTTTGTCCTCTTTGTGGTTTGGTTTATCAATGAACACGTTAAACATCGACCACCAGGTAAAATACGTATGAAATCAATCGAGTATTATTTTCGAACATGATCTTTTTTCATGCGCAGGGCCCATCCGGCTTCCCTTCCTGGGAAATATGCTCCAACTCTCGCAAGCCAACCGGAAAGAAGCCTTTACGCACATCATGTTATTTTTTTAATAAATAAATTTTTACTTTGTAAAGCTTGATAAACATTTATGATTGTTAAAACCAGGTTACAAAACTGGTCGAAACAGTATGGGCCCGTTTCCAGCATGAAGTTTGGAATGTTGGATCAAAGTAAAAGATATTTTAAAAAATGCATATTTAATCGCTTATTAGCAAAGATTGCGTATTTCTTAAAAAATAAATAGTACTCGTTGATGACACCACACTGATCAGGGACATCCTTCAATCCGACATCTGGGGGAATCGACCTATAAATGAGTACGTATTGGAGAGGTCTTATGGAAAATCAATGGGTAATTGAATATTCTTAACAATTTCACCATTTTTCATGTATTTACATGTCTAATGAATTGCCATGAATTTTGCAGGCATTTTATGGAGCAGAGGTGATACGAATAAAGAACTCCGCCGATTCAGCCTCCGTACTCTGAGAGATTTCGGTTTGTAAAGTTTACCTGGTTGGTATTACGGTATTATGCAAATATATTTTACTATCATTCTGATTTTTAGGTTTCGGGAAACAAAAGAGCCAAGACGCCGTGATGGAGGAGGAACTGCGTGAATTGATGAGTCGACTTAACTCCAAACTGGAATCGGAGGGGAATACCGTCTGCATGCAACAGTTTTTTAACATTTCAGTCCTCAATATAATTTGGAGCATGGTTGCCGGAGTTCGCTTCAATCACGACGACCCCGAATTTGTCGTCCTTGTCGCCAACCTTAACGCCACGCTGAGATTGGTCACCGCAACGGGAAACATTATGCTAGCTTTTCCATTTTTGAGTTCCATTCTGCCTAAACTGACCGGTTATGGGGAAGTGAGGAAGAAGTGTATTGCGAAATTCCAAGATTTGTTTATGGTAGGAATGAGTATAATGCATACATTTTTATTCATTTACATATTTCAAGGATTCAAGGTCACAATTTTACAACGGTTTTTCATATCACCTTTTAGAATTTGCTAAAAGAACGGAGAGACCTAGGTCATTACAAAGATGATCAATTGGATTACGTCGATGTCTTCATTTCAGAAATTGAGAAGCATAAAAATGACCAACTTTCCTATATTTACACAGGTGCTAATTAATTAATTAGGTACTCAATATTAAATTGTGACAATAATTTTCTAATTATCATATCTTAATATTTGTATCTAGATGAACAATTCGTGACCACAATTTTGGATTTATTTGCTGCTGGGTCCGAGACGACCTCAAACACGTTGGAATTTTCAATTCTACTCATGATTTTACATAAAGATGTGCAAGACAAAGTTAGAGAAGAGGTGGATCGAGTCGTGGGCAAGGAAAAGTTTGCGAATTTTACGGATAAGCAAGAGTATGAAATATATACACGAGCCAATAGAATCAAATGAGAATATAAATTTACTAAAATTTAGCATGCCATATACTGAGGCTACTATTCTCGAAATAATGCGAGTCTCTAGCGTCGTCCCGTTAATTGTTAGAACCAATTCGGAACCTACGACGGTGGGGTCGTACAAACTTCCCAAGGTATCGTCTGAACATTTTATTCAGAAACTTACCTAATATATACATATTTTACTTTATTTTTTTAAATTTCCACAGGAATCATTTGTGATTCTCAACACGTACAGTGCACATCGAGACCCAAAACTCTGGAATAAACCTGATCTCTTTAATCCGGAAAGATTTCTGGAAAATGGAAAAGTTGTAAATGCGGATAAATTGATTCCATTCGGATTGGGTAATTTTTGGCCAATTCTGTTGAATGAAAGGCTGAAATTTTTATAAAAATCTTCATTCTATAGGAAAACGGTATTGTCTCGGAGAAGTACTTGCAAGGGCGACCCTGTTCACCTATTTTGTCACCATGATTCAAAATTATACCTTTTCAAAATCTGAGGATCATCCTCAAACATCCCTGAAGGGTATTCCAGGCCTCACCCTTTCCCCACAAAAGTTTTATGCCGTCATTAAACAGAGAACATAGAAATATTAATCAACTTACGCAAAATAATCTGTCAAATTATGTAACAGTAAAGTTTGTCTACTGAACACGACGTGGTGTTCACATGGACTTGCCAACTAACTCAGTTGAGATTTTTACATGCAAATTATTTATTGGTATGATGACTGTTCAAGCATGTAACACTTTCACTTCCATATTTTGCATCATATCCGCACCACCGTTAGTGTAAACGTTATGTCCGATTTGGTAATGCACAGGCAGGTAAATAACACGCTGGCACTATAAATATGCTCGTAAATCTGCACTCATTAAGTCAGTTGGAAACTTTTAAAATCATACCTATCGTTCAACAAGTCAGTATCTAAGATTATAACATTACAAAGCATGATTTCCTCTAAATTTGCGTTGATCTTCATCCTCCTTAACGTTTTGACCCTGTTTGGCTTAACCGGAGTGACCGAGGCTGTCTTGCTTTCGGGATGGATCTTTCCCAACCCGGCCGAAGTCGTGCTAATCGGAATGTTCTTTCTCGGCGTGAGTATATATAAATGCATACACAAAATTACTAGAAATTTACAAAATTAGTAAAATTCTACAATTTATTCTATGTCCCCAAAGGTTATTGGAGTTCAAATTGCTGCCCATACAGGAATTTTAATGCCTCCGCACAACCCATTCTTTGGGAAACGTAGCATTTCATCGCCACCAAAATGGTTTGAAAGAGGACCACAACCGAGTAGAATGATTACGATCCAAGAGTTCAGAACGATTGAGAGAGGGCTAAAGGTAAGCGAATTTAAATATTTATGCAAGTCAATTACTTTTCATACTTTTTTTCCTTCAGAGCCTGAGACGAATCGATCGGAACGACTGCTTTATAAAATTAGTTTGTGAAATGAACCAAGATCTCGTCACAGGGAAGGAGACGAGTAACTCTAGAACAGCCCAACTTCTCAAAGTTTTTAGGTTCATTTATAACCAGTCACTGTCATGATTTAAAAAGAAACATTGAAATATCATTATTCTTCGCAGGTTACGGGAATTTATGCGTCCTCAGCCCGCACATAAATCAGAAACCATTTGGGACATTTACGAACAAGCTACAAAACCAGAACTGATGAACTGCTCCAAAAAGTACAAGTCTTGCCCATTGTCGCATAAACAATTACAATATGAAGCAAAAGTGGGGGAATCTTTTTAGTTATACAAAACGAGATTTAATTTCTATTCATATTATAAAAGAACAATCTTATAATCATTGTTAGTACGAGCTAATGAAGACAGTAAAATGAATAATACATGAAACTTGAGATTATATCGTGCAAATATTTAGTTCAATTTTTTAAAATAACTAACCAGTAATATTTAGAATATTCGTCAAACATTTAGAAATAAGAAAACAATCAATTAACACCACAACAATTATAATACTCACTTATTGTTTAAGAGGGTAGATTTGCTCATCAGTACTGACATGGCATCTTTCACCGCGTGATAGACAATGTTCTTAATCTGCAATTTGTCTTCATGGTTGATGTGAGTATCGCTCAGATTTCGAAACTCTTCAGTCAATTGGAAGCAATGGCTAACATTTTCGGGAGAAACAAAATCTTCTGCAATTTTAATGCAATTGTAGAGATTCCGCACCTGTGAAGAGGACCGGAAATTGTAAGGAAGTGAAAAAAACACTTAATAATTGGGAAAGAAAGTATAAGAAATACCTGATGAGGAGCCCCAGCAGGTATGAACACTGCGTCACCAGCGCATTGAAGGATTGCAAATCCATCGACATTGTACTCTCGTCGCAAACGGTTTCTCAAATCTGCATCCAGATACATTACTTGATCGTGAATGGGGTCGTGCTTTGGCGCAGGGATGTTGCCTTTTTCGATACATACCTGCCAACACCGATTAACATGATTAGTAAATTTCACGATATTTCTAAATTGATCAAACGTTGAATACTTTGTTTAGAAGATCTCTGATTTTTTCAGCGTCCCAAGGTCTATAAATGTGCCAAAGGGCGCCAGGAAGCTCATTATCCTTGGTCGCTCGATGAATCATCTTTGCGTCACAATCAGACTCCTTTATCGCTTTCTGAATGGCTAGAGATACCAGAAAAGAGAACAAAGAGTTAATATAGTAGAAATATTTGAAATTTGTGTGTCCTTCTCAATTAATAGGGACAAGAAATTTTCACAACTATATGGATTAGACTGGCACAGCTTACACTTTTCATATTCTGGATCCGCATTTTTTGGCTGTCCCACATACACCATACAATTTACAGCATCGGACATGTCCAAATGCAGTACAGTAGTTCCTTTTTCTAAATTTTTGCCGTCGCCATATGCAATATACATTTTCGGCCCGAGGTCTGGCCTGATAAAGAAATTGCTGGGGAGACGCGCCGCCAAGTTGAGTCGTCCCGTCCGATGAGTATACTCTTTCAAGGGCAGAGCTTTCATGAGGTCGTCGAACCGGGTGGGACTAAACTTGGCAAAGTCTTCTGTCGCCGGCCAGTCCTTCAACTTGAGCAGCATTGGTTCTCCAGACTCATCCAACATTCGTTGCTTAACGTCGGAGAAACCTTGCCAGAACTTTTTAATTTTTTGTTTCCGTAGGGTATATCCGGTCAAGCAGTTGACGAGGTCATTCACTTGTTCACCATACTCTTTCAAAAATGATTCCGGCGACCAGAGGTCAGATGACAGTTTATTTCCTACATTTGACACAAGGACGGGTTGACCACGTTTCCAAACTTCCTGGAAAATCTCTCCGTTTTTTTCATGATCCGGATTTTCAAGGCGCAGCAGTGTTCCGGAAACAAGCCACGAGTGTTCCAAGCCGGGGTACTGTTTGATGGTCTCGGTATAACTAAAGACCTTGCGAGCAACACTTTTCTTTTTATAGTATGACTTCCATCGGGATCGGAATTGTTCTGAATCTCCTTCCTCATTTTTACCGTTATTCTCTTCTTGAGCTTTGTTGCTATCTTCATCTGTAGACGATAATCTTGCATTCTGTGAAGTTGCTGTAGCTTCATCAGTCGTGGTTGTGGTACTTGCTTGTCCATTGTCGACAATAACTGTAGTTTCTATAGTTGGAGCGAATGAAAAACTGAGTGCATCATCATCATCATCGGATTCGTCCTAGAGAAAAGAGAATTTCCAAAAAAATTTGATTATTGTCGGAAAACATATTAAGTAAAAAGTATATAAAGTAAAACTTAATTAAGAATTACCATCTTATTAGCATCACTAGTTGTCGTGGGTGTGATGGCCACCTTCTCTTTTTCAATGTCAGTGCTATCGGAAAATGTGGCTGTTGTGGTGGTGTCCATCTAATTAAAAAACAACGACTCATTAAATTGAACTATTAACTAGACAAATGTGCATTAAACTTTGTACCTGACTGCTGGCGCCATTAGTTGTCGTCGTGATCAACCCATTCAACGAAGAGCAGGGGAAGGGGGAAGAGGTACAGTCATCCAGGTTGTATTCGGAACAGCAGTGTTGTGGAATATTATTTGCGGCTCTGAGTTTATGAACCAATTTTCCAAATTCTTTCAAGCCATTACCCGGAATGATTTGGGTTAGTTGTAAATTTTCAAATTCGTGGGGGCGAGGAACCCCTGACCTTCCGACAACATGAGTACATAAGAGCCAATTGTATTTGTCCTTGCGTGCATCCTCGCTATTATTGGGTTGTTGTGGTGGAGGTATAGTTTCCTGAACAGATGATAACAATTTTGTATAGTTTAGAACATACTATTCACATAAGCTCATAATCTTACATATTACATATACATACATACCTGTTGTTCCGTTGTGTCCTTTTCTCTCCTCGTCTTGAAACAGTCAATACAGGCGACGAAGCCACACTGTGGACAAATCCAATGATAGTTGAATAGCGTGGTGGCGCAGACGTCGCACACTTCTCGGATATCTTCAACCATTCGCTTCCACGCGATGGGTAATCTTGTTTTGGTGAAGGACTGCTCGATAAGCAAGGCTTCCTCTTCGTGACGAATTAGGGCGCAGACCTGGTCGCCTAAATGCTCGAGAAGTTGTTTGCAAACATCGACAGGCAAGTCTTCTGGTGGATTGAGCGGATTGGGGATGTATAGTTGTCGATCGTCCTAATAATTCCATAATTACTAATTAACTATTAAATATATCAAGTAATTAATTATATAGCGCTAATATAATGCTAATGAAATGTTAATTATATAGTATTCAATTATATTAATTATTTCTACTACCTTATTAGGATCCGTTTCGGGGTCACAGAATCCATCAAACTCGACATAAAATCTTTTCTTTTCCGGACCATCTGACGATTTTCGAACAAGTTTCCGAAAATGTTGGAATCGACACTCTTGAAGAGTGACCACATCATCAGCAGAACGGACAGCACAATCTCTGCATCGTGGTAAAAACTTTGATGCTTTCCAACAAGACACGTCTTGAACGAAAGGGTCACAATTTCGTTTCCTTTTAATTCCGCGATTCTGGTTTACGGGGTCGACGACATCATTCTCCACCCTGTGGAATTTAAGACTAATTAAGTAACATGTAATTGTAATAATAAACCCATTCACATTCTTCTCATCCAGTTCTCATCAGAATATATAATGTAAGAAAGTAATTTACCCACCTCAAGACTTCCGTTTCCCCAGCCGCGTCATCCTCAATTACAATAATAGGGACACCAATTCCGCCCCCATTCTGGTCAGGGGCCGGACAGTCTCCATTCTTAATTTCCGACTCCGCCATCACGTCCCCCTCCTCTTCTGCTGCTACAAATGGTTCGATAACCTCCAAAATTTCTTCGCCACTAGCGACGACAATGCCACCCTCCATCCTACTTTCGCCCCCTTCCTCCAACTGATCATCAATTTCACGACTCATGTGAAATCCGACTTTTTGATGTGGTTAAAAATTTACTTTCAAGTTGAAAGTTTCAACTCGACTTGCGATTTCTTTAAAATCTTTTTAGTGAGAATTTCGACTCTCTCTGACACAATTACTGAGGAGATGGATACCACACAGATTTGGGGTTATCGAAAGAAGACAATAAGATAAAACAGGGTACAAATTACAAATTAAAAATCACAAAAAATGAGAGCCAAAAATTCGCACGTAGACCAAACGACAATAAGTCAAACTGGGATCGAGTAGTAACCGCTTGTTTCTTGGTCTCACATTTCCGAGCAAATGCTTCTCCGCATTCGTTCCGTGTGGGAAAAATGAGATTTCATTTTTGTAAATGTTGCAAAGTGAAAGTCTGCACTTTCACCGGCACAATTTCCATTTTTATTCAATCCTTACTATTTTTTCCACTTGTTTTCTCTCAGAAATGCAAATTTGTACTCATTTGTGACGAATTAATGTAAAATAGTTATCTTTTCGACTAAATTTCAACAACGAAATTGCATAAGTGGCAGTATAATCATGACTTTATTTCAAAATTGTGGCATAAAATGGGTTAAATAGTTACACAATTTGACATAAAATGGTGTGACATATTATAGTTAAAGGTATGGCATGATGGAAAGGAGTCAGGTAGAATAGAATTAAGGTGACATTTTTAAAATCCAAGTGACAATTAATATATGAGAAGGAAGGTGAAGAAAGTTGGCTATATGAAAATGTAAAATTTTCGAGGAAAATCTGGCTTATGTTAACTTTCCGTTATTGAGAGTGGTTCGGATTTCCCCCAGGAAGGATCGTATGCCTCGATAACCTCTTCATAGCTTCGGTAAGTGTAAGCTGGAAAAAGAGAAAGTTCAATACAGATTATTAAATTAGCCAAGATTTTGCCTTCTTAAGAGTGAAAATGCGACAACACGGGACAAAATTGCAAGGGCATGCAAATTATGAGGATAGGTAAACATTATTAACATTCAAAATCCTGGCAATAAGAGGATGCAACCTTTGACTCCTGAGCTGTCTGCTTCGAATTATAGACAAACTCTAGAAGGGCTGTTATCATTGCTACGCAGAGGCCAAAAATTAATATGTAGAAAATTCCGGCCAAACTTCCCAGGGAAAGCTCTTCATCTCCCGTTGCGGTCTCTTGCTGCGTAATTTACCATATTTTGTTAATAATTTCATACATAATGTAGTAAGAAAAAAAAAACAGATCATAAATTTGCATACCTTGTTAGACACGTCACATTCACTCCGCTCGAACCACCATTTTGCTTCTAACTTGCTAAGAACACCTAAAGTTATGTAAGATAGAATTAGAGTGAAAGTCGTCTCATTAAAAGATAATTGATTTAGCTCGCACCGTTTTCTTTTAGGCGGAGGACTTCCAAGTTTATTTGATGCCTTGATAAGTATATATGATAAAAAAAAATTAAAAATCACATTCAATTTTGTATGCAATTATGAATTATTTATTACTTTAGTGGAGATCCTAACGGTGTTCCAATCCCAAATCCTTTCGAGTCCAGATTTGGTCCCACTTTCATCGTATCGCAAGGTTTGCGTTGATTTGTGTAATCATTCTTTGGAGATTCGATCAAAAGCGCATATTTTCCTGGAGAAAAAAAAATCGTAATAAATTATCATAAAAAAATATGACTAAAAAAATTTTACTTTCACTTGCCTTTCATTTCTCTCACTAATTTGATCCCATCACTGTAAGCTTTCACGTTTGCCTGCTGAGGGCCACTCATAAATTCGAACATTCTCTTATAATTTGGAACCTCGGACCTCTGCCAAGATTTGTTAATAAATTAATTAACTATTTCATCAAATTCATCCCATAATTTTTACAGAATTTTAACAAATACCCTAAAAAACTCGTACGTACTCCCACCCAACAGCGTTCCATAACGAATGTTGGTCTGTTCACTTAAATCCTTTGCATTTTTTATGGGCAGAATCATCCTGTTTACCGTTCTCACAGCCTGCCACGTGGACAACATTTTAATAAATCATCCCATTAAAACGGACACATTTCCCACAAACTCACAGCAAAATTAGCAGTATAAGACGAAATCAGAATCAGGGTAAAAAACCACCAAACGCTCCCGACAACTCGTCCTGCCAAAGATCTAGAGGATATTGCAGGCACAATTATTTACAGAAATATTTATGAGGCAAAAAATGTGGTGAAAGTAGACTTGATTTTTTTTTAAAAAAAAAGAATGTGCGATGCAAGAGGTGTAGAAAAACAGGAAGAAATCTAAGATTGTGAAGAAGTGAAAGCATGAAAATGTGGTGAAATTTAAGAAGTGAAAGCGTGAAAATGTGGTGATTTCATGTGCCGTGTAATCAATTAGTGTAGTAAAAATGCATCAATTTCATTTTAAAAAATGCATATTTTCGACCTCGGCGAGATGTCGCTCCCTTGTTGGAACAACGCTGCTAAAGAGAACCACAACGCGTTCGGCATGGAGAACTGGTGCACCACGCGGCCAGGAATGTCAGGGATCCAGTCCCTCTCGTTAAACCGTGTGACCGCGAAGAGGATCCCACTGACACCAAAGTACGCCAGGATCACGCAGTACCACGTGTTGAGTGATAACGGACTCATAAAACCGAATACCCCAGAGTTTGGCTTTTTCGGCTTGTAAATCATTATCGATATCCCAAGATTTAGAAATGGTTTGGTGAAATCCACCACTCTTTCTCTTTCGGCAGTGATTGTGAGTGATGCAATCCCGACGTGAGCCTCCTAGAAAGTGTATCCAAAAAGATACATACATAAAATGGTGCGACATGTTATCGTTACAGTTGAAAAGAAGTTTTAAAATCGAGACGACAATTAGGAGAGTCGGGCTACGATATTTTACATTTTTTAGCAAGAACTCCATTGAATTGAAACTTTGGGATCATTGTTTTAGTCATGCATAGGTCACACCGCAAAATAAATGTTTCCAATATTTTAAATATTTCCAGGTTTTAGTACAAATAAATAAGTTTATACATATTTCGGCGATTTTGCCAAAATTCAGGGTTCGGAAAAACCCGAGGTTTTACTCTGAAAAAAACTTTTCTGGTGTTTTACTAGGTTTTACTCAATGTTTGGAGTGAACTAATATAACTTACAATGTTACAGTAATTTGTTAAATAATGTATTTTATCAAGATTTACCATAAAGCATAAATGTAAAATGCCAGGAACACCCTGAAAAATACTAAGATGATCAAACTCCAAGTTAGGCTGTAAATTGTGATTTTCAGATCATAAACAAAAATTCGAAATAAATATATAAGTTTACGAAATATTAATCAGAGTACTTAATTCGAGTTAGATATGCATCTGCAAACTGATTCTATTGATTTATCTTATTTGAATTTTAGATGAAACGTAGTAAAACCCGAGTAAAACCCAGTAAAACTCAGTAAAACCCGAGTAAAACCTCTTTAACGTAGTAAAACCCGCTGGGTTTTATTAATTTACGACCCAGTGAAACCCAGCAAAACCCCAACCTAATAAAACCCGGGGTCAGAATACCCTGCCAAAATTGTGCATTTATTTTATAAACCTAAATGTTTTTGGAGCCGGTTTTTTGAGCAGCTTAAACGACCATATATTATTCTTCAATATGTCAATCATTTCATCCAGCTCATGTATAATTGTATTAAAAACGTTGTACTGATATTTACGTTTTCATTGCTTGATTTCCCTCTCTCACTCGGTTTCGCTTTACAATAACATGCTCCCCTGCAGGAGGAAGCGCCGTCGCCATCAGCCTTTGTAAAGTTTAAACCTTATCCGACTGGGTCCACACCCCCTCTTCACTAGATTGACCACTTTCGGGCTAACTTATCACTTTATCTTACAAGGGACACTCACGACCTGTCGTTTGAGTCCAGGGTACCCACTATGTTTTTTAGAATCTACTAGGACCCCAGATGAAGGATTCATTCATATTTCCGTGTAAAACTCATATTTGGCACCATGGCGTGGCGCCTATTTCGCCAAATTTGAATGTTTTTATTTTTTAAACCGCCATAACTTTTGAAATCCTGGACAGATTTTCAAAATTTTTGGCAAACATCATGACAAGGAGTTCGACTTTCGTATGCCATGCCATTTTTCGAAAAATTATCGTTTTTCAGTTTTCGAAAAATTTCCTTATTTTCTTGTAAATGGGAGTTCGTCGAAAAATGGTAAAAATATCTCAAAAATTATAATTTTTGTATTTTTATTTTTTTCTCTAAATTTTCGACTTTTGTGATCATTTTAAGCATAAAATTGTGAAAATCCGACATAAACTACAAAAGTTATGAGGGTTTTAAATTGGTCGAAAATGCAAATTTTTAAGTTTGGCGCCACGCCATGGTGCCAAATATGAGTTTTACACGGAAATATGAATGAATCCTTCATCTGGGGTCCTAGTAGATTCTAAAAAACATAGTGGGTACCCTGGACTCAAACGACAGGTCGTGAGTGTCCCTTGTTAGATAGAATTTCTCCACCCAAATACATATTACTAGTGTGCTTAGCGCTTGAAATGTTGTAATCGGATTTAAAAAATACAGTTCCAACCGTATCCTCCTTACGACCAGTATGACAGCTAAGGCACGTGCGGGAGTTTGAAGTGAGACATGTGTTTTTTTCTCCTCTCCCACTAGTTTCCAGAGAAATTATTTTCTCGAGGAGAGGAGGTGGGGGTGCCACATTTTTGTGTTGAGTGTGTAGGGGGAAGCAAGAAGCATGTCAAGGTGGGTGGTTCACAACAGGGAACCACCCCCACACTTTATTTCACCCAAAATCTTTGCATGCCACGTGTCCATCAACGTGGCTGCAATATGTTTTAGTAAAATATTACTAATATTTTATTTTTATGCAGGTTGGGCTGGGAGGAGGAACAAGTGCCCTGGATGGAATGGACGAGCGCTGTCTCAGACCCTCCTGACTACGAGCCACCCTGAGTCGGTCACCACGCCGATTCTGGGGCAGGGGGCGGGACTGAGATATGAGTAGTTCTCGTTCAGGTGGTCAGTCCGTGGGCCTTGAACCAAGTCCTCGCCCACTTTTAACATTACATACGCTGTGGTGGAGAGCGTAGAGTAATTGAGTTCATCACTGGTGGGGGGCTCTGCCGCACGGTGGGCGGCCCGGCGGACTGACTCTGGTGGGGCTGCGACCCACTGAGTTCCTCAGGAGTTGGTCGTGGCGGTTACGAACCACCGGGGGGTTCTTTTTGGGCCGGTCGTCGTGCGGTGGAGGATTCGCTACCTAGGATGGACCGAAAATAGTGGGAGGTGTAGAAATATGCCACCAGAATTCGGGGGAGAATGTCCAAATCTCTTTCTGGTCCTGACTTAATTTATAGTCAGGACCGGAGGATTTTTAAGTCATGGGGGATTTATCTGTCTTAGGGGAGGTTTGGTTCAGCACATTAAGGCACGTGCCGTGTATGGGGAGACTGCAATAAGCCATAAGTGCTTACGCAGCTGGCTGGTCCTGTCTAACAATGGCAGGATCGTCACCCCACCAATACATACATACAGTATGACAGCTATTTAGGTCGTTCTTTTAAATTATACGACTAAGTAGTAATTAATGCTATAAATGGAGGAAACAGATGAAACTAGCATTGATTACTTGAGGAAGAGAGGGATTTGTCAGGTTTGACCCAAACACGATATCTCCCTCGGCCTAACCCAGCGAGCCCAGCAATACATTCTGCACCTGCACACCGCTTATCTCTAACGAATAGTGGAGGTCCAAGACGACCCGCGTGTGAGCAAGATAACCACAGTTACTCCACTTCCCAAGTTCAAAATTCAGGTAATTACTCAATACAGTTTGGACTATTTGCCAACCACATTTTAAATAGTGTCAAGTGTAATTATTTATTATTGTAACTTGGTTTATAATTCAGGAGGACATCAATTACCGCATACGCTGACCCAGTCAAAAATTTCTTCCTCTGTTACAAATCTGACAGAAGAATTCAATGATAGTCGGTCAAGTAACAAGGACCCTTATAGTGAGAAGGAGACGAGCATCTCAAAACCTAAATCCCCTACAAGCAGTCCACATGGTTTAGACTATCAATTTGAAGAAGGCCAAGGTGATTTCCCAATAATCGGACCTCATAATATATTGATAAGTAATATATCTACATCTACCCTGTATTTTGTTTTATTTCATATCAAGCTGTATCGTTCGTGGGATTGGAGGGCTCAACGGGTTGCGGTTCAAATAAAGGACTTAACCCCATCATCAGCGACGCCACTAGGCTTGTATTAGACAGATGGAAAGGATGCAAGAAGCGAGAGTTTTGCAAACAAAAGAAAACCATCAATTCCGTTACATATAAGTGACGATTCAGATCCTCTGTGGTAAGGTCCCAGATGTTGTTTGCCCCACACTGTTTGGAGCCTCGCTCACCGCCCTCAACAAGAAATCTGGAGGAATTAGACCGATCGCTGTTGGGAATACATGGCGTCGACTTGTTTCGAAAATCGTGGTCACTCGCATTACACCGCAATTGGTAGACTACTTTTCTCCCCATCAACTTGGTGTCGGCATAAAAGGAGGAGCCGAAATTGGAGCTCATGCAGCACGTCGATACTGGAGCCACGCCCACGACACTGCAAAAGCCTTTTTGAAATTAGGCTTCCGGAACGCGTTTAATGAAATACGACGCGATTCCCTTCTTCATATTATCAAGCAAAGAATTCCATCCATCTACTCCTTTATCAATCAAGCTTACGCACATCCATCAAGTCTTTTTTATGGGAACATAAAAATCCCCTCCCTTCTCGGCGTCCAACAAGGTGACCCACTTGGTCCAGGTCTGTATTCCCTCGTAATCCAACCCATAATCGAAGCCGTGACGACAGAATTCAATGTCTGGTATCTGGATGACGCGACAATCGCCGACATCCCGGGGAAAGTTCTACATGCATTTGACACCATAAGAACAATGGGCGAAGACGTGGGACTCCATCTCAACTATGAGAAATGTGAAGTTGGAGTTTTTGGAGGCAATCCCGATACCCACGACGCCATATATGACGAATTCCACAAAGCATCCCCTGGCATCAAAATTATTTCCCCAGAAGTAGCTACATTGCTGGGTGCCCCTCTCACCGACGAAGCGATAGAGAGAGTCATGGAGTCGAAGATTTCCCAGCTAGCAGCATTTGGGAACCGCCTCCTTCAACTTTCCGCCCATAGTGCTTTCTTCTTGTTACGAGCCTCCATATCAATTCCGCGACTAATTTACTTCCTACGATGTGCACCGTCTTGGCGAAATCATGCCTCTCTTTTGGCTTACGATAACACCCTCAAGTTGGTCTTGGAAGGAATCACTAACTGTTTTCTATCCCCAGAGTCTTGGATACAGTCGTCTCTTCCAGTCAGTAAGGGAGGTTTGGGAACCAGACATGCTGTGAGCACGGCGATTCCGTGCTTTCTTGCGTCCGCTCATAGCTGTTTGCCACATCTCGAGTCCCTCCTTCCGGACTACATACGTGACCAAGATGACGCCATATCAGAAGGTGAAGAGCTCTGGTCCGCAGATTATCGCCAACTACCACTACCCGAATTGCGAGGAAAACAAGCTATTTGGGAGGCTCCTTTAATCGAACATCCCCAGAAGACACTTCTTGATAACACCAGCACACCGCAAGATAAAGCTCGTCTACTTGCTCTAGACAGACCATACGTCGGAGCCTGGCTGAACGCAATCCCTGCACCACAACTTGGAAACCACCTCTCTAACGAAGAATTTCGTGTGGCCATCGCACTCAGACTCGGCTGTGCAATTTGCCAACCACATAAATGTATCTGTGGAGCCGAAGTATCCTCAAGTGGTTATCATGGTCTATCGTGCAGAAAGAGCGCTGGGCGGTGGTCAAGACACAGTGTCGCAAATGATGTCATTTCCCGTGCCCTTCGTACCGCAGAAGTCCCCTCAATAAGAGAGCCAGTGGGATGCTGCCGAACTGACAGAAAACGAGCTGATGGGATGACACTTATTCCATGGTCAAGAGGAAAAGCTTTAGTCTGGGACTTCACGTGTGTCGATACCTTTGCCCCATCGTACCTTTCCTCCACGTCCGGTCATCCTGGGGCTGCGGCCGTGTTAGCTGAGAAAAAGAAGAAGACACTATACTCTTTCTTAGAGGATCGTTTCATTTTCATCCCGGTGGCTGCTGAAACAATTGGAGTTTGGGGTGAAGATGGAATTAAACTAATTCAACATATTGGACAACGAATCACAACAATTACAGGAGAAATACGAGCCACAAGTTATTTATTACAACGTTTAAGCATTACTCTACAACGAGGAAACGTCGCCTCAATTCTGGGTACCCTTCCTACCGGAAAGAAACTCAGCGAAATTTTTTATTTATGAGTTTTCCATGCGTACTTATTAATCATTGTTAACAAAAGACTCTGTAAATAAAAGATACTGCATAGCACGATGTACTCAATATTAGTACGCTTTGTCATTCCGAAAGTTAGGTGCATTCATCAACAACTAATATATTCTTGGATCACAGAATAAAGCGTATTAATGCTGAATACATCGATATAAGATAACTAATTTAAACATCAGAACTATTACACATGACGACCGATATGTGACAATCGAACTGAGAAGCAGAATAATCATAATATGTTAACTTTAGTGTAGTCAGGGCTGTTGTACTTCAATGAGTAGAAATCTGTGTCGAATTCTGCAGGAATCGACATAAACTCTGCATATTTTTCTGCTCATAATTTTTTTATCTAATACTGTAGAAAATTACCGGAAAAAGTAAATATGTTTAATTAAAACTTAATTATAATTTTCGCTTATAGAGTAATTAAGAATCAAAAATTAATTACTTTCATCAATAATTAGACAGCCCTGAATGTACTTTAAATTGTTTGAGTTTATACATTTTATAGTCTTTATATATTTCGTGTTTAAAAATACAATAGTAAAAGCTCAAAGAATACTATGCAAATTTTTACCTGAGGGGCCGTCCATAAATTACGTAACGCAAAAATCATCATTTTTTAGACCCCCCCTCCCCCCTCGTAACGGCATCGTAACGCATCTCGACTACCCCCCCCCCTCCCCCTTCGTATCGTAACGTAAATTTGATTTCACCGCAGGTAATTTCTTTAACAGTAACTTGCAAAATTTTCATTTGTTCCAGGTTGTGTAGACAAATGTCGCTTTTATTGCTTCTATTTCTTTTAAATTGCTGGCCCCTGAAGCATTTCCCGGACATCTCATTCGATTTATTTTCATGCATGTAACAGTAGAACCAACTTGGATGTTACGTAATTTCCCCAAAGAATGACACGTTCTTCGATCTACTCTGTGTTGTGTCATGTTGTTGTGTGTCAAAATAATATATAATGTGAAAGTACTTACATACTAATTGTATTTTCTTAAAACAAACGTACAACCTCTTGCCTCGCATTTCTGGTTTTGTTGTGTATATTAAACAGAGAAATCAAGACATCACGACACGACGATTAGAGGGTGACAAGTAAAGAGTGCTAAAGCTTTTTAAATCTACGCATTTATGGGAAAACGACAAATCTAACGATTAAAGGTGACATGGGTCTGTGGCAAATGCAATGGACAACCAGGAATCGGAAAACCAGAAGTCTTACTACTTATACACTGTTCAAAAATGATTTTCCCCCATAAATATGTAGATTTATTAATGGTTTCACTCCAGCTTGACACCCCTGTTTGAATTTGAAAACCGCCCGCCAGTGTGAGACGGGAGGGTGGAAATGAGATTATACGAGAAATAAGTTCAGTGCCGGAGGTCTTAATACTCATCACATGGATTACATTACCCGAACGAGCCGAAATATTTTATTACCTGACACCAATAATTTTTATTTTGGCGTTTAAATCATACGAAATTGAATAATTTAAACGCCAAAATAAAAATAACTGGTGTCCAATAATAAAATAATTCGGATCGTTCGGCTAATGTGCTCCATGTGATGAACTCAGCGTATGGATTGTGAGGGGAGGCAACACACGCCCCTACTTTACTGCGAGACATTGATTTTGGTCATGTGATTCTCAGTGATGGTTTAGCGGATAAGCACGGGGGTGTCAAGCTGGAGTGAATCCATAATACACAAGTATGGCATTCTTCATTGTTCACCCTCTGCATACAAATAAAGGACTCGAGAGACAAGGTTCAGCACACAAGACTGCACCAAAAAATTTACAAAAATCTTTCAGACTCAAACCTTGGCGAAGCAGGCGTGCTTTGTCGAAAAATGGATGCAATCGTAAACCAGAGAGTGTTTTGAAAACTGAAAATCGACTCGTTGTGTGGTTTCCGTTGGACGAGAAGGAGGACGATCGCGACTGCGAGGAGCGCCCCCAGCGCAGCGGACCATACTGCGCCCTGCATCGGCTTTACGAAGGAGAAAGCACCGGGCATTTCCGTCTGGGGGAGTTTGATCATTATCGAAATTCCCACCTCTGGTATGCAATTGCATGAAGATCACGAAATGAGGAATTTATGAGCACATGGTGTGATAAATACTACTCTTTTTTCAAATACCCATGAAATCGCTGGAAAAATCCACGACCGTTTCACGACTGGCTGTAATTGTGAGTGAAGCAATTGCCATATCCGCCTCCTAGAAAGTGCCCCCAAAAAAATTCCGGTAGCGGGTGTCAGTACAAAAATTTCAAGTCAAAAGTGTTTCACAAAGTGGAAGGAATTGTAAACAATCCATTCCAAAAACAGACAGCCCGCATTCAAAAATTGGAAAATTAAAAAAATGCAACAAATGCAACGTGGGAAAATGGGTGAAGAAAAATGCAGAAAAATTAGAGCAAAAATACAGCAGGGGAAAGTTATATTTTTTAAAAAGTGCATGAAAAAAGTATACTAAAATCAAATTGTTTTATACAGACTTTTTTTGTTAGTGTAAGTAAATGAAAGTGATAATATTTTCGAATGTATTTGTACGTGTAAAATTTTGTTAGTGTCAAATTCATGTAATTTGATGATGTCGAAATTGAATTTGTTTTTTGAAAATTTTGAAGATACATATATTTATGGTTTCGCTGCCGGTTCTGAATTTTACTTGATTCAAACATCCACGAAGGTTTCCCCATATTTTTTAATACTCATTCATTCAATGGATCAATGCAGGATAGCTCAATTCTAAAGGATGGACCATAATTATGTTCATTCAGGCAACACGTAAATAAATAAATTAATGAAATTAAAACAGCTCTATGTCGCTAATCGGATCAAACTTCAAAGGAAAACGAACATCCACCAACTTTCTATACTTTCTAAAAGCAGCAAAATTTACGAGATATGGTACAACTAAATATTTACTTCTCCAACTTGCTAAATACTATTTTCCAAATTAATGAATTCTGATAAACTTTCATGCTTTTATCAACTCATATCTACAAAATTAAATCAAATAGATCTAATGCAAACACAGGTACTTTCTCCACCGTAAAACTGAAAATGCATAATTTTACTAACTAACTACGAAATGCAGCACTTTTCCCTTCCAACTTTGTAACATGTACACACATAATTCGGACTTACGTGGCGAATCAGTTCTCCAATCATTCCATCTGAAATTGGAATTATTTTAATCAAAGCGCATCGACAAGTGCAGTGCAACTTTATTTAATGCAATGTAACGTACCCCACCCTCCAGGAGCGGCTGGATTTTCAGACCCATACTTCCCATCCTGAACTAACCTAATCTCATCTGAAAGTGCAGAACACTTACGCTGTCAAAACTTAATTTAACCGGGGCAGGTCACAAAAGTGGTGAATATGAATGTGTGATATTTGACATACACTGAATATTCATACTCTTCGCGATCTCATCCGCCATGTCTTTGCAGAAGCCTTCGTACCGATCGTTGCCGGTAAGATTTTCGCCCTTTTCTGCCTTCTTGAAGGCCAAGTAGGGCTCTTCCTGCAGCACAAAAATAAAGACGCAATGTTACTCATTGCCCAACACGTATTGATCATTTTTTTTTACTAATTTCTTACCAGGATGCTCGTCACAATATAAACTTTATTCGGATCTGGTCCCCCGTGATAATTTTTCCTGTGTTTGGGCCGAGCTCCCATCGAAAACCCGTAAACGTCGGACCATTGTCCAATCTAAAAAAAATCGACTCATTTAAATAATATCCAGGGTAAAAATTGAAATGGCTTTCTTGCAGAAATTTGGCCAAATTTTCTGCAGAAAAACTTTATGCAGAGCGATTTATGCAGAAAACTAAATACGCAGAATTATGCACATACATATGATTCTGCAGAATGAAATAGAAATTTTCTGCCGAATTATGTAAAAAAAAATATGCAAAATACAATATCCATCGAGCATTTCTCGATTACTGCAGAATTCGGCCCATTGATTTCTACTCTTGATGAACATTTCTAATTTGTATCCATAAGTAAGTACATCTCCCACCCACCTTTTTGACCCCATTACTGACCGAAGTCTCCATCACGTCGATCGTGAAATTCTTTCTGCTTCCCTCCTTGAATTCAATATGTCCCGTGAGCCCCGTCGTTTTAACCTGAATAAAACAAGACCCATCCATCTGTAAATTTCCCAACTTGATTTCGAAGTCACGATGATTCGACTCGAACCTTTCGCAAGTATGAGTTGATAAGTTTCCCATTCTCGAAGGGATTAACTCTCGACGTTAAAAAGTCTCCTCCGTTGCTGTTACAGGAGAGCTTCCTGCTCGCATTCTTTCTCAGAAGGGAGGGATGATCGAGTAACACGGTGGAGAAAGCCTCCTTGATTACCAGCATCCCGTCTGTTTTAAAAATTCAGCTTTCTTTCACTTATTCACATTTAAATATTTACGCTGCTATTTTGCAAGTCTTGCATAAGCAGAAACTTTTAAGGTCAGAATTTTGCTAGTAAAATGCATGCAAAATTATTGATTAATTATTTTACTTCTCACTTTTAATTATTTACACCCCTATTTTGCAAGTCTTGCATAAGCAGTAACTTTTAAGGTCAGAATTTTGTTGAATCAAAATCATTGATTAATTACTGTTTTAAAAATTTAGCTTTCTTCTTTCACTTTCACATTGAAATATTTACACTGCTACTGATATTTTGCAAGTCTGGCAAGCAGTAACTTTTAAGATCAGAATTTCGTTGGTAAAATGCATGCAAAATTATTGATTAATTATTTTACTTCTTCACTTTTAATTATTTATACGCTACTTTTTGACAAGTCTTGCATAAGCAGAAACTTTTAAGGTCAAAATTTCAGAATGGTAAAATCATTGATTAATTATTTTACATAGAGCTAGCTGCTTACCATACATAAATGCCGCATTCGCCTGTGTGTGATCACATACAACAGACAAAGTGAATTATTAATTAATGCGAGATCATTTAAGTAGGTGGAACACAGCCAAACATTTGCATTTCATTACGTCGACCTTGCTCTCTCTCGCTCGTAAATAAATGGACGTGTGTGTTCAGGATGGATTAGAATTTCTGAATAAATTGAGACTGACACGACACGACACGACACTGCATGGATGAGACAGAGAAGAATTGATGGCAATAAATGTCACCCGATGCGGATGGATACAGTGTAAATGAGAAAATGGGATCATTTCCAGTGTGGGCTCGTCTCATTCTACCTCAGCCTCATATCTACGTACGTGCATATTCACAATGGAGGTCTCCCAACGTATGCTCACAGATTGGACCAAACTAGCGTCAATCGATCACAGATATAATTAGTATGAAATTTGCAAATGGAACTATCTGCCAATGCGCAGGTTTGGCGGAGACATTTGCACCCAAATCGGGAAAAATGCGCAGCAAATTTGGAAATTGGAAAATTTGTCACCCTTGGGGGTGAGTTTTCTCCCCTTTTTATACAAATATCTCCGCAAAACCTTTGCATTGGCAGATAAATAGTTCCATTTGCAAATTTCCTACTAATTATATTTGTGACCGATTGACGCTAGTTTTGTCCAAATCTGTGAGCATACGTTGGGAGACCTCCATTGTCAGTTAGTTACGTAATATGGACAGACAGACCAGCACCAGTCACGGAATGCGAGTCGTAATATTTGCAGAGGTAATTATGAGCTCCACTCCCATTAATTATTCACCTATCATCTCTCACAAGGAAAAGTATATGCGAAGAGAGAGGGATACCGATGAGTTAAAAGCTTTTATCTCATTTACCGATATCGTCCTCCTCCCAGCCCCGTCGAACTGTCGCGAGTCCAGGACGGCCCATTTGCTCAGAAAGTCTTTCACATACTTTCGCCCAGTGTCGACCATGCGGAATCCGGTAATGTTCACTGTGTGATGATAACCAATATCTTGTAAATTACTCGATCCTCTCTTTTTTATGTACTACAAGATAACACACTAACCTGCACTAAATTCCACCACGGAATTTTCCCACGGCTCGTCAAACGCCTCAAGAAGTGGGGAAAAAGAAAAGTTTTTTTCTTAAGTTTTAGGCGAAATTGATGATTGTCTATGATATTAATATCTTTTTTATTACCAGGCCGGCAATCAGGTAGTGATAAGTTCTCCGCCCCAAGTGCACGTCTCGTACGTGGCTAATGATTATGTCCTTGGCCAGACTTACGGGACAGTCAAGTACAATGTGCTTCTGTTCAAATCTGGGGTGAAAGTGGGAGAAAGTAAGGCGATTTCTTAGCGGATAATAATAATCTTGGGGAAATATAGGTATTTGCGAAACAGAAAAGTTTCAACCTTTGAGCAACTTCCAAGTTTCGAAGAATCGAAATGGCGTCTTTCGCGTCTGATATCTTTTTGAGGGCAGTTACACGAACCGAGTCGTTATGTAGGCCCAGATTTTGGAAGATCGACTGCAACCTGAGCAGCCCTGTGAGATTGTGGATGCATCGGGTTGTAATAAAAATTGTCCAGACAAACAAAACTACTGACTGTATTTAAGAACTTACCCTCGTTGGTGTTGTACCTGTAAACAAACCCGCATTAGATTTGCATATTACAAGAATTTTTGTAAAAATGCAATAATTCGAAATTATCAAATCGTCAGGATTTGATAAAACCAAACCAAAATAACGAATAGAAAGCAAAATTCTGGCGATTTTGCTTCTCTTCGTTATTTTTCACCGCTTTTATGAATGCTAAATATGCATATTAGTCTCACATGTAGATGATATTGGTCCACCCATAATGTGCAATCGTGTCGAGCAACGCTTTATGCAAATCTGGTCTTATCCTCGTCGCAAAATCGACCTTCTTCTTCTCTCTGGCCAGCACCTCGTCCACAATTCGGTCCATGAGTCGCTTCCTCCCCGTCTCGTCACCCCCCAAGGAATCCAACTCCCTCTGCACGGTCTCATTTATCAGGGGCGACCTCGTCACAGACGCAGTTTCATTTTCACCGAAAACGTCCATGCTCATGGCCGGGTTCTCGTAAAGGCTTTGACGGATTTTGTACTAGAATATTCACAGAAAAAAACGTAACTAAATCCCCTCCAACCATCACTTGCATGTCAGAGAAAAAAGTCAAGCTGGTAAATATTGACATGGATTTTCCATTTCAGAAGTCAAAAGTTCCTCTCAGGTAGAGTTTTGCAAACTTTTTTTCGTCCACTTACTTTTGATACTTTCACCAAACTCGTCGGGAACCAAGGAGTAATAATTGGCATCTCGAACGTATTTGCGTAGGAGTGCAGGGTTTCGAAAGACTCGGAATTCATGCTGCCCACGATGGCATAGACACCTCTGAAAAACTGGTTGCAAACTAAATTAAAGAGGAGAAAACTCGTTAACTTTGCGATCTTATTAATATTAGTCCGATAATTATTAATTTGTTGGGGAGAGCATACTTAATTTAGAAAGTTTGAAAGCATCTGCGGTATTGATGGTATCCACGTAAGCGTTCATTCCATAGCTCCGTCGCACGCTGAGATTTGACCCCGTCCCTTCAAACGTGATGTTTAACGGGGTAAAGGTCATAAGAGCGACTTTAAACGCTGCAAGGAAAATTGGGTGGCGTCAAAAATTGGTTCTAAATCAGCCTTAAATTCATGATTTTTCTCATACCGGTCTGGATTTCGGCAGAGCCTTGGTCAAACACGACCCCTAAAAAATAGGCATATGCACATGTAAAAATTCCAAATAAACCATAATTTCTGGACAAAGTGTATTCATATTTTTCTGTCAGTTTTGTTGCTCTTTACGACCAGCTTATGTAAACCTTTTGATTCTGATGTATTCCACTTTCAAGCCTGCGTTGAATTCAATTCGGACAATTTAATCTTTTAATTCTGTCCCAACCATTTCCAGTTCACCAATTCTCCTTCAAATTCCTCCATTACTACGAAATCCCTATTTATTAAGGGGTGAAAGCCCTTTATAAGATCGTTATGTCCGTCTGTCCGTCCGTCCGTCCGTCCGTCCGTCCGTCCGTCCGTCCGTCCGTAGCTCCGATAACTTTTGAACGAAAAGACATAGACACTTGAAATTTTGAACGTAAACTCCTAACGTCAATGGACAGGACAAATTCGAAGATGGACACTGTGACATCGTCACCTGTGACGATGACATCGTGACAGTGACGAAAAGTGACGAAAAAGTGTCACGTGTCAGTTTTGACATGTGACACATCATTTTTAACTAATTTTCAATGAGGAATTCGAAAATTCATGTCATTTTGCGGTTGGACGTCACCTGTGACGATGACGTCGTCACAGTGACGAAAAGTGACGAAAAAGTGTCACGTGTCAGTTTTGGCATGTGACACATCATTTTTAACTAATTTTCAACGAGGAATTCGAAAATTCAGGTCATTTTGTGTTTGGACGTCACCTGTGACGATGACATCGTCACGGTGACGAAAAGTGACGAAAAAGTGTCACTTGTCAGTTTTGACATATGACACGTCATTTTTAACTATTTTTCAATGTCAAATTCAATGGTGACCTCCATTTTGACCTCAGAGGTCATGTAAAGGTCATAGGACATATCTCTTTCAATTTCAACTGAAATTTAACCCCGAATTCATTGGTGACCTCCATTTTGACCTCAGAGGTCATATAAAGGTCACATAAGGGTTATCAACTGTTAAATTTGGCACAAATAAGACACAAAAGTCGAAAACACGTCAGAAGTGTCAATCTTAACAAATTTTCGAACAATTTGATATTCACATTGACGTATGACACTCCTTTCACCCCTTGGTTACATGCGTTGTAACGGTTTATTCACCGTGTCCTTTACTTTTGCACGTTCCAGTTCATGCAGTCAGCTTAATCCGCTTTTCGACTACATCCACCTCTCCAGAAAGAAAAAAAAAACACTATAAAAACACACCGTATTATTATTTTGTCGTCCTGAACTCTTTCAATTTCCAGCCACGGTGTGCGTCTCGGAATTGGCACTAAACTCAATTTACACTCGTGCTATCAAAACAATGAAAGGTAATCCAATCAGGGAAGGGAGGCGACATTTATAAAACAACACGCGACGCGAATAAAAAGATCTCGTGCTCCCCTCTTGGGTGGAGACGAACGAAATCGAATAATGGTAATAATCATTGAACTCCCGTGTCATTTATTGTTCTCACTCTATTATTTGGAGTAAGGGGTGAAAGGGTTCTTCTTTATGAGATCGTTATGTCTGTCTGTCTGTCTGATAACTCTTGGACGCAAAGACATATGAAGTTGGGACTTTGAATGTAAGTCCTACATGTCCAGGGGCCAGATCTGATTAGAAAATGGGCGACGTAGTTCAGAAGGTCACGGCGCAAGGTCATAGGTCATGAATTTTTTAATTAGAAAGACATCTTGTAAGGACTCAAATTGATAGTATTTTCAAAGAGCTACCCAACAGAATAAGTCATTTTGACTTGACACACCCCGTGACCGTGTGGGCGAGGTCAAAGGTCACAAATGTCGAAAGCACGTCAGGCATGTCAATTTTAACCGATTTTCGACAAACCCAATATGACATTCATCTACACTGCTTTCACCCCTTGGTTCCACGCTTTCTAACCATTTATTACTATTTGCTCTTCTTTTCCCACCCAGTAATAGTATTTAACAGTAAGTAGTTTTCAAGTAGAGGAGAAGATGACAGACAGAAGTGTAAACTTGTGAAACAATGGATGGAATTGGCAGAACAAGGAGATGAAAGAAGAAAAAAGAAGTGAGAAAAAAGAACTTGTTTCCGAACAACTCTTTCATAAGCAGTAATGGGGCTCTGAGCGAAGACGGAGAACTTATCCAATTCAGATAAATTGAATATAAAGCTCAAACTGGTCGTGACAAGCGACATATTATATTATACGACGGCACCATAAAACTTTTATGGACAAAGTTATCCCCTCCTCCGAAATCCTCAAGGGTGTGTATTTACTATGCAAAGTGTAAAGGGCATACACTTAACTATGTAGGAACAAACTCTAATAAAAGTGTGACTAACAGACTAATAAAAAAGATTTGAATACTGTAAAATACAAGTAAAATTCCACCCTGAATGTGAACGTTTCTTAAATGTGGAGAAATATGAGACACAGCGTAATCACGGCTTGACCAAACTTTCTCTCTCCTTCCGGAAAGCCGACAAAAATATGGCCCGTTTTTGTTGCATTAATCTCATAAAAGTCCTAACTGACACGACACAATGATAGAAAAAAGAGCATTTTTTTATGTCCTCTTTACTCACCCAACGGTATGTTCTCCGCTTCGGCAGCATTAGCTCCAAAATAGTGAAGCAACAAGTACAACAATAGACATGATAATTTATTGCTTTGACAAGGACCAAGATTACACCCGGACACGATTCGTCCTCCAATCCGTCTTCTTAAAGTCGTAACATCGTCATCGTCACCACCATCACGACCACCCGGAGTTGCACAACACTTTATCTCCTCGGCTGGATCACTTTTTAGTCGCGGTTTTGACCTCTCTTTTGCCGATATGTGTCTCAATCCAACGACGTGCTGCCCACTTCCCCACATCGTAAGAGCCACGGAGTGAAATGAGATCAATAAATAAGTTATGTCACGAGAAGAGTAGAAAAAAATTGAGAAATAAAATAAGATTGATTCTCAAAGTACTTTCCCCGACCAGCAGGACGATATCCCGTAACCTCAGCTACATGGTAAAAAAAGACTCGTAATTCCGTTACATTTTCGTCATATCGACTTCAATCAAGTCGGTCGTGAAGGATGCCGTTAGCGAGGGACGTGCCAGCAGCAGCACTTTCACTCTCGATGATCCAGACTGATTTCACGGGCTCTCCGTTCTCGGCGAAACTTGGGAGAAAACTGAGCCCGAGTTTGGGAAGGAGTAGTGAATTTATATTTTATTTCCCATCCTCTTTCTCCTCTCCCATCCCGATTTGTATTCTGCCCGTAAAGTCGTATCGTGGCTGGTTTGATGGGCAGGATTGACACGATGCATGGTGGTCCAGATCGGGAACAGATAGGGGAAAATGATGAAGTGGTGGACAATCAGCATACATAAATACGCATCTTTTTAGCTCATCGGTATTTTCAATTTATGGAAATTGGACGCCACTACGAAAATGCGTGGCGTCAGAGCAGGCGGAGAATTTCATTTCAGGAAATTCAAATTAAAAAAGGACCAAATCCCTACCAAATTAAATACTGGATTTGATCCTGTTTTGTTTCGAGGAAAAAGAATGTTATTAAACTGAGAGAGGAGCGAGCGAGCGAGTGAGAGGGGGGAGGCAAATTCGGGAGAAAAATTTAATGATATATGTATACATACATATCTTGAAATGTTAGTAGATGTATAGTCGCTCTGCTGTAGCAAAATTGCAGGATTTTGTGAATGTGACACTTGATAGTTTCAGAGTGTTTAAGCTTGTTGAAGAGTGAGTGAGTGAGGATAAGAAGAAAATTGGAATCTGAGACGACCAAGTGGATAGTGGGTGGTTGGTTGGTGGATGGATGGATGATTGAGGACGAGGAGGTATTTCTTCTCACTACCGGAAGTGGAGAAAGTTGGTTGGGTGGTTGGTGAGGACTATGGTGGTGGTGGTAGTTAGTTGGCAAGTGGTCCTACTAGAATAAGTACACACTCTTTCCTCCTAGTTTTCATACAGATACATAGTCTCCCAGGCTATGGTTTTGGTTTCGTTTGTGGTCGAATTTTCTGCAAGAGGAGGAAAGATGAGATGTAAAGTGATGAGATGAGGGCCGAAGCACTAAATCATGCCCTACTTTACATAAAAGTATCAAAAATCTTGTAATTTTTGGTTTAATTAAATTAATATATTCTCATCTCTTCGATTTTAAATCATAACTTAAAATCTTACACTTTAATCTTTCATAACAAAAATGTATGTATACAAATCCGCAACAAATTTCAAATATATATTCGACTCTCTCTCTCCCAACTTTCTGAGTATATTTTATTCGCAAAAATTCGCCAACTTCCCTTACGCTCCACATACGAAATGTTCCTTCACCACAAAAATCTCCCAGTTCCACATCTGTCACCAGACCAGACGAGATTTTGAGTGGAACCCTTTCCCCACAGTTTTTTTCTTTCTATACTTTATTATAGATCTCTCTCCCTGATTGTGAGTGATGTAGATGGATGGCCAACCAATACCATGATGTATGACGATGATGTGAACTTAGATGCACTTGTTCTCTCCTCTCTTCCATCTCGGATTTGTGGCTGGATTTGGTCTGGATTTCTAAATTTGAGAAGAAGAAAAAGAAGAAGAAGAGGGGAAAAGATGGAGCAAGATTGAATTGTACATAAGACGACCAGAGAAAGGACGCGGCTTAAGGAAGGATGTGGGTTGCGGATGAATGGAAATATATCCAGAATGCTGGGTGCTTTCTCTGTCTACTTTTTCCCATTATGGTGGCGGTATGATTTTAGATTTTTTGGTGGTTCCTCCACCAAAAACTACATGACTGACAATGGGAGCGCAAACCATGTTCAGCCCAGATATTTTTTTGACCATGTTAGTTTGAAAGAGCAAGTCTTTAGAAACAACATTTGGTTTCACACTTGGGCAGATGCGCAAAATTCAGCACATTACGGGCGCCACCAGTTCACAAAAACGCATGATCTTCATGCACGGTGGAGCGCGAGCCGAAAAATCATGCGTTTTTGCGAAATTGTGGCGCCCATAACGTGCTGAATTTTTCGCATCTGAGCAAGTGCCGAGCCAAATGTTGTTTCTAAAGCCTTATTCCTCTTGCAAACTAACATGGTCAAAAAATAATCCCGGATGAACATGGTTTGCGCCTCCATTGTGAGTAGTTGGTTGGTTTTGGTAGTAGTCAAGTGAAGAGTGAGTGATGGTTCTTCCCGTACTGGTTGGTGGTGAAAGTAGAGTCAAAAGTGGAAAAAAAGTGGAGGAAGCGAGTCTAATGGAGTTACTCCATAGAGTTACCTCGCTTTCTCCCATTTTCAGAAAGATGGGATATTATGTTGGTTCTTGGTTTTGGTTGGGCAAAAGTCTGCAGATGAACCTCGCAGATTCGACGAGGAGAAAGTGTATGAAAGTGGATGTAGTAGAGGAGAACCAAGACCACCATAATTGGGGATCCAGTCTGGTGGAAAGGAGAGGAAATCGTGCTGTTTGTTGCCCCCATGCTTCACAATTTTGTCGAGTTTAGGATCTAATTATGCCAGAAACAGCAACGGCACAACCAACACAGCCAGGGACCGACAAATATATAAATAAACAAATATTGAATTTTTAAATTACACCGAAACTCGCATCGCCACTTATGTTTCCATCAGTCCGTTCTCCTTGCGAAGAAATAAATCATTAATCCAATTTATTTCTCCAATTCTATTTCCACGCATTTCGTGCACATTCCTTCAAAAATAATAAGCAACTCTATCTATCTGCCTCGTTCCTTCTTCTATCCGTAAATCCTGTCACATCACAATATAAATATTTTGAAGCGACTTGAGACTCGACTTTCTATTTTCTTTGCAAACTTTCCCCGCTTTCTCTTGTCACATCAAGACCGAAAGTAAACTCTGAGCAGAAAACCTGCCGCTTCTATCTTCTCCAAGCCAAGTAAAGTTGTAAAGTTTTCTTTGTTTTCTTTCCTTGTAGAAACTCCCACGTTCCTGGGCTCTCTTTTGCTCCAAAGAAGAAGGTGAATAAAGATCAGACAAGCTGCAAAGTTTAGATAAGTTTTAAACTTGAACATCGCATTACAGAAGAAGAACAATGGCAAATATTTGTATTATGCTCGTCAATCACCCAATCATAAAAATGATGTCCGTGTCAATCAATCAACAAGCCGGATGATTTTTTTCCGGCTCGATAAATAAATTTATTTAAGTGAGATACGGTTCAGGTCACCACTTTAAAATTAATTTAACTAACTCTACCGGGAATACAAGCCATTACAACTTTTAGTTTCCTGGACCCTTGGGTATCTTTTCTCCGAGAAGGAGATGAAGACGCACAAAATTTCTTCCCCGGATTTTCTTCTCCACCAAAAAAGTTATGTAACGTAACAAGATTCTCGTCGTGGAGAAATGTATACAAGACAAGAAAAGGCAACATAACATACAAGGAGAAAGAAAGTGTAAGTAGCACAAATGATTGGAACTCGTTGCCTTTCTCTCCTTTTTTCTCTCCTCCCTCCAAGTAAATAAATCAGCCATAAATCACGCCGGAGCCAATAATCATGTCAGCGCTGTCTCCGCTGACAATGAATTACTCACTTTAAACAGGCCGGGCTAGTCTGGGGAGGATAATTAGGGTGGAGCAATAAAAAATGAGGGCTCAATATTTCCAGAAAATATTTTATGTCTGTGTCCCCCCGTTCAAAAAAATTAGAAATCTCAGGAAACCTATAATAATAATCATTGTCATTCCATTTTATCTGAATTAGGTATTTCTCCCAACCTGCGACATTTTTATAGTCTTCAACCGTGATTGGAATGACATGTCACGCTGCGGAACGAGAGAAACGAAGGAATGCCAGCCAGGAGTCGGAAGAAGAATGGACTGTTGCAATAAGTAAGTGTGTTACAAGTCGTAATGGTAACTGAGCAGTTGAAGTGAGAGGCCTCCGTGTAGTACTACGTTTTCAAGTGGCAGACTAGCGAGCGAAGGAAGTGGACACATCGTTCCTGAAAAGAATTGGGATCCGAAATCAAATGGACCACATCAAGTGAACGAGAACGAACCACTTTTCAACCATGGTCGACTAGTGAAGAATGAGATGCTTTCACTTTCACTTCGAAGCCCTACCACCACCACCGACCGCATAGAGAGAGAAAGTAGAGATGTGTTGGTGGTGGTAGGTTCTCCCATTGTGTTGGTTCTTTGGTTCGTTAAGTCTGCTTGGCCATTACGGCTACGACACGGATGTAGATGGATGGATGGAGGGATGGAGAGATAGATGTGATGTGCAACTTTCTCCTCTCTCTGGATGGCATTATTGTGCACCAGCCACCTTTATATTCTCGGCAAAAAGACCCAGGAGGTAAAAGCCACACTACCGCTGCGTGAAATGGCTTTTCCTTTACATTCACTTTTGCTTTCTGTCCGACGACCAATGGATATAATGCCGAGGAACATTTATGTCTTGTCAATTCCACGGTCCGAATAAGCCGACTTTTTTCTGTAATAGGGGGGAAAGTGAGACGTTTGGGGGAAATAACATTTTGGTGAAAGTGCAACAGAAAAAAGGTATGCATGGGAAATTATGGGTAGGAAAATGTAAAGAAATTTTTCAAAATATGGGTATCCTCCCAAATCCCACCTTTTCCTCCCCCCGCCTCGGATCAAAGTCGCATTTCCGAATAAAATATGACAAGTGGGACTCTGGGTCGTAGATTTTATTATTATGAATGTAATGCCATGTCCCAAACCACAAGTCTAACTCGTGTCATATCATGACCATAAATTTATCTTGTTTTCCATCCATCTGTGTCCTACCTAAAACCACGGTGTTTGCGGAGCTACATCCTGTTTCAATAAATACATACGTACGCCGAGTTGGAGGCGAATTTTTTATGGTGAATAATGCTACGTATCCCGGCTGGCTGTGGGGCTTCCATTATTGCAAAGTTCTATGCCCTAGGTTTTTAGTCCCGCGCTATCTATTGTTGTCCGTTGACAGGTCAGAGACAGACCAGGTGGAGATTATGAAGGATGGTTCTTTGGCGACTCGTAATTTTCTCCGTGAACTATAGAACATGTCGTCGTCGTCGTCGTCTTGTGTGAAAATAATTTCATCTCCTCCTCTCAAAGCAAGCCTGCCACGGGAAGATAGGAGATCAAGCAAGGAAAAGCAGATTACGATGATGTTGTCGCATTGTTCATTGTGCTGATTCAGGCTTATTTTTCTAGTCTGCACATCTTATCAATTTTGTTCATTTTCTCTTCTTAGGAGGGTTTTCATCTTATTTTTTTAGCTGTTCATTTTCCCAAGAAGGATGAGACTGTGTCCTCTTTGTCTCACAATGTCCTGTATTGTGTCTCGTATTTATCTAATTCTCTCCTCCACCCCCTTCATTAAAGGCTGCATTGCACAGACCCTAAACTGGAGACCCATTTGTCTTAAAATCCCAACCTGATAATAATGGTGTGGTCATTATCCCCACATAAATACGTGTCCTCCTCCCATCCTCCCATTAATCCTGGCGCCGCTCGCCGGAGGTTTCCTTTGTTTTGGTGGGTGGCGTTTAAAACTTGTGTAAATTATTGCGAGATGGGTCATAAATAAGGCACGTTGGTCGTCGTAATGACAAAACATGTTTTATCGCTTTGTTTACAACGACCACAAAAGATTTATGAATTTCCCTATTTGTTCTTCTTCACTCTGGGTGGAAAACTAGAGTTTGAGGAATAAATATAGATAGACAAACTCTCCAAGTCAAGTAACAAACAAGAGAACAACATCTCGACAATCGATCCAAATTGCAAAAGGAGTCGTGGCAGGGGAGCGAGTGAGGGAATATAAAGGTCTTCATTTTGCCATATATTCTCATCATCACTCACTAACTGTGAGAGAGAGAGGGATGGTTACTTGCTTGGCTGGTGGGTGAATTTCTCCACTTTCTCCCCAGTTTGAAGTCTCCTCCTGACTTTCTCCTGTCTTTTTCTCCTAACAAACCATCCCACGCCAGACAAGAAGGTTGATGAGATTCCTTCTTCTTCGTTCTCCTTGGTGCATGCAATCATCGCCGGGACGGTGATGATGATATTTAGTCCCAACATCTTCCAATTCTTGGCCCTCGTACAACAAACTTTTAGCTACCGTATGACCCCGCGGAGGGACTCTGTACACATATAATTCCCCACTTATTGATCATTCTGCTCACTCTTTGGTTTGTGTTGGTGAGGGAGAAAGTGAGTTCATCAAATAAGCGAAATGACCCGTGCTCTGGTGAGTGTTGGAAATTTGGGCTCTTATCTTACCCACCATCCTGGCCCTGCTTTAGGCAGTAATATCCAGTGGCCGCGGAAGCCGTGGGGGCATTAACATTGTAGGATGGGGGGAGGCAGGGGTTTATATAAGATGGGGAGATGATGCCGACATCGAACAACCGTGGGGACATTGTCCCCTCAACCTTCCGCGGCCCCTGATCACCACCACCATGTAAAGTAAGCATGAATGAATGAATGAACACTTTGCTCCTGGAGAAAGTACTGTGTCCCGTCTGAAACGAGACTCATTTAGCGAGGTTTTGTTGTTGAGGGGAGAAGGATATGGAAGCTGTGTTTTGTTACCATCATCATTTATTTTCCTCCCCAATTAACATAGCGGATGGATATACATACTTATGCCCGGCACGATACGCTGGAGGGACCTGATGGGGAGAGAGATTGGTGAATGTGTGTTTCTGAATGGTTTACTTTCACCCATTACTTAAGGAGGGGAAGTAGTAGGGTTAAGTTTTAAGGTGGTACTTCAAACCCTGAATATGTGTGTACTTTCACCATGCCACGTTTCACATTTAGCTCAGAGCGAGCTTTCTCTTGGCCGGTGATGTGTGCACTGTTCTGAGTAATTCAGGATCTTATTAAATTTTTGTGAAGGGAATTCATGCCCAGAATTTTTATCGGGGAAATGAACACACTTTCTCCACGAGGAGGAGGAACGTAATGGTGCAAGTAGTGGAGTGGATATGTACTGCATAATGAAGTAATTAAGTTGTATTGTAGCTGTGAAAGTAAGGTTGCATTTCACGCGTAATGGGCACCACCAGGTTTGGTGAAATGGTATGCATTATTATTTCCTCTCAAGCAGAGCAGCAGCAGATTGTGCAAAATGGGGGATAAAATTTGCATGTGAATTTCACACTAGGAGGACAGATGTTGGCTGTTTCGAGTGAGTTGATTACTCGGATTGACATGAAAATGTCGAGACTCGGTTTAATTTAGTATTCCATTTATTATTCCGTCTTAATTGAGACGACATAATTAAGCAACAACTTTCTTAACTCTCTATGCCGTCGTAAATATAACGGTGTAATAAAAGTCATAAATAATTGAGCTGAGAATAAGTACTTACGACAACATCAACAAGTTTTTGAACAAATTTTTTTTTACACTAGTTAGAATAATAAGTAATAAAAATGTACATACATATTTATGAGATATGGATTGTCTACTTGTTAACTATGTGTTTTTTAGATAACACGGAACCTTGTGATGTGAGATTATGTTTAGTATGTATTTTAGTCACAACTTTTTCTTTGGCAAACTTTTTGGCAACATTTTTGATTGATTTCATTTAACTTTCATCACTAAAATTATTATTGTTTCTCGTAATACCTGATAAGCCTTAAAGTGATAAGTTAAATCCAAATTTTGTCTCCTGTATAAAACAAATCCTTACACAACTTGCGTATGTATTACGTACCTCAGCCAAATTGTTACTCTAGACAGGACAGAATATATTCCCTCGTTGATTCACTTATTTGTATTCATGTCTGGCGAAATATCGCAGAAATCATTTGGCATCGGGACCGAATCGATGATGGCGTTTTGATGGGATGAATGACAATGAGAATGTGAGTTTACACGATGGTGTACGAGACTATCGTGCTGGTGCTGCTGCTGGTGATGTTGGAGGACTACCTGTTTTGGCAGGGTGGATGATGCCACCTATTTACAACGGAAGAGTGTATATAGCCTCGTAAAAAATGCCGTTAAAAAAATCCCGGATTAAAATTAATGATCATGATTATCAAGCAGGAAGGGAATAAATCTATACCTTGAGATTACTACTGGCTTCCTGGAGGTTCGACTTCTTGGAGCTGGAGGAACAGAAAAGCTCAAAAAAACAGACCACGATTGCAATAACCATTCCACTAATGAGGATGTAAAAGATTCCGGCCAGATTCCCAAGGGAAAGTTCCTCCTCGTTCGCAGAGTCGAGTTGATCCAACTGGAAGGACAATTAGCGAGCTTTTACCTCTTTTCACTCTGAGATTTCTACGGATTCCCACTTAATTCAAGAAGGAATGTACGCACCTTGGTGGCAATTTGACAATCTATTTTATTCATCCACCATTTCTCCTCGAGTTTACGGAGGACGCCGCTTTCTCGCAGTTTTAGGATTTCCATGTTCATCTTGCTCCTGGAAGGGAAGGAAAGTGAAGTCGTAGTAATATTAATTATTTGCTTCAGCTCGGAACATTTTTTTGAATAATTGAGCTGTTTTCCTTACGTCAATGGCGAACCACCCGGAAGCCCCACGCCGTAATGAATTTCTCCCAAGTCGTACCCGACCTTGATAGTGTTGCAGGGCCTGAAATAAAATATTTATTACATGTTATATTCCGTATTACAAAAAAAGTATTATGAAATTAGCAAAGCTATGTTTTCAAAATTTCCGTAACTTTTCCCATCTTTGGTCCCTTCGAAATTTCCCTTCAAAGTGCACTTTCAAAAATAAACTATCATCGTCAGAGGAGTTGAAGAAAAATCTACTTATAAAACATTTATATTACCGACTTAAAAATTAGTTGATTGGCATTGAGCTCACTCAATCAGACTTTTATCGTACATTTTATTAACGTTGACTTAGGTGACTCATCGCCTGTGACGTCACAGGTCTAAAAATCTGCACGTTTTTTCTCATTTCTCGGTTCTGGGAATGTATTTTTAAATTCCATCGGGTCATTTTGTAGAGCAGGTCAGTACCAATTTATTAAAAATATGCACTGTAGATTTTGACCCGTTTTGAAGGAGGAATACCAAAAAGAGCGAAGGCCTTCAGAAAAATCGATATCAACAGAGTTGGCTTATCTTCTTTAAAAAAAACTCATCGCTATCCCATTAATCAACTTACTGACTACAAAATGACCCGACGGATTTTTTATTTTTCATTTCATTGTTCCAGAAAACGATTTCGAAATCATGGTGTGCAAAGTAACTTTGGTATGTAGGTAAACTTAAGTTCATCATATGGAGTACATTACCCGAATGAGCCGAATTATTTTATTATTTTACACCAGTTTATTTTATTTTGGCGTTTACATTATTCAATTTCGTATGATTTTTACGCCAAAATAAAAATAAGTGGTACGAAATAATAGCTTTCGCCCTGTGTTTTTTGCCGTGAGATTTTTTGAGACGATGAGTCACCTAAGTCAACGTTAACCACTTCGACTTTGACAAATGTTATGTAAACGAGGATGAATTTACGAAAAATTCGAGAAATATGTATGTATTTTGATTTTGGTCAAGATTTCCGAAGCCGATCTTGACATCACTCTTGGCTCTTGAGTGTCCTCTGAACATTTTTCATATGGTCTCCAGAAAGTTTTGACTCAAGTGATAAGAGAGGGAAACTTACGGAAATTTTCGAAACCTAGTTTTCCTAACGGCCTATCTAAACTATATAAAGCAGGCGAGTGTATCGCTGCTGGCTGGCTGGCTGGGTCGGTGGCTTAGTTGAGAAGTTAGCTTCTCCTTTTCTCTCTCCACTCTGCAGAGAGAACAGGAGAGGCTAACTTCACTAATGTTGGGGTAACGGGCTTATCGACGGGCCTGTTTTGCACGTCGATTGACGGGCTTCTACACTAGTTATGCAATATTACGCATTACCTGCGATTGCTGACATACTCAATTTTAGCCGATTCCAAAATAAATACGTATTTTCCTGTAGAATTTGAAAAACGAAATGCTGAGCATGATTTCCCTCTTACATAATATGAATAATAAAGTTATATAGCTATGCAAATTACCTTTCTTCTGCCTCACAGCGTTGATTCCGTCTTCATAACTGGGCATATTTTTCTGATGAGGGCCACTCATATGAGCAAACATGGAGCGATAGACTTCGTTCTCGGAATTCTTAATGAATTTATCATCATAAAATTCAGCATAAAATTCTTTTATACGTATTAAACGAAATTTTATCACTTCTTATCAAACCTTAAAGAAATCGTAGGTCGAGCCCGACTGGAGAGTTCCATACTGAATTCCTGCCCGGTCGACTAAATCCCAGGCTGATTTTATGGGATTGGCAGCCTTATTTCGGAGCCTTATGGCGATGTAATTCCCAGTATAAACGGACACAAGGATCAGGGCAAACATCCACCAAACTGTGCTTGCAAATTTTCCAGCGATGGATCTGTAAATTTTAGCGAATTTTTGATTCAAAATTCCTTTTGAATTATGTAAATCTTGAAAAATATGTGCCCACCTCGAGACAAAAGTTCTATTATTCGTCAAAATTGCGAACGCCATCCACAAAAAGTTCGAAACTGGGAGGCGTTCACTCTTCTGCTTTTTTTGGATGAGATACATCTGCGTGTGGGTGTGATCTTGAGCCTGCTGATGCTGAGCAAATTTGGCGTGTAGTTCGCCATTAATTCGCTGTTGGTTTTGATGGGGGATGAACTGATGGTCTGATTGGGTGTGGTTGTTGTGAGGCTGCTGGAGTGAGGTGAGGCGATAAATGAGGTAGAAAACTGCGCTCACTGCAACGTAAGCACCCAGAACGGACAGCCACACCCACTCTGAGAGCGGATTCATAAAGCTGAACATGCCGGGGAGGTGCTTTTTCGGTTTGTACGCCATGATGGAGATTCCCTAAAGACAGAAAATTAATTGATAAGTTTAGTCTATCAATATGTGCATTTTGATATTTTTTAGTTTGGTTAAAACCTGAGTGAGGAATGGTTTTGTAAATTCAATGACGCGTTCTCGGTCTAGATTAGTAAATTATTAAGCTTATTTCGTTATCTAGAAAAATCATGTCTGAATGTCGTACCTGCGGTGATGGTCAGCGGGGCGATGGATAAATCTGCCTCCTTGATAAGGTAAAATTGGATAAGGGAACGTAACTCGTAATTAATTAAGCAATAATTTTACTATCCAAATTACCTTGCGAATCAATTCGCCCACAATACCATTCCAATTTTCTCCAAAACCGGAGGGCATTTTCGCCCCATACTTTCCATCACGTACGAGTTGGAACTTATCTAATTTTTTGAAGAATTGTGAAATTTGTTGTCTTTCATGTTGTTAAATATTTTTTTAATTCTTACATGTCACTCCTAAATTTTTGAACACAATGTCAGCAAAATCTTTAAGGAATCCTTCATAAATATCATTTCCAGACAAGGACTTTCTCTGGGATGGACTCTTCAATTTTAGGAATGGTTCATCCTACAAATTTTATTGTCCATAAGTAATTGAAATTCAATTATTGAATTCAAATATTTACTGTTAATTTTAGGAGGTATGAAAATTACCAAAATTGTTGAAACGATGTAAACATCTTTCTCTCCAGAATTTCTGACTTCTTTGTCGTTATTATATTGGTTGTGACTTTGTGGGGTTTCTTCCACCTTGAACCCAGAGTAATCCGTCCATTGAGCAATCTAAATGCATAAACCAGGAATTAATTCACTCATCCAAAACAATGATAGGTACTAATTTTTACAGACATTTTACATGTATGCAAGTACCTTGACTTTCGTGGCATTGTCCCTCAACTCCATCACATCTACGGAGAAATACTTTCGTGTCCCGTTATTTTCGTGAAATTGAAGATTGCCTAATAAATTTTAAAATTTTGATTAAGTTCAGTTTGGATTTATTCAAAAATTTGAATAGATTACCTGTGAGCCCTTCCGTTTGCACCTGGATAAAATTTGCATATTCTTTTTTACAAAACTATGTAGATAAACATTTAAATTATTTAACTGTAAGACTTAATTACTAACCCGTCGCAAATGCTGGTTCACATTTTGTCCATATTCAAATGGCCGAATATCGTCCAAAAAATCAGAACCAGACTCGCACGCGGAACCAGTTTCTGCACCGTATCGATTAAAAGCGTACGGATTGTCGGTCAGAATGTCGGTAAAGGATTCTTTTATGATCAGCATGGCGTCAAACATAAACGCAGCGTTGGCCTACAATAATTAATTAATTGTTGATTAATAGCCTACTAACTTGCATGTTTTATATTGAAAATGTACCGAAATGCTATCCTTCCCTGCCCCAGGGAACTGCGTGGTGTCTAAAACGGCCCACTTCTGGAGAAAGTCTTGCACGTACTTCCGCCCAGTGTCGACCATCCTGAATCCCGTGATATTTATGGCGTTGAACTCTAAAATGTTACTTTCCCACGTGTCGTCAAATGCCTAATGTCGTAATTTTAGCGTGAGAGTAAAAATGAAGTCAATTTACTTAAATTATCGAATATTTTACCAAGTCTGCCAGCAAATAATGATACGTCCTCCGGCCTAGTTGCACGTCTCGGACGTGGCTTAGAATGATCTCCTTGGCCAGTGGGGTGGGTGTGTCGAGGAGGACGTATTTTTGGGTAAATCTGAAAATTGTAATCTATTTTGTAAAAAAATGAATAATTTTAACGTCAATTTTGGAACAAATGAATGATTAAATTTGTTTGTCAAACTGCTTTCTATCCAGATTCAAAGTGCTTCAAATGCAAGAAATGAATATTTTAACAATACCTCTCGGCTGCTTCCACCTCCCTCAAAACAGAGATTGCATCTTTTGCCGATGAAATCTTCTTAACTACTTTCACTTTCAGCATATAATCTGGTTCGGAGGTGCGATAAAAGAGAGTTTGAAGGCGGAGAAGTCCTAAAAAATGGAGCAAAATTTACAGTTCTCAGGAAATTGTGGTCCCCTGCATTTTTTAAAATGTAAGAAAATATATATATTAAAATTATTACCTTCATTCGTAGAATAAAGGTAAATAACTTCTTTCCATCCATAGTGGTGAATCGTGTCGAGTATCGCAGGATTAAAATCGGGCCGAAGTCTTGTCGCGTAGTCTGATCCGTCATCATTCTGTGCCTGATAAATAATTCATTTATTAACTAATTAGCCATTAACATTAATAATTATAAATATTTACCTTTCCCCGACCTCCCCCCGCTTCCCTGGGCGAGTACCATGAATTTGGCGTAATTAAGGGCATGTGAAATGTATTAGCGAAAGCACGATACGTATGAAACGATTCTGCATTCATGGATCCCACCATGGCGTAAATATTTCGCGAAAATTGGTTGCAAACTTTTATCAAATTAAAAAAAGAATAAGATGAGTTAGTTAACAACCCTTTAATTAATTATGCTTAAACATTAATTACTCAATTTGGACAGCTTAAACGCATCCGCCGTGTTTATGCTGTCAACGAACGCCGTCAATCTATAGTTATCTCTCGGATTCGTGGTAATGTTGAGGTTCATGGTGAGCAGGGCGTGTTTAAATGCCGTCTGGATTTCCGGACTGCCTTGACCGAACACGATCCCTGCCAAGTTTAAGAACAATAATTGACTTTAAAAATCCATAATTGAACAGAATTAAGAAAGTTTGTTACCCAGTGGAAGCGGAATGTTTCCAGCTTTCACTGAATGGGAACCACCATCAAATGAAAAGTAACACAATGCAACAATTATGATAAACTTTCTCCCCCCAAAATTTCTTTGGCACGGCATATTTGGCACAAAAGTTAACCCTTTTGCTTATAAAATTTTAAATACTTTTCATTTTTTATTCGTTTTACTGAACTTTATTGGAGAATATTTGAGCAACAAAAATTATATAACAGGAAAAGCCTGTCCCTTCATGGAGAAAGGAAAACGAGTGTCTACTTCGTGTGTTGTTCTTGTTATTATTGTGGTAGCGGTGGTGGTGGTGACAGTAGAACACGGCAACATTTATGCTTTCTCCTTCATCGAAAACTTGATCATCCCAAAAACACGGAATCATCCAGAGGACCATCACATCATCTGCCCAAATTCGGGACGAAAATCTCTTCGGCTCCGAGTATCGATCTGGCCTGGCAGACTAGAGATGTAAATGAAGGAAAGGAGGCAAGTAAGTAAACTCGCCGTCGACTATTCTTCCCAATTTTCAGGGAAGGAGGAGGAGGTACAAAGTCGCTTTTTGATTCGATAACATCATCATGATAGGACAACGAACAAGTGCGATGTTGCGTGCAAAGGAAGGGAAAGTTTGTTTGTCGGGGAGGAAAATGTCATCTCTTTCTCAGAGATACGGACTTACTTCAGATCAGCGTGCGTAATGGAGTGGAAAGTATGGAATGAAATCGAAATAAGATTTCCTTACATGAAACGCAATTTAGTTGGTGAAAAGAAAAGAAAGGATTTTTCTTTTCATTTGGTATTTTATTTTACACGCTTTTATCTATATCATTTATTTGCTACTCTATTTTCGGGGAGTTGTCCTTTGTCGAATCAGTCACGGTACTGTTGGCCGTGGGGGATTCGATGGTTTCTTCTTCTTCGTGATGATGATTTTCGCCGCTTTCATCTTCATCATCAGGGCCTTGTAAAGCTGATATTTTTGCAGACTCTTCTTCAATCTGGGGGGCTGGATTACTTTCAATGGATGATTGAAGGGCTGAACTGTTTGGTTGCGTGGTGGAGTCGGTGGCTGCCTCTTCTTCGTGGTGTGAATGACTTTCACCCAGTATGGAATCGTGAGTGTGACCTTCTTCTTCGTGGTCGTGGTCATGTGGTGAGTGGTCATGTTCTTCATGGTCATGCAGGTGGTCATGGTCATGTAGATGGTCATGCTCGTCATGATGGTCATGCAAATGGTCATGCACCACCGTCGTATTTCCACCCCCCGAATCCGGCGAATCCGACATGGTATCTCTCTTCACCCCTTCATGATGTTCATGATGATGATGATGAACATGATGAATGTGCTCATCATCATCCCAACTTTCAATACTACCAAGCCGTTCGAGATCATCGCCATCATCCCGACTTCCTATCCGTTCCTTGTCCTCATCACTTCCGGTTATTTCTTCCGCTTCGTCATCACCCAATTGACCACCTTCTTCCTCCTCCTCCTCATCAGCTTTCGGCTTAACTATCGTCTTCCTACTCTCCGTCGTGAAACTGTCCATGGGTAGAACTTTGATGGAATTCCGCTTCACCGTGATGAACATTTCCGCCCCCACCATGGCCGAGGAGGAGACTCGTTTCCTTCTGAATTTCATGTACCCAGGCAGATCTTCGTCCGGGATGAAGTCCGTCTCCAACTGGCTGACGTCCAGTTCTGTCCGGTCCCAGTCCTCATCGCCAGGCGGGGGAGGAACCAAGTGGTCCGGGGATAAGGTAGATGAGGACTGAGGTTGTCCTCCGAGCCCATGTTTTCCATGCTTCTTGTGGGTTTCTTGCCTGTTTTCTTTGTAAGAATCGGACGAGAGTTCGGACGAATCGGCGAGTTCTTCGTAATCCGCAGGTTCTGCTCGGTGGGACGTGGGGGGCATCATTTTCCGCACGTAGGGACCATACACCTTCGCGATCGTGCTGGGTTTGTAGGTCGGGCGTTGATTGGAGGTGAGCGCGCCACGGGAGCATTTCCAGTTGAGGAGGACGCAGTAGTCGGAGGTGCGATTGTGTCGGCAGAGGTTGGCGAATCGACCCCATAATTTGTGTCCGGCTGCGACGCCTAGCATCGACCAGGCCGCGAGACCGTGAGAGTGGGTGTGCTCCATGGTTTTGAAGTCTTCGTAGGAAATTGTGTAGCATTCTTCGGCCTCCCACATGTGACCTAGATAATTATTTTGTAAGATTTTTTAAAATTGGTGTGTGAATTAGCGTGTCGAATAGTTTTACCCTCTTGGAGGAATAAATGTCCAATTTCGTACATCGCGTCAGCCTCCAAGTCCTTAACTTGAAATTCTGCGGCGAGATCTAACTGTTTTGCGAAACATTCTAAAGCTTCGCTAGATTTGTGGGATCTACATGAAATGCAAATTGCTGATGAAAATTGTCATTAATTTTCTCCCTTGGAAAAAATAATTGTGGGAATTTATGTAGATACCCGATAAGACACAGGCCAATGTTGTGATATGCGATCGCCTCGGTTAAATAGTCACCAGTCACGATTGCGTTGTGCTTCAATTTATCAAAATAGGTGAAAGCATCATCGTAAGCTCCACTAGTGAAAGTAAATTAGCATAACGTTAATTTAAAGAATTCTAACTATCTGAAAAAATACGTATGCACCTGTGTCTCAAAACTAGACCAAATCTGACCAGGGCACTACTCATTGCAGTAGGTTGACGTACTAATGCATAATTAAATATAGTTATTATAGGAGTTTAATCAAGAATCAAGATTCAAGGGTTAAGCTGTTTGCTAAGTTTTAGACCTTCTAGTGCCAATTTTAGGGCATGATCTGCAAATTCATGCGCCACTTTGACATCCTCGTCTACGGTTAAAAAAATATCAAATTATAAAATTCAAAAATCAGGTAAGCTTAATTACTTAAATTACCAGTCGGAGCTCGATGCGAGTGCATAATCTGATTCGCTAAACTGATCAATAATTCATGCTCCAAAAGAGTAGAAATCATATAAATCGTCATCGAACATCCGTCCACAACGTCATAGATTTCATTCTCTGTTCAATATTTGGAATTACCAAGTTTAATTTTTAAATTTAATTTTCAGTCTGTCACTCACCATCAAATCTCAATCCGTGAATTGCAATCGGTTTTTTCAACTTGATCGTTAGCACTTTCGGCTGAAAACAGTTTAAACAAAATTATGTGGAATTGTATCCATTAAACTAAACTAATTTACGTCGAAGCAAATCATTTTCATGCAACCTTATCAGCTGTCATAAATAAAGTCTGGACCCACAATATCAAGTCAGGCCATTTATTGTCATACTAATTGTCCACTCCATTCCTCAGTTTAAAAAAAACTTGCCCCAATTACTGATATGTACTTACTTTAAATTGCCAACGTTGATCTTTGCTGAGTTGGCGACACATGGCAAGATGATCGATCGCTACGGCTAGGGAGGTTTCTAAACAATTAATCAACTAATTAACCAACTATTTGGACAAGATTTCCACAGTTGTTGGTTGGAAGCTTAGAATTTCTTACCCAACGTCTCATCCGTCTCTCTGGCTAAGAACGCTAATAAGCAGTGTAATTCAGCCTGCGTCTTTTTCAGGCGCAACTCTTGCCTGTCATTTTCGACGCTTTGCTCCTCCTCCTCAAGATCGTCTCGTCGCCGTCGACACGCAGATATGCTGGAGAGGAAGAAATGCTTCGCTAGCCAAATATCCCCCGCGTGCATGGCAGTTTCGCCCAGATTTTTCTTAAAGTTGAGTGCCACCTCGTATTCTCCTATTACATAATTAGTCATTAACTTACGGTGTCAAGAATTAAAAGCATTTGTGCATTGCACACCTTGGGCCATGTAATTATGAAAAATTTTCAAATTCTCGGCCAATTTTGCCAACTTGCGGGGTTGATCGCGGAGGGAGGGTTTTCCAACCATGCGACCCCTTTCACGTTCACGGTCCTCTTTTCTAAACAAGGTATGAATTTCTTGCGCTGCATAAGTGTCGCCAGCGTTTATCATGTCGTGGAGGATGAGCATGTGGAAGGGTTGTTCCGCTCTGGTTTTTCATGAATAAATGTAAATTACATGGACAGTTCTTTCAGAAATGCGTATGGCTTTCATCACCACCTGGAAATTTCCTCCGGACTCATTAAAGGATACTGTTCGTCTAAAAGGCCACGCCACGAGTTGAAGTCCTTCTCCGCAATGGGAGCAATTCGTCGCCCAGTGGGAGCGTGTGGAATTGTGGATTCCTTCATCTTGTGTGGGGAAGTTGGGGGCAGGTTACGTCCAGATTTATTTTTTTCTCGTCCACCGACGCCCTTGTAACGACTCATGATTGTGATTAAAATGTGGACCACAATGAAATTAGGAAAATTTTGGATAACGATGAAATAAAGCATGATTATTTGTCAGTTTATCGCTCGATAAGGGAGACTAATGTAACCTGGATACTTAAAGTCAAAGCAGTCGTGAGCATGACGCATTTGTGGGTGGCTTTCTAATAAATAGATGTGTCATCCGATGGGCGCCCGTGCATACAATGGGAACAATGTACCACTTAAAAATAGGAAATTTAGCACGTTAACGTAGAATTCGGTGACTCATCGTCAAAGCCGTCAAAATCAGCCCATTTCTCGCCTGTGGGAATTTTTTTAAATTCTGGACGATAATATATATACACGTATGAAAAAAGGGAATTTGCAGATGCAGGTGTAAGGGTGTTTATATAATTAGATCAGATTTGTATTTGTATATGTACAATGTACTTTATATTTTCGTAATTTTATGCCTTTGAGTAGTTGATGTATGCCATTTACAAATTTCTTTGTTGAAGTATTTAATTATGCGTATGCAATCCGACTCGATATGTGAATGTAAAAGTTGTTTAATATTTTGAAAACTTACAAGTTTATTCGTAGGGGATTGTCACTAAATATTTACAAAGATGTCAATACAGATATATAAAATATGTACAAAATTACTAACCTATGAAAATAATGTGTTTAATAATTAAATTATAGCGTAAGTAAAAAATAAAATAATTACGAAGAGATTAATTCGATTTTCTCGAAATGTATACAAAAGATGTCAAAACAGATACTATCTGTTTGGACATCTTTGGAGTTTTGGCAGGCAGGCATTTGGATATCTGACAGATATCCAAATTATGTACAAAATTCCTAACCCATGAAGCTAACATGTTTAATAATTCAATTATAGCGTAAAAATAAAATAAAAACAAATACGAAAAGATTAATACGTAACGAATAAACTTCCAAAACTATTTATCACAAATAAGAAACTCCTCGATTATCAAAATCTACTCAAATTCTCCATCCAAAATTATATCAACAAAAATCTCGATAACTAACTAATTAATATTCGAAATGACTAAAATCTGAATATGGCATCACACTCTCGCTAATTTTCCACTGGGACAATTTGTCATCTAAGAGTTGGCGACACATCTCCGTCTCTTCGAGGTCCTGAAATCAGTCAGAGAAAAATACATAAAAATTTAGATTTATTTTTACTTATTACAAGTTTCTTAGCTGACAAGAAATGATCACAAAAATCAAAATAAATACTCAAATGCTTACCCCAATGGAAAATCCGGTCAGGTTAAGGATGCTCAACGACCTGGTGCATAATATTCCTTTGACAAAGTAAAGTGGCAAGTTGAATCTGGACATTGGGGGCATATCGTCCAGGATAAAGTCGACCCGTTGCAGTTCTGTAATTCACAAAAATAAATAAAGTTTCCATTAAAAATTATTCCCAGTTTTTTCATTTAGATTTTCAATTCAATTCAACAGTTTTTATACGGATGTATGTATGCATTTGTAAATGATAGAAATTAACTTACCAGAAAATTTGGGCAAATAATTCACCAATGCTGCATGAAATGCAGCCGCAACCCAGCCACATCGGAGTTCAGCACACTGTTGAAACTTGATCTTGAGCTTCTTGATCTTCGATTTGGCCAAAATGTTTAAAACTTGACCCACGTACACGTTTTGATACGCGAAACTGACCGTGAGCTCCAACTCTTGCACGTTTGGAAACATTTTGAGCAGTTTTTCCATCGAGCTCAGATTTTCATACGAGGGGACAAATACGACATCAAGAACCACCTTCTTCACATGGACGTTGGCGTAACTCGGATTTTTCGGCGTGACCTTCCCCCTCTTGTAAATGCTCGGACTGAACATCGTCCCATACACGGTAAGCTGTGGGCAGAGCATCATATCTGCCAAGGAGGGTTGAAAATCACGAATCACCACCTCCTCCAAATTTGGCAACCTTTGCAGAAAATCTTCACTCCCAAGTCGCAAGCCTTCATAATTCTGATGGTGGAAGACCTTGAGTTTGGGCATGAGGGGGAAATCCATCATAAATCCCTCCTCGTACCTCGCCATTCTTCCCTGCAGCCCAAATTTCCGCCATTTGTCGCCAAACATGACAAATTTTTGCAAAGTTGGGCTCAACTTTTGCAAAAATTGGATAAATTCGGTCTGCACTTGAGCCGTGATGAGGGTATTGATCTTGAGCGAGGTGAGTCTCGAAAAGGTCATGGAATTCAAAATGTTCATCGCTACTTTATCGAGGGGGCCACCGCTGAGGGAGAAGCTGGTCAGTTGGCCCGAAATCTTTGAGTCTCTCAGCGTCATGAGGAAGTACATGAAGGTTTCACCTCCACAAAGGCAGTCGGTGTCGAGGATGGTCGCGTTGGGAGCGATGGCGAGGAGGGATTTCAAAGCTGCCATGCAGTTCAAGGCACGTCTCGGTCGGATGAGGGAGTTCCCTTCGAAGGAAATGGTCAAGTGACGGATGGAAGGAGAGGTGAAGGAGAGGCTGGATTCGATTTCAGGGTCGAGGTAGTCGAGATTTTGGAGGTGGGATAAGGTCAAATGGGTCAAGGAGGGACAGTCGCGACCCACAAGGTGCGACACGACGGAGAAAAAGTGGTTCGTGCCGAGGGAATTGGCCGGGTCTTGATTGGCGTAGGCTTGCAGGGTGAGGGAGGTGAGGGAATGACCGAAGGTGGAGAAGAAACTGGACGCTCTTTCGGACAGGAAGGGGGTCGAGGTGTGGTGGAGGTTGTAGGTCAGACTGGCCATGGGCAGGGTGTCGGTGGGGGTAAGCGTTGAGAGGAAGGCGTCACTTCGTTCGTCGTAGAGGGGGCCTTCGAGGTGGATCTTGGAGCGAGATCGGAGCAGTGGGGTGGCCATGACGGACCAGAGGGAGGATACTTGGCTGCAGGTCTTCAGGGAGGCGTGGTCCAGGTAGGGGAAAATGACGTCGAGGACCTGGGAAGATATAAATTGGGGGATATTAGTTACTTCATAATTACATTATTATTACCTAATTATTCATGAAACTCGCAATATATTGTGACAAACATGACCGAATGACGAACATGACAAAATATTCGTACTCACAAAATACATGTGAATACGAATATTTTGTAAAAATATTGATAAAGTGATTGCATTAAAGTAAAATTAAATATTTGAGAAAACTTAATTGTTATAAATAATAATTTAATTGTGTATATAAGTAGTTGTCTCAATATGCCTCTTATTGACATTTTAAAGTGATAAGATTTTGTATCAAGCCACAATTGGATGTCTCAAACTGCCTCACATTTACCCTTTACCCATTTGTGTGACTTTATTTTAACTCACAACATGTAACTCAACTATTAATAAATGATCAACGGCTTCTTACATTTACAGCAAACAAAACAGTACAGATTGAATAATTCCATCTAAATCTCATACTTATTTTTGGGCAACCAATTCTATTCAATTATCAAATTTTGTAACCCAACATAAACAAGCATGAAATATATAACAACTGTAATCTAATATTGTGCAAGTTGATAGCCCAGCGAAACAATTAGCCGTCGTCTATATGGTATACTCAGGATTAATGAATCACTTTGTTAAATATAGACACAACATGTACACACGACCAACCTTTCTAATTTGATAATTTAAAAATATATGTATGTACTGCCAAATGTCGCATATAAATCTGACTCATTTTCAGCAATTATTATTATTATGAATGCAATATAATTAATGGTTGAAAACTGCAGGGAATATGAGACGGCGTAAATAAGCTCATCATGAAATATTTTTTGTGCGATAAAATCTCAACTGTGCATGCATACTAAATTAATTACTGAAACCCAGATTAAATTACTCACATTCGCAATCAGGAGTGGATTAGTTTGTCGCCAGCTTGTCGTCTCCTCCTTGGCGACGACGAGGGGTTGTTGGCCTTGTGGCGAAATTTTCTCCATCCTTTCGGACGGGGACTCACGGTAGTACTCGTTGAAACTGGTTGCCTGGTTGGTCTTCTTGGCGTGGATGCTGCGTCTCGGGACAATATCGTAACCGATCTCCATAATGGACACTTAAAAGTTCTCTTCTTATCAAGCACTAGGATTCAATTGTTCTTTTACTTCTTCAGTTACTTCTCACTTTAATGGGGGACAGATTTATTGGCAGGTTTTATGTTGTGGTTGGAATGTGGATTGATTTTTTTTAGCTAAAGTGCTATAAAATATGGTTACTGAAGGAGGACAAAATTGTGAATGAAGACTGATTGTCGAATGCTGGACTATTTATTTACTGGAGGCAGTCAAGGATTAGTTAAATGTGGTGGTAAGCAGCAAGTAAGCAGGCAAATGCATAGCAGGCCATGCAAAGTGAAGGGTCACTTGGTCGGTGAATCGGGTAGGGCGATACCTGAGGAAGGGTTAGTTTTCCTCGTTGCAGGTACCGAAATAAGTTTCTTGGTAAATTGGGTGGGATTAATATTTCCAGACCTTCCAGGGCAAACTATTCTGAAGAATATTGGAAGAAAAATATTCCAATGTTTTCATAAGGCGTAAGTAACTCAATATTTTTGACCGGTCGTTGATACCAGACCACGCATTTTTGGAAGTTTTCGCCTTTCTAATTCCTGTAGGATATTGTTCACAAATAATATTATGAATAAGTAGGGGATACATATCTATGAATGTAAAATGTTAACGGATTTATTCTTGGAATTCGAATTGTGGCAAATATGATAAAACTCAACAGCAATTTGGCAACTTGTCTATAATGGATTTAAATACAACCAAAAGTTTCGACATTATGATATGATATGAATAATTATTTCTGCGTATCTATTTAAAAAAAACTACTAAATACATGCAACTGTTTCAATATAAAATTGGCTAAATTCTACTAGATTTGATTGACTATAATAAACTCTGCATATGACCCGTCCCCCTCTAGCCCAGCCTCCCCCACAACTTGGAACTGAATCGGAATATTTGTAAAATTAGGAGACTCGTGAATTCCAAAGACTTGAGATTGGTGATAAACGGTCTGGTCGGGGTTATCTTGTGAAGAAAGAGATTCAACTATGACGAGCTCCTTATTGTTGTCAGTTTCATCTTCTTTCTTGACAGCAGGCTTCTCAGGTTTCTCGGTTATTTTACGGTGAGTAGATTTGATATGAGAGTTTAGATTGGTCATCTGAGAAAATCCTTTGTCGCAAAATTTGCAAATATGAGGCTTTACTTGCGAGTGGATGATTTCATGACGGCGTAATTTACTCGAGTTGGTAAATGTTTTATCGCAAGTTCCGCAGGAATATGGTCTAAAATGGAGATGCATAAAATTAGTGCATTCTTTTCATAATTTAGTTAGATAATTAATCAATTAATTGCGTAACTTACCTTTCGCCTGTATGGGATCTCTTATGAATCGTGAGCTGGGATGCTCTCGTGAACGTTTTTTTACAGACGTCGCAAGCATGGGGTCGTTCGCCCGAATGGGTGAGCATGTGGAGGCGCAAATGACTCTTGTGATCGGCCCCATGATTACAAACTTCGCAATGAAATCGATACTCGTTGTAATGTTGGGTCCTCTCGTGGATTCGAAGATTGATTGGAGTGGCAAACGTCTTGTCGCATTGGGGGCATTTATAGGGCTCAAGGTCCAACTCTTTATGTTTGGTTTGGTGGTATTTCAAGTAGGATTGTTGAGAAAAGGATTTACTGCATATTTCGCAGAGATAAGATCTACAAAATGAAAATAGTTTGCCAATTAAGATGAGAAATTAAACCTCTATGGTTTAAAACATTAATTAAGTAACCTCTCGCCAGTATGGAATCTCTTATGAGCGTTGAGCCGATATTCGCGAAAAAATCCTCTTGGACACATACTACATTTCAACGGAGTAACTTCGGGGTGATTTGTCTCAATGTGACTCTCTTTTTTGGGAAGACTGACAAATCCCATTTGGCAAACATCACAAGTAAATGGCTTCTCATGCGTATGGTTCAACCGAATGTGGATACTCAGGTCGTTCCGACTTTTGCATTGTTGCAGACAATTTTCAAAAGTGCATGAATATATTCGTTTAGGATCTGCAGATAAATTCATAATACAATCTCATGACTAATAATTTAACTAATAATTTATCATAATATTTATTTTTTATGACTTTCCACACCTTTCAACCAGTCAGGAATATTTTCGCCATGTTGCTTCACATGAATCTTCAAATAGCGCATGGATGGAAAACCTCTTCGACAAATCGGGCAATCGAACGGATCGGATATTCCTGCATCAAAAATTCAAAATTATTACAGAAATTATTACTGGAATCGATGATCCTGAATTTCGCACCTTGGTGAACTTTCTTCACATGCATGTGCATCTTATCGACGAATCGAAACATTTTATTGCATCTATTTTCGGGGCATATAATTCTAACTCCAGGTAAATTGTCAGATTGTGGGATCACGCTGCCCGGTGTGATTTTATTGTCATCAGTTTCATCTTTGACATAGCATCCCAATACTTCCTCTCCACTGGGGAGTACGACTTTGATTGAAATCGTGTTAACTTGAGGATTGTCATTCTTTCTCCTTCTTCTCCTCTTAACCGGTGGCGGTGCGAGATCTTTTTTAGTTTTTGTCACTACTATTTTACGTTTTTTGGATTTTCTTTTTGAGGGAGGAATTGATTTCTTGCGTCGCTTTCTAGTGGTTATTGGTGCTTCGTCAATTTCGTAATCAGCATCCTCTTCGTCGTCGTCATCATCATCGTCGTTGTACGTCGCTTCGTCGTCGCCATGTTCTTCTATTCCATCCTCATTTTTTCCACTCTCCGGAAACCAGTCTGGATCTGGTACCATATAATTTTCATCATCACTTTCGTTATCAGATTGCTGTAATTTAATTATTTCTTCATCGTTTTCCTTTCTCTCAACAAGTGTGGAACACAGCATCATGAGTCGTTTGGGAGGTTTGATGACGCGTCCGGTTTTTGACGTCTTCACTTCATTTGCCTCGGAAAGGTTTTCAGTTAAGACAAATGGGTTATCTGGCAAAATATACGATTCGTCTTTGGAAGGAATTCCACTCTTTTTACTGGGAGGTCGGCCTGTCTTCTTTTTCGCTGTGTGATTTCTGATACCTAAGTTAAATTTCATTAGTTAGCGTTACCCTAAAGAGAGCAAACAAGTAATAGTTATGACTTTATTACTTGATAAGACATCATTCCTAATCATCTCCACGTTTAACATTGTATTATTCTTAAATGCCATTCCGTCTTCAGCTTCAGGGTCTTCGGCACTAGTCATCAATTTGCTAAGCAATTGTTCCCTTAATTCACTCATTGATTTCTCTAGCTCTTCCAACCGGGCCAAAAATTCATTAACTTTGTCCACAATTTCGCAACAAATTGGACAAATTGGTGGTTTAAAAGCGAGCATATCTTGTTCATCTTGCTTTTTCAGCTTTACATTTAACACTTTGTACATTTGCTTCCCAGTCGTATAATTGACGAGAGATTTTATGTTATCCTCATCAATAAAGCTGTAGCAGACGAGGCATCGCAATATTTCTGGGGGTGGAATTTCTTCTTCATTTTCTTCTTTAATAATCTCCGGCTCAACAGAAAAGGCGATGGGTAGTTCGTCGCTCAATTCTTTGTCTTTTTTGGTAGAACTTCTAGTCCTATCTTTTTTATTGCTGCCCTTTTGCTTTGAAGGGCTATTACCCACTTCTCGCGAAGCAGATGGTTGAGTTTCTAGTGGTTCCATTCTTGGCGAAAAGGTTCAGGGATTAGCTCCACTTCTTGCAGACTTTGCTATTCACAACAAAAACAATCCTTTTGTAAATGCAGGCATTGTTTAGGTTAAGATAATAATTCTCTCATACAGTTTGTAACAATCAAGCATATTAAATTAACATGTCTGCTTACCAATTACCAAAACTGAACATGAAATGAGTCAAATGAAACAACCCCGATATATTTTTGGAATGCTGAAAATTTACGAAATGTTGAAAGTTAAAATATGTATAAAATTAGAAATTAAACTAAACAAACTCACCACCAGCAGTATTAAAATTTTTAATCTAAAAAACCCCAAATAAAAATTTGTTCAAAAAGTCTCCACTATAAATTACTTATATTCAAAACGATCACCAGAAACAGACTTCCATGCTATCAAATATTAGATAAATTCTTAATTCTAAACGTTTTTAATTTGATTATCGATTATTTGTTTATGTTTGTTTCAAGAATTAAAATAAAAATAAAAATTAGGATAAAATTCATCATCACATGCAAATTTTTTGTAAAGTAAAGGAAAGTGAGATTGTTCTCGCGGTACGAAAAACGGCACCACTTTAGAATTCAGCAAAATCATTTGGATTGAGTTTTTGCCTGTCATTCATTTGTTGAAAAGTCGGCTCTACTCTCAATTTAAAAAATAACATTTAAAACTGTAAAATTTCGAAACATCGTCACTAAAATGAATAGCGAAGGAGGCGTTCGATCTTTCGACAGCTTTGCGACAAGTCTCCCCAAAGGCGAGCGAAGGAATCCCATCACCCACACGCAGTAAGTTGTGAATCGTTTCAGATGCCGATGATGGACTTATTTACTTCATAATAATTCACATGATTTTGCATAATTGATAATTATCCTCAGAGCACCGGTCACTACTGGAACAAGTATAATTGCGTTCGAGTATGACGGAGGGATTTTGATGGCAGCCGACATGCTTGGAAGTTATGGCTCGTTGGCGAGATACCGCAGCGTTCCCCGATTGTTGAAAGTTAACGATAAAACGGTGATTGGATGCATGGGAGACTATGCGGACTTCCAGTACTTGCAGGCCATTATTGAGCAGATGGAGTAAGTTGATAATTAAATTCATGAAAGAAATTGTGGGTCTGATTTAGAAAACCAGAAGCTATTGAAGTGATAACGAATTGTTTCTCTTCAGGGTGGACGAAGCCTGTAAAGATGACGGATTTCAAACCACAGCTCGATCCCTGCATTCTTGGCTGACCCGAGTTTTGTACAACAAGCGGTGCAAGTTTGATCCGCTCTGGACGACCTTTGTAGTGGCTGGATTAGATCAAGACAAACCGTGAGTCGGGTTGAATTTAAGTCCAGACTTATTAGTAATTAGTAGTGGTGTTTTTAAGGTTAATCACTTAAAACTTATATTGATTTGCGACAGGTTTCTTGGATTCGTAGATAAGTTGGGGACAGCTTACACTGACCCCATCATCACCACCGGCTACGCCTCCATGCTCGCAACCCCACTTATCCGAAAAGCTGTGGAGGACAAGCTTAAGGACAAGAATGAGAAATTGACACTCGCCGAGGCTCGTAAAGTCATTGAGGATAGTCTCACGTTGATGTATTATCGAGATGCTCGTGCTTCGAACAAGGTGAGATCAATATTCTAATATAATGTCATTCTGAGATAATTTGTTAAGTGATAATTATTTACTGTAGTATCAAATCGCTATAATTCCATCCAACGGAGAGGCTTCTATAATTGAAGAACCTAAGACACTTTTGGGAGACTGGAGTGTGGCTCATCTCATCAAGTAAAATCTGAATTCCAATATTTAAAGATTTAAACTGCATCATGTCCTATTTTTACTAAATGCTCGATTTGCATTACTTTCAGGGGCTACGAATAAACTGCCAGCCAACCAACTATTAATTTTTATATGAAACTACTACAAATCTAAGAAATTGAAGTTAGTTTGTTGAAGAAGATTTAAATTCATCGTGTATGCGTGTGCCTAATGTTTATGTCACCATTTAATTATTCTACATAGATCTTTTGTATCCAATTAAACAATGTGGGTGAAATGTCTTATTGGGATTTATGAAAATAAATACGAATGTCAACAAATCATAACAGTATATTTTTAAACCAGAATTCAATTTATTCACTTTTACCGATTTTGCTTTCTCCACCATAAATTGATTACACAATGAAAAACGATGTAATAATAATAGCCCAGAGTTCAAGTAAAACGATTGAATCCCGATCTGACGGTTGTATTTCAAAAACAAATGGTTACAATCTCCTTCCACGTCGTCCTCCCTTCCTTCTAGTCGAATCGGATGGAATAGGCGTCACGTCCTCAATTCGACCAATCTTCATCCCAGTACGAGCCAAGGCTCGGAGTGCAGACTGAGCTCCAGGTCCCGGAGTCTTAGTTCTATTTCCTCCAGTTGCCCTCAATTTAATGTGCAGAGCAGTGATTCCCAACGCCTTACATTTTTCGGCGACGTCTTGAGCTGTAAAATTAAATGCACATCAAGCGATCAGTTTTATACCGTTATTTTTTAACGATATAAATTGTATGCTACTAATATAAAGCCACTAACCCGCTAACATGGCTGCGTACGGTGAAGCTTCATCACGATCTGCTTTGACCTTCATTCCACCGGTGATTCGAGAAATAGTTTCCCTATGAAGAACAAAAACAAGACAAAGTTTAGGACATGTACTAAAATCATGCTATCGATGAGCTTAATAATTCTCTACTCTACGAGCTACCATTACATAAACTGTGAAATCATCCCCTCTCATTCATCACCAATTAATATTTAATTCTGACAATCAAAACTATGCTCGACATTCTTTTTTCATTTGAAAATTTATGCATATTGTTCCAAATTAAATACTTAATTCCCTCCGTAGTACTCACCTCCCCGACAAATCCGTCACATGTACGAACGTATCGTTGAAGCTGGCGTAAATGTGGGCGACGCCAAATACCATTTCCCCCTCCCTGACCTGAGGGCCCAGGGAGATTTGGGCTTCCTCCTTTGGTGCGCGAGTCTTTCTTGGACCCATCTTGATCCTATTACCAGTCTGCAAAAATATAAATACACACAATTTATAACCCTACAACTTCTCTTTCATGGTTCAACACAATTTCGAAATTTCGAAAACTTACGGCAAATGTAGAAATTAATTAGCGGAGACGACAGCCGAAATTTAGTGAACAACTGAAACCACGAGGCAGAAACCGATAGAGAGACAGCTTAGTTAGCAGTCGTGCAGGACAGAGCGAGCCAAAAGAGTGGCACTGGAGCGCCACGGAGGACAGAAGGCGAACTAATTCTTCGCACCAGAAACATGAAAACCTGCATGAGCAACTTGCTTAGAGCAGAGCAAGTAAATAATAACAATAATAATGTAAATTTGTAATTTATTTTAGTTATGCAAATTTTATATAAAAGTTTGATGGTTATTTTGTAAGAACTTATCGTAAGGTTGCATTTTGCTTTGAAATTTTGTTAACTTGAGTTTTTCACTACAGCTCCAAACTGAAACAGTGAAAAACTTCAAATTAATCGTATATTATTTCTAACCTAACATTTTTTAAATCTTTCTTTAACTTGTAAGCAAATATTGTTGATGCAAATTAGCTAAACTTGAAACTCACTCTCTTGAATAACTGAATACTTTGTAATAACAGTTTTATCATCTAAAATTTTATTTAGCCATCATTTGATGATGGCTAAATAAAGAGATTTAAAAAATGAGTTATATTTTTTGTTTACGTTTGAAAAACAGAAATTTGATCTTGTTACAAATTGCATTTCTAGTCATTTTACATTTCCCAGTTTCATTTTAATTTCATGAAAATGTTATCCAATTTCAGAATTTCACGTTTTGCTCTTCTCTCCCATTCTAAGGATGCACTTTCTCCTTTCTCTTTTCAGAATTACGCCATCCATGTAGCTCCTGTTGGAAATAATGAGACCTTAGGTTACTTCCGGTTTGAGCTCAACCCTTTCGTTCATCGCAGGGATGTGTGTTACTGTGGAGTGAGATTTTAGCTATGAGCTCAAGTGGCGAGACCCATGAAGAGTACGCAACATTGAGGTAATCCTACATAGAAATGATGACCAATCTCACTTCTTTGTGGCAGGACACATACTGGAGGTATTTAAACCGAGTGTGCTGCACTTATCGAGTGGTAAGGAGGAGGTTTGGGTAAAGAAGACATTTCCTAATTTTCAAAGATTAAAATGAAGTTTGTATGTCAGAATTTGATGACAATTTGTTTGATTCTTTCATACATGTAACTTTGGGATAGTCGCGACTTAATTCAAGACCTTATCTCCCGTGCAAATTCGTCAATTCAATCAACTACACTTCGACCGAATATATGAATTGTCCCCCATGTAAATGTGCTGTAGTTAGGGCCAAATTGACAAAAGGGAGAGTTGTGTATACGAAAAGTTAGTGTAGTAGATAGATAGTAGGGATTCTAGTAGAAGTTACTATTGCTTTGCTAGCCTAGGATATCCCGTTCCGTGGAGTGCACTGCATTGTGATTATTGTGATTGTTCATCTCCTTTCTTCAAGCTGAGTTTCCATCCACCAAAACTTCCACACACTTTTACTTACTTTACTCGGTCGGATTGTATGAGCTGGGTCGGTCGGATATGAGAAAAGAAGAAAAGCACTGCTGAGCCCCATAAAAAAGAAGAATTTTAAGTAACATCAATTAATAATTCAATTATTTATCATCTTTATCTCTCTCTCTCCGAGATCAAAGCAGTAAAGGAAAGAAGGAGGAATAAAAATTGGAACTGGATTTGGTAACATGACAAGAAGACCCTACAGATTTTATGGACCTTAATTCCGTCTGATTATTAGTTTATCCTCTCACTCAGCAACACGCCCGATCCGAACCCAGAAATTCAGACAAAGGAAACACAGAAGAAAAATTTTCAACAAGTAAAAATTCGTATGCTGCTAAGCTAAAAGGTTCTTAATAATTCCTCAACAGTTATTTTTTGACTAAATCTTCGCAATATAGAATTAAACTTTGGAGAAGGGACAATTTTTGTGGGTGGGTGTGCCGTGAAGGTGGGGGCGGACTGACTCAACTATTAAATAGTGTTATTCATAGTGAACTAGTTTTAAACACGAGTTTGGATAGTTTCCAAAATCTGCCAACCTTCAATTCAGTTTGCCAAGGCACGGGGTGAGTACTTTTTCCTTTGTTCTTTTAAACAAAAAATTTAAAACATGGTCAACTTTGCTGGAAAATCAGAATTCATTTGGTAAACATAATTCATTGCATCTTTCACTATTGGAATTCTGCATTTTTAATTAAAGATAGCATAAAATGTGATATTCATATAATTCCAAACCCACACAAAATTAATAACATAACATATAATTAATATCACACGGTGTGAATCACACCCATCAAGTTCAATTTAAATCATTGCCAGTTAATCGTAAATATAATTTTATCATTTTCGACGTTTTACTTATTCCATTTACACTTTTGCTTGCAAATTTTGATCAACCAAATCAATTAAACACAAAAATTCGCCCTTTCGATTTGAAATCCAGTAATGAAAGTAATTTAACGAACATGTTTATCCCATTATAAAAAGCATTTTCCAATCTGCAAAAATATATATATATCGCCCCCTCATTTTGCGAAACCTCCGATCCCATAATGGCATAACTTTATTAATTAATTAGTTATCAATCATCCCATTGTTTTTCTCGTGCTCTTGAAAATCACAAATATCGATTTCAATTGTTCCATGGTAGTCTCCGTGCAAAAGAGCGACGAGACGGGTGAACGACCTAAGAAAGAAGAAGAAGGGTGTGCAGAAGAACCTCGCTTTTTCTGCACCACACTCCACCACCACCACTGGAAAATTATAGTGAGTGATGGGAGTGCGTAACCATAAAAAATTTTGAAAGTCGATATTTTTTTAGAAACCGAAACAAACATTTGCGTACTTGTTACTATACTATCAATATGACGGCGTAAACTCAAGTTTATCAACAATGAGTGAGTAATTTAATTATTGTGACGTATCATTTTATTATTGAATGAAAAGGCTGTATAAACAAAGGAGAAACAGAAATCAATCGTAACGTAGTATTTTAATAACATTGGATTGGACATAAAAATATGAGACTGGTGAAGACAAACGAACAGCTCAACACAGGGTTCAATGGCAAGTTCAATTCCTTTAATGACGGCTGGAAACCTATGTAAATATGTACAAATAAATGTCGTATTATTAAGCAGAAGAGTCATTCATCGGAGGAGTCGTTAAAGTTAAGTAAAGTAGTTGGGTGTTAATGACATGTAAAGTAAAAAGTAATGGGTAATGTTTGACTTATTGTGTCGTGTTGTACATAAGTTAGTTAAAGGAGTTATTAAATTATGCGTTTACATTTTTTTGTCAAATATGTCTGTGGCTCTTATCTCTTGCTTAGTTTTTGTTTAATTATTTGTAATTCTTAAACCCCCTCGGAGATGCATTCTTTCTTTGCCATGATATGATATAAATAGTAATACCAATATGTCGCGTTGTCTTTGATGGTGATGGGGATTTTTTAAAAGAGTGTAATAATTTTCAAAGGGTTAAATTATCTTATATATTGTGTTGACAATTCTTACGTTTTTGTCAGTTAAACTAGTTGAACAACAACATTGTGGAATATAATGTACGGTACATATAATGTTCTGGATATTCTACAGCCACACTCTGACAACTTTATTGCATCCCCACTATTTTAGTTGTGTTAGAATAGAATTAAGTATCATCTTCCTCTCGTGCGTTACGTATTCGGTTACATGATTAAACTGTTTAATGGGAAAGAGTTAAAGAGAACAAACAGCCGTCGGTGTATGAGCGTCCATGGGTCTGATTCTCTATGTGATATGACTTACACATAAAACCAAAGGTGGGATAATGTACAGAGATCAAATATCAATTAGTTTTTAGTGACGTGACGAGTTCATTAATTTTAATTTTATCTGGTTTCAATTTCAACTCACTGTAATCATTTTGGACAATTTTTATACCTTTCAACCTTATTTACGCAAACATTTTAAAAATAAAGTCACCAACCTGGTGGTGAGCTTTATCTGTGTATATTAAATATACAAATATTATCACACTTTTCTGCAATATTTTTTGGTCACGAGTTGATTGGTTTTTGGGCGAGAGAAAGTTCAGCATCATAAATAACCGTTGCAGCTCATTGGATCGCTGTATTTGCGTGCCATACTCCTATTCAATTTACAATTTGGTCGTAATCGCATTGTAATTGTGATGATGTGAGTATTTGCTCGGCTTTAGGTTTTATTTAATGGAACATGACACTATATATGTGTATTTCGCCCCATCACCAAACCTCGTTATTTATAATGATGCGTAGCGTATACTAATGTTTTTGGTAATAACGATACTAAATGCTCGTTAGTACAGTTGTGGATTGCAATACAATACGAATTTTCTCTTGCCACGTGCTACACACAACAACGACAACTCACTTCTTGTTTACTATTATTTTTGACCATGTTTTTTAAACAAAAGATAAATATGATTTCATGTGAAATGGACACCACGCGTGGTTAGTTCCTGGTATTCGTGGTACATATTTATGTACGACATCAGCTCTGTCTAGTGTCATTTTTCTTGTACAAATTTGTATTTTACGTTACGTTTTTCTGGACAAAAGTCAGGTACAGATCAAATAAATTTTTATAAATATTCTTGACATTTAAGGGACTCCAATTTGTAGCTCTTCCACTTCATGCCACAAGTATAACAAATCCGATCACAGACAGAAGAGAATTTATTCATCCGTGACATTAAGATTTAGAATTAGGGCGTGCGAGCTACCATTTTCCATTTATCTCTGCCTCGTACAAAGTGGATCATCCAGTCCGAGAGGTTTATTTTCTTCCCAATGTGAATCCTGTTTCTGAAGGAATGAAGGATAAAGAAATGGGATCGGATGCTCACTATTTCATGGAACATCTGCTTGTCCAGACTGTTGCAAGTTGTACTTACGTACCAGGAATATTGTAATAGGACCAAGTGCTGCGTATACTTAATCGGTGTGGCTACATAAAATCAGTAAAATGTGTAAAAGAAAGATGAACTGAGACTGGAGGCATAAAAGCAGCCCTTGAAATTGTAATCCATCCACCCACTCAGTCACTTCACTAGATATTTCTCACCCTTCCATTTCCATCCATCCAACAGCATAATATTCATTCCTGCTCCCTTTCTTTCTCACGACGAGAAAGACAAAGGGATTTATATCACAACCCATTCCGTTACAAAGGGCTCAAATTTTGGATACGATGATGATGGATTGTGTTGTTCAACTCAATTTTTGCCTCAACAATTAGCGGAAATGGGGTACTACAACCGGTTGGTTAGTAATGAAGGGAGGGAGTGGGAGTTGGAAAAAATGGTGTGTCAGCATCCGCGGAAAGAAAAGGGCTCATATTTTTTTAATGACCAGAGATTGTGGATTCGTCATCATCATCATTACATGTACATACGTTGGTATTTGGTCATTTAAAATTCTTGGCAAAAGGTGTGATGATGAATTTTTCTAACTTTTCCAAGTATCTAGTCCGTCCGTCACCTTTATCTTCTTGATGATGATACATATCGTGACGGATAGTTGTGTAGCCGGCAGGTACATCTGTTACTTGTAGTTTATTAGGAACAAAGAAATTCTTTCATTGCATTGTGTCCCCGTTGGCAGATGCAGATAGGAATGGGAGTCGTCGATTTGTTGGCCAATTTAAAGAATACCTGGTGGTAGGTTTTTTTGTGGATATTATGTTGTTGCGTAATAAATAAAAGTTCTGGTCAGTGCAGTTACTAGTTAATTGTCTGGCTTGCAGTCTGTAATAAAATGTAACAGACAATTAAAAATAAAAATCCACACTGACTAACTCGTCATTTATTGACTGATCAGTACGACTTGGGTTAAGCAAGAATTTGATTATTTATTTTGGTTATGCAACTATGTAAAAATGATCAACTTTAGGTTTATCCCTGTATGCAAAGTTTCAGTCCTGTCCTGTCCTGAAGCTGAAACTGGCTCGCATTTTTGTGAGCATCATGTGTATGTTACCAGACAAAGAAAATGGTTTGATTATTACCTATAAAGTTTTAATGGAAAATATTAAATGTTACATAATTCGAAAAAGAGTAAAGTGATTAGAGTTTCATATGCTGTAAAATGTGTCCTTAATTTAATTCATAATTTAATCTTGTTTATGAAACAAAAGACAAGAGTGATTAACTGATTACATACAAAAAGCGTCCTCGTATAAATGCGATAGAGATAAGTGAATGGTTCATTTTTTGATGGTTTCTTTCCTCCAGTCTTTTTCAGTTGTGTATCAGGCAGTAACATAAATATTAATTGCATACCAAAGGTTTAAGCGTTACAGAAGAGTAGTAGTGACATTTTACTTTGTTTTAACAAAACCAGAACCAAAAAGTAAGCAACCAAAACCAAACGATGTAACTGACTCATTAATTTCGTTCGTCCATGAACTGGTGAAAGAGAGGTGATTGTGGTCAAAGTGCATCCGGCCTTCTTTTTTGAGACCCTGCCATTACTATTTTTCGACTTTCCTATAATACGTGTAGTTAGTCATTTGCATAGAAAGAACTCATTTTATCTGTTTTCATTATTATTACTCTTGGTCTAACCTAAATAAATCTATTATGTATTTATCTCCTCCTGGCCGCCCTCTGTTTTACGTTAACTTTGGTTTGGAAAAGGGCGATATATAACCGGATAATGGGAATTCGATTCTACACTCCTATAAACTTGTTGGCAATAATTAAAACTGGATGAAAATTGCTCCGGATGTGAATCCAGCCTAGTCGTGTGGGTAGATCTTGACAAAAGATAGCGTAGTAAAATCAGATTGTTGGAGATTGTTGGGCGTTGTAAAAATAGGACGATTTTAGTCCTGGGAATTCAAGTACGAAAGTAGAGCCTTGTTTCGACGTACAAACTCTCTGAGCAAAGTTGACTTGTTCGAGTTACGTATAGAAATAGTGTGTCAAATAATTGATTTTTGTACTAATAATTAATTATTGGTTTGTTCCAGATTGGCTGTTTAATTGACTCTCTTGGGTGGAATTTTCTCAGTTTCTCTTCCTAAATTGAGAGTGGAATCGCTCGCTTAATTCTGTTTTTCGTTCGTGGTAAGATACAAATTATATTGTGAAATGAACTACTGCATTTTTACTTTAACAATTAACACTATTGAAGTTCTGTCATTTTGAATTGCAGGCTAAACTTTTGAGTTTTGCATCAGCAGCTTGGGTGGAGGGATTATCCTAACTCTGCTGAGTTTCCTAATTACAATGTCTTTATTACGTCAAAACCGTAGGCTTTGACCATCGTGGTCATTAGCTGCGCGTCATAAATTTGTAAATAGTAGGCTGTAATTTGTAACCTAGAAGAACTTACTTGTTATTGACACTTCTACGCTAGTACTGCTTCTGTTATTGCATTGAAATTAGAGGTGAGAAGTGCTTTCCACGTTATTGAAGCAGTCCACCTCTTTCAATCCCGAATCCCGACTCCTCAATTTGGTTCCCGATTCCGTCGTTCTGTCACGGATTGTTACTCTTCTTCTCTTGTTCGGTCTGGTATACACTTTGTGCATCGGAACTACTTCAACAAAAATACATTTCTTGAAAAAATGACGTCTGGAACGGTATCAAAAGTATCATCCATCCCATTTTCTCAAATTCAATCAGTCCTGATGTGTCTATCCTCGTAAAATTAGTCGTAAGTGATTTGCATATGAAAAATTGGTTTGCAAGTAAAATTATTACACCAAGTAAATATTTTGCAGAATTTAATTTTCTGGAAGTCGATAACGTGCTCCCGCAAGTGGTGGCACACAACCGATCTTCACCCTGGCTGCACAAGGAAGAATTCGTCCTTTTGATCAGTTTGCTGCGCTGGAGGTTAGTGATTTTTAATGATGTTAATATTTAATGTAAAATGTTTAGACAAAAATTACATTACGCTTAATTTATTAAAGCGGGCAATGCGGGATTGGGAGTTGGTGGACTCTGACCGTTTTTCATTCGAAGATTCCGATCGGTAAGTAATATTACAACCATGAATCGGAATAATTTAAGCACCATTTATCGACAAAAATTTTATTTTGTTTACTTTTAATTTTACAGTTTCGAAGAGGACTCGTTATGTTCCTGGATTTCAGAGCCGGAAAGTTTATGTAACAACTGGAGGGGATGGAAGAGATCTAATTTCCCAAGCAATCCAAACCCCATCTTGAATGGAGGTATGATTTAAAACAAACTAATATATGATACAATAACGAAAATAAATGAACATATTATTTAGGCACTGGCGGACCTATCGGAGGCAATGCGTCATCTTCTCTGGGTGCCGCGTACAGTGCAAATGGGGGGAAGAAATCATCCGCAGATACACCAGCGGTGCCAGGTCATCCACCCCAATTGGTTGAACTGGCTGCAAAATGTGTCGCTTCTCACATACCGTTTGAGTTGGTGGAAAGGTGTGTTGAACAAATTCATTAATCAGGATTGGTTGAAACAGAGACGATATAAGTTTTGTTTGTCGTAGGTTCTATATTCCAGTCCCAGAACAGCTCCAATTACGGATTGCGTTTTGGAGTTTTCCGGAGCATGAAGAAGATATACGTCTGTATTCATGTTTAGCCAACGGTGCTGCGGAAGAGTTTCAAAAGGGAGAAAAACTGTTTAAGAATGATTGTGTTAGCGATATTCTTCAAATTGGTATATCTCTAGCTTTACTTTTTTCTTCCAATTTAACATCACGATTAACTTTGAGTTTGATTTCAGGGTTCCATCTGAGCGCAACAGTAAAACCCAGTATGCGAGAAGCTCATAAGGTTGCTGTAACATTTGACCGAAGAAGAATCACGACCTGCACCTGCTCATGCAACTCGGTCACGAATTGGTGCGGTCATGTCGTGGCAGTATGTTTAAATAGGATTTTCCAGGTGTGTACATAATAATAATTATTATGTACGTAATCCATTTAATTATTAAATGGATTACGTAGGTGTATATTCTCAAATTATATTAACCAACCATGTTTTATTTCAGACGAATGATGTCACCCTGCGAGCTCCTGTCAGCGAATCTTTGTCACGGCTCCATCGCGATCAACTTCAAAAGTAAAGGAGCAAAGCGTTAAAATATGAATGAACAGATTGTGATTTACTTTGCACTATTTTCAGGTTTGCTCAATATCTGATAAGTGAATTGCCACAGCAAATTCTTCCCACCGCGCAACGTCTTTTGTAATTTTCCATTGAATTATACACATAATTAATTTCGATGATACATGGGACCAATCTGATTGCCTGTGTGTTTCTCTTTATTTTCAGGGACGAACTTTTGTCATCTCAACGCTCAGCTATAAATACTGTGAGTTTAATACTTTAATTCGCTTTTTGTTGTCATTGCCATTATACTAACGTGCTATGATCACTTACTTGTTTAGCTTCGTGGTGCTCCAGACCCAACTGCAGGAGCTTCTAGCAACGAACAGACAACCTGGTTTCTGGATGAGAAGACTCTTCACGGGAATATTCATAAAATTCTCATAAAATTCTGTGTTCCAGGTTTGAAATATTAAAATCGCATTAATTGCCATTGTAATAAAAAGCGGGACGTTTGCTAATAAATTAATTTTCGATTTCAGCTCCAATTGTATTTAGCGATGTAAATTACCTATCCAGCGCGGCGCCCCCTGCTTCCGCCGAATGGAGCAGTTTACTACGACCTCTCCGTGGACGAGAGCCCGAGGGGATGTGGAATCTTTTGTCCATCGTGAGAGAAATGTTTCGTAGAGAAGATAGAAATGCAATCCCACTCTTGGAAGTTATAACTGAAGAATGTTTAAACTGCGATCAGGTACAGAAGTCGTAGTAAACAAATTAAATAAGAGCTAACGTATAGATTTTAATAATTAATTATTTGTTTTTCAGATTCTCGTGTGGTGGTTTAACACAAAGGTTGCTCTTCATAACGGAAATTCTGGACATGGTGGGAAACATCATAGTGTCAATTCCAACGCTCACGCCTGTCAGGTTAGTCTTTTTTAAAAGTTTGCATTATGTTAACCTAATCAATAAATAAGAACAGTTCAAACGAATAACATCTGATTATCTGTTTCCAGCACGCAGGGTCAAGTTTGTGTGACGAAATTGTTATTTTGTGGAGGCTTGCTGCTCTAAATCCAGGACTTTCTCCAGAAGAGAGAAACATTTTGTTGGGGCAGTTTAAGGTATAAATTAAGCCTATAATGGTTTGAGACAAAGCTTGTGCAAATGAACAATATTGTTTAAATGTTTATATTACTATTAATGTGTATTATATCTATATTTCTGCAGGAGTGGCACATGAAGATTATCGAAAAGGTCTCCAAATCCCGAAATGCATCAGTCGGTTCCAAACATGCAAATAGCTTTAAGAATGATGTGGAAGTGTTTCCTGGTTTCCGACCTGCTGTAGAAGCCTGTTATCTAACTTGGGATTCCTATCCAATTTACGGAGTAACCTATTCCGAAGCTAGCAAAGTGTACCATTGTCCATTCATGTGTTTTCGGGTAAATAATTCGTCAAGTTTATTTTCCAGGTTTTCTGCTAAATTTGAATCGAAATAAAACGATTTGTTATATATTTTACAGCACTCGGATGGCCACTCTCGCTCCGGAGATACTGGGCTTATCCATTCCTCGCACGCCGTTCTGAACAACCCTGCAGGGGAACATCATCTTCTCCACTCCTCTGCAACGATCTCATCTGCACCAGGAATCACAAAACGGCCGAGAAGCGTGGATTGTGGGGTGGAACGTGGAGTAGCTGATGCTGCCAATCATCATGAAGCTGCTGGTCCGGGACCATCCGGAAATAAATTGACTGTCCCATTTTCTATGGACGCAGCTCCAGGACCGTCCTCAGCCATGGGAGGAAAATCTTCTTCAAAATCAGGAAAATCTCGGAAATCCCGTGGGACCGTCAACGATAAGCATTTAGGAATTAGTGCGTCTGGGCTCAAACCCAAGAGTGAGTTATCCATGCAGAGTTTCGACAACTCCTTTGATGGCGAAATTCCCGGCCCTTCATCGAAAATGTTGGAGAAAGTTAGTGGAATTTCCAACGCGAGTTCTCATTTATCTGATCTCGCTGGCCTAGTGAATATGCCACTACCGCTACTACCACGACCACCTCCAGCGCCAGTGCAACAACATCAACAGGACGATAATCGAAGCAGCATCAGCTCTGAAGGTTTTTGTGAGAATGATAATGAAGTCGAAGTTTTAGAAATTGAAATTGAAGGTGACAACGACGAAGGGGTGGACACTGACCCGAAATTGGTCCTTATACCACAATCGCAAAGCTTGAACACGACGACGAGCGATGAAATCGACGGAGACGGTGAAGGAGACAATGACGCTGATGCAGACTCTGACTCGTCAATCTTTACCCAGTCCGTCACCACGGGTGGAGTTGTTGAAGCCAGTGGAGCTGCTACCAGGAAATTCGACTCGTCGGACTCTCAACAGAGTGGAGATGAGTACCAGTTGTACTACTACGACCCGAAAGCATCAGTCGGCCCACACCGTAAGAGTGACAGTAGCAGTGCAGAGGAGAGCTCGGGGGCTAAAAAGGGTGGCGAAGTTGGCGTGACCGTGTTCTCTAACCTGAAAAGAATCGAGGATCCTTGGGACGTTTTATTTGCTAGGGCAGAAGGTTTACATGCTCACGGCCACTCAAAAGAAGCCTGTAAACTTGGCGTAAAACTGGCTACCGACCTGTTAGCAAATCCGCCCAAACTCTCCATCGAACTGCCCAACGTTCCTGTGGGGAAAGGGAAAAGGAAGAAAGTGAACCCCATCTCTCACCAAGTTTCATGCTTGGCGTCCACCACGCTGGCAAAGTGTGGCTTCCTATGCACCGTTCTCGCCGAGAATCCCGACTACTATTTCCTCGCCTTTCAGATTGGAATGTTCGGTCTGGAGTTGGCTAGACCACCCGCATCCACGAAACCGCTCGAAGTGAAGTTGGCCAACCAGGAGGGTGAGTTAGCGGTCCTCCTCAAGAGGATCCCTGTTGGTCAACGGGGGTTGGAAATGATGCGTGAAAAAGGGGAGAGTTTGAAGGGTGGAACGTTCAAGTCAAGAGGGGAGGCCCTGCTACCTCTCGTTCTCGCTAGCTTTATCTTTGACGTGTTGGTGAGCCCTTCGAACCGGGAAGGAAGGTGTACTCTCCAACCTGGTGTGTTCCACCTCCCCAACGACGAGGCTCTCGGATTCGAGGCCGCCGTGTCTGCTCTAGGATTGAAGGCGAACGTATCGGAGGCAGACCATCCACTGCTTTGTGAAGGGACTCGACGTCAACGAGGCGACCTTGCCCTGGTTCTGCTACTCCATTATAAAGACGACTCGGAAAAACTCGCCAAAATAATGGACAAATTATTGGACAGGGAGATACACCAGTTGTATAAGGCCCCACTGCCTCCTGCTTATTATTCGAATAATCCACCAACTGCTCCTCTGCTAGCCTCAAACCCGTCGACGAAAACTGAACATGAGGCGACTCACCCAAACCGAGAAACTTCCCCATCTGCTAGTAGTGTCATTGTTGGTGGAGGAGAAAGTACGCCCGTTGCGGTCAGCCCTGTCAATGTGGCAAGTAGTAGCAGTAGTGGTGGTGGTATACCTGTACTTCCTGCTACTCCACCTAATGAAGGAATTATTCCTATTGTTGACGCCGGAAATTCCAACTCTGGTTCGGATTCAAATGGAGAAACTAATCCGGTTGGAGAAGCTGGTGGAAATAACGTCAATGCTGGTGCTGCAGGAGGTGCAGCTAGTACCACCGCGACTGCAGGTACTTCATCCACTGCTGCAGGAGGTAGCTCGGCTGGGGCAGCATCGGCTTCTGGGCCTAACGGAAGTTCGGGAACGATTCAAAATCAGACTACCCAGACATCCACCAATATCCCAACCAAGTCGGGTCGTTACAAAGGCAAGCGAGCCTATCCCGTCCTACCCAACCAACCCTCAGAAGCCAGTGCCCACTTCATGTTTGAGCTGGCCAAGGTCGTCCTTGGGAAAGCGGGTGGTTCCAGCAACCAGAGTCTATTCACACAACCGAGTAACGGACAAAATCCTCGAGGACCTCATCGAGCCCTACACATGTGCGCCTTTCACATGGGGCTTTACGCGCTTGGGCTGCATAACGCTGTGAGTCCAAACTGGCTGAGCAGGACGTATTCCAGCCACGTTTCATGGATTACAGGACAAGCGATGGAAATCGGAGCACCAGCAATTGCATTTCTAATTGATACATGGGATTCGCACTTGACTCCACCGGAAGCTGTGACTATTGCGGATCGGGCGTCGCGGGGTGATGCCAACATGGTCCGTGCTGCAGCAGAGTTGGCTCTGTCATGTCTGCCGTATGCTCATGCATTAAATCCTAATGAGATTCATAGGGCGATCCTACAGGTAGGTTATAAGAAATAATCACGTTAATGATATGAACAGATTATTTATTATAATAAATATTTAATTATTTAAATTGCAGTGCAAGGAACAGAGCGACGGAATGCTAGAGAAATCATGTATGACGGTGGAAACGGCTGCGAAAGGAGGCGGTGTTTACCCCGAGGTTTTGTTTGACGTTGCTCGTCAATGGTTCTCATTGTATCAAAAGGTATATACAAGTGACTCAGCAAGTAGTGAATTAATGCAGAATCGCTAACTAATTATTCATCATTTTGTACAGCATTTACCCCTTGATGTCGATGTTTTTAATGACGATTGTAACCACCACGACTCTCTAATGTCCCTCGATCCTATGGACCCCATGAACGTTCATGGTCAATTGGTCTCACCACAGACCGGTTTACCTCCCCTCAATCTAAACAATCCACCACAGCCCCCACCATCCGTCTCCTCGGGTGGACCATCTGCGGGTCCAGGTCCAGGTACATTATATAATGGACCACGTACGAAACTTAAGACTTTCCTTAATTTTTGCAGTACTAATTCCTTTATTCATGCTTTTTAGACATGATTCAAATGCCACCCCCGTCATCGCATCACAGTGGAGCTGTATATCCGATCGGGAACCCGCAACAAGTTTCACTTCCGTACGGGCAGGTCCCTTACTTACCAACGAATTTCAATCAAGTGCCTGCTGGAAATTTCGTGTACGGGCAAGCAGTTATTTACCAGGTAGCAAAATTTTCAATAAATTATTGAGCATGAAAATTGAAAATTATGGAGTTTTAATTAATTAGTAAAGTGATCACCGTTTATGGATAAAAATATAAACATAATCGAATCTTTTACTAATTAATTTCAGCCAAACGCTCCAAATAACAACCCTGCAACGACATCGTCCTCCTATTACAACCCGCAACAACAACAACCCCAACAGTCTGGTTCGTACGCCATGCCACCAAACATGCACCCTCAGTATCAACAACATCCCCAAAATCATCCCGGCATGCCTCACCCAATGGTATCTGTCGGACCTCCTCTTCAGTTCTACCCTGCTCCGATTCCCATCACATCGTCAGCTAATGGTCACAATCATAACGCTCACATGAACATGAGACCCACCCAGGCTCAATTTTTTTCCGTAAATCACGGCCACAATATGATGGGGAACCAACATCAAGTTAACCACCACCACAATCCACCCAATAATGGTCCACAGCAGTTGGCTGTCGTCACAACTGCTCAGGGGCACCCCATGAATATGGGAAATATGGGAATGAATGGTCACCCCGTTATGCAATCCATGCCACCAGTGTCACACCATTCACACTCACATCCTGGTGGGGGTCACATGGTTATGTCGAATCCCGGAATGCATCCACCAGGACCTCAAGGACAGAATGGGATAATGTCGGGTGTGAACCCGAACCAGCCAATGATGGTAGGACCGAACGGAATGGGGCAGGGATCGATGGGCATGATGAACAATGGCAGAGGACCAGTAGGGCAACCTCAGGTACAGATTCCTCTAGTATTACGAGATTTACAAATGTGCTAATAAATTTATTATCACCATCTGCAGATGAACAACAACTGTGTTCACAATGGAATGTACATGCAAGGAAATAACATGATGATGCCGCCACAAATGCATCCAGGAAACATGCCGGCCGATATGCCACTACAATTACATCCCGGAAACATGCCGATGGCCGATATGCCACCAACATCGTCAGCGTCACAAGTACATACATATCTATATGCATAATTCTAAAATATTGAGAACATCATTGTATAGATTTTTTTCTAACTTGAATTTATTTTTGGAAATTGTGCAGTACTTTCTTCAGAACCCTCGGGAAAATGTGAACCATCAAAATGGTCAATCCGCTATCAAGATCAAGTATCTCCTAGCTGCCTACCGAGTTGGGATGTTGGCATTGGAAGCACTCGCAAGACGAGTTCATGATGATCGACCGCAAGCCAAGTTTGCGAGGAACCCTCCTTACGGAGAAGATGTGAAATGGTTGCTGTCAATTTCAAGAAAGTTGGGAGCACAGTATCTTCAACAGTTTTGCATCTGTGCCGTCTCATCGGTAAGAGACTCTCCTTTTGGGTAGAATTATCACTTATTATGATTTATTTTGCTACATGATTTTTGTCGTTTTACAGATATCGAACCCGTTTGTGTTGCATGAGATAATTTTGGACGCTTCGATGATTCCGACGAGATCAAACCTTGCCTACGTTTATCAGAACCCTCGTTCTCCATTGGCTCCTCTGGTGCAAAAATGTCAAGGACTCTACTTTCAATGTCTTCATCAAAAGCTCTACCACATCACTGTGTCCGACTATGAGGATTTTGTAAGCATAGTTTGCAATGCGAAGCAGGCGTTTCATCTCACTCCGGACGGTGTCAGCCAATTTAAGGAATGGCTCACCAATCTGAGACGGTAACTAATTATAATTTGATTAAAATTTATTTGTTCTGAGGGATTTTTGTTAATGTGTGATAATTTATGATTCTAGATCAAAAGCATGCAAGAAAGACCTCTGGACTCAAATAACATCTTCTCTTCAAGCCAATCCAAAGTGATGCTCGTGTTGCTTAGGTTTAATCGAATTTTTAGAACAATGGGACTCCCTGCCAGAAGAACAATTTTCTCCACTTCTCCATCTACACCAGCAGTTTAATCAAAATTCAACTCCTCCCCCTGGTTCGTATTTCAACACGCCGGAAGAATCATTGTTGTTGCAACAACCACGTCATCAACAGCCAATGTATTTGAACAATTATATGTCACCACCACCTCCGGAACCTTTCTCGTTCCCATAAATGATTTCCAGTTTCTTTGGGGGCTCAAGCAGTACTGAAAAGAATAGAAACGCATCCAAAATGGTCCAATATTGAGCCAAAAATCGGCACTTGCCAAACTTTACGTACCCCAGAACTCAGGACTCGGCTCAAGTTATTTACTATCCTCCCCAACTTTCTACTTATTTATTGGTAGCAGCATTTTTTGAAATTATTATACGTTCGTACTACTATATAAGTTATATTCATAATCGTACTACATACCAAAATTTCTCATTTTTATCCGATTTTTGATCTCGTTATACGTGAGGATTCACAAAACTACGTAAATATGCTTACTACTAATCCTAAGTATCTTTGTGGGTTTTCGAAAATCCTACTTTTTAAGCTTTCTAGATTATGTAGTAGTATTACAATTAAATTACTATGGCCTTTTCGTCTGCATAAGAACAGCACAATTTCAAAGAATTATTATACTAACGGTTCCGCTACATTTATTTTCATTCAAAAAATTCGTAGTGGACACTATTTTTGAGTCGTTGGACTACTTCTCATCATCAACATGCCTATAGGTTTATGTATTAAGTACACGAGATATTAAACCTGATTATAATGACAACTACAAAAACTATGCTATGCATGCCGTGTAACCTTATCAGTGTAACCTTACACACAACATTTGTTCGCTATTATTATAACCATTAACAATAAGAGTTATGCCTACCACATCATCGTCAGGGATTGTAAATACTTTGAAACGCATTTCGTGCTACAAATTTTCTTTTGCGTAGCATCTCACAAGACAGAAAAACATCTCTTTAGATGATGATTTGAAAATCAACAGCAATATAGCCCGAAGACAGAACAACTCTCGCAAGGGTTTTTGTCCAAACTTTGTCCTCCTCTTAAAACAATAGCCTTGTTCTCACACCGAACCAGCCAAAGACCAGCTTTCGTCCTTTTGTAAAAGCGTCCGGGCTAGTAAAAAAAGCACAAGATTTTTTTATGGTCATAATAAAAAAATTATCTTTAGCTTATCAATATATTTATGTGTAGCAGTGTTTTTCCCCTCTGCTAGTTAATCGTTAAAGCAAATGTGCTCATAAAATAACACGATTCAGAAAAATGTATGTAATATGTCCTCAGGGTCACCACCTAAAAAAATCTCTCATCGCGTACTCAGAGCTGGGAAAATCCAGATTAAATGTTCCCGATTGAGATTAGAATTAAAGATTAACTAATCTCAATCCTTAATTTACATAATTTTGAAAAAATGCAGTTTGAATAAATCTTAATCTCAAAATTAATCCAATCCCGAATGTAAGTCTTATCCCAATCCCAACTTTAATCTTGATTTCAATTTTTAATCAAAAATCAATTAATTTCCCAGCTCTGTGCGTAAGTGTAACCTATATTTGGTAAGTGGGAGAAATGTCCTCTTCGGATTATCGTCATCTTAAATCCTTGAAAATCTTGTGTTCAGTAGAGTTAAATAGTAATACACACACACCTCCTTCCTACATACATACTACCCTCCATCCATGTAGCGAGGAGATGAATCGTTGTCTTATAATAACAAGCTTACTACATAATTCTTGAAATAACTTGAAATTCCGAACTTGTATACTAAACTGTTATCATGGTTAAAAAATATTTATCTGTTCAATGCAAATGCTTCGTCGTCGTCCCCCTCCTCCCACTCAAATATATTTCCATACGTCGAATGGAAATCCAACCCCCATTCATTCATTGTTGCTCAGTTTTAGTAAAACAAAAAAATGAATTTAAATAGCCAAGTAAACGACAAGTTTTGAAATTCCACTTGAATTGAGTTTAGGTGCCAATTAACTATATGTATGTATCTCCATAAATTAATAACTATTATGTAAAATAAAAACCGACACTGGCTGGTTCATCATGAATTTAATTTAAAAAATAGTAAATATTTAGTGTCATGATGGCATTGTCCAAGGTCGCAACAGGAACTTATGATTTCACTTTATGAGGTCTCATTTTTTTTTACATGTTACAATTATAATTAGAAATCTAAATATGTATTATACCTAAGGTAGACACAACATTATTGATTATCAGTGAAAGTGAAAACTGAATTAAATTGGAATGAAATGCGGAACAATGACGTGTGACTTGTAGGCGTTGTAGGTAAAGAAAATGGTTTCGTTGTAATGTACAAATTAGTAAACTGTGTGTAAATGTATGTATGAATTATTATGATTACGCATTATTAACGCAGATGTTTTCTTTAATTAAAAAAAATAGTTTTTTGAAGTGTGTGCATATAAAATTTTAGCTCTGTAATGAATGTATATAAATAGCGGCTTGTTTTATCCGCCAGGATTGATTGAATTCCCTGTAAATATCAACAAGTACTAAATGTTGTTTAATAATACTAATAATACTTAATAGAAACGTACATATTATGTAGATACACAAGCGCAGTAAGTGTTGTTGATAATATATTATTAACGTTGACGTTTTAACGGTACGGTTTTAAAAAAAAGTAAGAAAAAATTCGTCGTTTTGTAGTTCAAACAGAAACTTATTATTATCTAGTAGAAGCCGTGTGTGTGTATTTACACCGTATTTATTCCATCCATTTTTAAGAAATCAACAAGTGTAAAACTTTAGCTTTAAAATTTTACTTGTCGTGTCTCTAATGTGCGTGTTTTTATTAGAAAGTGTTGACATTTTAGGGAGTACATCTCTCATTTTTTTACATATTAGAAAATATTTTATTAGATGGAAATCTTTTCTCTCACAAACTCTCGTCTCTCTAAAAAAACGACGTTTCTTTTCACCCGCACACACGTGCAGATATCCGAAAAAAGCAAGCCCAGTTTTGTTTTTTTGTACCGTACCGCAAAATTCGTACTTTTAGAAGGCTGATTAGTAAAGAGAAATTAATATCGTTTTGAAAAGGGAAAATAAAATATTTTAAAAAACGCCATCGTCACCAATATCGCTGTGACGAAAGAACAAAAAATATGAAGGCGTTTTTCATAAGATCTTTCACACTCAGAGCTTTATATACATCGCATAGGTTAATATCCCTTTTATAATTGGTATTATTACGAATTAGTAGAAATGGATGCAAAAATGTGGTTTCAAATTCCGTATGAAAAAAATACGTGCTTTTTTCAAGTTTTTTTTTGCATTTGACTTAAAAATTTGTTAGTTAAAAAAATTACGTCCGAAAATTAATTTAATTCCACCTCTACTCCCAGTGAAATAGTGTAGTTAGCATTTTTGTTCTTTGGTAAATTACCCACCATTTAATATTTGAACAATTGGAGACTGTTTTAAGAATTGCAATTCGTTTTAGCAGGAAAAGAGGTTTTTATATTACTCAGTTTTACGATTAGTTTAAAAAAATATAAAGTTCGAAATTAAAAAGATTACTGTTTATTGTTTTTTTAGTTGGAAATTTTTAAACGAAAATAATTGCAAGTACATATTTAAATTATGATTTCTGTTTCTCAAGACTGATTAGTTTTACCGACGCTGGTTATGTGTCATCTCATCAATCTTTTTCGAAATGTTGGTCTCGTTTATTTATAAGTCCTATGAAAGAAAAGTTCAAAATTACACTACGAGAAGGGAAGAAGAATATTAGGAAATTTTCGTGGGAACGATTTATGATTCCAAAATTTCATTTTATTATGTAATTCAGAATTTGATGCCTCAATTTTCAGGGATGTACAAAGTGTTGTTGAGTTTTTTTTAATGTTTAGTAAATAATTAACATAACATATTTTCAACTTGTGTTTAATTGCTCATATATATTTCCAAATTTCCAGAAAAAAAACAATGCAAGAAAAATTTGATTCCATGTGCGAATGGTGTTGATCGAATGCATGCATATTTTTAACTCTCTCGAAATTTCCTTCAATGGCCTGAATTAATTAATTAATTGTTAACTCATCAAACTGAATTTAATTTTTATATCTTAAAAATTACGAAAAACAACTTATTGAATTTCCATCACTGAAAAAAACATTAATTTGTCATCCATAAAAAAACTGTATTTATAACCTGTCTGTAAACTTTACCCGCTTCCACTATGTACAGTACATAATGTACTACTAATTGTTGATTTACTAAAAATTAGCCGAGTAATTAGCTTAACTAATTGCTTATAAAAAAACGTATTCGAATGGAAACTTTTTTCTGAAACTTTTTTGAAAGTAAGTATGAAAAGTTCTGTCTTTAAATTATAAGCTAAAATTAAGGTAACATGTAGTATTTAAATAATTGTAATTAAAACGTGTTGATCGGTTCTGGTGAATTCGAAGAGAAGAAAACAAAGAAAAAAAGAATAAACAAAACGGATTCACACATCGTATTTTAATTGCGATGATTTTAATCTCCTACGGATTGCATTAATTATAAAAGTAAAAGAAAAAAATTGAAAGAATTAATTGAAATAAAAATGAGCACAAAAATAAAAATTTTTGTGCGTTTACCATCCAAAAATTTTGGTCGTAAATTGATTTTTTTCCTATTTGCATACAATTTCCTCGACATTTTCACTTTTACCAGTTTATTATTCACTTTTGTTATACAAATATACAAATATTTTTCAAGGATTTCTATCACATTTGACATGACAGTCTGGATTTAAAGGACAATAATTACATAATTAGCTCACTATTGAAGTAAACATTCACGAACTGAGAGGAATTCCACATTGAAGGCACAGATTTCGAAACTCCGTGTGAAAATAGTCCTCTGTTATTTTGGAGAGCGAATTTCGACAGGGAAACAAGTCCGACGCGGCGCCCAGAGTAATATCGACTTTGTCCGAGTGGGAGAAAGTGAACCAGGAAAATACTGATCAAAATTAAGAAACGTTTTCAATAATATCACCAAAATTATTTATGCAGTGGCCGCGGAAGCCGTGGGGACACTAACATTGTAGGATAGGGGAGGGTGGGGTTTACATAACATGGGCAGATGATGCGGACATCGAATAACCGTGGGGACATTGTCCCTCTGTTCCGCGGCCATTGCAATTACGTACCTGTAAATGGATGCGAATCAATCAAAGTGAGGAGCGGATATATCATTTTAATTCGCTGTCCCAGAAACTCGTACTTATTTGCCCCCACTAAAGACGTCAAACCCAGGTTGAAACCTATCCTATCCTTTTGCAACACTTTCTCTGCCATGAACTGCGGAAACAGCCACGCGAAGGGGAACAAATAATTGACAGCAACCTTTTGAAGACCAGCTTCATGAAAGCGGAGAAAGTTCTTTTCCGTCTCGATGACCCGTTCGAGTGGGTTATCCGCGGCGAGGGGAGACTTTATAATTCCAATTGTCCAATGATTACACAAAATGTGGTTTTGAGAAGGATGAAGTTGACAGGGAAGCGTGTCCACCAGAGATAAATTAGCCGGTAACTCTTTCTCTTTTTCCAGCAGATATTGTCTTATCGATCCGACGATTAGGGAGAGCATGATGGAGGCAAAGTGGACGTCATACTTGGCACGAATGGCCTTCATTGGGGCCAAATCGACCGTGGTGAACGTGTAGATCCATTTGGTTTGAGGTTTGGTCAATTTGAGCGGATTTGTCCCAGGACCTTCAAGCATGAAGAGGTTAACTGGGGTCGAAATAGCGTCCAAAATCTGAGAAAATTTTCAAAAAATGAGTGTGAAATTCTAGAAAAAAATTGGTAAACTATTTGTACCTTCTTCCAAATCGATTCATTCACTTCCTTCACGAGATAAGGTGCCTGTATTTTATAAGACATATAATTTTTTTAGTATTTCGTGATGGATAAAATGCAAATGAACTTATCTTCCACTATAAAATGCATTACTTGCCTTCGCATTGGTCAAAATATCCAAAAGGTGAAGCAAAGAATATCCATCGGCGAAAACATGATGCATTTTAAACGCAATGATTGTCTCCTCGATGCCATCTTTGACCTCATCATTGTTATTATTTGACCTTGACATCGGGATAACCATAACCTCCCAGGCAGGCATCAACTCCCCGTATCTTTTTTCCATCCAGTCGTCCACCACTTGTTCCAGACTTTCACCCGGGTGCAGCTTTCTCTCGTAGATTAACTTGTTCAGGTCGACGGCTTCCGGGGGCAGCGTTTTGCTGAAGACGTAACCACAAAAGGTGACCAGGCAGGAAAACAATTTCTCATATTTTGGACAATTCCCAACTTTTGGGGCGAGCAATGAACTTGAAAAGCGGTCTTGGACTTGTTCTAGTTTCAGGTGACCTTGAACATGGCACAATAATCCGAGACTAAGTTTCGACTTTTCCCAACTGCACCCTATCGTGAAGGCGGCGTCCCCAGTGGTCACGGAGGACAAATCCTTCCTCACCAATTTTGCGAGGAGGATGACCACCACTTTCGAAATTGCGAGGATGCAGAGCGGAATAGTGAAGAGGATGATGATAAATGTCCAACATATTGCTCCCAGAATGAACTTTAGAGATTTCGAAAATTTGGAACTTGGCGTCGTGGGAGTCTTCATTTTTTGGGGAGATAAATGAGAGAAACTTTAGAATTATAACTTGTTGAGTGAGTATGCAACCCATAAAAGTTTAGGTTTTGTCAAATTTTCGAACAGATTTCACAAAGAAAAACAAGTAATTTTTTAAGTTTTATGTTCTGAATTTTTTTTAATTGACTCGAAAATTGAAATTTGAAAATCGATACGTCTTATGATTTCGCGATTTGTCTTGGCCATATGTTTCGAACCAAGAAGGCTTGTTTTCTCGTGATAAAATAGCGTGCCAGAACACGAAAAAAGATTTAGGTACAAGATAAGTTGTACGATTTGGGGAAATAAAGCGAATGGTGGTATGGAATTGGCAAGGAAAGTGACATTATTTCATGCGCATATGCAACGATTTAAACGTTGGGTTAACTTGGATAAGTGAAATTCTGTTGTTGAGATATATAAGCGTGTCGTTGATACGTTAAATACGTTCGAAAGTAGGTATATGCGTACCTTTCGTGCATCACCATTTCTCAAGTTGAGATCAGAAATAGAACGGGAAAGAAAATGATGAGCTGATGTGCAAAATCAATGACAAACATGAACTTTTATGTTTCCTGTCTTCTGTGTAAGTTAACGTCAAACAGGATTTATTTCACGATTTGGAAAGTACTTAGAAAAAGATAATGCAAAACATAAGGTCTTACAACGAGATTACAATGGCATAAATATATTTGTATAAATATGCAAATTCTTAAATGAAAATAAATTGCGTTTCGCAAATGGATTTTTGTACATTTTGCAATTTTTACTCGAAAATAATGCTACTATTGGTTTAAGTATATGCTCGGGAAATATTTTTTTATTGTGTTGCGTAATGCGTATAAGTAATTTTTGACAATCTTGCATTCCACTATGTTGCCTGAAAATTAACCAGACTAATCCTAATCCTAATCCTAAGATTAATGTTTCTGAACATAAAAAGAAAACTAACCTTTTAATTAACTATCAAATTCACAAATTATGTAAATTCCAAAAACAACGGCAAAATTGGACAAAACTAAAATTATCAACAAATGTCACCAATCAAGATATTACCAGTAACTTTAATATCTGCCATATCATTTCTGATTTCACGTGATATGTTATCAATTTCAATGGCGTCGTCGTCGTCGTCGTCGCTAACATCTTTGGTTACAGATTGAATAGTGTCCTCATTTTACGTGGACAATAAGTTGGTAAATTTTACAAGCCATAAATGACTAATGCAAAAAAAGTAACAATTTTTGCAGTTGCTTGCTTCATTTCGATGAATTTTGAAAAATGGGAATAAAATAATGAACCCAGTCAGAGTTTCTTACCGATTTTGCAAAATTTAGGAGTTTTATGCTTATTAAATTAAGAAGGTTTATCCACTGCATAATAACAATTAACCATTAAACCATGCAATTCTAATTGATAAATATTTCCCCGCATTGATAACATTTCAGGTAATTTCAACAAATTTGTGTTTGCACTACAGAGTTTACGAAAATTTAGCCATGAAGTTTTAGTTTAATTTCGAGAAAATTTTATCTCAAAATGTAATAAGTTAAATATGGAATCGAATTTAATTGATTTCAAATAAAATCCAAAATTATTTATTGTAGTTTCACACCGATCTTATAAAGTTTACGAGTTTTAGATAGATTGGAAACCCAAGATGTTTCAGTTGTTCAATTTCAACCACTAATTGATAAATTTACCTTATATTTCGCCAATTTATAACATTTCACACTTTTAGTTAACTAAATAATCATAATTTTCTTGCCTTCTCAACTTGTCAAATTATTTAACAAAATGCAAAATAATATTGATTAAATACTTGGTTTTACTACTTTTCAAAAAATATATTGCAATTTTTAAACACATTTTCAGGAATGATGAATAATTCCTTGGACTGGTAATCTGGACAAGTTTTTCATGTTTCTGTCTGTATGTTTTTTACCTTCAATTATAAATAAATTTTATTGGAAGCTTATACAGAAAACTTATCATCAATGGAAATAAAATATAGCATGTTTTCTCAAAGTGAAAGCAATTAGAGCGAGTTTGCACTTTGAATCTAAATGTGTGCACAAAAAATATGAACAAATTAATCCAAATAAATCCTTGCATAGCAAAATGAAGAAGTTCTCTTCACAGGGTTTTGCAAAATTTACCTATAATTCAACATTCAACATTGATATATATCTCATGTGGTAGATATGCAATTAACCCGATCCACACAAATTCTCGTGAAAAATCACGATATACCTATGTAAATCATAACCATCGATAATTACATGATACACGCTCCGACGCTCCAACCAAGAGCTCAATTTTAGTACCTCTCCTGCAACTCTTAACATAGCAAACTTTTATGTTCCTCGGATATTCGAGAAACCACACGTTTAATGATCATGGTTAAAATTAGGTGTAATTTACCCTCAAACCGACCGACAGGATGATGAGTGGTAAGGTAACAGACGTAATTATATGTATATCCACTCCTTACTCTTTTAAGGAATTTCAGGGAGAAGTTTAACACAAAAAGTTTGAGTTAGGTCGTCATCATCATCGCTCAATTTATCACAATTTGCCATATTTTTTACCTTCCCTAAAGTGATGATGGAAAATGCTGTAAAAACAGCGTAAATTTATTTTTGCTCGTGACGTGGTTTTATGCTAAAAGTTGAAATGTAAAATACTTATTCGTGCAAATATGTGCACATTTGCAATTTTTATGCATGGTACACCTTAATAATTGTAATTCCTCCTACCTATCTACCCATCCACCCACCCACTTAATTTGTTAATCCGACCGATGTACATACACAAATTTTGAAACAAAGATGAAGATTCGCACATAAATAGACGCGGCGTTCATTGACTGTTACGTTACGTTATACATGACGTGGGTTTAAATCAAGTCCAATTTTTAATAAGATTCGCAGTTTGTTCTCATCCTCAGAAGAAGGAGCAAGTTTCATAAATAATAAGATTTTGATTGCGTGCCATTTCATCTTTTCTTTAAGCAAGGTAACGGTTTAATTACACGTTGAATAGAATTAGTTATTAAGCTGTGGATGTGAATAGTTAAATGGTTCATCAAGGGAGACGAATTTCTCAGGTGCGAATTTCTCAGGTGTTCAGTCAAGATGATGAACTTGTTTTATTTTCTTCAACAATTATACAAGCATTTTTATTAATGTCGGTATCGATTGCGAATTAGTCTCGGGGCAAAATTACGAGTTGTTGATACAAGCGAATCATATCTTCTGGGTGGCATTTTTTCCATGAATTCATTCCCATTCGTAAACATGCATGTGTACATATTGCCGGCAACTGGTCTAAATACATACATATTAAACTAGGTAGTTTATTTTGAAAATATTTGCACCCCTGATTTTATTATGGCAAAACACACAATGGACATGTTTCGTGCCAAAATTTTATTTTATTTTATTTACTTTCGAGGTTGTTGTTACATGTTCCATAAATATTCTGTAATGAAAAATAATAGAGTTTTGCTGTTCCGAGGAGAGTTTGGCTTTGTGCCGAATTTTAGTAACGTGTGTATTTATCTATCTACTCATGGTCATTAGTCCTACTCTATAGGATTTGATAATACTTTTAAAATGCACAATTTTGATATTTGATATCCTCTCCTTGTTTTTGGACACGTCAACACGTGGACTTTTTGCCGTGAAGGGGAGACCCAGACTCTAAAGTCCAACTGGTCGTCAGGAAATTGCAGGCAATCAAAATTGAGAGTTTATGTATCTCTCTTATTACTGTCATTACTCATCAAATTGGATGGTGTTTTTGTATATGGTACAAAAGCAAGAACAGAACAACAGTTATGTGTCACTCACCACTATGCACATACAACTTGACTCATTTCCTCTTTAAAGTGCATAGGAAAGATAACTTGTTATCATTCATTGTATACCAACTTTTTTTAAACAGAAAGAAGAACAAAAGTGTGCAATGGGCAAGTATTTCATTTCTGTTGGATACATAATTTGTGCCACGGATTAGTTTTAATACTCACTCACAGTTTTTCCTCATTAAAGAAATGACACATGATTCGTACCCTGGTCAGCTCACTTGTGTGACAATAAGTAGATATATCCTGATGACAATGCCACTTACGTACTTCTACGAGCACATTAAGATTATCGCATCGTCTGCATTGTTATATAATATGTATACACGTACACATTTCTCGTTTTATGAGGCAGGCAGGCCATAATATTTCAGTGTTAAGAACCCCTCATCAGCAAGTAGCAACTGGAATTTCATGACATGAAGTACGATTCACTTTTGTGGACGCGATATCACGACAAGAAAAGAAAGAAACATTATATCCGAGTTGAGGCAATGTTGGAATGGAACTAATTATTTTATTGTACTAAATTCATGCTTCGAGGAGTTAATCTGGGTGCGGGGATTGCTGGCTGAATGGTCATGGTCAGGCAGTCACGATCCTGAAAACTGCCGAGGAAAGGGGATGGTTATCTATAAAATTTACTTTCTTATAATGTGACAGTACTGCATATGCACAGAGATGATGATAAATATGTTTTAGGATGTGTATATGGTGCATTTGCATAGTCAAAGTCGTCATTTATCTATACCATGTCCGCGATGACGAGATGAAGGTCGACAATTTATTTATTTTAGTCAGTTGTCACTTTCTAAATTGAGGATAGAATTGAGATATCCCGTTTAAATCAATCAGCTCACTTATTCGTTTCATATTCACATTCATTCACACCATTTCGTTCCAGATTGACACTTCAGCCGTGGCAGATTAGCTGGATTGATTTATTCGAGCAGGATGAATTTTTAAGTAAGGGGGAGAAATAAAATAAGGAAATGCTTACACATATTTTAATTCGAAATCTTTTTCCAGACCAGTAAAACCATCCCACAACAATCTCCACTCTTCTGCTCCAAGTTGTGCATATGAATGTCGTAAATACAGTGCACAATAAATAATTAATGGTAAATCAACCAACATCCCAACCAACTTACGCACTAGTAAAATCAACCCACCATAATAAAAGTGGCATGAAATGCAGCCCTAAGCGTCATTCTGCATCGGAAGTCTAAACAAAAAGTCCGACTACGGCATTCGATTCTGCGGTTGAGCTAGATTTTGATGTGGTCACTCTCTTACTTGGACTGACGCTATTTAATGCAGTTAACGTGATTTGTGGATGTGTAAAGTATAAATAAATAACAGAGGCAAAGTGAGATTTTTCAACTTTACTTAATAACTAATGACCCATCCAGTTTTTGCTAATTAGTCGTGTATGTGTGGCTAGTGAATTGATCAGCTAAACCAAACCAAACCACACAAGCCATTTTAACCTGATAAGGACGTACACATTACAGGAAGAAAATAATATTTAGAAAATCTGCAATCCATTCAATACATGAATTAATTAACGAGTGACAAAGTGCATGACCTGTCTCCTGCACTTGACAATACACAATTGATTCAATTGTATATCGGACTGCGCGTGTTTGCAGAATTATTTACGACTTTCCTACCGTGTTTGAAAACATTATCAGCAAAAGTCCTCATTTTCTAGGGGTCCGAGGAGTTTATCGGGAATTTTTAAAAATACATAAATTCGAAGAATCATGCGATTTCAAAACATTTGAGAATTTTATATTCAAAATATTAAATAAATTTGGGACATAAATTCCACGAAGGAGTTTTTATAATGTCTTTTGTTAAGGGGAGTCATTGGGCGAATAAAATATGGTCTCATGTAACGAACGACTTTAATCTCGACTCCATCCAGGCTCATCACTTTTTCTGCAGCGAGGTAAATTGAGACGAATAATTTTCTTTAATTAATTGCTCATTTAATTAACTAATTAATGAATTAAAATAATTTCAGTGGGAACTCAGTTCTACTTCACAACCACAAAATATTCTGGAAAATGGCTCAAAATCCGCCGTTAATACTTCGTCACACCGCGTCTCTCTCCCATATCTCATATACCGTGCCGCCTTCATGGTTATTCTCTTATCCGGGATAACCATCTCGGCCTCATGTCAGTCACACTTGTTCCACATTTTCCTTACAAATTGGTCATTCACGTTGCAAAATGTGTACGGGCTTGTCCTCTTCGGCATCGTCCTGTGGCGCTGGTGGACCTTTAAGAATGGCGTCTTATCTCCCCAGCAGAAGAACTCGACTTCATCATCCTCCCTGCTGACCTTGGGCGGAAATAACCATCAATCCATCATTTTAGAGCTGCAGAACGAGAAACAGCAGCAGAATGGATATCAAAATCTCACCAGTCAGCAAAATCCTGCAGCAGAACAGGATGTAGAAAAACAGAGAGGCTCTCAAGGCTCTGTAAAGATGGGGACAATGGTTAATAATTCAGAAACGCCACCAGAACTAAAACTGCTGCCCTTGACTTATTTGGAGAAAGGCGTCTGGATTTTGATGAATGTGGTGCATGTTTTGCCGTACTGTGTCGTTCTTGGATATTGGACTGTTGTTTACAAATATGGTACTTAATAAAGAAACACATTTTGCCATTTTGAAGTCAGGGTCGCAAAAATAGGAAGAAATAACTCATGTCTAACTTTTTTGCATGCATGCAGACCCTGATCAACCGACATGCGAAAGATTCAAAAGTCATTACATCGTCCATGGCGCTACTGCCGTTCTTGCAATTTTGGATGCTTTCATTATTGCAATTCCTGCCAGACCGACGCACTTTCTCGTACCGACGGGCCTGGTTTTATTCTACGTCGTCTTTACGTGAGTGGCACATGAGATACATAAATGCAACTTTGTTCATGATGTGTGCTCCAATTTTGCCAAATTTTTGCCCCAATTCCATAAAAATTATAAAAATTTCGCCATTTTGTATGCTACAGATGTCTATACGAAGCAGCCGGTGGACCGTACCGTCCCGGCAACGAGTTTATCTATTCTGTCCTCAACTGGAAATCGAATCCAAAGAAGGCCATCATTTTCTCAACTTTAGCCGTGGTCGTGACACCAATTGCACATACCGTGTTCTGCTATGGGGTTTACAAGCTGAGGATATGCCTCAAATCGCTCTACGTTCGGAACAAGTATCGTTGGAGTAACAGTGAACAGCCAAATTAATGGACGATACGCATTTAGCAAATATTTTTAATGAAATTCTACTTAAATAGAGGGGGTGTACATTTGTGGATGCATGTTTGGGGCGGTCAACTATTTATTTTCGTTTATCAATTTTTAAGTACCTGTTACATAATTGTTATTGTTATATAATAATCGTATTATAGATAGTAGTAAATATCTACGATAGATAAAGGATAAGTACAAAGAAAATGCCAGTTTAGTCTAAGATATCTGTACATATTTCTGGAATTCAGCAATTAATTTGCAATATCCTTACTTGTGTAATTGCTACTTATATATTAAGCCTCCTACCGAAACACAAAATACGACTGACTGATTATTGCAAATACAAAAATACAATGCATGATCGGTGGAGAACATACAAAAAATACTAAACTGTTCAATTCAAAGCAATTGTAATTGTAATAAACTACATGCGAACATACCGTAAATAAACTCTTATTTAAAGTTTCAATCACTCGCAATTCACTCTAATTCTGAGTACAGGAGACAGGAGCTACAGGCAAAAAACAGACTTGTTAAAGGATGAATTGCAAACTGGTACATACATGCTTGAGTTTAATTTATCAAAAAATTAGCAGTTTAGTATAAAAGTACATCAAAAATTGACTATTTGAGTTTATCATACTCAAATTTATTACCGACATACATAATTTATATTTCTTACCAAGGCTTGTCAATTTTGAAAATTTGGTCATGTTTCATGCCAAAATTTTGATAAAATAAAATTAGCATATAGATTTGTAAACAGATTTGTAAATAGATTCCGATTCCTTGAATTTTCAAAAGTTAATTTGCATTATATTTTCAGACTACGGGGAGCACTAGCAACCTCCTCCAATAAGTATACGCCGAATAGATCTGTGATCATTAAAAATTCAAGGGCACAGATAATTATGTGAGATATGGAAATCGAGTGGAATTACAAAAATAACACATCAAACGTCAGCGATTTTGTTATAAAAGACTCGGAACTTGGCAAATTTTGATCCAACTTCTTACTTCCTTCCTACCAACTTCCTACAATAAGTAACGCCAAATATATATAATTGACTCAGGGCACGTGCCCTGAGTTAAGTTGCAAGTTATTGAATTTTGTACATAATTTTCTTTGCAATTTCAAATACCATATGCAAATAACACAATAACACATCTCCTCAGCATAATTTACTTCTTAAAAGATAGCTCATCCAGATAAAGATAGCTTGACTTGATGCCAATGACACACCATTCGTCTCCCCCATGTTGCAGTAGTTCTCATTACAGTAGCAAATTTCCGAGTGTTCTCCACCCACCCAAACTTTTCGACAAGTTCCTGGCTCAGGGCGTGTCTTTTTTCCAAGGATTTTTGCCACGGCAGGTGACAAGCATCCCCTCCCCTTGCGACGATCCGTATACGCGAAACAAACTGCACCCCCTGAAAAATCATGGCGTTTAAAAAAATGCACCTACGATAAGCACATATCTAGAAATAATTTACTCACGCTCATTGCCACAATCCCATGAAAAGTCGGTGTCATCATTCTTAACGGTGTCACATTTGGGAATAATTTGTTCGCCGAATCGCTGATGGATTTTATTTAAACGGTTGATTGATGACCAGTTTTCCATCGTGGCGTCCAACTCCCCAATGCACCAGTAGCACTTCAGTCCGGCTAAGAAACGTGGTTTAAAAGAAGTACCAAAATATATTCTAAGTACAAAATTATGACCAAATATGGCTGATACATACCTTGAGCAGATGGGAGCGCCATGATTATGGTAATAAAAATATACATCACACTGATAATCTCACTTCCTCTCCAGTACTTTTAAATAATTATGAAAGATAATTTTGCAAAATAACGAAATTTGAAGAAAATGCAGATAATAAAAATGTGGGTGAAAGTCAGTGAAAGTAGAACTTTCCATCACTTTCGTGCACGGAGTCAAGAAGAAGAACAGGAAATTGTGGGTCGGTCTGGCTAATCTCAAACAATAAAGTGTACACGATCTGACATGTGTGAGCAGATGGTCTTGTTTCATTAAATTCTTGTTGAGATAATTGATCCAGTAAAGTCATTATCGATAGGTCAGAGTAGTATAGTTATAGTATGCAAATAGGCGTGTCTCTTTTCTGTACAAAAGGGAGATAAGGTCGGATTAACTGGACGAGTGTATGAAATTATGTATGCCTTTCACTCCATATATATTTACGTAAACTTGTACAGATGATCCAGGAAATTCTGGATCGATGCATTTATTTACCCTGATAAAATCAGTTTCGGATCCATATAAATGCAAGAAAAACGAGTTAAAGGTTTAGTGTAAAACTACCAATAGACGACTAAAACTTGATAAATTATTCGAAATACTCCTGTCGCCTCACTAGTCGTCCAATTAGTAAAACGTCGGTCCTTTGCGAGCCAATAATTTCTACGTATAAAAGTACAAGTTAAATATGCACAAGACATTACAACAATATTACCCTTACAAAACGGAATCTTAGATAGCGCTTAAAGCCCCCCGGGGGAGCAACGGTGACCCTGGGAAATGCAACATTTCCGATGTACGTTTCCTCTGTTTCAGGGTTAATTACTAGCGGATGCCCCATTGTTCTTGGATGTCCCATTTGAACATTGACGTACACAATGGCACTTAACAGCGCAATAACGATCGTCCAAAACACCCTAAAACAAAGGAAAGCAGGACTTTTATTGAATGAAAAGAAACCTATGCTTAAATTGTGACAACGAAGCATTAAGAACTGAAAAGTGTATCCATAAACGTCATAAACCTGGGGCTGACTAATTGATCTTGCGCCTATTCTAACTACTGGTAAGTTTTCATTTTTATTTTTGAGCTCCAATGAAAAAAGTGATTTATACGTATATAAATAATAGTAGGCTTGTCACTTTATTACCAAAATTAAAAATAATTTATCCGGTTGTAGCTCATCTTTAAACCATCCCTTGTACTCTACATAATGAAAACGAAATTAATTCTTCCGATGGCAATGCTGCTTGTCAATTGCATTTGTTACGCATCGCATTCGTCGTTGGCTGTTCGAAGTTTTGACAAAGTGATGACAGGGGAATCGGAACCGGGTTGCCTGTGCCCAGCAGGTCAAAACACGACGGGAACTTACCTTATTTTTTGTGGCCGTGACCTCACACCGTCGAGTTGCTGCAGTTGAAATTCCATTAAAAACGCAAGAACTTCCCCTCTCAGACAAATGCTCTTTAAAAACCTCCCCGCAATCTAATTTCACTCCATTGAGAAAGCAGCGTTCAAATAATTCCGAACAGTTTACCATTCCCTGAAGCAACAACAGAAGATAATGCATTTTTGATGATAAAATAAATAAATATAGCGAAAGTATCCCTAAATTAGTATGCCTTCAGTTTTCCTAACCTCTCGAATAAACGGGGCGACTCTTTTACTCATCTGTAAATCATTGTCCATTATTATATCAGTCGCATCTTCTTCATTTGCTAATTCCCAGTTCCAATTGTGCCAATGTCTGACATTATTCAAACCAGCAAAAGTTGTATTGGAGGAACAAACTTGATCAATGATTTGAAATACTCCCGACGTCTCACTAGTTGTCCAATTAGTATCACGTTCTTCTAGTATGTCCCAATAATTCCTGTTGTACAAAAGTAACATTTAATAACTCAGGTGACAATGGAGGTCTCTCAGCGTATGCACCCAGATTTTGAGCAAATTAGTGTAAATCGATCACAAATTTTTATAGCATGCCATTTTCCTGGACTAAACCACAAATTTACAAGCCACACATCTGCCAATGCTCAGGTTTACAGGAGATATTTGCATCCGAAATGGAGAAAGTGCGCAGTAACTGTAGAAAGTGTACTTTTTCATTTTTAAGGCGCGTTTCTCCTATTTGGATGCAAATATTTCTGCCAAACCTAAGCATTAACAGATCGTGTCTTCCGCAAATTACATAATTAAATTTGGGATTGCTTGACCCTGGTTTAGGCAAAATCGGAGAGCATACGTTGAGAGGACTCCAATTAAATATTCAGAAAGCATTACACAGTGTAATGCTTTCTGAATATTTAATTTGTAGCTGTGTAATTTACACACAAGAATATGTCCCTACCCTAACGCAGCCTTAATTTGAGTGCGCTTGAATCCCCCCGGAGGAGCAACGGTGACCCTGGGAAAAGCAACATTTCCGATGTACGTTTCCTCTGTTTCAGGGTTAATTACGAGCGGATGCCCCATTGTTCTCGTCCTCCCCATTTGAACAATGACGTACACAATGGCACTTAACACCACAATAACGATCCCCCAAAACACTCTAAAATAATACAAAGGAGAGGAGAACAATATTTATTGAAAGAAAAGAAAATTCTTTAGATAAATTACTCATAATTGAGCCACCGATGAAGCATTAAGTATTGAAAAGTATTATTTCCATAAACTTCACGAAACCGAGGACTAATTGATCTTGCGACTTAAAAAAAAATTGATTATGTTTTAATAACACGGAACATTGCGACTATTTTCACTGTGGTAAATATATATTTTTATAAGCTGCAATGAAAATAAAACGATTTGTTAATTACTAATAGGATCATCAAAATAATTTCTGATTCTAGCTCCTCAACGTTACATACCCCCTTCAACATAAATAATGAAAGCTAAAATAGTGGTTCTGATGGCAGTGTTACTTGTCAATTACATTTGTTATGCAACACATTCGAAGGCTTTAGCAGGCTATGACAACGTGGCAAAAGGGGAATCGGAACCAGGTTGCCTGTGCCCAGCAGATGTAAACACGACGGGAACTTACATTCATTTTTGTGGCCGCGACCTCACCCCGGACAAATGCCCCCCGGAAAGTATCTTGAGATGCGTCAATGGACGGACTAAAGCAATTAAGTTTTGGGACTGTACACCCGAAGGAACCAAATGCGGTCTAAAGACTAAGATGAAAGACGGAAGTCATTGCCGTAGCTGTGAAGCTCATCGTACAAAAATATGCATAAAAGACTAGTGACAATGATCAAGATGGAGATGCAGAAATTATGAAATATTGAATATTTGTGTATATCAGATGATGATTGGTTTAAAGCTTGACTCGAGTTACATAATTTATGAACGTCCCCTAAGCAATTCCTTGATGACGACGAGAATTTGAACCCAAAATCGTTAATTAAATAAAATTATGTCTTTCATTTTTCGTTGATTTCATTTGCATAGACGACAGATGCTCATTACAATTTTATGCAAAATTTAATAACAGCTTACCTCATCGAAATATGTATGTCATTCGCAAGGCATTCCCTAAACCCGGGCAAATTCTTCAAGGCTTGTACGAGGAAATTCCCCTGGTTAGGTTGATAATCTGACCGGATGACAGATTCGCAACGGGATCGAGTCTCTGCGCAGCATTCTTCCAGCATGTCGAGTGCGACGTGGTCCCTTCGGGCGGGAGGAGGAGGAGGAGGTGTGGGGTCAGGTACAACCGGTCCCACTGGCTCCATGGCATACTCCTCAAGACAATGTCGCGAATGTCGACGCATCTTATGGAATTTGCGAGGAATGAAATTATTATGCAAGTTGAAATACGCAGTCTTTATTTTAAGAGATCGTCAAGCTCGTGTCATGACCAGTATTTCGTTTTTATTGCGGGTTTACTAAATTTCTTGCAGTGCGAAGTAATCAACGCAAGAAATGCAAGGTGCGAGAAACTGGGAGAAAGTGTAAGAAATATGCGCCATCTTGCCAAATATTGCAGCGGGGCGTGGCTTTTTGCCTTTCGCATTTCTTGCAGGTCAAAATATTTAGCTGCAAGAAACCACTTTCGTGCAGTTATTTCTTGCAAGTATGTAGATACTTTGCACCTGAACGAAACACTGGTCGCCAATATCAATCTAAAAAATATGAAAATGCTCAATAACTCACCTTTCAGAATTACGATACCGTTCAAGTTCGATCGTTAGAGTTCGACTTGCTTAATTTGGAAATTCAATTTTGAGCTTTGAAGTTTGAAATTATTTTCTTGACTAGGTGAGAGAAGGACGCGATAACCGGGTGAAAGTGCATAAGACACTAATCCGAAATTGGTTCATGGCACCTGACGATGACCAATGGTATCGATACCGATGAGTCATGAAATGACGCCGGATGGTCATACGACCAAGCAACAGAATTAAAGTGAACAAAGGAATTTTATTTCGATTTCAAACCAGCCAGATTGACATGCATACATGGTAATTATGGGCGAAATGCATAAATCCAGTGCGGGGACGGAATAACCAACATTTTGTCACGGTTCTTCGGGGTTGGTGGACATACGGAAATTAGCACGCTCCCGATTGTAGTCCTTTGTTCTAAGAAATATGTAAAAACAAGCTAAGAAAACGTGGCTAAATTCGGTACGTTCTCATCCTTAGACTTACAAGTACAGTAGAATTGGAACTGAATTCGATCGATTTCGACGATTTGAGCTCAAATGTATGGATAGCGTAACTTCTACTGTAGAAGTTCTACATATGTGACCACACCCCGATGACCAATGGTATCGATGCATATGAGTCATGTCACGGCGCTGGTCATACGATCGGGCAACGGAATTGAACAAAGGAATTTTATTTAGATTTTCAAACCAGTCAGATTGACATACATGGCAATTATGGGCGAAGTACGTACATAGGTCGAGTGTGGGGAAAGGAGTGCGGAACCCACGCACGGTTTCTCGGAGTGTTTGTTGAAATGCGGAAATTTGCATGCTTCCGATTGTGACCCTTTGTTTTAAGAAATACACAACATAAGGTAAAAATAAACGAAGAATACGTGGCCAAGTTCTGTACGTTCTTAAACACGAGAATTGGAACTGAATTCGATCGACGTGATGATCCAATAAGCTAAAATACATGGATGGCTTTACTTCTAATGTGACCCCACCCCGGGATTGTGACCCTATGTTTTAAGAAATACATATGTAGCATGGTAAAAGTAATGTGGCCAAATTCGGTACGTTCTTGAATATACTTCCTCTTTTACAGGTAAATACAGTAGAATTTGAATGATATTCGATCGACTTTATGATCCAGGATAGCTTTAGCTTGATAGCTTTATTTCTATGAGATGAGACACTAAATTCGCCTCATGCAATTTGATGCAATACGTATGTACATATGTACACAGTTAACTTATGTACATAAAAGTAGGACCAATGCATCTGCAAAATATGGACCTGCCTGAGGACAAGTTAGTCATGCAAAGTTTCCATGCGCTAAATATTTAATAAAATATCTTGGTCTTGATTGTTAGCAAAATCTGCATATTTAGTGAAAGTTCAATTAAAGCAACGAGTTTTATTTCAAATTTCAGATTGAGACATGCAATTATGGGTGAAATAGGCCGAGCTCTGCATGATGGGAAATGATTCCACCAAGCCAGAACGGAACCAACCTTTTGTCACTGTTTTCCTGGGTTGGGGGACAAGAAAATAAATTTGCACGCTGTGGGATTGTGACCCTTTGTTCTAAGAAATAAGCATGCATCATGGTAAAAATAAGGTAAGGATACGTGGCCAAATTCGGTACGTTCTTAAATATACTTCCTGTTTTGCAGGTAAATACAGTAGAATTGGAATGGTAAGTATTCGATCGACTTTATGATCCAAGATATATTGATAGCTTTATTTCTGAGATGACTGAGACACTAAATTCGCCTCATGTACAACCAATGCATCAGCATGATATGAACATGTCTGAGCAAAAGGGTATACGGAAGCAACCCGCCCATGATCTCCCGCCCGCGTTCTTCCGCCCATTTACTCCCGCCCGTGGAAATCTTCCGCCCACCGATTCCCGTTGACCCTCTCCCGCCCGTGAAAATCTCCCGTCCTAATCATCACCCGCCCGTAATTTTTTTCGAGTACAAGATTTTTTAGCAGTTAGCATCACTAATGTAACCCGTTAAAAGCACAGTCAGTATACTTTTACAAAACGAAAAATAACAACAGGCGAAATAATAATGAATACATTACAAGTCGGACAACCTCTCTTTAATTAATAAAGAAGGATAAAAATCATTGCAAACGAATAATCTAATTATACAAATGATCTGAATCAGATACGGTAGGCAACTTCTTATTAAGAATATTTATTAAATGAGATTGTCCTGTCCTGATGCAGTGCATGAGCCACGTCTCTAAAATGTGGAAGGTGTCGGGTTGTAAATAAGAGAAAAATATGACGATCTTTTCCATCAGAGGCATATCCAGGACTTTTGTACAAGCACTTCTGCACCGACATACATAATCATACATATGTATGTACATAAGTGATTGGTGAAAGTCGTGGTATACACATTTCTGCATTGGACAGAAATTACTCTATTTTGTGAGAAGGTTTTACGCAACCATAACTCGACAAAAAATACGGCATACATAAATTAAAAAATACTGGTTCATTTATAACGTCACCCATTTCTTGTGGGAATGAACAAATGCTAACTTTTTACAAAATTACGAAATAACGATGTCGTATGTTCTTTTACAGTACTTTCAGACTAAATTATGGCCCTATAAATAATGCTTCCTAAGGATGAGGAAAGGTTGAGTGGCTCCTTAATTTATATAAACAATGAAAACTTAGGGATCCCTCAACCTCAACCTCACCTTGACCTTAAGTGACCCTTAACCTCAACCTCACCTCAACTTCTCCATATAAACAATGAAAACTTAAGGTTGACCTAATCCTCAGAACTTGAGTTTTTCACTCAATTCTCAAGGTACCTCATGTACCTTCCTTAACGGCCACTTACATACAATTTTAGCGTTGTTTTTGTGGTTAAAGCAGTATTATTAGCCGAAAAATCACTTTTATGGTTTGTAAATTTTAATTATCGTCCGGAATGACAAATTCGGGTCGCAAAATGCCTCTGACCAGACTTCGAGATATGCACAATCCTCTCGAGTAGTACAATGCTGTCAAGCTAAAAACACGGTATCATATGTACACGGAAATAGCTATTTTTAACGGACCTCATCAGTCCAGACTTATCTTTCCGATAAGTCCAGAGGTGAGTACATTCCACCCATGATCGCCTCCGAACTCCGGTAGCATTTTACGCGCCGCCGATAAATCTGATTTCTAATTTTAACATTGGGACGCCGCGTCGCACCACGCTGCCAACGCAAAAAACTTGTGGTGGCGGAAGCAGGGGGACAGTCCCCCCAGAAATTGAGCAAAATCGTCGTAATAAGCCCCTCCCCTAATCCCACAATGCTAATGTCCCCATCTACACAATGGGAAATCCAACCAAATTATCGCTCAAAATTCCAGGAGCACTTTTCCGGAGATATTTTTGTATCATCCTAGCCCTGAGGGGTCGAACAACTGTTTATAAATATTCCGAAGAACCACACCCACTTTGGGTGTGGTTTTTTCCTAGTGGAGTTAGAGCCAATCGCCATATTCAAAATTGTAGTCCATGCGATTGTCGACCTACCATAAAAATTTCATCCCCAAATATCAGCCTTGGCATGTCGAAATTTCAACATTGAAATTTAGTTTAACGCCATAGGCTGTCGACATGGTCAAAAGTGCTTGAATATGTAATTTGAAGAATATGGAAGTGTTGTTTTGAATTTCAGCTCTCTAGCTTCATGTCGAAATTTCGACATGTCGACGTCGTTCCCTTGCGACATGGGTTAATTTCACTTGCGACAGACATTTAATGCCTAGCTGAAGCTAAATATCGATTTTCGCTGCTCTGCGTCATGTTGAATTTCACCCGTTTTGACCAATTTCGACATGATTATTTTCAATGTTCCCGAGCTAATATCTTGGGAAGGGGCAGATTCAAGATCTCCGTTCTTCCTGGATCACGTAGATCTCATCTGGGACTACCATTTAGAGCCTTTTCTGGAGGTTTGTATCTGCCCCATTCGTAGAACCACGCCCCTAAAGTCGGCGTTTTTTGACTGTCGCCGAGGTTCCCTGGCTCATAACTGTTTTGTTTATGGACGGATTTGGATGACATTTTTATGATAGGTCGACAATCGCATGGACTACAATTATGAATATGGCGATTGGCTTTTTTTTCCTACGATTTTAAAAACCTGTCTTAAAATCTGTCTTCTTCTCTTCTAAAATTTTCTTTTTAGTTTCAACGAGGGAGAGTAGTAATTCAGTGGTGAACGCCGCCGAACTCAAGCCGCCGCGCCGCCATACGCCGATAGAATTTTACGCGCCGCCGCCGCTGATAAAGCTAATTTCCTATTCCTTCAACATTGAGGCGCCGCGCCGAGCCGAAAAATCTCCAAACTTGGCGCCGCCCCCGCCAAGTTGGTCGGCGTTGACCTCTGTAGTAATTTTGTTTCTAACGTAGTAAACGGTGTGAGTTTTGTCCCGATGGACAAATTTTTATTGGTTGTGACACTTTCACAATCACTGTGTGACATGTTAATTGTTCTCGAAATTATTAAAAACTTGCTCAAAAATACTTTACAGTGAGCTAAAATGAAAATAAGTTCGAAACAAATTGGGAACTGTGTTATTGGGCAAAAAAAACTGAGCGGAAATAATAGCGGCTGAGTTGAGTGGAGGTCAAGGTTCTCCTCAATTGAGGAAGGGAGCGATTTTCATTATTTATATCAAATAAATCTGAGGAGCCACTCAACCTCTCCTCATCCTAAGTTGAGGATGAGTTTAGGTTGAGGTCGTCCTTTCGATTGTTAATATGACCATTAATATATCAACAAGTTGCATTAACCTTTTAAAAACGGATTCCACCAATAAGGTGGAGGGCGATTTCGATCTCTTGGCGACGGACTACACCAATAAGGTGTAGGCCAAATTTTTCGCCTTAGCGACGGACTACACCAATAAGGTGTAGGCCAACTTTTTCTCGTTGGCGACGGATTCCACCAATAAGGTGTATGGTTACAGAATTCCGTTGAGACCGGGCTACATCAATAAGGTGTAGGAAAAAATAAAAATAAAATGACCGAGAAAATTTTCTCAGTTCCATTCTTTCCTCCTTATTTGTCGTTGGTTTTTCTTCAAGCCTGAACTAATTTTTTTAGAGTTTAGAGTTGTAGTTGTAGTGGGGGGAGGAACTCGGAGGAAGTGCATCAGAGGTCACGCCGCGCCCCCGAAAAATTATCCAACATTGGCGCCGCTAATAAATTGGTCGGCGTTGACCTCTGACCTGTATCATGTTGTAAATATGATACAGTTCATATTTTTTTAAAATTATCACAACGTTCTCTTTAGCTAATATATTCGCAATAGTGTCACCACCGATCGGAACAAGTCACAGAACACTGAAGGACAAAATTATAGCTAATAACTTGTTTAAAATATAAAATGCATCCCAAAATCAGTGTCATCAAATTGATGACATGAATGATGACGATTTATTCGTTTAGTTTATTTTTGTAGTACTATCAAAATCAAATCCGATCTTTTTATCAAAATCAAATCCGATCTTTTTATCAAAATTAATATCGTGTGTTCATTTGGTTCAGTTGCAATTTCATGTTAAAAATGTATTATGTTCTAATTTTTGTTGTCGAATCAGTTCCAGGTCCCTAATAAATCATAACTACATCAGTAGAATATTCAAAATCGGTTTGCATTAATTCAGTCCCCAACTGATTTTATCACCGCCCCACAAGTCGGTCTCAATGGTATTCTGCCCCCCAGTAAATCCGCCTCCAAATGCAATAGAAACCATTTTTAATTCCGTTTTTAAATGGTATCCAGGTCAAAATTAATTAGTTTTTATAAGGTTAATACAAGTTGCATTACATAATAATAGGGTTGTTTTTAGGTCCGTCCATTCCATATACATATATGGTAATTTTTTTGTGTTATTAATCGGTAAGGACGATATTTTTACATATGCGATGACGTTTGCTAAAGGCCTACAACTGTGCAGACACATTTCAAGCAGTAATTAATAATGTGTCTGCTTTTGGTTATGGATGCATTCTTGAATCTGCAAATTTAACAAGTAAACTACGTAAACGCCATGAAATCAAGGGTTTAGGAAAGTTTCGCAAGTTTTGCACTTTCTCCTTGCACCAACTTGGTACAAGGAGAAACTCGGAGAAAGTGTTGGTACACAAACTGCTCGTATACAATTTTACTGAATACTTACACACAGCATAATTTTGTTGTGAGGAGTAAAACTACAATTTCCTATTTGACCATTTCGTCATAATGTTTCCCTATAAGTTCACGCAGCTTGTCGACATTTGCGCCCGAGATTTCATCCACTTTTTCCCCCTTGGCGAAAATTATGAAGGTCGGAGTACATGAGATGCTATACGCTGAGGCCAGCTCGTCATTGTCATCGACATTGATCTGTAAAAGTACACAACAAAAAATCTCCTCAAACTAAAATTCATCAGATTTAAAGAGCAATACAACATTAATTAATACCTTTGCAAAAATTGCTTTGTCCACAAATTCATTAGAAAACTGGTCAACTCTGGGAGACACGAGTTGGCATGGTCCACACCACAAGGCATAAAAGTCAGCGATGAGGAGTTTGTTCTGTAACTTTGATTCTTTCAGAGTGGTCTCAAATTCGGACTTTTCGCGAATCTTTTTCACCAAGGGGTTCGACCTGGCAGGACAATTAATTACTTACTAGTGGTCATTACTCGAAGTGATGATGAACACTTACCCTTCAACCGAAGCTGCGACGCCGCGGTAATAATTATTATTATCGCCCATCGTAGCAACATCACAACTGCGCTTCTTCTTTCCTCTCGAAGTACAACGGGGACACGTGTTTCCCATTGTTTGACCTGTTTTTATCGAATCCAAGGACTTGACCAGGTAGGAATTTTACAGAATTTTTGCATTGTTTATGGATTTTGTGAATCCCAGCTACATATTTTACCACGAGTACTTATCACTCTGCAAGTCGTGTTATTTTACGACACAAGCGTTACTTTAGATACAATCGCCCAAAAGAAAAGTCAGGTAATCGTCTAGAATTTTGAATCATTCCGACATTGTTGAGCATTGACGTGACCCTATTTAAAGCTTTATCATGGACAAGCGGACCAAGTCAAAGAGTAGACAGCGATCTCGGAGCAGGACTACCTCCATCGCGGGAGGTGGTGGGGGTCCAGCACCGTCCCCATCCTCCAGCGCTCACCGCATTCCGCCGCTCGTCCTCAGTTCTCGAGCTACTTCCACTGTGGCCAACGAAGTCCAGGAAATCCCTGAAGTGACACTAGTCCCGCAGCCGAAAGCCATGCTTAGCAAAACTGGTCCGAGTACTGGTGGGCTCAGCGATGGGGAAATTCTTCTCGCCCCCAATTTCAAAATGGGCGATTGCGTCCCTGGAGGACGAGGGGGACGGTGCGGCGAACCTATTTCGAGACACCCATTGCAATCCTCCTATTCCGAGGGGACACTTGGAGGTGGTGGCGAACGGGCGTCTGATCTGGGGGACAAGCTCTTCATTTATGGCGGATATCGAGACAAGTTTCTCTACTTGTACGGCTCCCAGATTTCTGTGGGGATTTCTCTCTTTAATAATGATTCGTTTGGTTACTTGACATGTATAATTAGTTTATTGGATTATTTACAGTCTGAAGCAAAACGGAAGGATTTTACCATCTTTCTCCGAACCTCTGGAATCCTCCAGCTCATCTCCAAGTTTATTCTGGGCTTGCAAGAAATGCCGTTTCGACCACCACCTGAACAAGTCGTGGAATTTATGGTCAAGTCGATGGGTTCAAAGTTTGTGATGCGAGATACCCTCAAGGAAATGAGGGCTTATCGGGACGATACTAAAAAACGGGTAATGATTTATTACTTCTTCCTTTACTCGTGAAAAAGCCTCAATTTACTAACTACTCACCTCAGATTGAACTGCTCCAAACTGAATCTGACGAACTGCGACTCCGTCTCGAGAAATATTGCACAATTTACACCCCATACGAGGCCCTCGACCCGGAAGATTTCGCCCACTTGGCATCCACTCAACCCGATCAACCACCCTTCATTAGTCCCATGGACTTTATCTTTCCACCCGAAATGAGAGCAATCTCACCCATCCTGGGACCAGGGGAGGGTGACGAAGAGGAAGAGGAGGACGGAGAACAAGACAAGTTCGAGACCATAACGGACGTCGTGGTTGAGCTGGTGGCACGAAACCGGGCAGCAGCGGCGTCCCAACAAGCGGGACAAGAACAGCTTCCAACTGAACCTCTGCCAACTCCACCCCCACAAAATAATGCGGAAGAAGTAGTAGCTAAACCGGATGGTGAACTGGAGGAGTCCGAACCTGGTGGCAAGAAACTTCAGCAGTCTCTCGACGAGGCCAGCGCCATGATTCGGAGGCAAGTGTTGATCTCGGCGCAGGAAAAGTACGGGCAAATGGCGGTGATTGAGAGGGATGATCTCGACATAGAAGGACTTCTCCAGCACTTCAAGGCACTCGGTCCAAACATGTTCGCGTCAATTAAGAGCAGCAAGATGAAGTTGACGAGTGCTAAAAGTAGGAATCTTGACGATTGTGCTAATCTTCCTCTCGTGGAAATTCCTATGACCAGTGAGGATAGAATGAGGGGTCAAATGGAAGGAATGTTACAGGCGGGAGGTGCCAGTGAGCCTAAAATGCCTCCTTTCGTCCTCACCCAAATGCGAAAGTATACACAAGGCACCACAATTTTTAGGGAACCACAAGGACAAATTATTAAATCGGGCGAATGAGCGTCAATCGTGCATTAATATGTCTGAGATAATCCTGTAAATTAGTGTAGTGTTAATTTCATCTGCCTGTCTATCCGAGTGTGTCTAATTTAAATAGCTCTATATATTAAATAATAGAATTGAGTATAATATACAATCTGTTGCATATTTATCATTCATTACCAATAAATTAGTGATGCCATATTTTCTGAAGCCAAATAGTTGAAACAAAGTCATCATTATCACGAAATTTTTACTGCGCTCGGTCAAAATTTCTAATCCACGGAAAACGATGGTTTATCTTTCTTATCAATAATTCTTATAAAGTTTTTTAAGTAATATTTAAGGAATATTATTTATTTTGACATAAATTGCGAGATTAGGAATCCGATTTGGAAAAAATGTAATAATTTAATGATGTTTATACAATTACAAGATGAGACTCTTTCTCCCATCAAAAATTATGAAAATAAAATCTAATTGCAAATAACATGACATTTTTATTATAATTATACAAAGACATAAAATACCAGTAAAAAATGGTACCGAAAGCGGTGATACAAAAAATTCTGCAATCTATTTTTTTGTTAACTTGTGATTCTGCCTCATTCTGCCTCATTCATATTTAGCAGTGTGTTTATGGTAGTAAATGTAATTTTTTTGGTGAATGTAAAATTAAATGTAAAATGCAAAATTATATGTAAGCGTTGCCAAGAAAATTAGATTCCGGATAAGAAATGGTTCAGAAAATTTTATTTCACTGTCGCACTCAGAACCCAACTCTAATCATTTTTGGTCCCAATAAAATTCACGTGAACACAACGACAACGCTTTATTGCAAATTTTGTAGGATCATGGAAGACTCGGAACCCCAAAAGTTTCGAAAGTTTGTTCGATCTATCGAATTTTTCTTTGGACTTTTCAAGTGAGTCTGACTAATTCATACCCAAATCACATTACATAAGGAAGAAGTTGACTAATTTTTGCATTTTTATTTGATTAGAGCTTGTCAATGGGGCGAGATATTCATTCGAGTCGGAATTTTCCTCCTCTTTGTAGTTCTCACCCACACGGCAATGGTTTGGATAATTTACAATTGTTAGTGACAAACCTATATGCATGAAAAATTGTACTTTTATGTGTGAATCTATAAGTATGCATTATCTTGCAGGGGTGATTCCTTGGCTCCAAAACTGGTTCATTGACAGGATGCTTGACGACGTCCAAAGACGACTCGCAGACTTTGAATGGAATGGGAAAAAACTGTCAGATTTCCAAATTTAATGGCGTCCGTGTGGGAAAAATCAACGTCTCAATCCATCACTTTTTGAAAATTATAGAAATAAAATTTTACACGATAAAAGCCATAGTCTAAATAAGCTCTGTAATCGCTCTGAATCGTAATTTGAATAAACTGAAATTAGCAAAGATTCTGGATTCATATGCAGCAATGACATTATTTTAATTTTATAATACCAATCTCACTACCTTGAAAAAAATAGCGTAATTTTGTAAATCACTTGGCTCAGCACAGAAAAATAGTTTATTTTAAATTTAGACAATTTATTCACATATAATTCCAACAGTTTATTTAATGAAAACTAAACCATTAAATTCTTCAAGTTTTTTCATTATTTTCCAAACGGGTTATCCACAGCTACTCGATACTCGACAAATTTAGCTTTAAAAGTAGAATACGAATTGTCAAAACAAATAGCAAAGTCTCCCACAGCTTCGCAAATATGGGAACCACTGCTTTCCCCCTCGACCCGCACGGGAGGGACGACTTCCTTCCGTGGTTCCAACATGGTTTCTGGAGGTTGAAATTGTACCACGGAGAAAGAAATGTCCTTCTCTTCGATACGAAAATACCATCGGATTCTATCTCCCAGTCGAGCTACCTATTTTCATATTTGTCGAAATTTCGTAAAAATACATGGTGTCCAATGTTTATATTTTTGCAAATCGATACCTTCACAGGAATGTGAACCTTATATCCGGGTGCGACACGAATATTGGTTAAATCCTCTTCTTGCATTATATCCGAACTTGATGAGGTCTTGATGGCTGACCTGCATCCAAGTATGATGGATTCCAAGGTAGGGTCACCTTCTTCCAAGCGGAGGTTGTGCAGGTCCCATGGTGTCGGACTAACTAAAGTTATTAATTAACTAATTAATTAATTAACTAGGATTTTTATAAGCAATTTACACCCTACTTTTCCCAATCTTTTCCCTCGATCCTCCATATTTCTCTGGAAGCAACCCCAAATCGACAACTTTCTCCAATTGAGGCCTCCATTTTGACGAGTTTGAGTCAAAAATTGAAATTTTGGACAGCGTTCGCTCCGTTAAAAAAGGTTTTATCAAGTTAAACAGAACTGTAAATACTTTCGGACAGTTGATGTTAAATCCAGATTTTAACGTTTCGGGATAATTGGCTTCGAATGAGCGAGCCGCGTCTAGAATTATTTCCACGACTTCTTTATTCATGATGTATCTGAATTTATGAAAATATTTTTTTAAGAATTTTTTACGAATATAAAATTCATTTTATTTTATGAATAAAAACCTTAACGAAAATCCTTCCCAATCCGACACCGCTATGAATTGGGTCACACTACTTGACGGGAACAAATCCTCGTGGATGTGCATGAGTTGCATAATCTGTTCCAAAATCTTGTCCTTATACTTGACCATGGCTTCCTTATGTCCTTTTTCTAAAGCTTGTCGAATATCCCACGATCCAAACGGGAGGAAAAGGATGGGCGACCCTGCAAATCATGCCGTGGTCAAGGTTCTTGATTATCATTTAATTTTTTTGACCCACCTTCCTTATCAAACCCGACCAGTTTGACGGAATACGTCGTCGTGAGCATGGGTGGAGCCGTCCACTGCAAAAGGGAAGGTCCAATCCCACGAAGTTTTCGCCAAGCTAAATGATTTCGCAACATTTCCTCCGCCTTCACGAGGTCATTTTCCCTCGCGCGGATCCACCTGAGCAGTTGACGTGGCGCGGAGAGTCGACGGTCACGAAGGTCATCTTCCACGTTGATGAGACGACGACGAAATATTTCAATCAGTTGCAATTCGTCGGATGTTGGGGCTGACATTTTTTTAAAAGAAAAATTATGAATTCTTGAGCTGGAAATTTCCAGTCTGTTCAGTTTCATGAAACAAAATGAACTAAAGGTGTGATACATAGAACAAGGAATTAGGTGACCAAAGGTTGACGTAAATAGTTAAATACCAATTAAATTAATAATAATACAATATGAGGATATTGGATGAGTTATGGTTCAATTAAGCATTAAAGTAGTGTTAATGTCAATGTCAACCGGAAGTGCATGATGGATTTGATGGATTCGCAGAACTATGAATTGTCACTAAACTTTCATTTTGGATAAAAATATAGAATTTTTACTGCAAAATCCTATAATTATTGAGTTTATGGGAATGAATGCACAATTTAAATGGCACTTTTAGTCGTTGAAAATTTCTAATACTTTAGCAAACCAAAACTTTTGACATTGACATATCTACTTGATAACTCCGATAGTAATACATCATCAAAATACTGTTTCATCCCTAAAATAAAGTAAATTTGCAATAATACTGATTGCTTTTTATTTTAAATTAATCCACAAATACATACATACCTACATAAAACCGAGAATAAATAAGCTCGTATAAATAAATAATTATGGCAAAAATATTAAACACATACTTTACTAATTGTTGCAAAAATTCCTAAAAAAAAGGTTCAAACTAGTATCACAGTAATTGAAATTTTCCCAATTTCAAGGGTCATGCTTCTTCATAATATCAACTGCATGAAAATACACATCCGCCGCTACCTCTCTTCCGTAGGTAAAGTCTATATGGCAAAACTGCTTATAAGGAACATTATAATACTCGTACAAATTTGGCAATTTCGACGCCAACTTTTTCGCATCTTCACGATGCGCTATGAAGTCGTAGCCCCCCACAAAAAGTGCTATCGGGACTCTGATCTCACTTAAATTATACGACGGAGGCTTAATCGCTCCGTAAAGTTGGATATTTCGAGCTCGACCGTAATCGTATTGTACAAAATTTCTGGATCCCGTAAGCTGCAGGAGGTGATTCACTTGCTTGAGACCTGATGGAGCTGGGGCGACCGAAGTGATGAGGGGAAGTTGCTCCTGAGTCGTTTTCAAAATATTTTAAGTTTTCAAAAAGTATGGATTAATTTTTGGAGTGGTGTCATACCTTTCTGATGAGATTTCCATCGTCTCCTAAAGCTAGGCGGATAAAATTGGGACAAATTCCAATTACGTCGAATTTTGGGTTGCAGAAAATAGGAAGGATCACGTTTAACAGGGAAGTGTAGAAATGCGGTAGGAGTGGAATTGTTCCGAAAATATCCATAAATGCCTATTTTAGAATGAATTGTATCATTAAATGTTCTGAATATTTGACGTGCTAAATTTTATTACACTTATCAATTTCGCTGAGAATGAAAAATAGTAGAACAATCCGTTAGCAAAGTTGGCTTGAAATACGCTGGAAAAATATAAAAGTTTTGTACATATTTGCATCAAAATTTCTCATATCTGATAAATCTCACCTGGGTCCCATTACAATTCCTGACGCGATTTTTGCATTGTATTCCGGTTTTAAAGTGAGACCTTCATTGATAGAAATGAAATTAGATTTCGGGGGAATTGTTAGGTTTTCTACGTAATAATTACCAGCAATAAAAACCGTAGTGCTGTAGGAAAACGAGATATAGTGAAGTTTCGAGTGACCAGTTTGTTTCAGGACGTAATCCACCAAAGCTGGAAAATCGTACTGACCCATTTCATGGAAACTTATTGGCAGGAAATATATCGTAAGGTTTGTATACATTTTGACATATATAACAATTATCTTACCTGAAATCCCAGAATTTGGCAGAATTTATGCTGTACAAGGAGTGACGCTTGGAGTACGTGTTGCCCCTGTGGTTTCCAAGCCACACGTCGTATCCCATGTCGAACAGGATAAATGCTGCAGAAAAATTCAATTACTTGCTTCTATTAAGATGAACAAATTGCTATATTAGTTAACAAACCGAATGAATTATTTGCTGGGGAATTGATTACCCAGTCGGCCGAAGATTGCAAATTTCCGTGCATCAGAAGCACTGGGAGCATATTTTGCGATGGGAAAATTCGTGGGATTCTGTGCATTTCGAGAATAAATCCGTCGTCCGTAATGACATTGTGGACTTCCACGGGGTAGCCATTCCCTCGTATAATGCCGACCTGGATAAGTAATTAGGGATGCTATGTAAAATTAAGTTTTCTTGCAGACTAAAAAAATTATTATTTAACAAGTTGTGAGTAAATAAATAAGTTGAATTCTCAGACGATACGGATGAAGGCATAGTATGTAAAGCAGCTTTATTGCAAGCTGTCGATGCTACCTACACACGCTTCTCATCATCATCAGGTCTAAAGAAATATGCAAGTATTCAGAGATAATGATGACAATCTGAAGAATAAGTTCCCAGGAGTCGGTCGCATTTTTATGATTGTTTAGATAACATTTTCCAGGATTTTCGACCCAATTTTCCTTGTTTGCACAATATTTTACAACTTGTACAAAGAAATACCAAAGAAATAATTACTATGAACAGTAATAATTATCCACTGCGACAAACCACACTGGCCAAATTATATATCGGTATCTAGAAGTTAAAAAAATAGCACAATTTTTTGTAATTAATTTTAAATCCAAAATCTCTACATTTCGGATTTTGCAGAATGTAATTTAAAAAATATACAGAACAGAAAACTCTGGTCCACAGTTTCACACACCAAAATGTCACAACGCGTCATTCTCCTAGCACTGGCCGTGGTCACAATTTATTTCATCTTCCCCACCGAAACACAACGCACCGTAACATCGACACGTACAGTAACACAAACATCTACAAGGACGACGACACTAACATCAACATCCACAAAGACGTCGACACAAATATCCACAAAAACGACGACACAAATATCCACAAAAACGACGACACAAACATCCACAAAGACGTCGACACAAATATCCACAAAGGCAACGACACAAACATCCACAACGACGTCGACACGTTCAATTACACAAACATCTATTTCTTCAAAAACGGTCACATCGACTGTCACGCAAAGGATGACGATAAGGTCCACTGCGACGAGTCGAATAACGGTACGAGTAACCAGCACGGTTCGGAGATGTCCTCGTGAGAACAATTTGGAATATTTGGAGGATAACGAATTTCGCTCATTCTTCTTGGCACCGTCCAAATCAGAGTGGGCCCTCGTCCAACCGACCATATTTTCACATCCACTAAGTTATCGGCAGGATGATAACTTCGAAACCTCGAAGGAAGACGAAGACCCCCTATCATACGAACGGCCACAACGAGATTTCTTGGAACCATCGTCCGAGTTTGAGACTCCAGACGATTATTATAATTTTTACCAAAATATGGACAATTTCTAAATCAGGTAAAATTATCAATAAGAATTACCGCATTGTTCGAAAATCTCTTTCCACTTGTCTTATCCTGATTTTGATACGTGATCCAAGACGGGACTTGGATCCCGGAAGGTATATATTTTGCCAACTCGAGCAAATATCCCGATGCACAGGAGAGTTTCAGAAATATCACAATTATGAAAACCCCCACCACCTTGTATTTTTTTCTTGTCCTTATTACCGTCATATTTAGTTGTGCAATTCTAAAATTTTAAGAAATGTTCACTCACAATTAACTTTTCCAGCACGTGTATCACATATCACAATGTGTAAACTAAACTAATCTGAAAATTACAATACTTCCGCATGTATGCACATAATTTAAGACACGTGAAGTTAACAATGCCACTCACACGATTGTGAGAAAAATAAATGGTCTTGAAAAAAAAACTAGATAACAACTTCATCTATGTAATTGTACCTTTTCTGTCTGCTGCTAATAATCCAATATTGTTAGTAACATGTTCATGTTAACACACACACACACTACTGAAATGTAACGCTATCTACAAATATCGCCTAAAATACAGTACGGTCGGTCTCCTTTTAGAATTAGCTCTAACTGAAATAGCAAACTTAATATACATTCAGATTCAATTATGCATAAATAACATTTATCATCACAATTTGGTCACTCATTTTAGCGAGTAAAATAGAAGTAACTAAATAAATATTGCATGTCCATCTCATTATCAACAATGGGGTCGAAGAGGTCACGAGATGATGAGTGGTCCATCCCTCGCTCGACACGTATAAGGAATATAATAAGGAAAACAGATTCACGCATCATTTATCACCTTATCGTCTAAACAATCAGTGCACGTCATTGTCGTCTCGTCCCTCTTTCAATCCCGTTTCACATTAATATCCAATTCGGTTAAAAGGGATGAGAAGAATTAAAATGCGAGTGATGATGGACTTTGTCTGCATAAAAAATGATGGAAATATGAATATTAAAGATGCCATTAAAATAATAACGAGGATAATGAGACTTGCCAAAAATGAAATGGATATGTATGTATTACAGCTGCAAATCATCATCCCTCACCACGTCTGCAATATCTCGTCAAGAAGGGCAGGTTAAGGTTGGCAACTATTTTATAATTGATCATAATTTCACAGACCTTAGCATTGAACGAGCAATGAGTGCAAGCATATGATTAATTCTGCAACATGTTTAGAAGGAATTGAAGTTGCATTGTTTTACTGATCATAAGAAAAGAAGTAATTTTTTTGCATTATGATAAAACTAACAAATACAATTTCAGTATCGGATGCAATTCATGGTAAAATTATTAATTGAAAATAATTTTACATTTCTAACATATCTTCCGTAACATAAGTCCATCCAACACATACAGCATTTAACGTTGCTTGAAATTGTCAATCTCATTCTGCCTCATTTTTTGCGTTGAGTAGATAAATATCGTACATAGTGTAATAGTGAGTGATTATACGATGCCAACCAAACCTGCAGTTTTTAGCAGGGTTCATATTTATTTATGTATGTTGAAGTATTATCTCATCTCATCAATTTTAGCGTATCGTCAATCCTGACTAGACGATTATTTTTGTAAATAATAAAACCGCACTGAAAACATGCACGAATAAACATTTAGCATTTAATGACTGCTCTTTGGAGAAATTGGTGGCCCTTAAAAGGGCCGTTGGTTTGTAGTTTTTGTAGCGTTGTTGGTTCAGTTTAGGCACGTTCTCCACGGATTCGGCGAGCGAGTTGGATGTCCTTGGGCATGATGGTGACCCGCTTGGCGTGGATGGCGCACAAGTTGGTGTCCTCAAAGAGACCAACCAAGTAGGCCTCGGACGCCTCCTGCAAAGCCATGACAGCAGAGGATTGGAATCGGAGATCCGTCTTGAAATCCTGAGCGATTTCTCGGACGAGTCGTTGGAAGGGGAGCTTGCGGATGAGAAGCTCCGTGCTCTTCTGGTAACGACGGATTTCTCGGAGGGCGACGGTTCCGGGCCTGTAACGATGGGGTTTCTTGACACCTCCGGTCGCAGGGGCGCTCTTCCTGGCAGCCTTGGTGGCGAGCTGCTTGCGGGGGGCTTTCCCTCCAGTGGATTTACGAGCCGTTTGCTTGGTACGGGCCATTGTTTGTTTGTAGATTGGTTAGAAAGTTAGAATTGTTCTCAGGAGAAAGCTGAGACAACGAGTGATGAAGATTTCCACTTTGGGCTCCTGCTTTATAGTCAAGGGCTGAGTTCTGAGCGAGAAAGAGGATTGGCTGTTGAGCGGAAGTGAAAGCCCGCTCTCTCCTCACAACTCAAGAGGTCTGCTCCGCAACTCAGCCAGTTGGTATAAATTCAAGCTCGACTCCAACAAAGACCATCACAAGCTGCTAATATCTCACTCTGAGAACATCTCTCTCCAAGTCTCAACAACCACAAACTCATCATGTCTGGCCGTGGCAAGGGAGGAAAGGTGAAGGGAAAGGCAAAGTCCCGATCCAGCCGTGCAGGACTCCAGTTCCCAGTGGGTCGTATCCACCGTCTTTTGAGGAAGGGGAATTACGCCGAGCGAGTGGGTGCGGGTGCCCCCGTCTATTTGGCTGCGGTCATGGAGTACTTGGCTGCTGAAGTCCTCGAGTTGGCTGGAAACGCTGCCCGAGACAACAAAAAGACCAGGATCATCCCCCGTCACCTCCAACTCGCCATCCGAAACGACGAGGAGTTGAACAAGCTGCTCTCTGGGGTCACCATCGCCCAGGGAGGTGTCCTTCCCAACATCCAAGCCGTCCTTCTCCCCAAGAAGACGGAAAAGAAGTCCGCCTAATCAGCTTTCACAAATCTACACGCTAGCAACCCAACGGCCCTTTTAAGGGCCACCACATTTTCCAAAGAGCTCGAACAAAATCCAGTACCGACAAATAATATGTACCAATGTACATACAAAATATGTACTTTCTTCGTTGCTCAACTTTGCTTTATCAATTATTTGCATGCGTTTATTAGTTGATGCGAAATTATTGTCACCAAAAAAAAGTGCAGATGAATGATGTAAAATAGGATGAAACGGGTCATTCATTATTTACCTCGTTCATTTTTAGAGCATTTAATTACAATTGGAATCACTGATTTCAAATTTATACGATGAACAATAATGCGCCTTCATTCATAGTTTAGTTACGATTGATTTCGAATCAGGCTTGTGCATATATTAAGGTAACCTAACCTGAATAATACTTGTTAAATGTAAAATGATGTGAAATGTGATTTATGAAATTGTTTTATGTATTTTTGTAAATTGTTGAATATGCGTGTAAGATTGCCCCGTGACGTGGTGGTGGTTGCCATGGTGACGTCAGAGTGGGATTTTGAGTGCGCGTCTTATAAGTCGTAGTAAGTAAGTAGGTAGAAGAATTCTACACAGTCGAGTTTTAGTCGTTGTCAGAGTCAGACATTTTGGATTTAGTCGTCGTGGTAGGAAATCAAGAGTAAGAATTGTTAATTCTTTGTAATTGATGTCCACGATTAATTTGTCGTTATAGTAGTCACCAATCAACTCGTGTTAGTGCAGAGCTCTGAATCGTGTTGACAAATTAGTAATTTGTGGGAAATAAAATCTAGTTTAAGTAGATAAAATAATCGTATATTCACTCAAGTCACTTTCTTCAATTCCAACGAGCAAGGCACAATTAAATATACGTAAAGACACTATACTCCGGGTAGGTGATAGCTTGGTTTTTACAATACTCGTTATGTTTTACGCAGGATTTTTAGCATTTTATAAATACATGCAGATTAGATATGTCATCCCGCAATCTCATCAAAATTGCACATAATTACATATTTGTATGTACTGACAAAATTGTGAGTAGCACACAAAAGTTGCAACGTTTATGAAATTATCTTGTAAAATTTATTAACGGAACGGATGTTGGCGTACATAAATGTAATGCAATAAATTTTTATAAGAAATAAACCAAACTTTTCAGCTTCTTTTGACTTGGAATGGGTAATCCGATCCGAGTTTAAATGGTCGGATCGGATCGGATCGGATTGTTCAATGCTTTAGTAAATACTCGGATCAATCCGTCGGATCGGATTACCCATTCCTACTTTTGACAATAATCGAGTCAAAATGCAATCTCACTCTGCCTCAATGTAATGAACAAGTTGAATAATAAAATACTGCTTGCATAAGCATGATAATCAAACTCGACTGCATTTTATCCTAGTTTTTAGCAACATTTACAAGATCTCAATTTTATGTCAGTAATAAATATGTATGTGTAAAGTGTCAATAAATTGTGCAATATGATAAATGAATAATCGAGAATGAAAACAAATGCAGGTAACTTTTTTGAGCTCTTTGGAAAAAGTGGTGGCCCTTAAAAGGGCCGTTGGGTTTTTTTTGTGGAAGTTGGTCAGGTTATCATCTACTTGGAAGAGGTGTATTTGGTGACAGCCTTGGTGCCCTCAGAGACGGCGTGCTTGGCGAGTTCTCCTGGGAGGAGGAGTCGGACGGCCGTCTGGATTTCCCGAGAGGTGATGGTTGACCTCTTGTTGTAGTGGGCGAGGCGGGAGGACTCGGAGGCGATCCGCTCGAAAATGTCGTTGACGAAGGAGTTCATGATGGACATGGCCTTGGAGGAGACGCCAGTGTCGGGGTGGACCTGCTTGAGGACCTTGTAGATGTACACGGCGTAGGACTCCTTCCTCTTGCGGTGTCGCTTCTTCCCGTCCCCCTTTGGCAAGTTCTTGGACTTGGACACAGCCTTCTTCCCCGCAGCTTTCCCTCCGGTTTTTGGTGGCATCTTGCAAAGTTGTTTGAGATCTGCTTGAAATGAATTCAAAAAGTTGAATGATGATGGGACGGAGACACGACGAAGCTTTTATATGAGAAGGCTGAGTTGTGAGCTGAGTTGTGGAGAACTCAACGGAGTTGTGGAGAAAGGAGGGAAAATTTGGGGTTGGGTTGCCGAGAGAGTTGCAGAGTTCTCACTTGCGAGGGAACTCGAGTGGAGGGAAAGTCTACCCGGTTCACCAACGTCCGCTCTCGAGGTGTATATAATCAATCTCGTTTTAGTCAGTCTGCATCACTCGACTGTTGATAACTTTTACAAGTTCACTCTACTTCTCATCAAACTATTTCAAAATGACTGGTCGTGGCAAGGGAGGAAAGGGACTCGGTAAAGGAGGCGCCAAGAGACATCGTAAAGTCTTGCGTGATAACATCCAAGGAATCACCAAGCCTGCCATCCGTCGTCTTGCTCGTCGTGGGGGTGTCAAGCGTATCTCTGGCCTTATCTACGAAGAGACCCGTGGAGTCCTCAAGGTCTTCCTTGAAAATGTCATCCGAGATGCTGTCACCTACACCGAGCACGCCAAGAGGAAGACGGTCACCGCCATGGACGTCGTCTATGCCCTCAAGCGACAAGGCCGCACCCTCTACGGATTCGGCGGTTAAATATCTCGTCCTCCTTGTTGTTGTTGTTAATCCTTTATTCACGTGTCAACAGAGATCAATTCATTACAAATTGGTTTACACACCATGACACAAGTAGCATATATTTTTTATAAGCATCTAAAACTAATTAAGTAGGGCAACTAAATAATTCATGAAAATCATATATATATCATTCATTTGTCCTTTGATTAATTATAAAGTCGCGACATAAAATATCCTCCTCCTCCCATCTTACCTGATCTCGCAAAACCCAACGGCCCTTTTAAGGGCCACCACATTTTCCAAAGAGCTATAAATTAATAATTCTTCTTATTAATAATAGATTAGGAACCAATGCCGTAAAATTAAAATTAAGATGACAAATAATCAATTCTTGAAACTATGCAATGATTCTCTGATAATGACATCGGACTATACATGACTGGGGTGGTGTGATGTGGAAATCACTGCTAAATTTGCATATTTTTTAATGAAATTGTGCTAGTGGCAAGTTTGTTATCATCTCTCGACAGTAGCTAATACTAGAGACAAATCAAAGTACTCATGGATGATGCATCAAACTTAGCATCTAAAATAATTTACATTATGGTCAGTTAATTTGCTTAATGGAATATGCGTTCTATATAAGAGAGTTGTATTAGCTGCAAAGAAAATCCTATACGATTTTACCCACCAATTCATAAAACGAAGATTTTATATTCATAAAAGAATAAAAGAAATCACGAGGCAATAAGCTACATGATAAAATCCCATTGTAAAGTTCTCACTTTTTCCCTCCATTCAAAAAATCTTGCTCACAACTCAACGGCCACTCTGGCAACTCAGGAGGGAAAGTAGCCGCCCCGAGTACGTCGGCACTCTCGTATCTCTATCCCCTTATAAATTCAGTCTTAATCTCAATTTCGCCTCATCCTGCATCCAAGATTGCTATCTCTCTCACTGAAAGAAAAATCATCCAACAACAAACCCATCATGTCCGAAGAAGCTGCGACTGCCGCTCCAGCGGCCACTCCCCCTCCTGCGAAGAAGGGCAAGGCTCCCAAGAGTCCGAAGAAAGCTGGCGCTGCAAAGCCGAAGGGGGCGAAGGCTGCTGCGTCTCACCCACCCACTACTCAAATGGTCATCAACGCGGTCAAGTCCCTTAAGGAAAGGAATGGTTCTTCTCTGCAAGCAGTGAAGAAGTTCATCGCCGATACCTACAAGGTTGACACCACCAAGCAAGCGACCTTCATTCGCAAAGCCATCACGAAGTTGGTTGAGACTGGAAAGCTGACCCAAACCAAGGGAACTGGGGCGAGTGGATCCTTCAAAATTCCAGTCGCTGCTAAGGCTGCTGCTGGGGAGAAGAAGGCCAAGTCTCCAAAAAAGAAGACCACCAAACCCAAGAAAGCTGCTTCCCCAAAGAAGAAGGCCGCCCCCAAGGCGAAGAAAGCTGCGTCTCCAAAAAAGAAGGCAGCGGCCAAGCCGAAGAAGGCTAAGGCCGCAGCACCTGCCGCCGCGCCCAGTGCCCCAGCGGCAGCATCTTCTCCAGCTGCGCCCAAACCTGCTGCCAAGCCGAAGAAGTCTCCAAAAGCCAAGGCACCAAAGGTCAAGCTTCCCAAGGCGAAGAAAGCAAAGTCCCCCAAGAAGGCGAAGCCAGCAAAGAAAGCTGCCCCGAAAAAGGCTTAAACATCATCCTCTCTTCTGACAACAAACTTTAACCCAACGGCCCTTTTAAGGGCCACCACTTTTTCCAAAGAGCTATGGTCTAATAGTTGTCGTTTTTCATGAATTTCATCTGAAGATGAATAATTCATAATCAAGCTGACACAATGGAAAGATGTTGCTTCGAACTTATTTTATTTACACTCAATTTGGTAGGTAACAAACACTGCAAGTATTCGCCAATTAATGACAAATATGAGCTGTGATTGCGACCAGAGCAGTTATCAACAAAAAGGTCGACGCGCCTCCACCATGCGCCAGGTTGCAAAACTTTTTGTCCCACAAATGTGATGCTTCCCCTCCAACCCTTTCGTGCGGATGATAACGTCCCCATTGTCCGGGTCCATCTAATTCTTTGCATAAATGTCTTCTCAATTGTCAGTCCGTTTTGCGTTGCTGTTGCAGAGTACATGCTTTCAGAGATACCATCAGGTCATCTGTAATTAAGTTCTGGAATGGTTTCGTAATCATGTGACATGATTCATGTCATCCAAAAATGCATGCACAATTTAGTAGAGACTTCACTCAAATACCAAAATGTCATTATGATGATCAAATAGTTATCTTTATTTTATCAATGCGTCTGTTAATAAATTAATTCTTTGTTTCAGAATCAATTCATTTTTTAGAATAATGCTAATTTTATGTCTCTGGTTCGTCCCCCATCAGCCGAAATGTCCATGCAACACTGAAAAATAAAACCATTCTGGGGAGTCGGCATGTTTCATATCAGTTCCAGATTCGATTACATTGCTTTGTGTGGAAATTGTGGCACGACTCGTGTGTAATGCAAATTACAATTTGTAGTGATTTGACGTTCTCATATCTGTTGTTAAAAATAGGTCTATAACTTCGATGCATCCAATGAATAAATGAATGTGGATTTTATTTTGTACATATTGAGCTCTTTGGAAAATGTGGTGGCCCTTAAAAGGGCCGTTGGGTTTTACGAGATCAGATAAGGTGGGAGGACGAGATATTTAACCGCCGAATCCGTAGAGGGTGCGGCCTTGTCGCTTGAGGGCATAGACGACGTCCATGGCGGTGACCGTCTTCCTCTTGGCGTGCTCGGTGTAGGTGACAGCATCTCGGATGACATTTTCAAGGAAGACCTTGAGGACTCCACGGGTCTCTTCGTAGATAAGGCCAGAGATACGCTTGACACCCCCACGACGAGCAAGACGACGGATGGCAGGCTTGGTGATTCCTTGGATGTTATCACGCAAGACTTTACGATGTCTCTTGGCGCCTCCTTTACCGAGTCCCTTTCCTCCCTTGCCACGACCAGTCATTTTGAAATAGTTTGATGAGAAGTAGAGTGAACTTGTAAAAGTTATCAACAGTCGAGTGATGCAGACTGACTAAAACGAGATTGATTATATACACCTCGAGAGCGGACGTTGGTGAACCGGGTAGACTTTCCCTCCACTCGAGTTCCCTCGCAAGTGAGAACTCTGCAACTCTCTCGGCAACCCAACCCCAAATTTTCCCTCCTTTCTCCACAACTCCGTTGAGTTCTCCACAACTCAGCTCACAACTCAGCCTTCTCATATAAAAGCTTCGTCGTGTCTCCGTCCCATCATCATTCAACTTTTTGAATTCATTTCAAGCAGATCTCAAACAACTTTGCAAGATGCCACCAAAAACCGGAGGGAAAGCTGCGGGGAAGAAGGCTGTGTCCAAGTCCAAGAACTTGCCAAAGGGGGACGGGAAGAAGCGACACCGCAAGAGGAAGGAGTCCTACGCCGTGTACATCTACAAGGTCCTCAAGCAGGTCCACCCCGACACTGGCGTCTCCTCCAAGGCCATGTCCATCATGAACTCCTTCGTCAACGACATTTTCGAGCGGATCGCCTCCGAGTCCTCCCGCCTCGCCCACTACAACAAGAGGTCAACCATCACCTCTCGGGAAATCCAGACGGCCGTCCGACTCCTCCTCCCAGGAGAACTCGCCAAGCACGCCGTCTCTGAGGGCACCAAGGCTGTCACCAAATACACCTCTTCCAAGTAGATGATAACCTGACCAACTTCCACAAAAAAAACCCAACGGCCCTTTTAAGGGCCACCACTTTTTCCAAAGAGCTCAAAAAAGTTACCTGCATTTGTTTTCATTCTCGATTATTCATTTATCATATTGCACAATTTATTGACACTTTACACATACATATTTATTACTGACATAAAATTGAGATCTTGTAAATGTTGCTAAAAACTAGGATAAAATGCAGTCGAGTTTGATTATCATGCTTATGCAAGCAGTATTTTATTATTCAACTTGTTCATTACATTGAGGCAGAGTGAGATTGCATTTTGACTCGATTATTGTCAAAAGTAGGAATGGGTAATCCGATCCGACGGATTGATCCGAGTATTTACTAAAGCATTGAACAATCCGATCCGATCCGATCCGACCATTTAAACTCGGATCGGATTACCCATTCCAAGTCAAAAGAAGCTGAAAAGTTTGGTTTATTTCTTATAAAAATTTATTGCATTACATTTATGTACGCCAACATCCGTTCCGTTAATAAATTTTACAAGATAATTTCATAAACGTTGCAACTTTTGTGTGCTACTCACAATTTTGTCAGTACATACAAATATGTAATTATGTGCAATTTTGATGAGATTGCGGGATGACATATCTAATCTGCATGTATTTATAAAATGCTAAAAATCCTGCGTAAAACATAACGAGTATTGTAAAAACCAAGCTATCACCTACCCGGAGTATAGTGTCTTTACGTATATTTAATTGTGCCTTGCTCGTTGGAATTGAAGAAAGTGACTTGAGTGAATATACGATTATTTTATCTACTTAAACTAGATTTTATTTCCCACAAATTACTAATTTGTCAACACGATTCAGAGCTCTGCACTAACACGAGTTGATTGGTGACTACTATAACGACAAATTAATCGTGGACATCAATTACAAAGAATTAACAATTCTTACTCTTGATTTCCTACCACGACGACTAAATCCAAAATGTCTGACTCTGACAACGACTAAAACTCGACTGTGTAGAATTCTTCTACCTACTTACTTACTACGACTTATAAGACGCGCACTCAAAATCCCACTCTGACGTCACCATGGCAACCACCACCACGTCACGGGGCAATCTTACACGCATATTCAACAATTTACAAAAATACATAAAACAATTTCATAAATCACATTTCACATCATTTTACATTTAACAAGTATTATTCAGGTTAGGTTACCTTAATATATGCACAAGCCTGATTCGAAATCAATCGTAACTAAACTATGAATGAAGGCGCATTATTGTTCATCGTATAAATTTGAAATCAGTGATTCCAATTGTAATTAAATGCTCTAAAAATGAACGAGGTAAATAATGAATGACCCGTTTCATCCTATTTTACATCATTCATCTGCACTTTTTTTTGGTGACAATAATTTCGCATCAACTAATAAACGCATGCAAATAATTGATAAAGCAAAGTTGAGCAACGAAGAAAGTACATATTTTGTATGTACATTGGTACATATTATTTGTCGGTACTGGATTTTGTTCGAGCTCTTTGGAAAATGTGGTGGCCCTTAAAAGGGCCGTTGGGTTGCTAGCGTGTAGATTTGTGAAAGCTGATTAGGCGGACTTCTTTTCCGTCTTCTTGGGGAGAAGGACGGCTTGGATGTTGGGAAGGACACCTCCCTGGGCGATGGTGACCCCAGAGAGCAGCTTGTTCAACTCCTCGTCGTTTCGGATGGCGAGTTGGAGGTGACGGGGGATGATCCTGGTCTTTTTGTTGTCTCGGGCAGCGTTTCCAGCCAACTCGAGGACTTCAGCAGCCAAGTACTCCATGACCGCAGCCAAATAGACGGGGGCACCCGCACCCACTCGCTCGGCGTAATTCCCCTTCCTCAAAAGACGGTGGATACGACCCACTGGGAACTGGAGTCCTGCACGGCTGGATCGGGACTTTGCCTTTCCCTTCACCTTTCCTCCCTTGCCACGGCCAGACATGATGAGTTTGTGGTTGTTGAGACTTGGAGAGAGATGTTCTCAGAGTGAGATATTAGCAGCTTGTGATGGTCTTTGTTGGAGTCGAGCTTGAATTTATACCAACTGGCTGAGTTGCGGAGCAGACCTCTTGAGTTGTGAGGAGAGAGCGGGCTTTCACTTCCGCTCAACAGCCAATCCTCTTTCTCGCTCAGAACTCAGCCCTTGACTATAAAGCAGGAGCCCAAAGTGGAAATCTTCATCACTCGTTGTCTCAGCTTTCTCCTGAGAACAATTCTAACTTTCTAACCAATCTACAAACAAACAATGGCCCGTACCAAGCAAACGGCTCGTAAATCCACTGGAGGGAAAGCCCCCCGCAAGCAGCTCGCCACCAAGGCTGCCAGGAAGAGCGCCCCTGCGACCGGAGGTGTCAAGAAACCCCATCGTTACAGGCCCGGAACCGTCGCCCTCCGAGAAATCCGTCGTTACCAGAAGAGCACGGAGCTTCTCATCCGCAAGCTCCCCTTCCAACGACTCGTCCGAGAAATCGCTCAGGATTTCAAGACGGATCTCCGATTCCAATCCTCTGCTGTCATGGCTTTGCAGGAGGCGTCCGAGGCCTACTTGGTTGGTCTCTTTGAGGACACCAACTTGTGCGCCATCCACGCCAAGCGGGTCACCATCATGCCCAAGGACATCCAACTCGCTCGCCGAATCCGTGGAGAACGTGCCTAAACTGAACCAACAACGCTACAAAAACTACAAACCAACGGCCCTTTTAAGGGCCACCAATTTCTCCAAAGAGCAGTCATTAAATGCTAAATGTTTATTCGTGCATGTTTTCAGTGCGGTTTTATTATTTACAAAAATAATCGTCTAGTCAGGATTGACGATACGCTAAAATTGATGAGATGAGATAATACTTCAACATACATAAATAAATATGAACCCTGCTAAAAACTGCAGGTTTGGTTGGCATCGTATAATCACTCACTATTACACTATGTACGATATTTATCTACTCAACGCAAAAAATGAGGCGGAATGAGATTAATAATTTCAAGCAACCTTAAAAATTGTATTTGTTGGACTTATGTTACGGACGATATGTTAGAAATTTAAATGTGCATGCTAATTTTTTTTCATGCATGTTTTCAGAATTGTGTTTTCTACCATACGTTGAATTCATCATAATCAATTCTTACCCAAACTTTCATGGTGCAATGTTGAAACGGAATTCGAAGTCTTGATGCAGTTTACAATTTTATTCTTACTTTTAGGGTAGAATTAACAGATCGTATGGATGACATTTTTGAAGTGGTTTATTCACAAGCTTTCAGGGTTCAACTGCCCCCTTCTTCAGGTGTAAAATTGTACAGGAGAAATTGTCGGAATAATTTTATGAAAACTTTATGAAATTTATTCTTACTATTTTGATTAGTAAAATGACATGAGAAAGCAAAGCAAATGCGTATGTCATGTATGTCATTTTTGATCATAATGATCTACCTAAAAATTATATGCAGTTCATGTTTCGTTTTCCAATGAAATTGTGTTTACATATTTATTTTTTAAATGCTTAATTTTTAACAGACATCTTTTTAAAATAATAAATCGTTTATTTTCCAGTACAGGAAATAATGGTATGTTTTATTATGATGATCATAATATGATCCCACACTAATAAGAACAACAGTATTTCCTTTTTCCTCAATAACAATAGGACTGACTGCTTTGTTTGCAAATTATAATATTTTCCATCCATCTTCCCTTGCGAATGATACTTTTTCTCCGATTTCTCTGCGGTTGCTTGTCATGATAATAAGGTTGTAAAGTGACTATATTTATATATCACCTAACTTATCTGTTATTCTAGGTATTACAAATTTGAGACAAAATTATTTACCTCTCCGACCCTGGGATCCTGGTGTACATTTATTTAGTAAATTCTAAATAGGAGCAAATTCCACACAGATTTAAACAATTCATTTCATTTCCTTCTTTCGATATAAAAAATTGTCTATGGTACATTTGCATGCACTAATTAATTAATTACATAACGCATATAGTTGTCAAACAAAAATTGAATCCATTACTTTATCATCAGTTCTGTCTTACATACTTAAAAACATTGTTAACAATTAAAGTAATTTTTAAGGGACGATTTTAGACCTTAAAATTATTACATGCTTATTTTCTACTCCTATTGACTGATCATAAGAATTGTTGAAATTTTGGATGACAACTTGTCGAGTTGATTATTAGATATTTATGTAATTATTGTGGGAGACAATTTATTATTTATCTGGTATGTATATACATACGTTATCTTGTAATATTGCTGAATTTTAAGTCTACAGGATTCTTCAGACTTGATAAAGTCGGATTGCACTTTCTTTTCATAGGTATACATACATAATTAACTTGATTTAATATCAAAAATCGGGTCAAAAGGATAATATTCCGCTATTTTCAGAAGAATTAACCACTATTATTTATCCTGACCTTGAGTACGTGATGATCCTTTTTACAAGTAATCAGTACCTTTTAACAAAAAAGTTATACATTACTTCCTACTTTCATTAAGTGGTGAAAATAAAATTACATATTTATTTGGCAATTCAAAAAAGGCCTGATACAATTATTTATTGAGTGAATGGTGGTTTGTGCACGGTAGATATTTATATTATTTACATATTGTGTGTGATACAAAATAGCTAGGAAATACTAAACTAAAATAGAAAATAGGTCTTGAATTAATTACATACTTATGTATTTGTTTGCGAGGGATTGTGTCAGAATTTTTATAATATGAATACTTGTGGTAAAGCTGCCAGGAAAATGACAACAAGTATTTTTACATCTTATCTTTTACAGTCAAAACTTGGGCAATAATAACAACGACTAATTTTATATGTTTTATCAAATATCACATCACGCAAGCATTCATCACAACTAGGACTACATTGTTTTTTTCTTCTTCTTCATATGGATCAATCGACTAATAAGAATTTACTAGAAGAGATTTCTGAATCATCACATTTGAACTGTAATTTTTTTCAAATTCTTAATTAATAACACCGTAATCGTAATTATTGTAGCTGTGCAGTTGTACAACTAACTGAGGAAAGTAGTGTTTTTGCAGCAGCACGATATCATCCAAGGCTATTTATGCATGCGCATATTACATGCTAAATATTTTTTTACGTTGTTCCGGACTTAATTAAATATGTAATTATGAGAGGAAGAAGTCAATTAATTATCTAATTACTTAATAAGGTTATGGATTGAGTATTAAAACTAATCAATTCATTAATTCAACTTTGAATACATATCGTCCAGTTGGGGTTTAAAGTAGGCTTTGAGTTGAGGCCGTTTCGCCTTCATGGTCTGAAATAAAATGTAAATATGGATTTATTTTCAAAATCATTTTTTATTTTATTAAATGCTGAGTGTTTCTAAACATAAAATTGAAGTTTGTACCGGTGTTAGGAGTCCATTTTGTACGGAGAATGGGTCGGGATGCAGGTAAATGTCTTTCACCTTAAGAATTCATAGTTAATTGAAGAGATTTTAAAAAGTTTTGAATATTTTTATTGTTTTAAATATATTTACCTGTTCAAAGGATTTCAAATGAGCTGAAAAAAATGAAAGTTTTATGAAAAACTATGCGAAATATGTTAAAGAAAAATATGCAAAAAACGCCAACCTTGCTTCCCAAGTCTTGTAATGTCTTCTAAAAGAAGTGCTTTCACTCTATCATCGGCACATAGTACAGACAAGGTTCCTGGTATTTCGTTCGCTGAAGCCCAAATTTTTACAGTTTCGACGTCAGGCACTACAATAGCTACGACACACGACTGAAACAAGACAAATACAAATGCATTACATGAAGTATGTGTCATTAGTCATTATGATTAATTAATTAATGTTTGCTCACCTTTAGAGATTCTCCGTATACGAAAACTTGAGCCACGTATTGACTTTGTGAATAAATATTTTCCAGCTTTTCTGGAGCAATGTATTCTCCTGAAATGTAATTAATTTTCATATTAAGTACTTTATAAAAAAGACAGTAGACAATTTGGAAACAAACCTTGGGACAGTTTGAAGATGTGCTTCTTTCGGTCGATGATTTTCAGGGTACCGTTCTAACAAGAAAAATGATATAAATTAATTATTAGTGTGAATAAACCTTTTTAAAGGTAGAAGTATGTATGTAGCTCGCCCTGTAATACTTTTAACATAATTTTGACTTTGAAAAATTGTATGATTATTTTTTCCGGCTATTTTGCGACTTCTGCATCGACTCCCCCCACCCATTGTTCGAAACAAATGGTGCTACTAACAAGTTATTCAATAATGTAGGGGTCCCAATTTACATAATTGTAATTAGCATCAACTGATGCTAAAAAAAATCGTTAACAGACAGACCGACGGACAAAAGGAAGTAAATAGCTCTCGAATGAGGGCGAGCTAATTATGTATTAGTTAATAATAGTTGTCAGAAGATGAGCTTACCGGGAGCCAGGTTCCGATATCTCCAGTGTGCAGCCAGCCATCCTTATCAATAACGGTTCTTGTCCGTTCGGGATCTTTATAATATCCTTTAAACACACTTGTGCCCTTGACGCAGACTTCGCCTGGAGGAGAAACAAAATTACATTCCTAAAATGCTTATTTTACTTCTTCAGTGTGAATCGTACCCTGTCCAGCAGAAGCGTAATATTCCATTTCAGGTACGTCGACCAATTTTATACAGCAGCAAGCCAGCGGGGGACCGACGTGCTCGGGGGACACCTAAGAAATTTAAAATTGACATAAATATTTTAGTTCGAGTGGGAATTCATCCCCAGCCTCCTAAAATTTTTGTCGACTTACGTCTCCTTGTATTGTTAGAGTACATGGAGCAACGCATTCAGTTTGGCCATATCCTTCCACGACCTGAAGCAATTAAAATAAAATAATTTTTAGTTAACTGTTTCTTCGGGTCAATTATTATTTAAATCTACTCACCACACAACCCATAGCACATCGCATGAATGTTAGAACCTGTCCACTCAAAGGGGCTGAACCAACCACGATAAGCCTCAGTCGACCACCCATTCCCTCCTGTAATTTCCCCAATCATAATTAATTAACTAACTGTTACCCATTGTCCCGAAATTTAACCTGTTAAATTAATCGTCACCTGAACTTTGCGGAAAATGAGGGTATCCCAAATGCTATTTTTCCTCATGATTCCTTTCTGCAACTCGGTCATCTTGCTGTTTATCGCCATTCGCAGCATGGCACGCTTCACGACGGACCCATTGACGTTACCCATAACCTGAAATTATTACGACCAAATTCATAAATTGACCTCATTCGCACTCCTCCTCCTCTTAATTGAGTCTGACCTTGTCGTGTATCCTATTGAGCAAACGGGGCACTGCGGGGGTCACCGTGGGCTTGAGGGCTTTCATGTCCTCCATCAAATTGCGGATATCGCCCGCATAAAAGCCCACGGCTCCGCCTTGCATGTACATCGCGACCTAATTGATGAAACAGATTCTCATGTCGATTTTGGGCCGAGAGTCTCCAACATTGGCACAGTACAATTGGTTATTTTTCACAAGCACAGTTATTGCCGTTGTTCCTGCCAACTCATCGCGACTGATCATTGATCTCACTCACTCACTCCGCTGTGAATTAATTCCACTACCACTCGTAAAAGTAAACAAATATTATTCTCTCCGCCCACACTCTGAACGTGAATAAATTAGTACAGTTAGTATTACTTAAAAGTTGGACATGGCACCTTCTTCAACCAATAAAGGGTCAGGGAAACCCCACTGTTTCAGGAACTTGAAGAAGAGAGTTAAAGTCAAAAGTAAAGCATTTGAGTTTGCAAAAAATAAAAATCGACATGAGTGTGAAATGTGTCATGAACGTTTTACGAGTTTATATGCTCTTGAAATTCATCGAAAAAGACACTTGAATATGAAGGAATTCGCTTGTGACAAGTGCAGCAAAACGTTTATCACAACGAGTGATCTGACAAGACATAAAGTGACCCATTCCGATGAGAGAAAGTTCGCGTGTGTAGTTTGTGGGGTAAAGCTTAAAAGGTTTGTCTCTCAATATTCATGTAATTTCGTATTATTGACTGTTTGATTAACCTAACCATTCTTTGAATAACTTTAGAAATTCTGATCTCCTTCGGCACATGAGGCTACAACATCCCGGATCCAGCCAGATTGAAAGTAATGTTTAGCTAATGTTTTTCCAATTTATAAATTACTACAATAATCGTTATCTATATTTATATTTATATTTATAGAAACAACGCTTAGGCCGAAATACGAAGATTTCGAAATAGAGACTACTGGTGGTGAATTGGTGGCAACGTGCATAACTTGCAAGTTCGTGGCGAGTAATCAAATGTCGATGCAAAAACATACAAGGAGAGGACACGTCGCCATTCCCACACACGTTTACGCAGAAGCTGATGGAGGCAAAATTGTTCCGAGAGCATTTAAACCTGAAGATTATTATGGTAAACAAACTTTATAAAATATATACGGTTCCATATATATTTACCTCGTTTTTATTGTTGGTTGCAGAGAGTAATGGCGGATTACACAAAATAATAATCAAAATTTGGATGAAGGACAACACGATCGGTCTGGGTATAAGTAAACGTATGGAGACGAGGTTATTGCCGCCCAGAAAAACAAGACTGACATGAACAGTGCCGGGCGTAACAACACCACCATGCTGAAGAAGGCTTGCTCGTCGAGGGTCCTTCTCCCAGAAGGATATGAGGTTATTTGTGAGGAAACAAGAGTCGTCCCCATCCACCCTTTTCAAGGAACTTTGTGTAGTTCGAACGGGAAATGGACAGTTCGCAACATTCTTCAGAAAGTGTGCGTGGACACCTTTATGCCCCCAGAAGCTCTCACGTATTTTGAAGAAAATGAACTCGCCATCATCATCAAAGCAGTGGAAGAGCTGAAGAACTCGTTGGTTATTGGGGACCGTGAACTAGTCTTCATAGACGAAGCAAATAAAGGCGATCGACCACTGGGGGACCCGATTCTGAGGGCAAAGATTGAAGAAGGGACTTCAAAAATTTGCAAATTGGAGGAAGACCTGCATCAGGCCTCGCTTCGTGAACAAAAGTTGCTCAAAGAGTTGGAGGATGAGAAAAAAGCTCACAATGAGACAAAAAAAAGGTAAGTCAACTCTCCTTCTTTTCAACTCCAAAATTAGTAATTTGTATTGTATTCGTTGTAATCGTTAAACTGTATATGAATAATTAGTTGACGGCGGTGAAAAGAGAACGAGCCTTGTTGCTGCGTGCAAATTCTGAAAAGAGGAATGAGAACCGTGTTCCCCTCTCAAACGCCACCAACTCACCGGTGAAGAGGAAGAAATGACATAATCTTTCTTGAAATTCTCATTTTTTTGTTGTGTTCAATCATTAGACATAAATAATTCAAGAAACCCTTGTTTGAGTGCCGTCGTAATATCGCCTTGCTTATATTCCTGCCTTTGAATCACGTATTTGTGCTTGGTACTCACTCTAACATTCTAACTCCCTATGCATGTAATGATGACCAACGCGAGCTGTTTCATGAAACCTGCACTTATTTACAAGCAAAGTCAACCAATCAATTGGAAAGCTTTTTCCGTACTTGACAACATCTCTCCAGCATGTGGGCCAAAGGCAAGAATGAGATCATAGTATCCTGTCGGCAAGGTCGGTGTTCTCCCATCTGAAGAAGAAAATAGTATAATTTTTTCCAGATTTCTACTAGTTTTTTTTCAAATTTATCTCTATTTTATGTACCTGTAGAAGGACGGCGGACACGTCCGCCACAATATTTTCATGACTTAGCATCACCCCCTTCGGATTTCCAGTGGTGCCCGAAGTGTAGCAAATCGTGGAAATGTCATCCGGTCGAGGTGGCTTTTCTCGATGACTGTGGCTATACGTACTACCCAGTTTTTCCACTTCTTCAAATCGCAACAGTTCGATCGCCTGCTTTTTGGCACGTGCAATCGTTTCCGGTTTGAGTGGTTTGATGTGAACCAGGCGAACGAGGCATTTCGGTGCTTTGTCAAGGAGCAGGTTAATTTTCGCGTCATCGTCACAAATCACGGTGGTCATTTCAGCTAAAGATATGGATTTGTGAAAATGTGTGCCAATAAATATGGATGATTTATGTATTTCTCACCCTGGTTGATGATGAAAGCACAAGCGTCCGCCCCCAAAGTGTCGTAGAGTGGGACGATAACCATGGAATAGCAGTAGAGCCCTTGCTCCGTCAAGATCCATTCGGGACAGTTTATACTGTAAATTCCCACGTAAGATCCTGGATGCAGACCTGGACGTGGTATTGAAAATAGTAAAGTTGCCCCCATTAAAATAGTCGCGAATTTCTTCTTACCCATGTGGACCAAACCACACCCAAAGTTCTTTGCTCGTAACAACGCCTCATTGTAATGGAGCCACTGATATGGTTTGTTTTTGGTTTCACGCCATCCCAAACATATCCCGTTATCTGCACAAATAATTTAGCATTTTAATTGGACAATTAAATAATTTGTGGAATTAATTGCAAAATACTTACTGGACTCCTTAGCACCTCTGCGGAAACAGTCGTACAACGTGCGGCAATCTTCGAACAAGTAGCGCAAGAAGGTTCCGTCCTTGGCGTCCTTGCCGAATCGGGACGTACGGATCATTTCCGTTCCCTAAAATTTCGAAAAAATATAAATATGCATAGTTTCCACTTTAAAATTGTAGTAAACATTCGCCTGACTATGACGATGTGCACAAAAATATGTATGTCATTCCTTGATTTCCACCGTCATAACTGTCACCCCAGAAAATTTATTTACCATGGATGAATACCCAGCCAGACAAGACCAAAGTCATCTTGAAATTGAAAGTGATTTAATGACGCGATCTGTCCTAATCAATTCTGCATTCTATTTTGGACCCGGTACAGCTTTCTTACAAAACACAACCTGAAACATTACTCATGCTCTCTCGACTCAAAAAAAATGCAATACGACTTTCTCTCCCAATTATTTCTGACAAAAATATTGTACAAAATTCCATCACCCCCAAACCCAGTAGGCCAACCCAGCCACACGTAAATATAAATTAGACATGATTACTCTCATTAATTATCAGTCATCCTCAAGTCCCGTCTTATGAAAGAAAGAGTCTTCTCAAATGTAGAAATTGGCACAGATTTTTTTTCGCGAAATTGTACCGCATCCCACATCGCACAATATATATTCGCATTATCTTAAACCTAACCTTCAACGACAACAAGTAAGTACATAGGCATGAATACCAAGCAGTGATTATTCGAGCCAGACGCTCACAAGTTTGGACTTCTGACAATGAATCAGAGATTCAGAGATGAGCAACAACAAGGAAAATCATGAAAGCAGCAGCTCCTCCACGAGGTATGGTATGCATGTTAGTTATTGTAGCCAGCCATGTTTCACTTAAGAACATGATGAGGCGAAACAAGACAACAATAAAATAAATGAAACTGACGAAGGCCAAATGAGTCGATGGACCAAAAATATATGGAACATCGTACATACATACCGTGCACATATAACTGAGTAAGATCATTACGTTTAAAAACTTTACTATCAATTTCTTTCACGGGATTCTCCACTTGCAAGTGAGTGAGCATATATAAGATCCCGTGCTCCGGAACTACATCTTCTTATCCCTGCTCCTCCTGCTTCTCGGCAGTCAGCAGATTACAAACTTTTTTAACTTTTTAGACCGAGCTGGGGTACATACTTGTATGTATCGGTGTGTGTGTATGTGTGCTTTCTAAATGTGGTCGACACGACATGCCAAAAAAATCACACCTACACAACTAAATGCGACGATTATGATGATGAGGACGATTTAAATTATTTTTTTGTCCAGTCTGTGAGCAGATAGTGTCGAAAAGGGTGTAAAATTGGGGATAAAAGTACCTAACTAAAAATAATAAGTCATGAAATAGAAGCATCTGTTTCGCATAAAATGCAAATGCAATTTGTGGTGAAAGATGTGCCATATAATGGTTTTCAAATATACACCTCTCTTTTTGACGGTGCTTACACAAGTGCTTACACATATTGCGAATATATCGCTTTCCCCGTTAATAAAAGCACGCTAAAAGTGTTACTAATAATGGGAAGGAGTTGGTCATAATCGTAAAAGTTGAGAGGATTTCTTAGCCTAAATATAGATAGAAAAGAAAGTCATGCGAAAATATGTAATAATGCACTCACTTTTATTATGTCAGACTGACACCCGAGATCCAAAGGGATCCGGATAGGCTCCGGGTGGAAAAAACACCCACCACACATTTTCGACGACGTGGTAAATTATTCACTTAATTAAACGAACACGGTTTCTGGTTGGAAATTCTTATGAGGTTGGAATTTGTTTTCGGGAAACTTTGTGAGAAAATTACTTAATCCATGTATTTCACTAAAATTCACCACGACATGATAACTTTCACTAAACTATTCTTTAAAATTAAGGTCTTTCTTCATCTCGTCACCTCATCTTAACTAATCAACCAATGTCAGGAAGGTCAAGCCACTATGTCTCGTCATTTACTTAATAAATTCGTAACCACAAAAAATATGTATCTCACTTCTAATTTTCACCACACCAATTTCATAACGGACCGATCCAATCAAATCCTAAATCTGAAGGACTCTTTACTTAATTGACTTCACAAATGAACACTGCTCACCAAACTAAACAAGATTCCTACAACTTCCACCAACTGCATAACTGAACTAACTAACTACTTAAAAACCCGACCCAGCATCTTTTCCCGTGCTTTTTCGACGTCGTCGTTCTCTCCAAGATATTAACTACTCTTTTCGCCGGATGATCTTCTTCTTTATCGTGTCGGGAATGCAAGCAGAAGACGACAAACAACATGTACATATGATCATCTCATTCTGAACAAGATTTAAAACGTATGTGTGTACCTCTCTCCATATGCAATTGGTTCATAAAATTGCTCACATTTCTTTTAAACACATTGACTCCACTTCCACCGCACCAGGTTTGTTGAGACTATATGCAAGTAGTCAATACTACATAAATGCAGACAAGAAGAGGTTCGTTGAATAAAATAAGATGGCAACAGAGAGGACGACGACGGGAATAAAAAGTATCCTGAATACCGGAAAGTGCCAAAGGATACGGTGCCAAGATGAGCTTTACTTTACGACGACGGGTACATTCGTATGCGTGCAGCAGAGAAATTGGAGCATTTCGTGTTATATTCATTCGGCAGAATGGCGATTCGATCTTGTTTCACACATCAACAACGGGAAAGATCGAGTTACATAGGAAAAGAGAGGAAAATCCATTTGGATAAGTTTAAGTTTGTATTATTTTGCACTGCCAAAGTTCTTTTAGTGTCACACTTTTCCAGAAAATTGAGCAAATCTACGACGATCATTGATGAAAAGTGAGAAATGCTTGGAAAACAACAAACACACAATATTTTATTGTAAGTGGTTCTCATTCCTGGTGGCTTTAATTGCGGTACCTTGACCTTATTATTTTCCGTCTGGGGTAATAATATTCGAGATTGAAATGCAATGAAGTATCTATTCGTTTAGAAACCTCCTCGTGACTTTCATTAACTTTCTTTCATGCGAATGAACATGAATCTGCAGATGAAACGGACTCATTTTCCGACCGGGAGTGAGATGTAGATGTACATGCTTAAAGTCAAATCTACCATGGATGCCTGCAAGTGAACGACCAGACCCCCAATTTCTTGTCATTTAAGCGTTTAATTTCGGATTTATGACAAAACAGTTGGTGTCTAGTTGGACTTACACAAAATGTCATCCATGTACATGTATCTGATTTAATCCTATTAAGCAAATGCCTCCGAATACCTCCAAACTAGACGACATCCGTCTCCGTCAACTGTTTATTTAACTCCTCCCCCGCACTTTTCTCGTCCGGGTGGTGGTCGAAAACGACGTACACGTTGTCGAACAACTTGTATGAACGAGTCACATTTTGACAACGGATTTGTTACCTCCTCGCCAGCAAAGTACTTTCACCGGGAGAGGATATAAATAGTCTACGTCATCGGGAAAGATGGAGTGCACTCTACAAAATTATGATAACCTTTGACTTAATCGAATCCATTAATAACTTTTCATGTGACCTATCTATCTAGTAATAAAAGAGTGGAAGAAACTTCCCAACTACATAAATATGACATCAACAACCGAGTGTGACGCCATACTCGGAGATGATCATCTCCGAAGAAATGGCTCCTACGTACGCAACGAAACGTCGCTGACAAGATATTTCGTCGACTTATGAAACTTGATAAGATCCAGAGTGGGTGTTGAACAGAATGCTATGTGCTCTTTCACAAATTTTTAGAATATGTACTTCCTGCCCTTGCGAAACACTTAATATACTAAACTCTATTAGTCCACATTTCTCTCTAAAAACAGAGTGAATTTTGCTCATCCCACAGGAAATTAGATTAACAAGCACTCGCGAAATGAAACGGTTTAAAATAGACCTAGAAAAGTAAAGTAAAGTATGTTGAACAATCGTCAATAAACCTGAAGCAATCTCCTCCTCGTGGAAGCAAACATCAAAACAGTTTCTGTGATCCCCGTGTCAAAAACTGAAGACGAGATTGAAACACAACACACCTGGAATCTCTCAGTTTTGTTTTTTTGACGGGTCTCGTCATATATCTCTGGGATCTCATCTCGTCGTCATTCATAACACATTTTAAAAAACAATATGTGTTGGAATTCGTGTCCATTAGCTGAAAGGAAATTCTACCAGATCAACCAACCGTACAAACAAAATAGCATGGCTTAACTATATATGTACATAAGCTTACTCAGAAGCAGAACAAAGTGTACAATGTACATATGTATGAAAAATCTGCTAGAGGAGGAAGGAAGGAAAATGATTGCACAAATCCCTAGAACAAGATTTGTTCTTTACTTTTGGCTTAGAACTATGTACATGCATTTTGCGAAACAAAATCTGTTCGCCTCGGGAGCCCGTAAAGTGATCACTTTCGCCACCTATAGCTTCAAAATGGTGTCATTTGCGTCGTGAGGGTTTCTTCGGTAAGAAAAAAAGTCGGGAAAGAACTATGTACAACCTGCTTTTACTAAATGTGATTGATCTCTGAGATTTTGATTTTATTGGGACAATTTTTCACCTCATATTCCAGGAATGCTTGTTCATCCAAAGGGAACATTGGTGGTGATCCCTTCTGTCGTGTTGCGGCGTAGTACGTCCCCAACGCTACGGCCCCCGCCATCATGGCGGCACCGGCTGCACCCCCTGATTTAAAGACAAGTTTACAGGTTTCAGACACATTTTGCTTATATAGAAATAGTTGCATAAAAGTGTAATCATTATTATGGTGTCAATCTTACCTGGAAACCATTCTAGAGCGTCCTCCATTTTGTGCTTGACTGAAACAGAGAGAGAAAAGAGAAAGCAATTTAGTGTCGTAATAAGTAAGTACAGAATAAATCTCACGAAATGCCAAGCACAACCACGCGTAAACTGTCCAACTTTATTAGTCGTGAGACAAGGGATGTTTCACTGCTTTGCTTGTATTGTATACATAATCACAAAATGAGGAATGGGGAATGAATAAAAGAAGAAAAGGTCAGATTTCGGGTGAATAATTCAGACAGAGTCACTCAGGGATAAGTCAATTACGTAGAAGGTTTCCTAAATCTTGGAAATTATTAAGAATAAATTGTATCCAATTTTTTAAGGAAAAAAGTACACGGAAAATGGTGGTATAATTGTTGAGAGGCGTGAACCCTTTCTAGTGCATATTTAATTGGTACAATGTTTAACTGGAGGGTAGTTTAACTGGAGGGTAGGTATTATTGCTATCTGTATAGCACAACTTGGGCACAAGAAATTCACACAAAACCATTACCGGCTGAAATTTATAGCAAAACACAAAAATCGCTGTAAAAAATTGTTTTACTTTGCAGTTTACACACAAGACAAGGTTTTGGAGAATTTATTTGTACAGTTACAAAATTATATTACTTAACTAAATATGTATGTAAACGCACGTGAAAATCCAAATAAATAAAAAATTTAAGAAATCAATATTTCTGTTATACTTTAACATTAAAATCCACTTTTATGAAATTTTATGTAACAAAATGAAATTTACAGATAACTTTGCTTGCAGGCTATGTGATATTGGTTTGAACTATTTGGTTTTTAGAATCGTGTAGTTTTCCTATAAAAAAGTTGTAAAAATCATTTCATAATTTTGTAAACATCAAGTTTTGTACTCTGTTATATACGTTCACACATGTCTACTTTATTTTTCCTCTACATGTTCATTGGCAATGAATCATTCCTACTTATTAAGTATAATGACTTTATCAAGCAATCAATGTAACTCAAAAACAAATCACGCAAAAAACACAAGTATAACAATTGCTAAACAGTACTTTGAACAGACACGTCGATCAAGGTTATCATTTCGGTTCCCAAGACATGGCGTGAGCCCATTATCACAGTCATTAGTTGAACTTGTCTGTGAATGATAATAATAATAAAAAATATTGTGATGCCAAAACTGCATTTCATTCATAAAACCTTGCGTGCAGTCTAATAATATAATTTTTAAATGGCTAAATGATAATGGTTCTTGGGCATGATTTTCTGTCCATCTCGTCTTTCTACTTCGTCCGTATAGTAACCGGAAATGCAGCTGTACTGGATCGTTACCCAGAAATTGGTCACCAACGAGATGAAATTATGCGATACAATTTTAAAATTCGTCTGCAATTGAATATTTCGAATTTTCTCTCCAAAAAATCCTCTCTTCTCCACTCTAACAAGTGTTTTCTGCATTGTCCCAAACCGTAACTATCATCATGTCAAACAACGCTACGACCGAGACTGATCTCACCCCCAGACGGCAAACCGAGGCTGAGATGGCGACCGCCTTCTATTCCGCGTATGAAACCGTTTTAGCCGAATACATGAGAAATTCAGTGGCCCTACTGCAACAACAACCAATACCCGCACCACCACCACCACCAGCACCGGAAGAAGAACAACAACGCCATGAAAATGATGACATTGACGATGACGCTGCGTCAACGTGTACCACAATTCCGTACCACCTTTCCCTCAATGAGGACAGTTTACCCGAAGATCTGGAAGGAGAGACGTCCTGTTCCTATTACGCGACGGATGATGATAACGACAATGATGATGATGATCTTGAAGGTCAGTAAATACTTAATTAATTAATCGTACCTGAATTATTTGCATGCAATTTCCACCACTCGAATCTACGAAATTGTCTTTTTCTCTTCTTACTACACAATGACCACAATTGCACTTTGTCACTCGAATAAATGAGCAAGGTCTTTCTTAACTAAATAGTAACCACCTTGATTATGTATGTACTATCAATCAGACAACCTTCAAGTTCCAACCTACATTATTATCGGGAAAAAATCTACTTTAGACTAATGGGCGTTTTGTAACAAATTTGTAATACGTATGTAAGTAAGTAGCTCAGTTAAGTATGTAGTTTGTTTCTGTTCGATCACGGAAAATTGGTAAAACTAGCCACGTGCATTAATCGCTTATTTTACACAGGTTTGAAAATGATGATGATTTTTATTCATACGTATCTCTCAAATTCAGTTCAGAATTTATGAAAAAGTCCAATTATTATATTTTCTGCCACATTTTACTGTATAAAAAATTCCAGAAGAATACATTAGCCATAAAATATGTGCACATCCAGATGAGACATTTCAGCCAGAATTTGCTACCTCTTTATTGACCTTATTAAAATTATGGCTTGATTTTAACAATCACAAACCTCGCACAGCACTAAAATATTTATTAAGCCACCAGTATTTCCGATTCCCTTGAGTATTTATTATGCAAGAAAATCACTTTCCCTATGGCCCAATACCTATGCAATTAATCACGTGGAATAAAATATCTACAATAAACTTTTGAACTTACTTACGTTACTCAATTATCTAAGTCCAGCTTTACCACCAAAGTGTCACAACCCGAGACTTGGAATAATAATCTCTGGAAATCTGATCTCTTACAAAATTTCCCATCATCTCGTATCTCAAATGTTGTGCTACCACGAAATGACGAATAGCTTAGAAACCGGTATGCTGATCGCACGAGCAAGTAGTAGCACCACGTGAGACAAAAAAGTAAAGAATGGTGTCGATTGCATGGTCGGTAGTAGCAAGTACACATGCTTACGTACGTATATCCCTACGTAGAAATTTGCACATGTAAAAAACATACTTTGCTCTCTTTTTGCACTTTTTGGCAAGATACAATGCACCCGAATGGTCTCCACCAATCCTGTGCGTTTCGTGAGTGCAGAAACCATCATGCCATCTTATTCTTCTTCTCATTCTTTGTTACAGATCAGATACTACTTGGAAGTGCATTTCAGTTTCAGTTTTACATCGTACTAAACTAGCGTAGGGTTTCTGCTTCGCTTTAACGATTTGTTGCTTGCTAATAATGAATACTGATGATATAATGGGGAATGAGGGTGCGATTATTATTACGTACACGCCACGGGACAAGTGCGATGCGATTTTGCATTCTGGCAGCCAAATTTTGTCAAGGTTTGACTTCACAGAAATGCGTATTTACCTGTTTGTGCAATGTATAGTTTTTTGACTTGCGTCATAATAATGTCAAAGTGTGGTCGGTCTGGGTGGAGTGAAAGTTGGTTGGATGGATGTATGGAAATGGATGTATTTTGTATGCAAAACTGTACCCTTTCGGAAAAATGAGACGATTTATTTACTATGAATCAATCTTACACGTCTCTCAGAGAAATGGAACGTGTTGAATTGTTTATGAAGCTCAATCTCGTGTGGCGTTGTTTTTTTTCTGGTTTTGACTTTGACAGGTGGGGACAGGTTTGACTTAGATAGGTGACGTGTGTGCATAAATATGTTTTACATGGAGGATTTGGTGTAAAAACTCCAAGAATGTGATCCACTATGCAAATTTAATGCAATTGAATGGTCGTGTGGTCTTTTGGCACATGTTTGTAAAGAGAAATGGTGGAGAGATTCAATCAGTCATCGGGGTACATTTATAGATCACAATGGAAAAGTAGGTGAAATTGTGATTCGGTGAGGTTCGTAGAGTATCTTTGTGACATAAGAGAGCTTATAGAGTATTAGTTTGGTTTATATATGGAGTAGCATTTCCTGATTAATTTGCTTGATTAAAATGGATCATTTTGTAATGAATGTATTTAATTAATATTAATTTGTGCTAAAATTAATTTTATATTTCACCCAATTTTCACAGAAATTTGCAAATACTGATTTTATCTTTCATCTAATTCTTCTAGATATAAATTGTAGATAAGTGACATACATACATCATGGAAAAGTACATAGCTTCTCCATAAAAAAGAAACATGCATAAATTATGAATACTTACCTTAAATTTTTTCTTGAGTAGAATGTTGTTTTGATATAACAATTTGTATTCTTTGTGTATCAAATTTAAGTTTTATGTACTCATATTTTACGCAGTTTAACTCAAATCTAAAAGGTATAAACCTCTTTGTATCAAAATTCAGAATCAGAATATTAACGTATCAAGTTGAACATTTCCAATCAGTTTTTCCAATTTTCCGTAACGTTTACGTAGTAAATAGTTGAATTCTGCGAATACACATTTCCAAGTTTTCAAAATACCAAACAGGTTTTTAGATTGTTTTAACCAAAGTCACTTATCTGTTCGTCTTAAGATATAAAGTCTTCATGGAAGATGCCTGATTGCAACTGATGCAAATTACAGTCTTAACTGAAGAATGAGATAAGATAGCGTGGTGGACTTAATCGACTATGCCATGTACACAAATATTGCCCAAAAATTGATCTCTGCATTAAATATGGTAGCAACCACGGTTAATTATAAGCTTTCATAACGTCCAATTTCAGGAAGTATGCGTATGCTGCAACATAATAATTAAGCAATAAAAATGTGCGTGTAACATTTTGAAGATAACGCTTGATGATCAATTTTTAATCCTTTTTTGCAAGATCTTGGTTTGCATGTACATGAATTAAAACTGGTTTGGTCAGACGTAACGTGTCATAAGTAATGTTGCAAATAATTTGCCAGAGGAGGTTTTTTTTAACTTTTTTGCTGAATATTAAAGTGGATTATAAATTGCAAATATATAAGTGTACGTTTACACTGCTGTAAACTACTTTTAGGCCAGTCGATTAAAAAATTGCACATGTAGGTAAATCTGTACAACGAAGTAATTTGCAAAGTTAGCCTTGGTTTAGTTAAATTCATTACGGAGAAAAATGCTGTTTAAAAATAATGATTGGTGATTTTTAATTTGGCAACATTTTCTACTAAAACAAACTTTTTTAAGTTTTCCAATTTTAGTGGAATTCTGTATTTCAACTTATTGTTAATTCACAAATGCTAAATTCTCCCTTTAATTAATTCCCTTCTAGATAAAAGCTTTTAGCAAAAATTGTATCAAAAAACGTATCCATTTTTTCCTCTACATAAATCACGACTTTTGCTTTTCTCCTTTATAAACCCAGCCAGGCAGCGTTGACATCTTACATATTAATCTTTCCAAAAAGTCTGAAAGCAATAATAAGTAATAAGTTTTGCTATGATTTCGAATTTCTAGGATTTTTTTGTCATTAAAACTTTCTCCCAAAATACATAAAAAGTAATAAAGTTGAAGCGACGAACAAATTGAGTTGCTCGGTTGCTTGCTATCTTTCTTTTATGTCATTTCTTCGCCCATTTGATTATTATTGCTGCTTCCCTGTCAATTTATTGTCAATCTTTTATTACGCAACTGCTATGCTTTCTCCAAGCTCAATGGCAATCTATGTGTTGGAGAAACCTAGCTAATAATTCTGCAAAGGTGAAGCCCGGATATTTGTGCATCGAGTGGAAATATTGATTAAATAAATGAATGATTTTTCGTCAGATTCTGTCTTTTCCACCAAGACCAACCATCAATAAATAATTTAGTTATGTCCGCTACCCTCAAATTGACAATTTATTCAAAGAGTAAAAGGCACAAAAAGTTAGGCAAACTATCCACTTGATAATCATTTCTCCTTTTACTAGTTTACATGAATATGCATTACACAACTTGGTGATTGGGAAATGTATATATTTACTTTCCTGGTAAATACATGGTTCGAGTTTGCTCAATTATAGATCTTTCCCCAACAAGGAAAAGGATGGTGTATGCCATTCAGGTCGTCATTTTCATTGGTCAAGGTCTATTTTTCATGCATAAATCTTGTTTAAAAGTTCAATCTTATGTAACGAAAAGTTTTCAGATTTTAATTTCAGCCCTTTTTGATCGATACAGTCGTACTGCAAACTTGTGTCAAATGTCAAACAAAGTCACCTTTAGGTACACGCTATGGCACAATTTCTTCCCCAATTGATGAGGTACATGTGCACACACTCCTACAGAAAGTAATACCCGTGTAATATTCCGCCCTTTATTTCAACAACAAAATCGATCCCGGCAATTGTCCAGAGTCATTAATAATTCTCTAATTAATCGAAATAAAGCACGACACGGTTTATTTGCACGTATGGCCCACTCGTTTTTTTTCTGGTGGCGTTGTAGGCACAATTTCTAGCTTGAAGGGTATAAAATAATTGTGATATGTAAATCGATTAAGTGCCACCGGGTAGAAAAATCACCCTTAAATAAATCCATCAAATTAAATATAAACATCAGCTCCTTTATGCAGTTGGGTTTGGTGGTCATGCATTTCAGTGATTTATTTAATGCGGCGTGGAATTTGCGAAATTACATGTATGCATTTTTATTTAAAGCATCATCCCATAAATTCTGACAAGCTTTTACCTTAACTAAACCAATTCTTACCTTCTTCTCGTCTAAATATTGTACTTCAACTTCTCACACAGCAAGAGATTCACTCGACTGGATTATTATTGCACAAAGGAGTTTGCATAATACTACTATGAGCATAGTTAAATAATTGCATATGGATTAGTCTCACTTATTGCATATCGTGAAAAGTCTTGTAATTTTTATAAGTCTTTTTCCCCCACGCGTAAAATATTATTATCAATTAAGCCAATCCAATAACAACTTGCGCAATAATAATATGTAACAAGTGCACTTTAATTAAAGAACGGCACACATTTTTTGGAATTATTCTTGTTAAATTGTTAATTGCACATATTTGAATTATTTTTTCACTCAAAGTCTCCTCCGAAGTATTATTATTTTTATTGTTAGGAAGCAGCTCAGTAGATCGTGAGTTGTTACAGTTTAGTGGAGATTTTTAAACTGGAAGTCGCTAATTTATTAGACGAGTGTAAATGAGTTAAGTATCCTGATTCTCTATTTAAAACCGGAATATCTATCACACTCGAGGCAATGTAACAACAGAGGGTTCACTGTATGTGCATACATTCATGTTACATATCCAATCCACGACTCCTCAAATATTAACAGTTTACACTAGTTATGAGCAGTTTTGATCATTTCTTCTTCTGTAATGTGGTCGTTGAGGAGGAGATGAAAAAGGGTCTCTTCTCGTTTAAAGGAAATCCCTCCGAATGAGCTCAGTCCACGTATTTATTCGTCTGGATGTGAACTTGGAGTTGAAATAATATTTAGATTTATGTATCTATTTATCTAAATACACTCGTTTAATAGATGACTAGAGGAGAAGATTAGATTAGAAAAATGCAGTGGAAATCTACATCCACAGTATTTTCGTTATTTTATTACGAAGACATGTCACCACTCTGTCTGGTCTGTCGTCGATAAGATTTCATTCAACCCTTTTTCCTATCCTTGAGAAAGACTTTGACTGGACTTTCTATTGAGATGTCTTAAAAGGTGACCTCGTTATGCGGCGGCTGACTAGTCATCTTTGTTTGCGGATGTCAATGGACCAGCAGCGTATATGAATATTTTACTTGATGGATATCCAGCCTGGAACTGGATATGCATGCAGAAAAAATGTGAAAAACGGGTAGCCAGTTAGATATTATACTTATTACTTATGTACGTAAATGCGGGAGATTTTCTGCTACAGTCATGCACAGAAAGTATGTATAAGTCGACTGGAGACCAGAAATGCAACTCTCCCTTCTTCTTTACGTACCCGGTGTCGGTCCAGCCAGGGCAAAACTCTCCAGTAAAAGGTGTATATCAAAAAGAAGGCTCTGCTGCATGCGATGGAAACATCCGCACAATAAGTCTCACTTACTACCCGGGTATTTATATCGCGCATAGTGAGTGAGAAGTCGATGGGAAATTGTGCATGTATTTTTTTAGAAGAAAATTATTCATGGAGAAATCAGCTTTTCATGTTTAATGATCATCTCACAATTTACATATTTACTTTAAATTCTCTCGATTAAAGACACGATTTGTAACCGCACCGTAAAATCAAGCCCTTGGTGCTATTCTGGATGAGGGGAACGGAGAAAATGTTCCTGGTGGGTCTCTCCCATTGGTTGTGGGGAGCATGGTGTGTTGTATTTCGTCACAATGTGGGACGATGGCGAGAAGGAAAGTCAGAGGAGGAAGGGAAAGTACAGAGTAACCACCGACTATGTATTTACTGGAAGGTATGGATGGTTGGATGGTGGCATGACCCGGGTTTTTTTGGTAGCCAAACCACTAACTTTTTTACCGGGTAGGATATACTTACCGACCGTGGAGGCGGGTAATAGTGGGAGTAGGTGGTTGGCTGCATATGTATTTCTGTCTGACAACTTTACCTGAGTGATGGAAAATTCTATGCGGATTTCCTCTCCTTTCCACAATGAATTTCCTACCGGACATAATTTATTGCCGTGATGCACTCAAACCTAATGGCTTCTTCGCTCCGTGGAGACTTGCATATTTGCATGTTAATTGAATCTCAACTCGGGCTAAACAATGCATGCCTGCTTATTTGCAGATGAAGCTTGTCCAGCTGAAAGTGAGAATTGTCCAGGTGAAAATGAGACCTGTCCAGCCGAAAGCGAGACCTGTTCAGCCGAAAGTGAGACCTATCCAGTCGAAATTGAGACTCGCATTGCCGAAATTGAGACTTCAGCTGAAAATGTGACTTGTCCAGCCGAAAGTGAGACTTGTCCAGCCGAAAGTGAGACCTGTTCAGCCGAAAGCGAGACCTGTTCAGCCGAAAATGTGATCTGTCCAGTCGAAATTGAGACTCGCATTGCCGAAATTGAGCCTTCAGCTGAAAATGAGACTTGTCCAGCCGAAAGTGAGACCTGTCCAGTGGAAAGTGAGACTTGTCCAGCCGAAAGTGAGACTTATCCAGCTGAAAAAGTGACCTATCCAGCCGAAAGTGAGACTTATCCAGCTGAAAATGTGACTTGTCCAGCCGAAAGTGAGACCTGTCCAGCCGAAAGCGAGACTTGTTCAGCCGAAAATGTGATCTGTCCAGTCGAAATTGAGACTCGCATTGCCGAAATTGAGCCTTCAGCTGAAAAAGTGACCTGTCCAGCCGAAAGTGAGACTTATCCAGCTGAAAATGAGACTTGTCCAGTCGAAATTGAGACTCGCATTGCCGAAATTGAGCCTTCAGCTGAAAAAGTGACCTGTCCAGCCGAAAGTGAGACTTATCCAGCTGAAAATGAGACTTGTCCAGCCGAAAGTGAGACCTGTCCAGCCGAAAGCGAGACCTGTCCAGTGGAAAGTGAGACTTGTCCAGCCGAAATTGAGACTTGCCCAGTCGAACTTGAGACTTGCATTGCCGATTTTCAAGTCGAAATTGAGACTCGCATTTCCGAAATTGAGACTCGCATTGCCGAAATTGAGCCTTCAGCTGAAAATGTGACCTGTCCAGCCGAAAATGCGACTTATCCACTCGAAAATGAAACCTGTGCAGTCAAAATTGAGACTTGCATTGCGGATTGTCCAGTTGAAACTGATACTCACATTGCCGAAAATGAGAGTTGCCCAGCTGAAATAGAGACCTATTCACCCGAAATTAAGACTTATCTTGTCGAAACTGATACTTGCCCAGCTGAAATTGAGACCTATTCAGTCGAAATTGAGACTTGCATTGCCGATTGTCCAGTTGAAATTGATACTCACACTGCCGAATTTGAGACTTGTCCAACCGAAAATGCGACTTATCCAGTCGAAATTGAGACTTGTATCCCCGAAATTGAGATTTGTCCAGCAGAAATTGAGACTTGCATTGCCGATTGTCCAGTTGAAACTGATACTCACATTGCCGAATTTGAGACCTGTCCAGTCGAAAGCGAGACCTGTCCAGTGGAAAGTGAGACTTGTCCAGCCGAAAGTGAGACTTATCCAGCTGAAAATGTGACTTGTCTAGCCGAAAGTGAGATCTGTCCAGTCGAAATTGAGACTTGTATTGCCGAAATTGTGACTTGTCTATCAGAAAGTGAGACTTATCCTGTAGAACTTGAGACTCAAATTGACACTATTACTGCTACACAAGATGAAGAATTATGCTCACCTTCTAATGAAGAAAGCAATATTTGTCACACAGCGGAAGTAAACGCCACAATAAAACATGGAAATCCACAGCAGGAAGATGACGACAATTGTCCGTGTTTACATTCTCACACCGAACCTCCCACCGATATTCTCGCTCTCGACGAAGAATACAGTGAAGCCGACTCCCCCATTTGCATCTCTGATGATGACCAATTTTTCGAAAATGTAAAAAATATCAACGAATTCATCAACAAAGTTCAATCCAAGGAAAAAGATAGCGACACGGATGAAACCACGTCACACTACTTCGAGGATGACAGCGAAGAAGCAGAAGAAATCACCGAACAAACTTATCCTGAGCCGGACCCATTACCAATTTCATCCCCCACCGACGATACCGACAATGACAATAAACACGATAAAATTGGGCCAACCTTTGTCAGCGTCCCTGTCATTTCCGTAAGTCGGATAAGCCTCAACGATGCTGATCCGGCATCCTGGGGTGACCTTGTCCACCTCATTTCTCAAGTCCCCTGCGCTGGGTCCGTTTTGTCGAGGGTGGAATCCGACGGGGAAAGTACGGATAGCGAAACAGACACTGATTTCATGAACTTGATTACGAATTCGATATCAAAATCCGACGTCACACTGCAAGCACGAGACCCCATCAGTCTGTGTGGTCATAGTGGCGACGAAGTTAAGGAAAAGTGTGACATCGTCGTGGCTGAATCCAGTCTGACCAAAGAAATGAATGGTATGCAAAGTTAATTTAACAAGTCTATATAAGCTTTTTACTAAGCCTTTGCACATTAACGCAGCTAATGGTGAAAAAATCGTGACAAAATCTTCTGAAATCTTGATGGATACAAAAACCAGGTATTTTTTATGTGCGAGATAATTTATGCTGGAAATTTACTAACCAATTTTGCCAATTATAGTCCCACAACCATTCTAAAGTTTCAACCAACGTCGAAAGTCTCTCCTCTCCACTTGATTTTGGAAGACACACCGAAAAAACAGAGACGAAATGATTCGACGACTACGCCGCAGCAAGGAAATGATAATAAGTTGCATCAACTCGGAAACATTCTCGCAGCACCGTTCAGAACTATTTTGAATTTCTTTAGAATTAAGAAAACGTAAATAATACTCTTCTTAGAGGTGGATTATACATAGCTTAATTTTACTTAATTTGAAAATGACATGAATAAAAAATGCTCGGAACTGGCAAAGTGTAAATCAAGAGTTTTTTTGAGATTTGTCTTACAATCAGCACAAAATATTTTTGTAAGCTTGAGTCTCACTCACAAATGGAAATTCTTATGGGATGCGCTCAACTCAAATCAGTTCGCGTTCGTCAGTAAGCAATCGGCAGCAATCAGGGTAGGATAGTTTTTTTTCTTCTTCTCGAGATATTAAAATTTTTAATTAATTTCTGACTTTCTACACCTTTATTATTTAAATTAAAAAACAAGTAGACGAGCAGTCATAAACTGCGGAAACATGTCTTTGGTGTTGATTGAGCCGGACAAGGTAGATGAGGTGAAAGAGAACAAAGTAAAGTTTGAAGAGGAAGGGCCGATGGAGGTGGATGTTGAGGAGGGCGACGAATTATCAGGGGTCGTCGATGCTAGCCAATTGTGCAAGGCAGAAATCCCCGACGCATCAGTTGTTCATATCGTGAACAATGAGATGGACGCTTTCCTCAGCACTTTACAAGACGACGACATTCAAATGTTCGGTGGACGAAGGAGTGATGCGGCATTTAAACGGAAAGACATAGGTGAAGATGACGACAGTTCTTCTAACTCTGGGTCTGATTACGAGTCCGACGAAGGGAGGAAGTCACGTTCACGACCAAGTAAAAATAAGAAGTGGAAGGATGCGGAAGAAGAAGAACCATGTTCGTCGGGCAGTCTGGGTCGCCGCCCTTCGGTTGCTGTGGGTGGAGAACGGAAGGACTTGTTAAACACCTCGTCCTACAGGCGGAGAGAAAAGCAAGATCATTGTCCTCCTGCAGCACCAATCAAAACAAAACTTGGTCGAAACCCGGAAGCTGAAATTGAAGATGCTTCAATTCCTGTAACGGAGGAAGAAAGACTTTTTTCCGAGGCTGATGTGAAACTGGCTTGTGCGGCACTCAAGACTAATGGTGAGTGGAGCTAATAACTGATATATTGTTATTTATTTGTTAAAATTACTTAAAATGTCAAGTTAATTAATTAATTATGGATTGGTTAACTATTTTTATTGTAGAAATTATGCCTAAAGCGGATATAACATCCCCCTTGCCATTGAAGAGATTTACTGGGTCCATCGTGTCAACTATGATGCGAACATTGCACATCTCCAAAGAGGCCACAATCCGTCAGTACGATGGATTGAAGCGGATTGACACCCGAGTTCTGACACAATCTGGCGATGAACGAAATCAAGCGATGTCGCTGCACGAAATGAAACAATCAATACCTATCTTTCTCAATGGAATTTTGAAAGCGGAGCATCTCGTGTACATCGCGAGCTGTGTGGATGCTAAGGCCCGGCTTGACAACAAAAAGTGGCTGATCGAGCTGGCAGACGTGTTCTTGCATAATCAAAAGTATGAAATGTTGGAGTTTTGCACCAGGACCGCTGGTATTGCCCCGTTTCCATACGGGAAGAAGACCAGGTCAATTGATTGCCTTGAATTTACGCACAGGCTGCGAGGTAGAGTAATTGTTCATCCATTATTTCTGCTTAATTGATGTAATGAAACGTAATGAGTTGTGATTAATTTTGCTACTTTTCAGAAATCAAAAACATGATGAAGATGGATCTGTACAAGTTGGCCGGCTCGGGAAGAGTTGTCGCGATGCAGATCAATGAAGCAACGGCCAATATGCAATCAGTAAAGACACAAAAATATGAACTTTTGGTGAGCACATAGTTTTATATTTTGATTAATTATCAAATTCAAAAAATGGATATTGAATTAATTCAAAATGAACATCAATATATTCTTTTAATTGATTCTTTTAGGAAAAGTTTCAGGAATTATATCTCAGGGAGAACTTGAACGATGCCAAATTCGATGAGATGAGCATCACTGGAATCAGAGGGGTGAAGATGATGATGGAGCCTCCCTACTTCAAAACTGAAGACGGAATGTTAGCATTTGAATTTCCAAATGCTAATCGTAATGCTCAGAAGAACCACATGCCTTTTCCCATTCGGAAACAAAAGTGTAAGCATATTATTCGGTATTAATGGTACTTACGTAATGTTGATGAATAATTCATTATTAAATTGTTTGGTACTTCGATTTTAGGGACGTCTAAGGATTTGAAAGCCTTAAAACAAGCTATTAAAGAATGTGTCGTTTCACAACGGATTGATGACTTAAACGGCCGTTATGCGGAGCTTTTATTGGAGTCGGACATGCGTCGAAAGGACGAACTGTGTCGAGAAGGAAAACTAGTCGATGAATTTAACCAGCCTCCTCGGAAACGAAGGCGTGGACGACCGACCAAGGAGGAAACTATGAGACGTGACAAGTATGGGATTGTTTATCCAGTCCTGTTTCGTACACCGAATCACACAGTTGCGTACGAACTGCTGCCCAAACAGCTCAGCGAGTGGAGAACCATGATGGAAAACCGCCTGCGAAACATGAACTTTGACACGTTGATGAAAGACAAAAATAACGACGATCTGGTCGATTGGGATGAGGTTTCTCTGAAAATGATGTCTCGGACAAAGAAATTGCGGTCTGATGATGATTGCAGTCGTACATACACGCATGCCATTGATCCCAAGGTAGATAATTACAGAATTAATTATTCTGTTATAATAATTTGTCATAAATCATTACATATTGTTTTGATTTATCAAATAGATTAATCACAAGAGATTGACAGCTGAACAAACCAAGCGAATTCAACATCTGAACGACGTGGAAAAGGTGCAGGACTGGGACGAAATTGCCAGACGAATCAGTGTCGATAAGAATGGTCAACCGACTCTGCCACATACAGCATTTCAGTGCATGAAACGTTACATCACACATGTGGCTCCTCCCCCAAAACCCGTGTGGACTAAAGAAATGGACGAAAAACTCAAAACAGGAATTCAAGAAAATCCGGGACACTGGCGAAAGGTTGCTGCATCGCTGAATCATGAGGGAATTACGAAAAGGGTGGCACAGGAGCGGTACAAAAAGCTGAATCCGTTCATCAAAGTAGGACCGTTTTCTCGAACGGAAGACTGCTTGCTACTTCTAACCATGCAACGTTTGAAACCTTTTCTCTGTGATGAGGGACATTTTGGCTATTTGTTGCATTATCTTCCATGGCGGTATGAAACCACTTGGCGCGACCGTGCTACCAATCTATTCAACGATTGGATTGTCCCTTGGACTTTGTGAGTCGGAAGAAACACATTAATAATATTTGCGGTTATTAGTACGTAATTATTATTACCATTTAAAAAAATGTAATGATTGTAGGGCGGAAGATCGCTTGTTAATGGATTTGGCTGTATCGATGAATCGCAACTGGCAAAAGATTTCTAAACAATTTTCTTCCTTCAAGAATAGGAAAGGTTGTTTGACCCGCTTCAAAATCTTGTCCCGTAATTTGGAAGATAAGAACTCTACACTGGAAGAGGTGACGGATACTTGAATTTTTCAAGTTAATAATTTTCATAATTTATTGTACTTAATTTGTAACGTCAAAAATTTACTTGACTTTGACTAGTACCACGAGGCGTATTCAATGACTCGCTACAATGTGTTCCAATATCGACACTTGCCTGAAATTGTGAGGAAGCTGACAGAAGTGAAGGAGAAAACGTTGCCATCAGCCACTCCATTTTGCTTCCCAGCGAATCCTCAACAGCCCCCAACTGAGGAACAACTAGAACGTATGATGGAAATGTTTAACAGGGACATTCTACTGGCAACCATCACCTCTCTGGACAAGTACATACAAAGTCGAGATGAATACTGGGAGACTTGGAACGACGAAAATGGCGTCAAGCAACGAACATTTGATCGAAGTGAGTTTATTCTTATTTAACCAATTGCGTAATAATACTATTTTAGTTACGTAGTAGTGAGTGAATAATTGTTCTGTCCCTTTGTAGGAACTTTCCGTCCTAGCAATCCTCAAAGTGTGGCATCTGCGATTCATATTCGAGGCCTCAAGTTGAAACCGAAGGGAAGCTTTGACAACTTGAACGATTTTGAGGAGGAGATCTACGTCCATTATTCACGATTTTCTCGCACAAAGTCCCTCAAGGCAGGCATCAAGCGTCCCTACCTTCCTCCAGCGTCATTTTTCTACAAGTGGAAAGACGTTGAACGCATCATTGAAGAACACGATGATCTTGCCGCCTTGGAGGAAGAAGAACAAGAGGCTGCCGAAGGTGTTCCACACTGCAGCAAGAAGTGGACCAGATTGATAAAAAACAGTAATAAGATGGATCAAGACGAAGATAGTGATGACGAGGTGGAATCAGAAACCGGTGATGATGACAGTGATGACGAAAGCGATGATTCTGAAAATTCTAATGACGAAGATGATGCTGAAACTGCCAACAACAATGAAGACGGCGATGATAGTGACAACGAGGTAGATAAACTGGAATACGATGATGACGAAAGCATGGACTATGAAAGCGATGATGCTGAAAATGCAAATCATAATAATGCTGAAAATTCCAACAATGAGGGTGATAATAATGCCAATAACAGTGACGATTCTTCTTCTGATGATGATGAGAGTGGCTGGGTGACTGCTGAAGATGGAGAAGATGATGATGAAACAATTGACGTCGAAGGTATTTCGGACTAAGACATTTAGACCAAGTCTGATTTTTCGAACGACGATTATTAATAATCATTACTAATATTCTTTTTAAAAAACTCATTACATTATTACTTTATAATTATTACTTGACATGTTGTTACACTTTTTGCATACAGCTCTGTAATGTAGGTAAAAGTAATAAATTAAATTACATTCTTATAAAAATCATTAAACATTGACCTTATCCAGCTGTAATTTGTGTACACTTTCTATCAACGAAAACTTCAGAATTTATTTTCCATAATACGTTACTCAAAGTTGTTTCACGTTATGAATGCTCATTAAGAAACGTGCACAACTACAACTTGTTGATTTTCTTTCCCTTTCAAATTATGAAATGAGCACCAGAAATACCAAAGATTTATTATAACGAAGAATTACCTGTAAACATGATTTTAATTCGCTTCATGCTAACTTGCTGCAGAATTGCTAATTTTGGGAAGAATCAAATTAACAATTATTGATTCTTAATTAGCCGTCGTAATGAAAGATCCCCAATCTGCACATGGTCACATCAAGGCAGGAACATCATCCACATTCCAGCGCGACGGATAATTCTTGCTCAAGTCGTTATTCCCCTTGGCTTTCACCGTCTTGTTTCCACTCTTTTTCTTGCCCGTCTTGGGGCTCGTCATATTTGGAGGCGGAGTGGCGGCGGTTGGGGAAAGGACGGGAACTGAGAAGGCGTCACTACCTCTTGGCGAGGCTTTCCCGACTGATCCCACTTTTTGAGGCTTGGAAGGGACCTGCTTGACCACTTTGATGTCACGATTTCCATCTAACGGGGCAGGAGTTGTGTCCACAATTCTAATTCAGTTTGAGAGTCTTGTCAGAAAATTTGAAGGTAATTTTACTTGACTATTTATTTAAATATTTTTAGAGTTAGTACTTTTGAGAGGAGGCGACAACTGACAACTTTTTATTGCCACCTTTCCCCAACTCGATTAGTGGACCACTTCCACCCCTCCAGACTAGCGTGCTGTGCTCGTGAACCTTTAAAATTGTCAATTTTCTTATGAATTTTTGCAGTAATACAACATTTATTCGCAGCTACCAACTTTTGGCATCGTGACAATCAAATGTCCCGTAGTCTGAGATCTTTGCGCATAACTAGAATCTGGCCGCACTTCTTCGGGAAGAACAAGCTGGAAAATCTTGCCTTTCACCGTGACACGAACATAAGTTGGTTGCACGTCCGCATCGATGAGTGTAATACAGAGAAATCTGTTTGCAAGATAAGCAATTTTAGGCATTTTTGGAAATACTTGTGTGTTTCAGTTTGCCTACCTGGGAACTGCCAAATCCAGTACGATTTGATTCCTCTCAACTTCATCGTGCAAAATGAATGACAATTTTGGTTCATTAATATTCAACGGACGCCCATCGTCAGTTTCCAACCTTCGAGGAAACTTTGGTTTTGCAAGAGGCGATTTTTTACTCGCTGCTTTCTCTGCGTCTTGCTTCTCCAAGCGTTGATTCATCGCGCTACGAGCTTCTGGAGTGTTTTCAGTCATTTGTGACCAGAATGTTTCGTCGTCGTCGATGTCTTCTTCATCCTCAACGACACTAATCTTGGTCACTTTCTCGGATGAAACTTTGGTCATCTTCGGGTTGGTCGGGGTGGATTCGTTATTATTTTTAGACTCGTCATTCCCCGAGGGAAGCTTGCCCTGGTCTCGTTCTCCTAAAAAATCAGCCTTAAAGTTCCAATTCTGACAGGAAAACGTATCTATACTACTCACTCAAGTAGGCGTCTTGATGAAGGAGAATTGTTGCCTCGGTCTCTTGGAAGGTCTGGCGTGCCAGAAATCTTTCCGATTTTGTAATCTCTACCCCATCCAATTGTTTCAACTGAGGGAGCACGGTGATAATGTAGGCTCGGTAGCCTGGAAAATCATGGCATGGATTGCCAACCATGTATCTATTAATACAACAATTAGTGAATATCTAGCTTTAAAGAATACCATGAAAATAAGTACCCTGAAAATTTAACTCACAACTGCTCCAAGTAATAATTCGGACTGAGATTCACAACTGAACTAATATCTCCAACAAAGTTTAGCGTGAGGTCCAACTTTTTCAAAGATTCGCAACCTTCCAGGTTCTCAATCTTCTCGACCATGTTCAAGGCGAGGTTTAAGTACTCCAAGTTCTTCAAACGGCTCACATTTTCTGGAGAAAGCATAACAAAAATCATGCAAAATGATGTCTTAACGTAAAAATGCTTTCACGGACCAATCTTTGAAATTGAATTATTCTGCATGAGCAAAATCTTCAAGTTTCGACAGACTCGGTCCAGCAGCTCAATCCTTTCGAGTTTTTCCTGATGGAGAGAGATCTCTTCGAGGGATTGGATGTCGCCCTCGTTGTGCTCGGCACGGCGTCGAATCAGTTCAACCGTTACTAAAGGCAGATTGCATGCATATAAAATCAGATTAAAAGATTTATTTCAAACGGAAATCATCACGACTTACTTTTTCCCATAATTAAGATGATGTATGATGACGCAAAAAATTTGAATTACAATTAATTTGGACACGATAATTTAATTTGTATCTAAATAATTTAGATAACTGTAAAACTTTCCGAAATTAAATTATTATCAGGTTATCAAAATCGAAGAAAGTTTAGGAGAAACATTCTTTTGGAGCCGTGACAACATGGACGAAGCTCGGGCTAAAAAGACCGAAAGGAAGCAACATCGATCAAACAACTGCTTTGTTCAAAAGTAGGTTTCATAAAATTTATTTATTTTGATGCAATTTATTTGTCGCTTTTCTAAATGTAAGAATAAAAGTTGCTTTGTGGTTGGTGCACACTAATTATCGTTAATTAATAAATAGATACATGTAATTAGAAGACATCTAGAGATACACTTTGTGGACGCGTTATAATCATATATGGCTTTTGCTAAAATAAGTTCGTTAGTCATAGTTGGACATTTACTTAATTATTACAGCTAAAAGGAAAGTAACGCGTCAAATACTTTCGGTTTAAAATGTTTAAAATAGAATGTGAACATAATTATATGTACTTATTTTGGTAGATATTGCAGAGTGTATGTAAATAGATTGTTAAGTTCAAATTCTTGGTCCGTTTAAGAAGAAGGCACTAAATTTTCTTGGTTTGTGGTAAATTGTTCCACACTTTTCTTTGCTTGACGTAATATCGTGTGGGTTTTGTGGAGCTGCCTTTAATTAGGAATAATATAATTCATGAGTAATTTGCATATTTGAATATCCTTGAATGTCAACTGCAAATGAATAATTTACCGACAAATTGCCTTTTGAACTTCTTCCTTCTGTTTGGCAGTTGAGTGTAATTTTTCAAGCGTATTTGACAACATCTGCAAAACCGTTTAGAATTAGATTAGCCAAGCAAATGTGTCAAGCATAATGTGAACATAACGATTATGTATTTATATATGTACCTGTCTGGTATGGCGTAACTTCATTGCCAACTCTTTGTTAGTTTTCTTCAATTCTCGGTTCTCCAATTTAAAATTCATGCTGTGACTGTCGTCTGAATTAGCTGCGTCGTGACCAGAGTCAATTCCAAGATCTGGGCTTGTTGTGTCTGATGGCCTTTCTGCTTCCTGTGAACAAAAAGATAATTTTTTTTACCATATTGCTCCAACTAACATACCAACCCAAATTACATATAAACTAAAGGAAATTAATTACCATGTAACTACTAATGAGCTTGTCCTGACTTAAAGAGGTGTGCATACTTTCCAACTGTTTTAGCTTCGCCACAAGATTTGCATGCTCATAGTGCATTTTTCGCAAGGCGGAGTCTGTGATTGAAAGCCGTTCTGCGAGTGACTTGTTCTCCATTTCTAATGCTGTGTTTGGTTGAGAAGAAAGTGTTCTGTTAACTTTCTCCAAGTCTTCGATTTTATCATAAGCAGATCTTAAGTTCGTTTGTAATGAGTCTAGTTGAGATCGTAAATTGGTCTGATCGCTGAGAAGCTCTCGTCGTTTGTTTTCAGATTTTATGAGATCTCGTTGTAGTTTTTGCAGCGATCGGTCTGAAGAATTTCCATCTGACAGCAGAGTGCACTGAACTTCTTTGAATGCAAATCTCTTTTGACGACTAGGCGAATCTAAATCTCCAGCGTCTCTTCGATCTGTATATAGATAAAATTGAGTTTCGTTAAGTACAAATATTTTAGTAGAAAATCATAAATCTTACCGTATAGATGACTATTGTACGACACACTGTCGTTATTATTGGACACATTTAGTCCGGCAAGTCGTAATCTTCTATCTGCCATAACGGAACTCTGAAAAGAAAGACTAACGCTTTTAACTACTCCTTTTATAGACAAAGCGTTGAGAATAGAATTATCCCACACACTTACATCCGTAAACTGAAATAACTCATCCAAGTTATGACTTAGATGACGACACTGCTCTAAAGATACGCGGAGCCTTTCTCGGTTATCTTCTTGCAGACCGATAATTGTGAATACATTTCTAGACTCCAATTTAAATAGGGCATCCACAAAGGCAACAACTTCTTTCATTCTTCCTTGCAGCATTGTAACCAAATCTCGTACGTTGCCAAATCGCTCCTGCATCTGAAATGTAGTATAATGAAATTAGTTCCAATTTAAAATTAAGATGATAAAATTCTAGACAAGCGCATTTAATTAAGCAGCATTCCTCCCGTCACCAGAATTTTTAGCGTCGGAAAATTGGATCGCATATATAAGTTTTCATGCGCATAAAAAAAAAGTTATATACCTTATTATCATAGCGAAAAATAAATTTTGCAAAATATCTACAACCAATTGTTGGGAACAAGAAACATAAAATACAGATTTTTTTGAATTGATAGTTTTGTCCATAAGAAAGTTCAAGAAAAAGTTAAAAAATCTTTGGTTATGTCAAGCAGAATTATTTTACAATTTTTAAACACTCCTCTTCTCTTCTCAAGATTTAGAGTGGGGATAAAATATAAATTTCAGAAAGTTCAAAAACTCGTATTATGCTGCTAGCAAGCTTCACTAAAGTATTATGGCGACAGTTTAGGCTCCTCCTTAACAATGAGCGGTATCATCATCGGCCGACTCACGAGAGAATCCAACGCCAAAACGTTTGACTGGTCCATCCTTGTTTTGTCGTCTTGTTCCTCTCGCAATTTCTCAACTTCACTGGACAATATCACGTTGCGTTTACCAAAATCCTATGTAAAAGTAAAATTATTTAGAAGTTAACAAAATATATCAAAAACAATATATAGCTGTGGTCGTCGTACCACTAATACTTTCGCACATTCCATCAATTTATCTTGCAGGGTTTTCTTTTCATTTTGTAAACTTGCTACATCTTTGTTCACATTGTCGATGGTGACTTTCGACTTGCTTAACCTTTTTTGTAGACGACTCATGACATCTTCCATCTGATGAATTTTGTTGGTCGCCTCGTTCAACTTAGTCTCCAATTCCAATTGCCTATAAGAATCAAACTCATCCAGTCCGAAGGCAATGTGCGCCCCTCTCTCAAGCTCATCATCATCGATCGTGCTCGCGTTAACAATCCGGGGTTGATTAATTTGTTGTTGCATTTTATCCTTGACGAGTGCAAATTCACTCTCCAATTCTTGCAGTTTATCTACGAGGGCTTCATTCTGCTCGGCGAGGTGGTCATTTTCAATCTGTTTGTCCTTCAGGGCAGCCTCACAAGCTGCAATTTTCTCATCCAGCTCAATAACTTTGCTGTTTAGTTGCTCATTCTCCGCTTTGCATGAAATTAATTGGGCCGACATCGCTTCATGAGATGATGACGATGAAGTAGCTGGAATACTGGAATGTGATGGATTATTGGCATTGAGAGCATTCTGTAGTTGTTGCATATTTTGTTGGAAGAGAACTAGAAGAAGTAAATAAAAAATAAAAATATGTAACAACACTAATTTAAAATTTAAATCGATTTTCAATCTTTTACCAGCAAAATCTGACGAACTATTTTTCACCCCACTCTTTTGCTCGCTGAGAAATACGCGCACTCTTAACTGAAAATTTTCTTGGTGGAGCTGTTTAATTTTTTCCGAGTAATCTTTAAACGTCGGGCACCTTTTCGACCCGGGGGAGGGATGTGAGGAGGTGCCCCACACGTTATCCAAGTCATCATTATTCGACATTCCCGTACTCTCAAAGAATGGATGGCTCATTGTGGGGAGCGGGGTGCTGGGTAGGGATGATGGACCTGACATTTCAGACATGCTGTCTAGCGATGATGATGCAAGATAAAGTAGAAAAGTCCACAATTTCCTCCTCCTTTTTTTGTCCGGCACCTCTCAGGAAGACAATTAGTGTCGAAGAAAAGTTTGAGATAAGCTCGCAGAATTCTTGAAATAGCTCTGCTCCTCAGTCCTTTTGTGTGAATCAGTAGTTCTGCTTCTTCTTCTTCTTTTCAAGCCGCATAAGTTTCTGCGAAAAGTATCAAAAATGCAGAATTAGTTAATAATTTCGCCTGTAAAATCAGCAGCAAACAGCACGTGTCTGCGCCACATGCATACGTAGGTACATACACATATCCATTAAATTGCGTATTCGAATGATTTAAATGAGAAGAGTCGTAAAAGTGAAGTTGAGAAAGCTTTGGCGAACCCCATGGGACGGGATTTTCCTCATAAACAAAATGCAATCCTTCAGTATTCGAAGTTTTCTCTATTGATCAACGCCAAGAAACCAGAGAACCATGCAAACACACAACCCACCGCTAATGATAAGCCACATCACGTACGTAAGTAGTTACACACACACTGCCACAGTTTCTCATCAAATTTTACTTCTTACTTATATTCCAACCAACATGCCGAAGAGAGGATTATAAAACGACCCTAAAAATAGTGTCCTCCCATTCTCTCACTCTATCTAAAACCACATCCTCTCCCATGCTAAGTTAATTTTAGATTTTCTTTCTTATTCTTCTCAAGTGGAAGTGGAAACGGCAGAGCAGTCGAGTCGGAAGACAGAATATTCATAAAGAAAAAGACGTCGCATTGATGGCCATGTTCCGTTTCAGTTTAAAATTCTTTCTCTCTTCAAGAAAAAAAACACCATGCACCAAGGCGAAGTACAAGGTGATAGTTTGAAAGTTAAGTCGTACATGTACACACGTAAATAAGTATGTATGCACGTACGTAAGTAATGAAAACGTATCACATTTTAGCGACAAAATCTACTCTTCTAGTGGACTGGGAAGACATTTTAAAGGATACTTTAAACAAGTCGTCGTACATTTTTCTTACGAGAAGAAGGGTTTAAACTCTCCTTTGTTATACTTGAACTTCCTCTCTTTTCTTAAGAAGAAACAAACAAAACCCGGCGCAGGGAAAGTTTTTTGTTGCGTGCGTGTTGTATTACAAGATGATGGATGAATCAGATCGAGGTTCCACTTCCTGTTCTTATTTTACCAGCAAAAAATTGTATCCTGATTTCGTTCCAAAATCAGTGATGCGATGCGAGGAGGAGGAGGTTAAGATAAATGCGTACGATTGCGTGTGCGTGGATGACATGTTAAATCGCCAATATTTATTCGATATTCACGCACTTACTCGGAACGATGAGATGATATCAAAAACTTGTTGGAATGCCATGTTATTTCTTTTAAGGAAACATTTAACGATCCATTTCATTTCTTGATTGAATTATGACACTTTTCGTTTCAAAGTCGTCGGGACAAACGAGGAAGATTTGCATTTCGAGATTTCCATTTTGTTCGGACGAATGCCAGAAAATAAAAATTTTAAAACATGCACTTCAGCACGTTCTCAGATTTGTTTGGATTGGCTGAACGTTCCATGTTTTCTTTAAAGAATGAAAAAGTCAGCCAAGCTGATACTCGGATACACTTTGAGGGGAGGAGGATCTCTGAGGATTGGAAACTAGACAAAAAACTGGAGAAATAAGAACTGCGAGCGGAACCAAGCTAAACCGATAAAGTTTGAAATGAATGAAGAACACTTCCTGATTTTATTTCGAAATAAAAAATAGAAAAGATGAACTGGAACTGGATCGTTAACGGCAGGAAATTGAAGTGTCATGCAAAACAGAGATTGACGAGATGAGATGAGATGAGAATCTTAAAAAATAAGTAAATGAAATAAAAAAGTTTACTTCCTATTCCTGGATCGACAACCTAGATGCTATTGCTGACGGATGACGGATAAAGCTTAATTAGAAATCTATCTCGTTCGAGATTCACATAAATAATTAGGATGTGACATGCAACAATAATTATTTGAACGTCGTAACTCATGAATTTGATCAGTCAATCCCAAGCGAATTAGATTTACGCCCATTATGCATGCACTGTTGATGCCGTGCTGATTTAATTAAAAAATCCATAATCGATTCCAATTAAAATTTGATTTGACAATGCATACGATTAACTATTTATCCAATTCGCTGACTTACTAAACTAATCAATTGGATGCACAACAAACAACATGACTCAGAAATTTTAGCATGAATAAAATTGATTTATTTTACTCACCATTAAATCAATAGCTCGATCGTTCATTCCTTCTCCTCCTCCAACTCTGATTTATCAATTCTTCCGGGATATTGCACTCATAAAACTTAATAATTGTCAATCTTAAATCGCGATGAATCACATTTAATTTGATATCTATTTAATAAAGTCTCTTGATAGTTGATATTATCGTTCTCCTTTCTTGATGTTGACAATTTTCCACTTCAAAACGCAGCAAACAAAGTTGCTACACGTTACACAAATTCACAAAAAATTGTCTAAAATTGCCATGTCCAGCCAGCTCTCGGCTCCCCACATCTCTGCTGAATAACATAACACAAATTGCATTATTTTTACAAATATATGCAGTTAAATGTTAAACATACGAATTATTTGCACTTAATGCTCACCCAACCCACTGAAAAATGTCTTTTGCGTTGTATTCGCATGACGAATTCGACTAAATCTGGCTCAATAGAGAAATTGACTAACTGTACTGGCTTCACTTTGGTTCGTTGAAAATGTTTATCTTCCGACATTTACGTACAGCGATGAGCTTCTGTAATATTTTGTTCTGCATCTGGTCTGCTCCCGAAAGAAACTCACCAACTAAAACTTGGGACGAGGAGCATGATCCGTATTCCCTACTGCTGCTGGACTTTTAACAGTTTAACGTATCATCATCACGTTATGTAATGTTTCTCAATATATTTGGAGCACTTTTAGGCATTCGTCGACTCTGTAAAGTAAAAGAAAGAAAGCCAAAAAGTGCATAGTAGGGGAGAGATTTTAGTTGGCCGTTGTTTTCTACTGGCTACTTTACCACCATTTGTGCACTTACGGGTGCAAGATGCATTCAACATGGGGCACTTTGTAACGGAAAGCATGAGAATAATGTTTTTAAAAAAGTTTTTAAAATATGATTCATTTTAGTTTTTCAACTTTTATAATTCCAAAAGCTTCTTTATTTTGCATAAGTAAGAAAACATCTACTCAAAATTTATCTTTATTAATTATGTCAAATTATAAAATGACGTCGTAGTCATTCATTTTCATCAAATTTTGTTTTTTCTGTTGCATGAAGCCTTGATAATTGCAATTTTCGCATAAAATGGCAACTTTTGAGATGATAGATAAGTAATTTCGCATCTTTGTCGTCTTATTTTTGCACATAAAATAAAACTTGTATTTGGCTGAGTTTGATTTTTAATGAGAAATAAGCAATAACACTTTTAACTTAACCAGCTTATCTGCTGCTACTTACTTACTGCTTTGTAATAAAATGTAGAAATGATTCCTTTCTTCACTGATAGTTTAGGTAGTAAAAAAAAGTAAACGTGAATTCGAATCTAGTTCATTCATGACTCTAACGAGTGTCCTACTGACAGAAACTACATGCATCTTTTGAATCTGAAAGCTACCAGCGAATATAAACATGTATTTACGCATGCAATTTACGTAAAATGCATGCATGCTGTGTCACAAGCTGCGTCTGGCTGGGAGCTATTTTACCACAAAAATGTAATCAACGCCAATTTAATTTACGCTACGGCTATCAAAAAAGATAGAATTTCACATTTAGATTTTAGCCATACAAGTTTTCTTCAGAGGACGGAAAGGCTCTGTCAAAGGAGGAAAAGGAAAACTATAGTTCATATTTTCTAAAATTTACTTTATTTTCGAAAGAAATTTTTTAGAATATTTTCTCCCATGGGGCCATTTCGAAATGATTTTGGACCAGTTTTTGTGGTCTCTGTAATAGCCTTATTGATCCTCATAGTCGAAATGCAAGTCGAAATTGCAGCATTTTCCGTCTCACCTCTCGGTCTTTCGGGAAAACTTGGAAATTTAGATTTATCAAGAACTGGAAAATCGCATAATTTGGGGGTCTCTTGGTCCATGAATTTGGACGCTGAGATAAAACAAAGGTAATATTTTTCAAAATCGTACAAATTAAAATTTCTAACCAGACATTTTACACAGAAAATCACTCTGCCCCAACATCCCAGTCCGTAGTGGTTATCAGTATCGTTACCACAATGAGACACAGGCCTGTTACAAAATCGGCGACAAGGGACCCTGTGGCGACAACATGATCTTTTTCGCTTATCAAACCAACGCTGTTTATGGTCAATGTGACTGCAACTATAACGATAATACGAGAGCTTTAATCATGTCGCTGGACCAGTCATCGTGTCACTTTGCGTACTCAAAGGTTATTATAAGTTATAATTTTTATTTATGAGTTATAATTTATAACTCATAAATAAAAATAATGGCACAAATCTGTATCTATTTTGACATTATCAATCAGGGCTACTGTCGTGACGGGGAATGGTTAACGTTCTCCCCAACATGGGACGCCGTCTGTGAGCCTAACGTCTGTCTAAAATTTTACGACCATGTCCACGACTTTAACGCCATTATTCCCCCCACGACCAAAGAGGTCACCGGGAAGGCGGTGTCAATAGAGTTTATTCCCTACAGGAATAGCAAAGGGACATATTCGTGCGTCCCGCTCGGCTTATCTTGCCAAGATAAGGACATGGATGAGGATTCAGTGAATAAATGGGGGTCACTTGCCCACCTTCCGCATGAAGTTCAGTTCATCAAGGGCAAACTTGATCCGAGGTGTGGTCCTCGAAGTGACCTTATCCACTGGAGACATCCCACACCAAAAATGCAATGCCTGCCAGGATCCTATTTAATGACAGTGGCTAAGCAGGAGTGTAACCATCAGTTTGATATTTAGTTTTTAATCTACATACAGTTATTTTTGTTAATGGATGTTTTTAAATATAATTATGTTGTCATAAATTAAGTGAAAGTGGGCGAAATAAAAAAAGTGGTTGTTATTAAGAGTGAATGACTTTGATTTTACATTAATGTGTATGTACATACTTACACAATTTGCATGCGATTGATGATCACGGTGGTAGAAAATATCAAACATCTAAATATATATACGTTTCTGATACATAACTTAAATTATATTTTAAGATTAAACTTTTGTTTAAGCAAACGTTAGAAGTTTGAATTGGCTTAAAATGCTACTTCGAAATTGAGTAATTTTTTAAACGAATTTTAAATACTTGTCGAAAACAATTAGTTTCACACTTTACATAGCTTGCAAATTTTGTTCATAAGAATTTAATAAATAGTTTATGGTCAAAAGACTAATGGTAATTAGTAAGGCTTATTTTCTTAGTTATTTATTATGTGAATGCGTATGTATGAATATGTACATAAATATTTACATGTTTCTGTAAAAGAGACCTTTTTTAGGTTCTTACGTTTTTTGTACAATGGATGGATATTCCTTCCCTTTTTTCTTGTACGTCTTCATTTTAACCTTAAAGTTCAGAGCTTATTTAACCACAAGTCAACACACTGAATCCTTATCAATGTTTTTCATACTCAACATAATTAAGAGTAGCAGTGCCATCATATCATCATTTCATTAAAAAGTTAGTCCTCCTAATCACCCATCTCACAGGAGTAGGTTCCTATTATCGCATTTCTACATCTCAAGATGACATTAATATTAGTCTAAAAAAGCCACGTCTTCAATCATTAATAATTTTGTGGTGAAAAGCATTCATAGTCTACATAAATATTTTACGTCAGAAACTTTAAAATATTGTCCACTGGATATTCCTTCAATGTTTTAAACGAGTCAAGTTCAAGTTTTATAATATGAAGCATTGGAAAGTTTTTGTGCTGGTTATCTCTATTTTCGGCTTTGGTAAGACTTAATTTTAACTAATATTTTCGCAATGTAAAAAATAAGCATATTTACATTTTTAACGAATATTTGTCTGCAGGTTCCGATTGTCATCAAGCTCCAGGTAAATATACATATTGTCAAGTTAAGTCAATCATTGCTGAATTCAATTAAGTATGAAAATGTACAAGGGCAAACGCAACAATGCGTAATAATGAGCAAAATCATGCCAAAATCAGGGCAGACTGACTATTCATTTATTTTCTGTAATAGGGTCGCATGCAGAATTAGACTAGTACATTTGTGACAAATATAGCCCATCCTGTCACGATATTTGTGATAAAATTGCATAGAATTATTCAGTCAAACAGCTTGTAATATTAGAGTAGCTCAGTTCCAGAAGAATTAGAATTATAAAAAATACAGATATTTCATAATTTTACAAATTGTGTACAAATATTACGGCAACATTCTTACTTGTTACTACAAATAAGAGCTAAACACACTGTTCAAACCTTAACATTTAAACCGATAAGATGTTATTTTTAGTTATCAATTCCTGATCATTATACGTGTGTAGATCAAATCATCGCTGTACTGCATTTCCGCTGGTTGTGAAAATTTGAAAACCGTAAACCAATTACATGGAGCAGTCTTCCTTCACAAACAACAACAACAAACACGCATTTCTATTACCAACACCATTACCAGTTTCTGGTATCGTACTTAACTTGATCTCTAAATAAACTGCATTTCCTTCAATCTCACCATCAAATCAGGCCATTTAGGTATTTAATACCCGTCTTAAGAAATAGAGTACAAACAAATAATCCATCATCTTCTTACGAAACATTTCGAGATCTTCCTTATTAATGAGGCAAATTGGAAGTGGAAGGATATACCACTATAAAATCATCCATGTAAAACCTACACCAGGGTCAAGATTAATAAAACAAGAAAGCATTTTACCGTGAAATCATTTAACAACGAGAAGAAAGACATCAATTTTGGGTACATATTGTGGACTGTACGTAAAGCATGTGATAAGTTTTCGGAAAATTTTGACCTTTACACACACGCCCCATGCAATAATTAATTAAGGACATGACCCCTTGACCTTCACCTCCCTTAAGTACGTAAAAATCACATGCTTTACGCACGGTGCAGGTTAGTTAGGGTTTCTTTAATACTGGATTCTTTTTTACCACAAATGTAATATTGCATTGTTGAGCAAATGAAATCATGTATGCATGAAATCTGGCAGAATATTTAATACCTTTGCACATCACACACCACCACAGGTACAACTTGTCCAGTGACGTATTAAAGGTATATATGTACATTATTGAGGATGAGTCTGCCTACCTGGCGTAATAAATAAAAAAAGGTACACAGTAAAGTAGTCTTTAGACAATCTCTGAGAAAACAGGTGGTTTGCTGGGGTAGGAAAAAATAGTTATAAAAAACTGTCAATTTTGTTACGTGCTGAGATTTGCTAAGACATAAGTTGGTTCTGCAAATAGACACAAAGTGTAAAAATTTTGTGTATAATACAGATGCATTTGTAATAATGATCATTCTGATCCTTCCCCTTAAAATATTAGATACGTATTGCCATTTTTTTCTGCAATCCGTTTAATATTCAATCCTCGCATAATTAATTCAATCATGTTATTCTTCTGCTAACCCAACCACTATTCTGCATGCAACAAGTAGACTCAACGTCGTTTCGTAGTCATCCATCGTCATTCTGTAACGGGATCCACTTTGGAATTCCATTCTATTGACGACCGTGAAAGCTGTCGTATCTCAAATGCAGTGAAAAAAATAAACATTTCGACATCTTGGGACGATTTAAACCATTATTTTTAAAGGGAATTTGCGGTTAACACGTAAGAATGCTGCCGACAATATTAACTCCTCCGTGTAGTGGGCATGATTACAGAAAAAGTGCAGTATCTACATAAGTCTTAAGCTTATCGTAAAAAATTTCTCATTTTTTACGATTTTTGTTGCAAGTTATTGCAAAATAAGTGAGTGAAAGTGTATTACGCAACGAACGATAAGGATGAGTCGGATCCTGGACCTCGGCGTAATCTCGTTGTCCATGTCGCTCTCCTTCCTCCTCGCGCGATTCGTAACGATAAGCTTCGGCTTTGTTCTCATCTCGTTTGCAGCCTCCACGAAGCATTACGAGGTGGGGAACGTGTACAGTTATGACTACGTCGTTAAACTGGAGATGAACGAGCCGGCCGGTTTATCCGATGACCAGGCACCTCCTCCAGGGTCAACCGTGGGGTATAAAATTATCACCAAGGTGGAAGTCAAGCCGGTCTGGCAGAGTGAGACGGGAGGCTCAATTTTGGAAATTTTGGTTCGTTTTTATGAAACTGAAAGTTTTTATGAAGTTTTTATATGGAGTTAGTGCATGTGTAAATTATTTATTATGCAGCTTGTCAAACCCCACCTTCAAATCAAATCGGCTCGATCTCCAGAACCAGAAGGTAAGTTATTTGTAAATTTAATATTTAATGTGAAACCTTTAATATTTCGCTCAAACGACGTAATTAAATAAGTATTAATTATTATTCTAAGGGTTCCGAGATCACAGCTCAAATCTTGACCACGCCAAAATCCACCCGTTCTTCATCCACTGGAAGGATGGCCAAGTGCAAGAAACTTTTTCCGTGAAAAGTGATGACGTTTCGTTAGTCAACGTCAAAAAAGGGATCGCCAATATTCTCCAAGTATTTATTTACTACATATTTCGAAAATTAATTTCAAAATGTATTCAAAGTATTTAAAACTACTCTAAACAAACCGATCAGATCAGCGCCACGGATGAGAAGGAACGCACAGAGACAACTCCGGCGGGGAAATGTTTCATAAAATACGACATTACGGACGCTTTCCACTTGACAAAGACGATCAAAAAGGGATCAAAGTGTGACACGACGGGCCTAGATTACGCTTTCCGAACGAATAACAATCCTGTCCTGGGGTCAGAATTGGAATCGGAGGTGTTTTCCAAAGTGACCATGTCGAGAGATTCTGGCGTCGTAGAGGACGTTCAAGTCTCGGAAATGCATGTTGTAAGAGTTACGGCGAAGAAGGAGGTTGGTGCTACGATACATGGGTCGCAAACATTTAAACTGAGTGGTAATATTTTTTTTACAAATTTTCGAAAATTTTCATCTTTAAAGTATCAAAAATATGACCAATTTCAGATACAAGCACAAGTTCCAATACTTTTAAGGGGTCGAGTGTCGACGCTGTTGTAAAAGCGATAGAAAAATTGACGGGACTCAATTTGGTGCGGGACAGCCTATCTCCAAAATGGGAGAAATCACCATATTGCGAATCTGCGACATGCAAAACGGTGATTACATACAACTTTATCTTCGTATGTTTATAAACAAATTTTCATAATTCATTCTCCCATCATTTTAAACACAGACATCGACTTTGAGTCAATCATTAGCACCGGAAAATATGGCCACGACCAAAATGGCGTCCGCATTTCTTCAAATGGTTTCTAAATTTAGGGAAGCAAAGGCTCAAGAAATTCAGCAACTCTTAAAACCAAAGTCTTCAATTTTGTAAGAATTTGTAAACCACAAGTTTTCATGTAAAAACATTTCTCATAATTTATGAAAAATTTCCCACAGTCCCCAAATCCTTGACGTTTGTGCCGCAGCAGGGACATTTGAGACGCATCAGGCCGTAATGAAAACGCTAAACTTTCACTTGGAGGATGACATCACATTGCCCGAAAGATATCTTTTGGGCCTTGCACTTTCTCCATCCCCACCACCCGAAGTTCTTCAGGGTACATAGCGCATAAAAAATAAATAAGATTGCAATTGGTTCACTAATACATGCATAAATATCTGTACAGACTTATTCAAACTCACCAAGAGATCCGTCCCCTCTGAAAAATTACAGGAATCTCTCATTCTCACCACGGCCGCGATAGCGCACACAATTTCTGAAAAGAACCGGATAACTCGTCTCCCACAAAGTCGCCTCTTTCTCGAAATTGAGGAATATCTTGTCAACGCACTGTCCTCATGCGATGGGGAAACTGCCTCCCAGTGCAGCCAACTATATCTCAGATCACTAAAAAATTTAAAATCCAAGTCCACTGTCCCAACCTTATTCGACGTTTTGACCACGAACGACCAGAAATCCGCCATTGTCGCCATGAAATCACTCCACGCCATGCCAGATTCTTACATCGACCCAAAGTATAGACCACTCCTTATCAAGATTGTGCTCCAACTTGGGAAAAAATACGACTCTTCTGTCCGAACGTTAGCCCTCGACCTGATTTTACGCAACCATCTCACAAAACTCGAACTCCGAGAGGTTGTCAGCTTCCTCCTGGACAAAGTATCCGACAAACAACACGCCGAAGTTGCCACCTTCATGTGGAACAGAGTGGCCGAGTTTGCCGAGATGAATCCCTCCTTAGGAATTTATTTCTCTGAAGCAATTAAGGAACTCAACCTCCAAACGTATCATCATTTATCGCCGCGTGGACTGTCGACCGCCTTCAATCGCTACTTTACTTCAACGAGGAGTGGAAATAGCAGCTTTTCTAATGCGATTGAAATGTCGGGGAAAATTTTGAAGCGTAGTTTGTTCGACGTTTTTGTCCGTAGTGAGAACAATGCAGTGCAACTCTTATCGGTAATGCAGTTAATTTTGGTTTAATTGATATCAAGGAAGTTAATCATAATAAAAATACATTATCAATAAATTCAGCTCGGAATATTTGCTGATGGACTTGCCTCCTTCGCCAGCGATGATAATGAACCCCTATCTCCCGAGGAGGAGGAAGTCGACGCCACGGCGGGGATGGAGTTGACCTTGATGGAAGTGCAGACTCGGCCCTTAGTATTTTTCGTAGGCAAAGGAGAACTAATGGGGCTCGTCTGGTCGGGGGCAGGGTCCGAGCGGACCTCTGCGATTCAGGTTAATTGACATTCTAATACATTTTAACTTTATATAATTAACTAACTAATTTTGATAATTAGTTATTTATTTCTGATTTTAGGGCAACGTTCTGCTACAAGACGACAAAAAAGTTATTCCACTCTTTAACGGACTTGTAGCAGAGGTTAACATTCTCGGTGGCTTATCGTTCGACTTGGCTGGCCAAGTACAAATTTCCCTGTGGCATCGGACTGCTAACTCGCTGGTGGAAAACAAGTGAGTTAATTTACACTTTAAAAACTCTGTACTTTCTTTAAAATCTGCATCGAATTATTGTTAAACAGGGCAGGATTAGTGCTTCAAAGTGTTGTTCGTGCCGACACCTCCTTCGTCAAAAGTAGGGTCGATTACACAATTGCGACCGAAGCCGCATTACACTTTACATCCGATATCAACTTTTACCAAGGCGTTATCATGTGCTTGAAATTGACCCAGCCAGAGTTTAAGATTAGGTAAGAAAACTACATAAAAAACTGGTATAAAAAGAAATTATTTAAGAATTTATTTACTTCTCGGATCTGACTTTTTTTGCAGACAAAATATTCATAAGACTGAAAGAATACCAGGAAGCAAGCACAAGTTGAGGAAAGCGAAATACAAAACGATCCCCGTCCCCGGATTGACTTATGCCCTCAACAAGAAAAATTCCGAACTTTGCGGCGTAATGTACAAGGACAAGGAGGAATTGTGAATAATTTTTTTGGGAAAATAATGCCGACATAATTAACAAAACATGCACTGAAAATGAAGGAAATGCAGATTTTAATATGGATGCGTGTCTTTGATCGTACAATAATGTGATATCTAATGATAAGTAAAATATAGATTTATGTAATAATTTATTACTCCTTCAAAGTCAGGAAGGAATATTATGTATGCAGCTCAATACTTCATCTTATGTTGTTTTAAAGCGAAAAATAAATGCAAATACCAATTTTACGAAATTTTATGTGAGCCCAATTTAATTTTGTATAGTCGTAGACGCTGGTCGACAGATAATTACAGTATTTAATAATTGGTTGACTTGGAGACGATTATCCTATTTTCGTCAAAAATTTCCTAGCCTGCCTTCCAACTTTTTTTTACAAATTCGTCAACGTCGTTCCACCCACAAACAAAAATTCAGTGGTATTGTGATTTTACAAAATAAACAAATATAGTGGGTTCATCAAAGAAACGTTTATTGGCGGATGTGGTACTTTGTCGAGGTAACAAATTTTGAATTTATCAATTTATTTGCACATACATTGGGAAGTATCTGATTATTTTGCAGATTCTTCTTCCCCAATTTGACAACAACAATGTCGTCTAAGCAAACCATCGACAAGGATAAAGCCCCGGATGGCGTCACGACAAAAGAGCCTGAAGCCAAAGGTTGCGACAAATTCAAAAAGTTTGCGTACAACAAGGAAACAGGCGAAGTTTTTGGTCGGTCGGGCAATTCGTGGCGTATGTTAATTTAACATTATTTACATAATTACAAGTGATAAAAAAAATATGATACCCATTTCTGATTTTTGTAGTCAAAATCTTCATATTTTACGTCATTTTCTACATCGCTTTGGCCGCTTTTTTCTTCTTCTTTCTCTTCGTTTCCTTCTGCTTTATGCCCGTAGATAAGCCCAAGTATAATGGCGAAGATAACATGTTCTTCCGATCCAACCCTGGTATGAGTATTCTACCCACACCAGAATTCAAACAACATAACCTCATCTTTTTCAACGTGGAACCATCCGCAACATCAAAATGGACCGGCCAACTTAAGCATTTGGGTGAGTCATCTGATCTTACTTTTGTATCTGATAATCTGATGACTTTAATAAGCAATGTTTCACAGACAAGAAGACGATTGCGAGTTCGTCTTCAAACCAAATCGATTGTGGAGGCCTGAACGTGACGACCAACCAAACTACCGTATGCAAATTTAACGTCACTGGACTACTCGGTAACTGCACAAGTGACAACCACTTTGGCTATACTTCTAAAAGCCCTTGCGTTGTCATCAAGCTGAATCGGGTAGGTAAAAATATATAACAACTACTTCCGAAAAAATTTGTATCGAAAATATTTTCAGATTTACGGCTGGACACCACAAACTCCTGGGAAGAAGAAGACGATTGCAGCAATCGCAAAAAACGTGACGGATGAGGCGATCCAGGAGAACCCAGCTCTTGCGCCCGAGCTGGATGGGGCCGTGATGATTCACTGCAAAACGGAAGAGGATAAGGATAAGGGCATGATTGAGTCCATCAAGTACTACCCGATGCCAGGCATTCCAAAATACTACTTTCCATTTTTGATCCAGAAAGGTTACGTCACTCCCTACGTCATGGTTCAGTTTCAGAATATCACAGGTAACGCGTTTATTTTCTTCTAAAGTACTGGGAACATTTATCTAATTTTTAGTACCATTTTTAGCACCTGATGGAAAAGGAGTCGCTATCGAATGCAGAGCGTACGCGGACAACATTGCTCAAACTGGAGACAACAAACTGGAGCCAATCAAATTCACATTGCAAAACAAGAACAAGTCGTCTTAAGAGAAGATGAGTTTCCTCTGATCAGTAAAAAAAATTGGCTACCTTTCTTACAAATTTTCAGTGTATGTCAAAATAGTAACATATAAATTATTTCCAAAAGTATAGTAACAAATTCGTAATAAATTCGCATTGTCAGCTTTTATTCAGATTTGTATACTAATTTATTTGTAGTTTTAGACAATTATCGAAACAAGAGATGAACTTTTTATAGACAAAAATCAGTCAAATTCCTATAATTAAGTCAGTCTCAGCAGTGGTTTGGTCGTCGATGGGGGGCGACTGTATTTCACTCGTGTTGGAAGCCGTGTCCCCGGTGGGAGGATTTTGAGAGTTAGCTATTTGCTTCGTCTTTTTTAATACCTTTGCCTCGTCCATTTGCATCTTCAAAGTTTTATTATACGGGTTAGGCATGTTCAAATGCACATATCTCAAATGTCTCTTCAAGACGTGTTTGTTTGCACAAGTTTGCAAACAAATTTTGCACGTGACTCGCAACTTGCTCGTGTGGACGTTGGTCATATGCATCCTTAAGCTTAGAACGGTTCCAAGTTGACTCCCACAGATTTTGCATTTACATTTCTCCAGATTTGTTAAACTGCGTGGACCATGCGTTCTCTTCTCGTGAACTTGAAGGGACAGGGGACGTGCGAATTTTGCAGGACATTTCGAACAAGCGAATTTCTTTTCCGATAAATGATACACTTTTTCATGGTGGGCTATTTTATCGAGCGAATTAAATCTAATGCTGCAGAACGAGCAGGAAAATTTCTTGGCTGGTTTGTGTTCTTTTCTGATATGTTTTGATAGGTCGTCCGCCGAAATGGATTGATACCCACAACTCCCGCAGAGTAGACTGACGTTAGAATTGTCTGCTGCTGTATTGGTAGAATTCGAACTCGGAATCAAACTAGTATCCTTATTGTGACGCTTTTTCATGTGTTGTTTAAAAAAGAAGGCTCTCGCCGCACTCCATCCGCAAATCGTGCACTTGAACTCGTGACGAACCTCGCCGTTGCCGTACCCTCTAGAATATCCGTCGGTTTGGGGGACAACTTCGGCAGCAGCAGTGGGATTATCCTGAAGGAGTTTGAGATAAACCGGATCGGAAAGAATTATGGATCGGACATTTCTCCTTGGATTAGAATTTGAAGAGATTTGTGTCAATTTTGGCATGTCATTATTTTTGTCAGAGTCGGAATCATTCTCATCATCATCTTCGTCGTCACTAATGTTGTAATTTGAGCTAGTTTCAGTTTTCAGGGTGGCAGCAGACTCAACTTGCTCCTTTGATGTAGTCGCATCTTCCTTGATTACAACATGATCCATAAAATGTTGACTCCCTACTTCCAAACGAATCTCGTCCTGCTCTTCTTTTGTCGGCTGGATTACGGTCCCCGTTGCGTCCTGAAGGAATGCTTGTGGTGCAAGAGCTGTAACAGGTTTTACTCTGGAAAAAGTCTTTCTGGGATTTCGATGTCTCCATTTCCGGTGTACTTTATTTAAGTGCATACTATTCAAATGTTTTTGTAATGAATCATTCCGTGCAAACTTTCTTGAGCAATATTCACAAGTAAAAGGCTTGTCTCCTGTGTGAAGTTGAACATGACGTCGGAGATGATCATAATTACCGAATTTTGCACCACACCCACTTAGTTTACAGACGAATGGGTTATTCTCCAAGTGTAGGATGAAATGTTGTTGAAGACTCGTTTTCTTTGCAAACTTTAAATAGCATAAAGGACAAGCATGGTTTTTGTTGTTGAATTTTTCATGATTTTTTTCATGTCTTATAAAATCAAGTTTGTTTGTAAATTGGATGGGGCAGGTGGAACACGTGAACAGAAGTAACGGTGTCTTTTCGATGTTGTCATCATTGTTCGTTCTTGATCCCCGTCTGCGTTTTGAACGAATGGGATCAAGATCACAGGTAGCATCATTAATATTCTTCTTCACACCACCACTTTTGTTCCCACCGTAATTGTATGGCCGATAATCTATATCATCAAATCTTGCCGCCGCCGGCTTCCTTTTTATCCTCACATTGGGTGGTTCTTCATAGCGATTATCTAAGGCTTCATCATCGTCTTCTCCCATTTTAACAAATCCCTTGTACGCCGCTGTAGCAGCAGCTCGACGATTGTTTCTATTTCTAGAGGAAGAGGGAATCGTTTCTTCACTGGAAGCAGATCCTTCGGGCAATTTCTTAGGATTTTTGTTTTGATACAGATCTTGCATTAAGGTGTCGATCTCGCTGGCCTTGAGACTGTCCAATTTTATTTCCACTCCCTTCTTAGTTTTTGCAACCGTGTGGAAAGATTTCCTCGGCTTCTTGGTATTGGTCTGTATCGGAACAATGTGTGATACTTCCTGGTCGTCATTTTGTTCAGTAACTTTTCCAAAATTGTCCACCATCCTTGGAATACTGACGCTGAGCTGGGGCAGCGTCAATTTTTGTAGCTTGTCATGTCGCTTACAACGACTTCCGGTTCTAAAAGTGATGAAATGGGATTTTCAGTCATGATAACTCATAAAAATACAATATAGTTTGACCAATTACCGAACAGTTAAACCATGCTGGGTGCGAAGATGACATGCAGCCAGGACGTACGTCTCGAACATCACAGGGCACAACTGACACTGAAAAATTTCCATGTTTTGCATCGCTCGAATTGACCCTTACACCTGTAAATGGTGAATGAGCTGTTAAATCAACTAAAGGAGCAATACAATAAAATATGCCGACAATCAATACTTACCAGATTAATTTATTAACGTTATATTATTTAAACTTTTAATTATAGTTCATTTTTAATTAACTATTGACTGGACTGACTGTTGAGCAGGTCGTTTCGAGCCAAACACGACGATTGAATGACAGAGAACATGAGAAAACGTGGTTGAAGATTTGAGTGGGAATTCTTTACTTCGATCTAAAACGATATTTTGTATTTCATATTTATGTTATAAAACTAATTTAATTTTTAAATTAACGAAAATTCATTAATTAACATTGAGTATTATGGGTCGCTCAATGGACTCGTCAGACTCTGACGATACAAAAGACTCATCATCATCAAAAAGGCAGCAGTTAAAAAGTGGTACGACAAGAAAAGGAGAAAAGTCGTCCAAGAAAAGTCACCGAGACCGAGATTCGTCCACCAGGGACAAAAGTGACCGTAATAGCAGACGAGAACGAGACAAAGATAAGGAACGATCTTCTAGACGAGGGCATCACAGGAAGAGATCGTCGTCGGCAGATTCAGACGAGGCGGATCAAGATTCCAAGTCGAGGTATGTTGGCACAATTGATAAGCTGTATCGATTGAGCATGTGTTTAATGTTTATGAACGTGTGATACAGGTACGAAAGATCTCAAAAGTCGTCAAAGTCAAAGTCGAGTAGGAGTGGCAGCAGTAAACGAAAGAAACGAAGCAGAAGTCGTAACAGAGGGCGAAGTTCATATCATCATCGTTCAGAACAGGAACACAAAAGCAGTAGTTCCAGGCGAAGGGATCGGTCTTCTAGTTCAAGTTCAAGTGATTCGTCACGGTCAAGTTCGTCTGGTGAGAGGGGAGCGTCGTCGAGTAGTAAGAGAGTAAGTGGTAGAGGGAGGGATGGTGGGTTAGACAAACCGTCAAAATCGGAGAATCTTACGTCTGCTGCTTTATTAGCAAAAATTGAAGGTAGGATAGGTAATTCAAATTGTCATCCGGTTAATTGTTGCGTTACAAGACTGGAAGATCGTCTTGTGGAAATATTCTGATCCGTTTTTTTTCTTTTAATTTTTAGCAAAATTAGACCTGGCTGAGCAAGTTAATCGAATAAACGCGATTGAAGAAATTGATAATGAAGGATTTGCTCCAAAGAGTTTCAAAACGTCGCGAGCCCCAAAACCCGAAGATATCCCGTTACCACCCATGGAACTAAAATCCATTACTTTGGCCAGTTTGAAAAACGAGATCCTTTGTCATCCGAGCGTAATAAGACAAATGTTAATATTATATATGGTTTTCGAATTAATTTGTAATTTTGCATGTTTCTTTCAACTTTTAGCTCGTCATATCTCAAAAACAACGCGAAGAGCAATGGATAAAACGCCTATTTTCCTTACGACAAAAGCTATTTGCTTCGGATGGAGAGAAAATTTCTAATTTTTAGATTTTGGATAATATGTATGTATCGATTCGTTGTAATTTTTATTTTTTAATAATATTTGATTAACAAGAAGTTTCAGTCGTGTTATTTTGTGCTATGTGTATCATAATAATCATAATATCAACCAGAATTTACATGCGGCATAATAATTAACCATCGGGAATTCGTATTCGGAATGTTGCACTAACCGTCATCAGTCTTACGTATTATTGGAATGATTAGTACTTGAATGCGCCATTGTCTGCCAGGACTATCATCAAGTTTTTGATTGTTTCACCATCCAACTCTTGGAAAGATTCTGACTGCACGACAGCCGTTAAATGATATAGCATATACTGGAAGCTAAACTCTTCCAGCTCCTGAAAAGCATCAAAATAATATTCACAAGTATTATAATAATAAATACCCACGTTGCTTATAGCATAGTTTTACGCAGATTGTAGCAAATATTACCTTCGCGTTATACAGAATAGCAGAAGCATAGAGTCGAGCAGCATTATCAATCGTTATGGACTGCTTTATCAAAACTTCACATTGGTTCCGTAACTTTACTTCGCAATAATAGTTGGCCAGTTTCAGAAGATCTAAAAAATAGCATGAAAGCACATAATATGTAAGATCAAGCATAATAAATATTTCTTGTATCAATAATAATTAGTTTTTACTAACCAACGGCTTCTTCTGCAGGCAAGTCAATCTTGTCAGTGTATAAATACTGAAGAAATGCTCGGAACACTGAAAATCGCACTGTAGGTTCCACATTGATGACTCTGAAGATATTTTTATAAATCATAAGTTATTTATGTAGATTATAATTATTCGCGGAAGAAATTCTTACGTTTCTGGACTCTCTTCGGTCTCTTTCCACTTTCCGTTAAACATACATCTAAAGTGGTCCGATCTGATTTTTAGTATCGCTTTGTGAGCATGAATCAGCTTTCCTTCCACGGAAAATTGTACATCGCAAGTTTTCTACAATCCCAGTTATTAAATTAACCAAATTTTTGCATAGGTTATAAATTCAAATTCCTAACCGGGTCATCAAACGATAAGCGGAGAGCATCAATAATGCTCGGCTCGTCCGTTTGTTTAGCTTCAATCGGTAGATATGTCACTGGGGGAGTGGAATAGCAGGCAAATACATCGTGCAAAGATGTGAACAGCGTCTCAACAGGTGATGTAATCGATTGTCCTCTGCATTGTCCCCACATGTAGATTTTTGTGTGCGTCTGACACGCACTAATATGTCCGTAGTGAATCGCCGCGATATCGATAATCCTTCCAACTTCATTTGCGACACGAAGCGGACTCGTCATGTTGGATTTGTGCCCTGCCCCAAGCTGGCCGTAACTATTAGGTACGTATATATGGGAATTTTATTCAATAAAATAGACACTTGGCTATTATTTTGGGAGTTAAGCTATAACATTGACGAATCTTGGTAATGAGTTAGGTATAAACGCACCTATTGGCTCCCCATGAATACAAAACTCCGTCATCGGACAATGCTAAGGTATGAGCTGTTCCACAAACAACCTAAAAAGTCGTTAATATAATTTAATAAAGATTGAAAATTGCTTAATAAATAAGGTTTACTTGAAGGGTACCTTCGTGATGAATATGTTTGGGAGGATAACCTTGGTCGGATTATATTGATTCACCGTGTTTCCTAAACCTAAGTTTCCATTCCCATTGAATCCCCATGCATAGACCTGAATGGAATCAGAAATAATTAATAAACCGTTGCAAAGTTAGTAGTAGCTCGCTCTTTAATATGGGGAAAATTAATTTTGACATAAGGCAAAACCCAGGGCGCATAAACTTTTTGTTGTCCGTGGTTTCTCTTAAGGTTTCTCTTAAGTTTCTCTTAAGAGAAACCACGGACAACAAAAAGTTTATGCGCCCTGGGCAAAACCCCATGAAAACTTATGTCAAAATTGTATCATCATTTCTTCCCGTTATTCTGCACTATGCATCGAATTCAATCGTTCACATGCTACACAGGGCGAGCTAACAATTAATTCTGAAATGCGTACCTCTCCAGTATCGCTAACAGCAAAAGTAGACGTCTGACCGCACGCAATTTTCACAATTTTAACATTGCCAATCACTGCAGACACTCTTCTAGGCGTCGGTTGGTTGGCTGTTGAACCACAACCTATCTGACCACTGTTATTTTGACCGAAGGCAAAGACCTCACCCTCGGATGTGAGTGCGATACTGTGGTGGCTTCCACAACTCACGTCGATGATCTTTTTACCCAAAAGTCCTGAAGAAACGAGCGTCGGGACGACGGTTTGACACGATGTACCAAGACCAAGCTGATTAATAATTAGATATTTCATTATCTATCACACTCATTATTCTTCAAATTATTGCTGATAAAATACCTGACAGAAACCGTTGTGACCTGATAATATCACTTAGCTTAGCAAAGTTCTTGACTTGCGGTGGTGGCAGTGTCACAAAATAGACGTGAATGCACGCCACCACCCCAAGTCAAGAACTTTACTAAGCAAAGTGTTATCATAATCTGGTCGTCACCCCAAGCGTATAGTCCCCCGTCTTTTGTAAAGGCGACAACATGAGGTCCAGCGCCATAACTGAAGCCTAGCGAAATTATTCGTATGATTAGTAATTAACGAAGAATTACGTAATGCGCACAAACCATTTATAATTTTTTATACCGATAATGTTCTTTTGACACAGGTAGTCCACTTTCATTGGTGTCAAACTGGACGTAATACTCTCAACGCCAAGGCACCCACTACTATTGGACCCCAAGCTGTAAACGTCGTCATTTTTCATACACAGGATCGCCTCATGTCCCAAGTTTCCTGGATAAATAAGTACGAATTATCAAACACCTTCATACCCACGCACTATTCAAAATACTTACCAAAAACGCAAGCTATCTTAATGTTTGCAAAAAACTCTGGGTCAAGAAGACCAAAGATTGTCCAATTCTTCAGTTCCATTCAATTGTGCTTAACGTATTCACTATTACGAATTATAGGTTGTAATTTTATCACAAAAAAATAAAGCAGAAATGGTTTAATTAAGAAAATTACCTGATAAATTTAGAGGACAATTTAATAACTAAACTTCTCCAGCCAAAAATAGTAAATACACACTGCTCCAGCTGACGAGTTTCTTGAGATTTTTTTTTGAGTCAGAGTCGTCTCATTTCAACTTCTCAACTTATTCCTTTGTTCGTCTCGTCTCACTTTGTTTTCTCAGAAATAAAGCCAACAAATAATAATCACTGATGATAACCAAAATAATAACTTCGTACTTAAATAAGCAATCACAAAACATTACATAATGGAAATTTTTTTTATTTGCAAAAAATTCAGACTAATAAAGTATTCACAAGTATTTATAAATAATATCATTCAACTTCAACGTCTCATCTGTAAATACCACCACGCTTAAATAACCCCACTTTTAAGCAGCATACATCCCCACAAAATAATACCCAATTTAATAAAACTTTTCCACCCCATAAAATTCCTCCCAGCCGACCCCGTCTCGCCACCCGGAGATCTCGTCGTCGTCGAAGTATCTCCGTCGCACCCGCGTCGCACCGACCCCACTCGTGCCGTCGGATTTAGTAGTTGGACCCCCTTCGCTCCGTACGACCCCCGGGTCACGGTCGGCCAACAGGTCACGGTCCCTTCGTAGTTGGTTTCATTCCAAACGGCCCAATTCGAAGTTCCCGTCAGGAAGTAGGAGTTGACCGATAACGCTGTCGGAAAGGAGGCCTCGTCCTGCGACACGTCCACAAATTGTGGTTCTCCCATGTAATTCCCCTTATCGAACAGGGTCAGGGACGATTGCTCGAGGTCACCCTCGCCCACGAGCTCCCATCCCGAAAATGTCCAGAGGTTATCCCCTGGACTTCTATTTCGACAAAACTCCGTCCCCAGTGTGCCGCCGTAATGGGTCACGCTGCTGGGCGTGGTGGGGGATGAAATGTCGAAGGTGACTTTCCACCTGATAAGTTAATATTTTAGAAACTTAAAATAATTTGCTTGATTATGAGAAAATTTGCAATTTTGCGAATCGCTTACAATCCAAAATTGACACAGAATGATTGAGAGTTTGCAATTTGAGGGGGAATATTTGTCGTAGATTCTGTAATAATGTGCTCCGTCCCACCTTTGTTAGGTTCTGAATAAAATGTTACTTGTTGTCTAGTTATGGCAGATACTGAGGTGGGGTGGGTGCCAATTAATAGAGGTACGATTAAAACGTAATAAGGTATAATTTTATTGGGTAAAAGTTTTTTCAGTAAAATTTCCATTTTTATGTACCTATCTATCTAATCCTCACGGTACAGGCAGTTAAAATTGAAAATAAGGTGTCATTGGCATTGCCAAATATGTGAGCTTGTGATGAATGGCAAATTCCGTGTATGCGAAATCAATAAATGATAATCACGTATTGACTAATAATGGTAAGCAATGATGATATCATCTTGTCGCATTCATTTCGTATCAGCTAGTAACTCTTACTTACCTGAGCTGATGTAAATTATAAAGCATGCCGTGTTATCATGACTGAATGATGATCGAGTATCTCCCATTAGTCATAGAACTGATAAGTTACTACATACATTTACGATAACCTGAAATCGATACTGATTAATATTAAGTGACATAATTAATAATAATTATATGTTAAAATGCATAACATTATGACCTGTTGTTTTTGTCGAATTTCGTCGACCATGAATATCTGTTGATTCGGAAAGAAGCAATAATATATTACAGTCAATAACTAGAAAATTGGCAGAATGTGGTTCAAATTATCATAAAAATCCCATCAAATGGTGTTAATTCATTTTCTTGACTCCAATTAGTCATGCATCCATCCAGCCTTGTTATGTCATCAAGGTTTTTGTGCATCAATGACACCCAGCACAATTTTAATATTATTGTCTGACAAGTATTTAATGACGACATGCATCGGAAAATTAGGCTAATCGCTAAAAAGTACTAGTCAGTAGCCAAGCTCGTTATCACTGCAAATCATGGAGAAATTATTGATTGAAATTATTGTCATTCTTGCCACCACTGCAATGCTCGTTAGCACCAACGCAATTCCACCGTCGCCACATACAACCAAGTCTGGTAAGGTTTTATAATTTACTAAAATACGCAGATTGTATTAACAAAAATAAAATATTTAACAATTGTCCTCCCAGAAATTTGTCCCCACGGCGTGCATTATATCGATGCTTGTAAGAACGCTTGCTCTTGCGACCCCCAACGCGGTAAGGAATTTTATTTTCGTTAATTTTTTGAAAAATTATACCAATTAAAAGAATATGCTTTAGGTGGCGCAATATGTTCACGAATGACGAACTGTGACGATTCAGACGGTACAAATTTTCCCAATTTTCTTTTACTATTTTTTTACAATTTGATTAAAACGGTTTGATTTTTAAGGTGTCTGCCCTTTCGGAGCCACTTTCACGGATCCTTTGTGGGGTTCAAATTTCAAGTGCCAATGCAACAAGGATAACTCGCAAACCTACGAATGCTTCAACCTACTTAATTTAAGCAACTATTTTCTCTACTACAAGCGTCGAATTCTGGAAACCTTGGAAGGCTGAATGTATCATAGACAGAATTTATAAAATTTAATTTATTCCCAATTTGACTATTACCTGGAAGGAATTATGTATGTAAAGGGTCGACTTTTTTGTACAAACAAATTGTATATAAATATGTGTGTAACACGCTGGAGAAGATTAGATACTGTATTTTGATAAGTGTGGAATAAAATTTAGAGAAAAACACATCAAATTGTTCGGATATTACGAATTTTATTTTTTTGAAATATTGTGATTATCTAATTACATGATTTTTCATTCGATTAAATCGCATTCTGTTCAACTTCCTTCTTGGCAGCTTTAATCCTAGATTGGATGACGATGGCCAAGTAGTCGGGGTCGGAGTGGGCCAACATTTCTAGCTTTTTCGATCCAATTCGAATGTACAAGAGATCGTTGGTGGGGTCGCACTAAATATATACGCAAACCGACATGAAAATCACGACTATTACATTGTCAGTTGACGACAAGAGGTTCAATAATCAAATTTGCATTACTACATTTAACTAATTATGTACATGTATTACTGATTATAAGGTAAGTTTACGTACGTCTCGCACCATCGAGGTACCCATGATCACTGCATTCCGAATCCCTTCCGCGTACATGACCGTGTTCGTATTGTCCATCTACAAATTTCAAATTTACGACCACGCCATTAAAACTTGACCAAATATTATTAGCCAGTGAACCACCACAAAATTGTGTGCACTTATTACCGTAGTTTGAATGGCGGCCCCTTCCTTGTCACAGACGATGACACCTTCAACATTCTTGTGGCCAGAAATTCGGTCAATGATGGACTCTACTTTCTCCACCACCATCAAATCCTCGATGCGAGGACCGCTGTTCTTGTGCTCCTTTTCCGACATGATGCCAATTTGTGGAGTGTGCAAAAGGAAAGTGTAGATTTATGGCGTGAATAATACAGAAATTGGCGTCAATTTAATTCCGGAGGTAAAAAAAAGTTCATGATTTTCTGCAAAAGAATGGCGTGGCCACCACGATTGCTTGATTTTAGTATCTTGGTAACGCTTCCCCTCAGGGACAAATAATCTTGCGATTGTCAATTAACCTTTTAAAAACGGATTCCACCAATAAGGTGGAGGGCGATTTCGATCTCTTGGCGACGGACTACACCAATAAGGTGTAGGCCAAATTTTTCGCCTTAGCGACGGACTACACCAATAAGGTGTAGGCCAACTTTTTCTCGTTGGCGACGGATTCCACCAATAAGGTGTATGGTTACAGAATTCCGTTGAGACCGGGCTACATCAATAAGGTGTAGGAAAAAATAAAAATAAAATGACCGAGAAAATTTTCTCAGTTCCATTCTTTCCTCCTTATTTGTCGTTGGTTTTTCTTCAAGCCTGAACTAATTTTTTTAGAGTTTAGAGTTGTAGTTGTAGTGGGGGGAGGAACTCGGAGGAAGTGCATCAGAGGTCACGCCGCGCCCCCGAAAAATTATCCAACATTGGCGCCGCTAATAAATTGGTCGGCGTTGACCTCTGACCTGTATCATGTTGTAAATATGATACAGTTCATATTTTTTTAAAATTATCACAACGTTCTCTTTAGCTAATATATTCGCAATAGTGTCACCACCGATCGGAACAAGTCACAGAACACTGAAGGACAAAATTATAGCTAATAACTTGTTTAAAATATAAAATGCATCCCAAAATCAGTGTCATCAAATTGATGACATGAATGATGACGATTTATTCGTTTAGTTTATTTTTGTAGTACTATCAAAATCAAATCCGATCTTTTTATCAAAATCAAATCCGATCTTTTTATCAAAATTAATATCGTGTGTTCATTTGGTTCAGTTGCAATTTCATGTTAAAAATGTATTATGTTCTAATTTTTGTTGTCGAATCAGTTCCAGGTCCCTAATAAATCATAACTACATCAGTAGAATATTCAAAATCGGTTTGCATTAATTCAGTCCCCAACTGATTTTATCACCGCCCCACAAGTCGGTCTCAATGGTATTCTGCCCCCCAGTAAATCCGCCTCCAAATGCAATAGAAACCATTTTTAATTCCGTTTTTAAATGGTATCCAGGTCAAAATTAATTAGTTTTTATAAGGTTAACTTTGTCGTCTCCGCAAGGTTGCTTGACAACTTTAGTAATAATTACAAGGTCGCGACAATTGCTTCGACGCAGGATGATTTGAAACAATTTACACTAGGGGTGAGGCCGTAACTGGGTCAACGAAAGAATTTTTAACTATTTTTAATTGCTGGCTAATTTCTAGAATCGAGTGTGTGTAGCCCGAGTCATAGTTACCCAAAATTGTGTTAGATATTTAATTTCTGGGAGTAAACAGACAAACAGACGAACGGACAAGCAGTTACATAAGGCTGGGTAGCCGCTGCTACCCAACAATTAAAAATAATTTAAAAAAATAACTTTGTTGAGTTACGGCCGAACCCAGAAACACCGGCCGTAGCCGTTAGTGATTGAAGAATCCTGGCTTCGACGCCTAAAAAACTTCAATTCTCGAAAACCCTGGTACATTTTGGAACCAGTGTGCGTCGCACAAACTGTCGCCCAGAAACAAACCGCACAAAAATTGTCAACACTCACATTTCGTGCTCTCGATTCTCGAATTAATTTTTTAATCATGGATGTATTATGATAAATTGTCAAGCAATCTTGCACTCGAAGTTAGTGAGGAGAAAAGACCAAAATGTCTTTTCTCCTCACTGAAAGACTGCTGGAAGAAAATAAGAAAACTGCCTTTTCTAATTAAAAAAATGATTATCGAAACGAGCCTGTCGACAAAAAATTGAAAGAACATAAAACTTTATTTGTTAGGGAAGGAAGAAAATAATACGCGGTAGGTGAGTCAAAAGGTCAAGTTGTCTTTGATAGTTTAACTTTAACACTTTATCATAATGCTAAAAAATAATTCTTTATTTTTTGTAACTGGAGTTAAACATCACCATTTCTTTTCTTTCTTGTTTTAGGAACGACGACTGATTACTGAAATGTTGCTCGATAAGGATTTGGGCAGCCGGATTTGGTGCTATCCGGATCGTCCATTGATGATCAATAGGAAGTACTCGTACAAATTGCTCAATATGCACAGCCCGGACAATTTTTCAATCATCGTGGTGGATCAGACTTCCGTGGTGATTCAAAGGCAGATTAAGGAGGCAATGGATCTTTATCTATACAACATTGTCGGTTGTGCACCGGTTGACGTTGCTTGTCTGAAGGATAGCCTTCCTGTACCTGTCAAATTTGAGGATGGGTATGATCATGAATGGGACCTTGCGACATGTCAACAACACCAAAAAGAAGCATTGTGCCAAATTTCATGCAAATCGGACGAGAAATGACGAAATTATGGCAAGGCGACGATATTTGGCGAAAACTAGGGGGTGGCGGTGGGTGGGACCTTGCGACATGTCGACAACACCAATAAGAAGTGTCTGTCAAAATTTGATGGAAATCGGACGAAAAATGGCGAAATTATGGCATGGCGACGATATTTGGCGAAAACAAGGGGGTGGCGGTGGGTGGGACCTTGCGACGTGTCGACAATACCAATAAGAAGCATTGTGCCAAATTTCACGCAAATCGGACGAGAAATGGCGAAATTATGGCATGGCGACAAAGGTTGTCGCCATGCCCTGCATTTATAAGGGGGGAGCTGTTAGCCGCCCTTAAAAGGGCGTTTCCAGAGCACACGACGAGGACGTCACTCCCTCGTGCTCCACGCGGGCGGGCCCCCACTTGCACCCTAAGGCGCAAGGGGGGTCTACCTCCACCGACCGGGAAAGCCCTGCCCACGTCACCGCCTCTGCAACCGCGTTCCCCTAGGGGGCCCGTCTGACCCTCGCCTTACGAGGTGGGAGCGCACCCGTAAATCGGCCCCCATTAAGGCTTCGAACTCGGGAACCCGGTCGGCCCCAAGGGGAGTGCAAGCTAAAGAGCCCGGTCACCCAAGGGTTGGAGGTAGAGAGCCCCTCTCACTTGCCAAGCGCCACCCGCACTTTTGGCAAGCCCCGCCGGCTCCCCACCCGGTGAGTCTGCTGGGTGGGAGGAGCATTGGAGGGGGGGACCTTCCCGTAAGGCTCTCCCCTTGCAGCGTTGCTCCCCCGGACCACCCCTCCAACGGGAAGAGAGTCGGGGCTGTGGAACAAACCACGGGGTGGACCCGACTCCCCAGAGAGGCAGGGCGGCCCAAGGGCGCAGCTGCAATGGGGAGCTCACCCAGGGATACGTCCCGCAGACTGACAAAAATTTCTGGTGCAGCCCCTTTTATACCCTCTGGAGGGCGGTGAAAGTTCTGCTATAAATAGCACCCGGTGAAAGTTCTGCTATAAATAGCACTCAGTCATACTGGGTGCTATTAATATACATATGTATATACATATATACATATATATATACCCATATGTATACATGTATATATATATGTATGTATATGTAATACATATACATACATATATATATACATGTTATATATATATACATATTATGTATATATATATGTATATATGTATGTATATATATACATGTTATATATATATACATATTATGTATATATATATGTATATATGTATGTATATATATACATGTAATATATATATCGATTGCGACATCATGGGAAGGGACACAGGGCCAATTAATTATGTTAAAATAACACGTAAAATTATAAAGCTGCAAATATAAGGCTGGGTTTGGTAGTAATTTATGAATAAATTAGAAGTTGACATTTCATGTAACTCTTGTCAATCAGAGTGAAACGTTTGGGAACCCATCACTACTGCCACTATGTGATAATTTTTGTAATAATCTACATGCCAACTGCAACTTCGTCTCTTCACAGTCTTCGCGATGCTTACTTCGACGATGAAATAAATAAATTTTAAAAAACAAACTTAAGTGGTGTTTATGCTTCGCGTCACTGTCACGTCCTCCTCCAAATCCGATTTTTTGATTGGTTAAAATTTTTAATTGTCGTAGTGACAATTTCGCTCAGCCAATCAAAAAATCGGATTTAGAGGAGGACATAACGATAACGTGAAGCATAAACGCACCTTTAGGTGAAGGACGCGCTTAAAATATTAAAACAAGAAGCATTACAAAATGTCATAAATCGTTTAATATTTACTAACTTTTACTTCACCGGGGGCCCAACTAACACAGGAAAAAAGGTATACTTTCAAGGATTTGGAACAATTATACGAAATGCGTAATATGTATTTGTATATTAAACTTGCAAGATTTGAATGATTATCTTTCAATAAATCGCGACACCTCTTATAGAGGAAATTTGCTCATGTTCTGGCGTATTTTTAATAACTTCTGTAATGCTGCCCTTCATATTTAATCAAGTCGTTGGTTTAGCTACATTTATTATTGATTATCATTGCTTTGAAAATTTAACAGTTGGGCCCCCGGTGAAGTAAAAGTTAATAAATATTAAGCGATTTATGACATTTTTTAATGCTTCTTGTTTTAATATTTTAAGCGCGTCCTTCACCTAAGTTTGTTTTTTAAAATTTATTTATTTAATTATTTTTAGTGATTTGTGAACTTATATGCATAGAATCATATGCAATTATAAAATCTTAAACGTTGTTAATTCTCCTGTTTGTGGACGCTTGGCATACCAATTTAATTCCGCAGTGGGTGTGGATGCGTGGCATGCCAATTTAATCCCCCAGTTTCAAAATTTTAAGGATTGTTCTGTTCTGTCAAGGATGCCTTGACACTTAGCGATCTAATAATAACGTAATTCGATTGTCTAGCAACATTGGATATGTTGAGTATTGAATAGCGATGCTGAATAAACTATCACCGCACGTTAGCAACCAGTAACTTAACACGTAAATAGGTTGCCTAATGCAAATATTTCAAAAAGCTCTAATTCCGTCAGTTTTGATCCGATTAAGTCGAACAAAGGCTTACAATTTGCGTATTATCCTGGAGAATAATAAAAATGGCAAGCCCCCGGTCGGAAACACTTCCTTGATGCCAAGAAATGGATTTGAAATTTTAGGCATCGGACTTTCTACCTGAAGGAATTAGAATTTTTGAAAAAATAAAAAAAAACGTATCTGTAAAACAGAATTCTCTGGTTTTTTTGTTTCAGCATGTTTTCCATGCAACGAACGGTTTGGGCGAAATCTCAGTGCGACCTTTTCAAAGTTGCAGCTGATTGCATACCTAGGCTTCGCCGTAACCATGGTGATCTTTTAACATGATCACCTTATGGTTACTTTTCCTTCACCTAAAAAAAACTTCAATTTTCGAAAACCCTGGTACCTTTTGGAACCAGTGTGCACTCACATTTCGTTCCCACGAATTAATTTTTTAACCATGGATACAAGAATCAGTGCAGTTGTAAATGTGAAATCGGCTATTTCGGCGTTCTGTTAGAAATTTTTGTGCTTTAATTACCGTTAGCGACGGCCCAAATAATTAGCACTTCAAAAATGGAGGTTTTTGAGACTATCGAAGCAACTGTCGTAACCTTGTATTATGATAAATTGTCAAGCAATCTTGTCGTCTACGATTATCGCCAACTTAATTTCCACCAAATCTCAACCTACACGAATTCATACCAAGAAACAACCCAGTAATTCTTTTCAATCACAATTTTTCATAATTTTAATTGTGTCCAACTAAAATTTCACATCTCTTACAGAAGTACTACAATGCTTCTCCAAGGCTGCTACGATTTCACCCCACGGCTCGAAGACAGCCACAAAACGCTCGGCTTCAGCAAAGGCGACACCCTCATGTTTCTCGACGCGTATCCCAAAAACTTGAACTGGCTCCGCGTCGCAGATTCGGGAGGACGGATCGGCTACATCCCTCGAAACTATGTTGAACTCAGCGATATCGAAGTTAACCGCGACTCTGCGCTTCAATTCGTGGCGCAAGCTATTCTAAAAGCTCGTCGAGAAAAGCTGAGTTCTCTGGAAACTTTAGAAAAACTAAAAGATGACGTGAGGAGGATTGAATTCCGTGAATTTCAGACTCGTCTGCTCCGTCAAGCGTTACATTTTCGGGACCCAGAACCGGAAGCCGAAATTGATGATGGGACAACGTACACTTGTGAGAGTGAAGGACGAGGGAATAATAGTGCAAATTACGAGATTGAATCTGTAGCCTCAGCCCCGAGAGAGCATCTGAGTCATATTTCGATGAGGACGGAGCCCCCCAGAGTTTCACCACCTGCTGTCCTTAATTCCTCACAAGAACGAAATCAACACGACCCAACTTTCTCCGGGCGACTGTCTCACTCTTGTCACCAGATTGACAATTCTCCATCAAATTGTGGCGACAAAAGTTTAGCACGACGTTTCTCTCCACCACACGTCCCAAAATCGTCACCATCTCCAAACAAACAAGGAAACCGTAGTGGGACGCCCAACTGGGAACGTATGGCTGCCAAATTGATCAACATTGTTCAAGAATCCGGAGGAGGAAACCTCGATCTTAAACGATCCGAAACAATTGTTCACCGACTCCTGTACAATATCCGGAACGATTTTTCCAACACTAGTCTTCCGGAAAGCATCTCGTCCGTCATCCGAGTTCTGGAACGATCTCCGACCTCCACCTACAGCCAGTCCCTTCTTGGCGAAGGAGGTAACGACTCGCCATCCTCCTCGATTCACCGAGCTAATCAAGTTCTCACCTATTTGACCAAATCTACCAAACACTCCCTCCACACGAGAGGCTACATCGAAGAAGAATCCGCCCTCCTCGATAAGCTCGACCAACTCGAAGAAGATTTGGGTCGGATGGATGGAAAAACGATGAAACGGGTCATTGAACCCAAAGTTGTTCAAGATCTCATGAATTTTTACCAATCCGAGAAACGGGACTCTATCAAATCCAAAATGATTGAAATCTTCTCCATGATCTCCACTTTGGACACGGACACGAAATTTTACCTGGTCAAATCCGCCCTTCCAATCCTACTTGCAAACGAGCTCCTGGAAAATGAAGCCTCTCCCACAAAATTGAGCCGAATCGCCGTCACCCTGATGAAACTCTTGTCATCCTCCTCCTCCAATGACTCCCAAACTCTCCCACAAACTCATCTGGACGCTCTGGGAGGCAGATTTCTCAACTTCATCTTCAACTACTTGGAAGACTCGCCCGACGAAGATGTCAACATGACCACAAAATCCGACCTGATCATCCTCCTCCTCGCGTACAATCTCCACTTCAGCCAAACCAGGGATGAGAATCTCGTCACGAAGACGTTAGCTGGTCGTGAACCCGGTCGAAATTTTATGGAAGGGATTATGAACCTCTTTGAATCTGGGGTGGACCCCGTGAGACACGCCACTTTACGAGAAGGACCCCAACACCACGTCCACTCCGTGCTGAAACTCTTGCAAGACATTTTTTCCAGCAAGAAGACGGCCGACCATTGGCACAAGGCGGACATGAAGTGGTTGACGGATCTCATTTACACCAATATTTCGAACCTAGGGCCAGGAAACGAGAGGAGGACGGAGTATCTCCAGCTTCTCAAACTCGTCGTGAGAAATCGGGCTTTCCAATATCGACTCAAGGAAATCAGGGAGGCTCTGATCGAAATCTTGCTGGAAGAAGACCCTCTCTCAATACCGGATCAGCGAATCGTTAAAAGTATGTCGAAGGAATTTCCGACCATTTTTAAGAAAACTTTGAGCGGTCAGAATATTCCCGTTGGCGGAAACAACAGGATTAATCCGATCGACACGGCGGCACCATTTTAGTAAATATAAAGAAAAACAAATAAGTGATGCATTTTTACGGTAGAAAAGTTTTTGAACCTTTTTATGACTCGAATATAAATATGTAGAATAAACAAAGTGATAAATTGAACATGTCTTTTGGATTTTTTTATTTAAAAGTGTACACATAATTGCAAATTGAGTATTTATTTAACAACAATGATGATCATTTGATGATGCATGATACTTTCACTCCTATTATAATTATAGAAGAGGATAAAACATTCATTACGCAAATTAAGTAAAGTTGATAATCAGGTAGATAAAATGAAAAGTAAAGTTTCTACAAGAGGCATAAAACTGGTCAATATTCGTCCTCGTGAATTTTTCCACTCTCATAATTACAACAACAACAATTAACTCATTCCCCCCTCAAACATCAAATAATGAAGGATATTAGGTAAAAGTATGACAATTATAATTAAGGAACTACTAAATATTTTTGTATGGGGGTTTGATAAAATTATTGTTTTTGAATCGAATTGAATCAATGAAATTGTCCGATTGTTCTGTTTTTTTCTTTATTATTTGTGGTCTGGTCTGGTCATGGAAAACCTGGCAGTATCAGTTTATAACAAGTTGAGACATAAATAAACCCAAGTCAGATCAATCATTATTCCATTATTTTTGGATAATATTTTCAAAAATGGAGTCGATTGATGATGGTTTGATTTATTGGAGGACGTCAGCAAATGAAACCTTGCCGAACATGTAGTTTCCGGGGGAGGCTGGGTCATCAGAGCCGAAATAATCCTTCCACAGCTTTTCGTAGTATTTCTTGTCTACGGCGACGTGTCCACGCTGTAAATGAGGTTAAATGAGACTGTTTTAATTTGTCCTAACTTCTTGTCCTCCCAACTTGTGAACATCTTACCATGGAAAAAGTCGCAAATGCCTGTCTCGCCTCGGCAGGGTTGACTCCGAAAGAATCGCAAACACCGGCAAACTAAAGTAAAAAACGTTCAAAATAAGGTTTGGAAACCGTATTGACTATGACTTGGAGCAAATGCCATGTTTTTCTTACCTCATCCTCATCAATAACACCATCGCCTACAAATTAAGAATGAGTTACATTTTCTGAACACTCCAAAAACCAGGCTAAATTCAACAAAAAAATAAATACCGGAAGTATCCTGAAGTTCGAACATCAAGTCCATGTAAACCTTCTCCCATTCGTCAATCTTTCCTGTGTTTCTCCACAGTTGGACAAATTCTTCGGGGGAAATCTGTATATTTTTCAGAAAAAAGATTAATTCAAAAACTTAACAAAATTTAAAAAATAGGCACTTCATGATACCCACCTTTTCATTGTCTTCCTTGTAGCATCGCTTCCTCAGAACATCCCACATCTTCATAAAACTAGCCTCCACAGCCTTGAAATCATCTCCACCTTCCGACCATTTTCGGACTTTGCAGAGTTGCTGTAAATCAAAATTATGTACAAAAACGAACCATTTTTCTAGAAACTTCTGTCCTCTAACTAATTAAACGATCTGTCCTCTAACTATGTACATACGCATTTGTCTCCTATTTCATTATTATGATTGCATTTGTGACCTTTCTTCCCAACTACGTGGTCAACCTTGCTTGCCAACTACGACAACACGTAATGACTTGTGCATTTGTTTTTCACCCAGATTGACCTTGTCGTACGGCGACGAGGTCACGTCATCAACAAACAACTCTTAGTTTCATTTCAAAATAAATGCAGTTGAACAGTTGGAAAATGATGTGCCAAAAAAACCTTGTCATTTTTTACTCATATCTTGCCAATAATTTGACTTTCTCCTGGTCCCACTTGCTAAAAACTGACTTATCAAGAAAGCAAGCTGGACTATATCAAATATTTCTTCCAAGCACAACAAATAGGTACTTTGTTTGTTTACTAGAAAATTGCATGCATAAAATTTCACAGGCTTCCGGGGAAAGTAAGAATTTTGGATTTTTTCACAATTTCTTCTTACCTTTACTGCAAGGTGGAAATCCTCCTTTTCAATGGTGCCAGACTTATCGGTATCTGTTAATTTAGATTTACATATATTCAACTCATTTTCGTATCAATTTCCCCACAAACTAAATAATTCTCACATCTACTCACCGAAAAATCGCTCAAACACGTAGGTGAGCTTGGCAAGGCGAAACTCTGACATGGACATCTGCGGAAGGAGAAAAACAGGAAATATTTGTATCAATTTTATCACCCAAACAATTAAAACAACCATTGTTTTAATAAAACAACCTTGGCAGAGTTTTGTGTAAATAAAGTCTCACTGCTAAAAAAAACAATAGGATTTCTTTTTTAGGGATGGATGAACAAGTTTTTAGCTTGTGCTGTGTTCTGGACGGTTTCGATCTGCAAACTAAATTTGACCAGGAGCATGAATCCAGCTAAGTCTAAGTTTGTACGTGCATGCAAAAGCTAGGAAAATGCATACACATTCGAGATAAGATGAAGATGAGGAGGATTCCAATATAAATTTAATCTCTAGCTTTCCTCATCCGGGTTTTCTGCTCAATCCTGCAGGCAGAGGCAAATAATGTGGGAGCAAATCACGCTAAAAACTTCTAGGCGGTTCCCCCCGGTATGGAACAGATAGGCGACGACGCTATATAGGCGACACAACGCCACAAGGGTTAAAAGAACACAGAATGACAATATTCGTCTCAGAATTGCGGTGTCATTCACAAATCAGAGATTATTCCGTAATATTATTTGTTTTGATGAATTTGCACACCGTTTAATAAAAATGGTGGGAGAAAACAATCAAAAGTTGTAATTAAGATAAGTTCATCATCGGACTCAGAAAAGTTAAAACAAGAACGTGGCAAGTAAATGATTTCATACAAATTTTGCAAGTAAGAAATGAATTTCTTGAAATCTGCAAAATTTTTCATATCGAGTCGAGTTCACAGCCAAATTATGACCACATTTAACATTTATTAATGGGTCGAAGACAACATTTCAAACTATTTAATCTCATGATCCATACCCACCGCATTCAGAAGAAGTGAAATGACATCCCTCTCTTAAGTACATATCTCACCCTTTTCCTATATCCCATTCTCTACAGATCGATGAGTACGAAAGCAACTGGTTAAGCCGATTTTTACAGACTAATAATAAGAGCATCAACAATATATTGAATCAGCCAAGCTTCGTGGTGTCGACTATTTTTAGTTTTTATTTCCTTCCTATCAAGTCGTCGTCGTTGGTTCGTATGGGGCGACATCAGGAGCAGCTATCAAAACCCAAACTATGGGCGTTGTTTCCGTCTCTCTCGAGGAGATAAAAAAGAACGGAATTGCCTTGTTCTTGCCAAGTCGAAATAAATCTGGTTGGTTGGTCGCACCGGTTTTTGGGGGGTTGGGGTTGTACTAATAGGAAGAGTCGCAGTCCCATGTACTCGGCAACTTCACCTTGATATTGACATCGCCATCGTAAGGAAAATAAGAGTTCATTGCTTTCATTTCAGCGTCATGTAAAATTCGGATGATGTGCAATTCGTAATTTCGGGGAAATCGGGATAGTCAGTCATGCTGCAAAAATTTTCAATTGGGGCAAATTTTCAACTTTCACCTTCGTTCCGGTCGGATCTGAATAAGATCGCTGAAAAATCAGCCCTGTTTAGATTTGTTAATTAATTTATAACCTGCGTGCGTATATTTAATGTTTTGCTTTTTTACTGTTTTCTTTCACCTCAAAGAGAAAACCGACCAAAAGTCACGTTTCCTCCATGAATCAACCAACACACTACAAAAGTAATATTCATTTTCACATGGCCTACGAACCAGATGAAATAAAGTGTCTGGATTTTGTACCAATATTTCGCAACCCGTGTTCTTATGATGGATTTTTAAAAACACATTTTTTCGCCATCATCATGGCGCAACATAGTCTGTTCTGTTCGCCAATTCGTCATCCAGTCCGGCCAGATGCCACACTTTTTCATTTTCCACGAAAACATTTACTTTGGCATCAATTTTTACTGTGTACCTTTCCCTTGTAGAAATAAAAAATTAAACATTCAGTCAGTCAGCATATGCCTGTCATGTCATTCTTGTGGAAAATGACAAACTCATGTCCCTCACATTAGTGACAGTCACACACGGTTAAATAGGCATAAGAAGAAAGTTGACTAATGTCTACTTGACAGCGTTCTTCTCCCTCATTTGTCATCAAGCTTTGCTTGCCAGCACGCGTTTCAAAATTCTTTTTCATCCTCAATCACCAAGTATTTAACAACCTTCTTATTGTTTACCTCAAAAAGAAGAGTTCCACGAAAACAGCTCGACTCTCGAGCGTTAAAAATGCAGTAAAAACGATATTTAAATGTCAGCCTGTATGCCAAACGGAAAGAATGGAAACCTTTTAAACTTTTAATTTCCAGACGGACATAAAATGCCACCCAAGTTTGAAAACGGGCGAGCTGCTGCCAAACCGATTTGAATTTATTTACAAGTAGTATCATCATTTTGAAATGAAGAAAGTCAAATCGTAGCGAAATAAACCATAAGATTCGGATCATCAATTCGTCAATATTATCGAGCGATAAGACCAAGGACCAATCAGGACCAAGATTATGTACATACAGACGTACGTATTTATGTATCAATCTGACTGACGAGGAGATTTTGAGAATAAACTGTACGTAAGTTTCTTTGCTACATGAAGAGCTGCATAGTTTAAAAATCGGTGATTTTTTTTTATCCCGAAATCGCATCCCATCTCAAGTCTGAAAAGCCGGATAAGATCTTATTATTCTACATCTTGATATGTTGGTTGGTTGGTAACTCTAGTAGGAAAGTATAGGAGTGATAAGTGTCCATTTTTTGTCCCTCTCTCTTCTCTCTGTCTCTCTTCTTCTTGTGTTGACTTGACTTGATCTCTATTTTTGGATTACACACAAGAAATTTAATGAAATGAACAGACTCGTTCGTGTTAAAGTTTCCTGCCCCAAGTTGTTAGCGTTTGAATTGGATGAAAGTTTATTAAACTCTTTGCTTCCTACTCAATCCTCCGTTAGTTAGTTAGTTAGTTATAGAGTCAGTTATTCAGTCTCTGCTGGCTAGAGTACATACATATTTTAAAGATAAAGGAAAGACACAGGCAACAAAATAATGCGAGTCTTTTATCAAGTGTATAATGTGTAACGTCGTCCGTCGGTATCTGTCTTATTGCCAAAATTCTCCTTTTTCAAGTTTATTTTAAAGTCGGATCTCGTTCTTTAATGTTTACAGGACAAAATTGCTCCCAACATTTTGGGGGATTCTTTCATTTCATTCGCACAGAGTTTGCTTTGATATTATGAGGAGGATAAAATCCCATTAATCCAATTGCAAGTCTAGTTCAAGATCGATTCATGCAGGTTAAATATTTTACAAGCAAACATTCACAGAATAAATCAAAACAGGGGGAAAAGAAATCTTGGAAAAAGATTATTTATCGGGAACAGAGTGCATTACAGAGTTTCAGCACATCGTAAGAATCATAATAATAATTACGCTGGGAAAATATGTACGTATCTAAGAGCGCAGATGGGGAGATAAATTGGGGATGAAATTATGTCTTCAAGATGGTCGAACGAAACCGATTTTACAAGATTTTTCTCAAGAAAAGAAAAAGGACAAACTTTGCCGGCTGTTGTTCTACGAGTTACGTAAAAAAAACTGAAAACAAAACAAAAAGTTACGACATCACGGACTAAATACAAAGGCATGCATGTTGATCTCAAAGTTGGTTAGATGCACACGTAATTAAGCTATTTTTACTAGCAAAAGCAACAAATGCAGGCAAAAGCCTTAAAAAATGTCTATCCGCGATGATACTAGTGCCCGACCACGAATTAAATACTTTTAATGCACGATTTCAAATACTTGGAACGTTAAACACTTAATTTATCATGCAATTAATCCATTTATAATTTATAACGGAACAATTTTGTTGATCGTACCCTTTTAAAAAAATAACTTTTGGCCCAAGTCAACGATGCATGACAATGATAAGTTATTTATGAATGTGACTTTTTTATTGCTTGTAAAATGTTGATCTGTTCCGGGTGTTGGATTAAAATGTTTCATTACACTCTTGGATACATGCATATTAAGAAATACATATTATGCAAATAAATATATTAAGCTGGTAATTTGCCAATGATTCTCGTCGTGTGCAATTTACAATGAAACATCAAATTCATTCAACCCTCGATCTAAGTACGGATACTGTAGATTTTGAAACGTTTTGGCCAGGTGGAGATGTATTTTTGCAAAAAAGTGATATAATTACATGTGCATGTTGCGGTGTAATTATTCGAATCAGTGAACCGTTTTGTTCAATCATGTCACTTTGGTGCTTATCAAGTGTGACATCTCTCTCTCTCTCTCATGATAACATAATAGGGGACAGTTGTTACTGCAATTTTGGGCTAAAATCAATCAAAAGATGGGATGCTGGAGGCGAAATGAGACGGATTTATTTAGTATTGAGTCTCATTTTTGTGCATTGAAATGCAGTTGCAGGCAGCGAATTAGTTTGGTTTGGACAGCCATCTGACGTTTCTCCAGGTTTTTGTCCATTCGATTCGCAAAAAATCAGGAAGGAAAGGGGAAGAAAACAGTCGTAAAACAGAGGGCAACAACTCGTCTCTCGTAATAAATACGTTTTCTCAAGATAAGAAAGACTGATAGTAATTTACGACTAATTTATAGGTGGGTTGAGCATTAAATTACTTAACTAAAGTGGGCTGGAGGCTGGACTGACTGGAGAATAAATAATACTATAACGTATTATTTAAATACGTTACAGTTTGTGGAAGAAAATAGAGGCAAAGATTACGGACAGTAATTTACGGTAAGTATTTAGTTATGAATTATTTGATGGATTATCTTTCTTTGTTAAACTAAACCCCTTTTCCTGCTATTTAATTCGCGACATGTACAAATACTTTACTATATAATGATAATGAACTGTATTCTTCTGTGTATTCGTATTTCCAACGTTTATAAGCATTTATTCATAGTCTCTGATGGCGTTTAGCAGTGCTGGCGAATAAGTAGCTCGTGTTTTTTTGCTTTGTTTGCATTTTCTGTTTTGGCGAGGGAGGATTTTAGGTAGGATTACTCATCGGTTAAACACAGGTAGGTTGTAGGTAAAGTAGTAGATTTACTATAAGATTAGATATCCAGTTTCCAGTTCCACTCGTGTAAGTGAGTTGTGCAGTTCACTAATAAAATAACAGTTCTTGTCATCATCATCATCTGTCTTTCTTGTACAAAATTGCACACACCTGGCCTTGAGTTGGTTAGTGAACTTGTGCAAAAGTAGAATCGCGAGTTCTTTACACTTTACACTTGAAAATTTCGTTCGCAAAATTCTGCGTAATGATATGACTCGTACTTACTTTGTTAGTTAGGATTAGTAATTTGTGTTGAACAGTTCATTCTTTTGTTTCGTCGAGTAGAAAAGGAAGGACTATTGTCTAGTTTTGTGATAATAATTACCAATTTTTGGTTAAAAAATAAGATGGCAATGGAACAGCCTCAAATGGAGCTCATTGGGACGATCGAGTCCGCCGGCCTTCTAGGGAACGGGATCACTCTGGCCTCATTGGACCAAGCTGGACATGGCGTCGGAGGGATGGAAAAACTAAACCTGACCGGAGAAGCTTACGAAGTTGTCGATGCTCTTTCGTTCTTTGGCAAGAAGGACAAAAGTCCGGAAGGGAATAATGGCAATTCAGAGCCAGAAAAGATGGATGATGGCGATTCGAAGGGATTTTGGTAAGTGAAACGCCTCCTTATTTATTTATAGTTTGTATATTGGCATACTGATTCATGCGTTAATAATTTCACTGAAAGGCACTAAGTTTGTGGTGGTGGTGGTGCTTAAATTTGAAATGTTGCATGTCACAAGAATTTGAAATAGTGACAAAATATGTATGACAAGTACTTTAAACAATAAATATAGGGGCACTGGGGCTACTAACAGAGCCGTCATGCCAGTCCATATGGACTCGGAAGTTTACAACATGAGTCATCCTAAACGCGGTCGTGCACTCATTTTCAATCATGAGGTGAGTCCTTTCGAATAATGTGTTTGTACTTTCTATGCATCTTATCGGCTATATTATTACACAGAACTTCCATCCACAACTTGACCTCGGTCGACGCCACGGAACCGAAAGGGATCGTCACAATTTGACGGAGGCGTGCAAAAAGTTGGGATTTGAAGTTGAAGCTTTTGATGATCTTACTTATCATGAGATTTTGGAGAAGGTTGAGAAATGTAGGGGCTTAATTTATCACAGCATTTTTAATACTGTGTAAAGGTGTTAAAACAAATTATTGAGATGCTTATTCGTGTTCTAATATTTCCAGTGATCAGAACCGACCACAGCAAGCATGACTGCGTCCTCGTGGCCGTCTTGTCACATGGCGATCATCAATTGTTGTATGCAAAAGATTTCTCATACAAACCGGACATGTTGTGGCAATCTTTTACGGCAGACAAATGTCCCACTTTGGCTGGAAAACCTAAGATCTTTCTTATCCAGGTACATATTTTTGGCTGGAATAATAAATAAGAAATTTAATTCAGCTTAATATGCATAAATAATGTATACTTGACTCATCCTCAGGCTTGTCAAGGATCTCAATTGGACGAAGGGACTAAATTGGCTCGAGTCAGTATGAGTCGCACAGAGACTGACTCTAACCCACAGAGTTACAGAATTCCAAACCATGCAGATTTTCTTATTGCATTCAGCACCGTCCCAGGTAGACTATTAATGTTGGATAGCAATGTACATTTTTGTCGATTTGATAGAGTACACATTTTAAATCATTATCTATCTCTATTTATGTAGGATATTACTCCTGGAGAAATACAACCAACGGTTCCTGGTTCATGCAAGCCATGGCTGAAGTTTTTAATAAATATTCCACGAAGAAAGACTTGTTGTCCATGATGACTATCGTCGCAAGAAAGGTATTATTTGGCTAAAATAAGTTTTATGGATATTTTTTACTTACATTTTGGTTTACTTTATTTCTTAGGTGGCACTCAACTTTGAATCCAACACACCTTCGCAACCACACATGCACCAGAAGAAACAAATGCCATTTATCACGTCCACTTTAATCCGGGACGTTTATCTCACTCCGAAATGATCTGAATCACCCAACAACTATAATACTTATTCAACTCGTGAGTCTGGAATTGGATATGAACTCAACATTATTAAGCCTTCCAAAAATGCCTTTCAGAAACCGCATTTCTATAACTCAACTCGTATTAGAATTATTAGTTAGAAGTTAGATTAAATAAGATATGTGTCGATCTCTGCACGTTTTGTGCATTGTTACTTGAGTAATCTAAAGTTAGATCTGATCTGCAGAATCTTTAAAATGAGTCCGTGTCACTTCCAAATTTCCGTCCGATTGGCCTTTTTCTGGACACGCACATGTCTACATTTTACTTTCCTAGGTACATAAATATTGATTAGTTAATATTTTTCATGAGGCTTGTCTCGAAATACTTAAAATATAATAGCATCACCAAAGTATGCAATAGTCTTGTCGCTTCGATGCACATATGAAAATGTCTTTCAGAACATGCAAGTAAAAACTATGTTAGATATAAATGAAAGCTTAAACTATGTCAGTTATAAAAAAAAACGTTCCATAATATTAAGTACTTATGTAATAGCAATAAGATTGTTATATGTTCCTACTGATGTCATGTTTCAGTATAATTATACGACATAATTGTTTTTGATACGTACTTCATCACGTTGCACTAATATTTAGTTGATTAACTAATTTATCCGTGTGTAATTCTTAGCAGTACAAAAAGTACAAGACAACAAAATTAGGCTCAAGTCAAGTACATGCAATGTTACCACCATTCTAACAAAAACTAATCAACGATTTAGTTGTATATGTAAACATCGAACTTACTACTTATTGACTGAAATAAAAAAAACATAAAACTTGGAAATTTGTTTGTATACCGTATTTGTTCCATTTCTAAATTTCATAACTTTCACACACAAAAGCAATAACAAGCATATTTTCATGATTCATTTTCTTGAAATTTGCAGTTGATGTGCAATGCAATACAACGCAACAACAGTTATCAAAGTGATCATAGACCAGTAACAATAAACAGTTTTGTAGTGAACAATTAAAACTTGAGTGCAGTGTTAAAGTTAATACTCGTGCAAAATGTCGTGGTTTGAAAATCCTGGTGTTGAAACCTTCAACGGTTTAAAGATGTCCGACTTATCCGTCGATGAGGCGTGGCTTATCGTATCTTCCTCATCATCCGTCCCTCTTTGGTTGTACAGTTTGTCAGAAAATTGCCATCATGTGAGAAAATCTGTTATCATCACTATTTATAAATTTAGCTCGTTTTAGCCCGAACATTAAAATTTCAGTGTCCATTCCAACGGTATTCGAATGACCCAATTCTTCCCAACGCTTCAAATGGAACGTCCTTTAAAATTAGTTCCACATACGACTCTCGATACCGTTTGCGGACCGATGGAAATGCGAGCCTGGTTTCTGATGGGGGAGACGATCCAGGGTGGGTTTTGATCGTACCAAATATTTGTGCAATTTGTTCCTCATTATGTGTGTGGTCGTGTTTTAAGGTCGATATGCCAAGTTTCCTTGTCCCCAGGAGAGTTTGGGGTGTACGAGTTATTGGCGACCCCAAGTCAGAATAAGTCTAGATTTAACTGTTCAATTACAACTCACGTCAACCCGGTGAACATTTACTATCGTGAGTTTTAAACACGGTTTTATAAATGAGATGCAGCAGAGGTTTGGCCAAGATTTATAATATTTCACGTGTTTACAGCACTTTTCATATTTCTGGCATCATTTCTCACTTTGATTGTGGGAATCTTGCTGGTTAAAACATACAAAGATAGCATGAGACGCCTCCTATGTCGAATAAATCCATGGAATGCCGACTCTCCCGAGGTCAATTCTTCGTCCTCACCTAATACTGACGAAGCGTCGCTGCTACCTGGACCTTCATCTCCATCTACTTCCGAGCCGAGTCAAAGTCCTCCTTCAAAAAAGAAAGGTTGCTGACATAAATATTTGACATTAATGCACAAGCTTTACTTGATAAGTTCAAGTTTTTAGGTAAAAAACGGCCTGCTAAACGAAAGGACGATAATATTGGAGAAAGTACAACAGGCACTGATTCTACATCGCCGGTAGAGCCAATTCCTTCGTGTTCGTCGACCCCTTCAAGTCCCCGTGACCAGCAGGAAGAAGAACCTGTTCAAAACACGTCTCCACGAGAACGGTTATCCTGTCTGGATGCTTTCAGAGGGTATACGAAACAACTATACGCTTTTAGTTTAGTCTTTATTCATCACAGGATTCGCAGGTTAATTAATTATCAAACTAATTTTCATGCCCAGGATATGTATCGTCATCATGATATTTGTTGACGACGGAGGTGGTCTCTACTATTTTTTCGAGCATTGCACCTGGGATGGATTATACGTAGCGGATTTGGCCTTTCCCTGGTTTGTAGATGCATATTTTTCAAGGTAGATTTCATGCTTTCTCGTGTAACTCGTTGATTGTCAATTCTTATCCAGGTTTTTATGGGTGATGGGAGTTTGCATCCCAATTTCAATCCACGCCCAGAAACAGCGTCGAATGTCACATTCAACAATTTTATCCAAAATTTGTACCCGTTCCTTGAAATTGGTCCTTATTGGCATTTTTATTATCAACACGACCTCAAAACCAAACCCTGCACAGCTTGGGAGCGTCCGAATTCCAGGAGTACTTCAAAGACTTGGAGTTTCATATTTTGCTGTGTCCATCCTCGTTTTGTACTTTTACTCAGAAGATGTCGAGGGCAACAATGAAACTGAAACTGAAAATGTACATTTAACTAATGGTTTTGATTTACAGATAGTTTTTTTCAATATTTCTTTTTTAATGCAGCAAACGCCACGACCACGACGCCCATCTCCTCCACGCCATGCTAAAATAACACCCTGGATCATCATTTTACTCTGCGTTGTACTTCATACGTGTATAATTTTTTTCCTCCCCGTACCCGGATGTCCAACGTAATCACACAATTTCAACCATTTTGTTATAAGCGAATTTCCATATCTTGTTTTCTCTTTTAGCGGATACCTTGGCCCTGGAGGTCTCCACTTAAACAACAAATACTCTCCAAACTGTATTGGCGGAGCTACCGGCTACGTCGACAAGTTGTTCTTCACTAAGGAACACATTTATCAATGGCCAACTGCGAAAAAGGTTTACAATTCTGGATCATTTGACCCCGAAGGAAGTTTAGGATTGTTAACAAGCTTCTTCCAAGTCTGGCTCGGTGTCCAGCTTGGCGTCACATTTCTCTCATTTCAAGAACCATCCGAGAGATTGAAACGAACTCTTGGTTGGAGTTTGCTATGCGTCACAACTGGTCTAATTTTATCTGGTGGTCTGGAAAACACGGGATGGATTCCGGTCAACAAGAATTTGTGGTCGTTATCATTTGTCTTGATAACTTCCGGTTTTGCGTACCTCTTGGTCGCCATTCTGTACGTTTTGATTGATATTAAAGGATATTGGACTGGGTTTCCTTTCCTGGAAGCGGGCATGAATTCAATCCTGCTTTACATGGGTCATGAAGTTTTTCAGAATTCTCTCCCCTGGAATTTTACTTTTGGAAGAATGTCCACCCATTTTAGACATCTTGTCGAAAATGTCTGGGGGACGTGTTTGTGGGTGGTGATTTCTGTGTACCTCTATCGCAAAAAGATGTTCCTTGTTTTGTAGTAGTAAGCAAGTGATAGTTGTATTTATTTAGGAATTGGTACAGTTAAAAACATGCCATGTACATGCATATATTTGATTGATAGTCTATGTTGTAATCTTGGGTATTTAATTATGGGTGAGTGACATTTGAGTGGATTGCATCAATTGACATTATAATGGATTTGCTTACTCAATAAAAATGTGTTATCGAGATAATATCAGAGTTATTGTCATTATTTTGCATATTTTGTGTCTCTCATATTAGCTCAGTTGTAAATAATATTGCTACTTTTTTACACTTTGTACATATTTAAATACATATTTCTGAAAATGTCTTGGATTGAAAAACAACCATTCTCAACATTCCGAGGTTTTAATTTAACCGAGTTGAAGATTGACGAAGCTTGGATGAATGTGACCAATTTGGCGAATCAGACGCTCTGGCTGTACCAACGTTCAACGGATTGTTATGAAGTGAAATTTAAGTAAAATTACTATTAACTTAATTACAAATGCTATAATTTTACCCAATTGCAGTGTCCATTCAAGTTAAGAGATGACCTCGATTTATCTCCCGGAGACAACACAGCACAGTTTAAAGTTTCTACGAAATTTCCGATAAAATACCGTTTTAGGACGGATGCAAGTTCTCGCTATGTTTTGGAAGATGGTGATCAAAGGTATTGTGGCTCTTCAGAAATGTAATTTTTTAGTCTAAACTTGTTTTTATGAAATACTAAATAGCATCTTTTGCGAGACGGAAGCATCTCTGGGAGAATTTGGAGTATATGATTTGACGGCTGATATCACTGGGAAATGCAGTTTAGAAACTCAATTAGAACCAGTTAACATCTATTTACGTAAGTTCGTCACTTGGTCAGTAAAGTAAGTATGCAATCTATAAATTACATCGATATCCTCACAGCACTCGTCTTGGCAGCGATATTTTACTGTCTTCTGACAATCGGCGCACTTATCTATCAAACGAATAAGGCAAGAATTTTCCCCAAGATTGGGATCAAGCAAAATAATTCTGTAAAAAGTGCCACAGAAAAAGAAACTCCAGCTCCAGTCGTAAAACAGCGACTCAGATCTCTGGATACATTTCGAGGGTATCGATCACTAAACGTTCACTACTTTCAAGTACGGCAATAATTTCATAAATTCTCATTTCATATCTTACAGATTGTGCATAATTATCATGATTTTCGTCAATGATGGCGGAGCCCAATATTGGTTTTTTGAACATGCGACATGGGATGGCCTTTACGTGGCGGACTTGGTTTTCCCGTGGTATGTAAATTTCGAAGAATTTTAACAATGATAAGTACTTATCATCTTTAATTGATTTCTTTAATTGATTGATTGACCCAGGTTTTTATGGATTATGGGAGTAGTAATCCCTGTCTCCATTAAGTCTCAGCTCCGCAAGAAAATTCCAAAGTCCGCAATTTTAAAGGGGATTCTTATCCGATCCCTGAAACTGATTGGGATTGGGCTTATGCTCGCCTCGAGGAGGGGACCAATTAATCCTGAGACATTCCGCTTGCCAGGTGTACTCCAGAGATTTGGGGTCTGTTATTTCGTAGCAGCGTCCTTAATGTTATTGAGTGCGAGTGAAGATTTTGTCACGAATAGAATTCATGTACGTTTGTAAAGTTAATTACAATTATATAAATTTAAGTTTAATCAACCCTAATTAAATATTAATGTTGACACCAGAACAACAAAATTATCCGAATCTTCCAAGACATCACGATCCTCTGGAAAGGCTGGTTACTTGCTCTGAGTATTATCATGCTTCACACTTTGCTCACATTTCTCCTGAAAGTTCCAGGATGTCCGACGTAAGTTATTTTTTAGTCGACCTTTATGACTTAATTGACCTCTTCTCTCCCTCAATTTCCAGCGGCTACCTTGGCCCTGGCGGGATCCACCTCTACAAAGACATCGCCTCTTACCCTTCCCCAAGTCACTGCATCGGAGGTGCTGCAGGCTACATAGACACCCAAATCCTCACAATCCACCACATCTTCAAATTCCCCACAGCCCTCTCCACCTATGAAGCCGGCCCCTTCGACCCTGAAGGTATTTTAGGCACGCTCCCCTCAATCTTCCAAGTCTGGCTCGGTGTCCAAACCGGAATGACGCTCCAAGTCTTCCCCACCGCAAAGGCACGCCTCATCCGCTGGTCACTCTGGGCCATTCTGACCGGCGGGGTTGGTGCCGCGCTATCCAGCGCTAAACAAACCGGGGGACTGATCCCACTCAATAAAAACCTCTGGTCGCTATCCTACGTCGCGGTCACGACGTGTTTCGCCCTCCTCCTCCTCATCACCCTGTTCGTTCTGATTGACCTTAAAAAGTGGTGGTCAGGGTCACCCTTTTACGAGCCGGGGATGAATTCCATCCTCCTCTACGTCGGACACAGCGTGGGTTACGTCATCCTCCCGTTTCACTTCGGGTACAAGGCAGCCATGGTTGGGACGCATTTCGTCCGACTGGTCGAAGCCCTGTGGGGCACGTCGCTCTGGGTCTTGATCGCTATCTACTTGTGTAATATTGAATACTTTTGGACCTTGTAGTTGATGATTGACGTTATCATTCACACAGTTTTTTTGCTGTACAAGCAAATAAATATTTTGCAGTCATCTTGCAGTTTAGTACTAAATAACTATTAGCATAAAAATAATTAGTTCCAGAGCCAATAATTAAATATGCATGCTCCACTCCAGGATGAAGAAAGAATGGAATTATTGCGTGTTTTGTTTTCCATTTGATAATGAGATGCATTGCATGCATGCACAGCATCAGCATCATGAGATGAGATCACATTATGTACGCTTTCAAATCTTTATAGGAGATGAAGGATGTTGATACTAATGAAATAAATGAGACGGGCGTGGTATTTCCCAGTAGTTGAATAGGAGAGGTTGACACAGAAAAAAATGATGAATGCGTTTAGAATATTTTATCAAAGACGGAATAATAAATTGGCAAATGGAAACATTTATCCTTGTTGTTATTGAATAGCGAATGGATGGATGGATGGAAGGCGAATAAATAAAAATATCCATTTGTCATTGGCACTCTCGATCGTATGCACATTCTTTCCTGATTTTTCAATCACCGAGCACCGACCGACCTATAACCTTAACCAAATGCACATTTGCGTCAAGGCGAAGGCGACATTTACATGTTCCCATCTGTCAATCAATTATTGATTTGTCCAGATAGTTAGGTGAGATTGATTGAGAGATTGGTGACAGAAAAACAACTTGTCACCTAGAGTTTTTCATGCAAATGTAGGTACGTATACACCTTAAATAATAGTGCATGCTAATGAGACAGTTCTTCTGATCATGGCAGGCATGACTAATTAACAAGTGACTTTATAACACTTTACATAAAAAATAATATTGGTGTTGAATGCAGGTGTTGTCGTAAACGCTACAATTTTATACCATCCAAATCCTTGTCCAGACGCACATTTGTCCAGACATTTTTATGCAATCTTGCCCACTTTAAGGTGGACACGTCTTTCTCATTATATTTCCATCAAGGTATCTCCGACCCCTCCGAGATATGACGACTCCCGACCCCAAATCCTATCTTATTTACGGCATGAGAAGCACTTATTCCAAGGTTTTAGTTTGGTTTACATTCCTGACTCACTACCAAAATCATAGATACATACCTTTTCACTTTATGTATACCACCCACCAAAAATCTGTCATATCCTTCATCGTCTCTGGACTTTGTAAATATTTTTCAGTCTCACATTTTCCCTCCCGTTATTATTACACAACAATCCGTTGTGTGTAATGTCATATACGTACGTTTTACACGACTTTTTGGTCTGCCGGATGTCCAACCATAACGTAATCTTATGCCTTTAGTAAAAGCAACCTACATCAATTCTCACGTTTCCTTCCTCTGGTTGGTAGTGGTCGGATCAGTTTTTCATCTCATAAACAATTCATCATAAGTTTACCTCTGCTCTGTCAGTCAACTTTTTGACTGTTTTAGTTGGACATGTCCCAAAACCAATAGACGCAGAAAATCGACAGCCTCTGCAGATGAAGATCAAAGTTTATACCTTTTCGACTCGCCTTCTTTCCTTCGATTCTAATTGATTGAGTGAGTAAGCCTGGGAAGAAGAAGAAAACTAGCAAAACAAGAAATGGATGAATGAGACGAATCGGAATTTATTTGTAATAAAAATCGCCAAATTTTTAATTTCGCTGTAAAAAAATCTGCAATCTCAATAAACATCACATCACACAAGGAATTCATTATACATATCTTCTCTACGCACAATTGACTATTGATTACAAGTCACAATTCTTCAATGTACGTACGCATTTTTAATTTGCATTATAATTTCTGATTATCTTTTTTTCATCGAGCTACTACTACTGGTTAATTATTGACATATGATTATCATCAGTGGGACAATAAATAAACACCGATTTGACGGGATGTTTCTCCTTCCGTTAATTTAAAAAATGCAAATTCACTCCGTTTCTTGTAAATAAATTAAGTTTTTAGATTCGATCAAACACCTGAGAGAGAAGAGATAGCTTTTCAATCAAAATAAAAGTTGCTTTCGCTTATCGAAGAAAAATCTTGCGACTTGAGCAATAATAATCTCAAATTTGAGCTTCCTTACCATTAAATTTAGTCCTCTAAATTAACTGTCTGTCGCTCAAATATATTCTCCTAAATAACGTTATCATTGAAGCTTAAACCTGCCTGCCTGCACAAATGACCATTATCGTTCGTCTAGGTTTTTGATTACAGTAATTTTTCACTCTGCCCAACAACAATAGAATCCAATTTCGTCGGATGGAGGGAGAAAAGAATGTAATATTTTTAAATTAAAAAACTTCTCTTCTCTCAAACCATTTTATTAGCGGATGCAAAAAAACAGTGGCCGCGGAAGGCGTGGGGGACATGTGGGGACATTAGCATTGCAGGATAGGGGAGGGAGGGGTTTATATAACATGGGGAGATGATGGGGACATCGCATAACCGTGGGGACATTGTCCCTCTGTCTCCTCACCCTTCCGCGGCCACTGGAAGGAAAATTGCACAATAATATTGCATCCAAAAACTTAGTCGGGCAGCCGTACACAATTTTGTAACCAGTTTCTTTTCACTTGTTCCGTTGCCAATTGAATGTGCATATTTTTCCAATGGAATATTATTTATACTCACAAAAAAATTACAAGTAGCAGCCAGCCACCAGAAGGAAGAGTCAGAATCAGAAATTCAGAATTAAATGAGGGGATAAATTGGCCACGTATTTAATGTGGCCATTACTTCCCCAATAAGTTACACGAGTCAATGGCCAATAGTCAAAATATAACATTCTTCTTGACAACTGCCCATACTTTGGCTAATTTCGTTAAAAATTACAATTTATGAAGAAGCCTCTTGTCAAACCCCACCACAAATAATGATAATAATTTACCTAAACCTGTTTCATGATGAGGATGATGATGACTTTGTGCCAATTAATACGAAAAGAGCTCTGCTGATCTTTGTACACACACATTTCTATATTTTACACTAAATTATGCACACTCATCAGAATCAATAATCAATTCCGACCAACCAACCACCAAACAATGCATAGAATAGAAATTTTTACGATTTGCCTTGAATGGTCTCCACATAAATTCAGACAGGCAAAAAAATCTCATCACCAAAATCAAACACGAATTCAAAATCGACAATAATTATTAAACAGAAAGCAATTCAATTGCGCCCAACCCGAAACGAAATATTATTAAATTTGATTGTGAGTTTTCTAGGACATGCCGTTGCCTTTAATGAAGACGAATTTTGCCATTTAGTTCTCACCACATTAACAAGAATTCACTTACTCGTATTGTATAAATCGATAACATATTATCAACTAGCTGACCCATTGTTGGCTGGTCTGGTGCAGACAATTTCGTGCCACCGTGACATTTGTCAGCACGTCAAAAAGTATAACATGACAATGCTGCAACAAGTTGAATTTTTTGTGTACTTTTCACATTGAATTTTCCTCGAAAATAAATAAATAAATTCGCAGTCATCATCATCACCAAAGGTCGACCAGGATTTTGCCCCGGTCGTTGCTTGTTACACGTACGTAAGTCGTCGTAACTAATAAAGTAAACTAAAAGCCACTTTTGAGAAAAATGAACTCGGGAATATAGCTGTCAACAATAATTACCCCTGTTTAACCATGCTAACTTAGAAAGAAGCTAGTTTATTTATCTATTGGAGCGTGAGTAATTGAAGAAACAAACAAGTCGTCCAATTTCTGTTCTTTACGATTGTTCTTCAACCAGAAGAGGAGTCATATGAAATCCGCTGTTTTGGCAGAGTCGCAAATCTACGTGTTGCAAATGCAGAAACCTAAAATTCTTCAGAATTTAGGTGAGTGACCGTGCATTCAAAAAATGCAGACAATAATGCTTGGTCTCATAATACAGGAAAACTCTCCGAATTGTGATGATATTTAGCAATTAAGGACATGAAACTCGTGTAATCGTTACGATTTTTTTAAAAACATAAACAAATGCGAGTCATACATAAATCTTAATGGGGACCTTGTGTGACATTATATTCATATTAAATTTAAATATTTACATTTGCAAAAATTTACTATGTACATGTGCAAAAATTGTACCCAAATCAGAAGACTCAATTCATTGGCTGATGGTTATCTCTACAACGCAACGGTACATGTAGCGTTTACATGGGACAACTAATTCAAACCGTATTACATACTCTGCAGTTTTTTGTCCCCACACGTAATTTATTAGTCTTATTAGGTTTCCTTATACAAAGAAATCAAGTGACACTTATCACCCACACCACACCACCAAGAACCAAAAAGTCAACCACAAAACGAAATCCTTTTTTGAATCGTTAAACCACGCAGCGTATCATCATCCTGACGAGATTTGCGGCGACATTTATTGTCCATTTATTTTATCACGGGGACCAACATGACAAAATCCATTTAGGAAAAAACTGGTTTTACATTTTAAATCCATTTTACAAATCGTAAATCCCCTCGTCATACTCCTGCTCATGCTCGGCGAAGGAGCAGTGAACAGTTTAAAGGGCATAAATATGAAGTGTTTTAATCGAAACGGTTGTACAGTATGGTTCAAAAAACGGCTTCATGCGAGGTCTTTTTTCAAAATGCCGTGTTTTTTAATAATGTGAATTCTCATGAATCATTAATGAAAAGGGAAAAAAATGATAATCGCACATGGTTCGTATTTATTTACCAACTTTTTAGCCGGAGTCGGGGCTTATGTGCCCTTCATGGTTGTATGTATGTCTGTCTATCGATTACGCTCGAAAAAATTAATACTTGAAATTTTGGACACACGTGGAGTATGCAAAATTAGGAATTAAGTTCGAAGATGAGCAAAATATGTGCAAAAATAAAGAAGTTGTAGTTCAATTATTAATAAGTAACAACCTGACTCGGGCTAAATAAAGCTGCCCTGTTCATTTTAATTGATGTAATGCGATTCAAAAAGCAAAAAATATTTTTATTATCAAAATTCTTTAGATTATATTGTTGGCACTCATTTTTCCTTTTCAATGAGATTCACTCCTACTTATTAAAATATTGATGTAATAAATCTTTTCATTTTCATTACCCACAAATTTCCAACCTTTCTCTTAACACGTCTAATCAAAAAAGAGTTAAGTGATCCAGAAAGAGCAGGTGAATGAAGTGAAGAATTGCACACACACGTGTAAATAATTGCATTCATGATGAAAAAGGGATATACACAAGTAAGCACAAAGAAAATGCTATATACATCGCTGATTGGGCTTAATTGCCGTAATCATCATCATCACGGTAAGTAGTGTCATCTCAAAATATCAGCCATCTCACATCACACTTATCCTCATAATGGTGATAAATGAGGGTGCGAGGAGTTTCTGCGGTCGACAAATGACACAAAACGCATCTGCATCACTTTATGTTTATTAGTCGAATGAACGAGTCACACAAATGGAATAATGACAGCTTTTTTTCCCTTCTGAGACATCTCCTCGTGTTGGACTCGATCTTAATAATTTACCATTTATATTCACCCATGCAAAATGACATGTTTCTCATTTCACGCAATTAACCAGTATCAATTACATGCATATACTCGATCACTCTTTAATATGAAACCTGGTTGCGTAAAAAGCTAATAAATTTATTCCACCCCGGTTTTTTGATGTGAACAAGTCACCATTTTGTTGATTGTGAGGGAAGATGACACTTTAGAGCAGATAAGGACACAGTCTTGATATGTATTTGTATGTACAAATGTACATATGTACATACGCACCCCAAGAGAAGAAAAAAAGGAGTAACAGGTTTCTTTCTTGACTCTCCTGCTGTTGATCGGAAACGGATTAGAATCGCTTTTAGGTCTAAGACTTGATTAGAAATTGTAGGTCAGTAGGTATTCATAAATGACAGGCCAGCAAGACTTTAACTTAAACATCCACCATCCACATTCGAATCAATTCACCTGCCTGTCTGAGATTCTATATAGCAGCGTCTCAAATATCAAAACTGGCTTTTCCTTTGCTGTATTTACTCATCATCATCATCAGCACGGTTATATTATATTTCATTATTATTTATTTAGCTGGGCCGGACAATAACAATGGAATCGTACTTACTTTTAACACGGACATGGATGGGGCAGTTAGTTGTTGCTTATTTAGTTGGTGTATATACAAATCTAAGGTTTAATAGGATTTTATGTATGTATGTACTGATTGCAAATGAAACTGCAAGAAATGAGCCTGTCTGATTTTTATTTTGACTCGGATTCGAGTCCATTGTCTCTCCTGCCTGGGTTTGAACCATCTCAAATTTAATTCCCCGGATTGGGATGGGATTATTTAAGCTGAGGAGGAGAAGACGAAGGCTGAGTTGATAATCTTAATTAATGAGTCGAGCAGAAGAAGACATAATAATAATAAATCTGCTTCTGTTTAGCTGGTACTTTTACACGTGCAGCGTTTATTACTTGCCAGTCTTTTAAGGAAGTAAGTAGGAGAGGATTTCATTTTGGACATGATTCTGTGCAGGGATAAGCTGATTAAGAATATTTATCTGTTATTCCTTGATTACAAATTCGTTCCTAGTGCAAGAATTCGACTCTTTTTACTCCATTTTACTTGCGTACACTCTTAGAAATCTGGTTTTAAAACAATACCAAGCGGTATTCATGTATGACTCTACCAAAAGTGGTAGTGATAAGTAATACCGTGTAGTAATAGCTCGGTATTAAAGTTTTACCATATCCGTAGCAAACGGACCGGCATAATTTTAATACCAATCGGTAACAATTTTAATACCGAGAAATCAATACCACATTTCTAACAGCGTGGTTAACTATTCATTCCGATTTCTCTCTTAGTATTCATAAGAAGGCGTCTCGTATCAAATCACGATTGCATTTTTAACACCAACTTTTTTTCCTTCAAATGTCCATCCGTATCATAATTCTGGTTGAATATGAGGTAAAAAAAATTGAAAAACAGAAGCCCAAAAAAACATGACATGCACAGGTGCATCTTTTTAACTTTTACTCTGTCATTTGTAATACTAACTCCTTATTATTACACGTCTGCTTCTGCGAATGGCCTGGATTTTATTTTTCATGATCACCACACATTTCATTTCTCGACTAACTTATCATCATCATTTCAACGTTTACACGATTGCATACATGACACAATTACAATTACGAATCAAACTACTGTATCATCATCATCATCATCGATCAAATCGCCCTGTAGAAAAATCTTTGAAAAAAATACCAAATTCCTCTGCAACCCCGGCATCAAATTGGATTATACATAAGTCGAAATTGCGAATATCTGTAAGGTGTGTCAGTCTAGTTGCAATTCATTTTTCAGCCCCTACTTCAAAAACCACTCGGAAATAAGTATCCTCAAAGTAAGTAAAAGAAGATCTGCATTCCATATAAGCAATAAATAACGACTACCTTTGTACACATGCATATTAGGCTTTCCTGGTAAAAGGGTTGGTTTAGTTGGTGAGTAGCAGAGTGAATTAAAATTAATTATCTCTCGCCACTTAATGTGCGCAAAAGGTCGCTAGTAGGTTAATGGTGGAGGTTCAATCTAATTAGCAAAAAGTCAACTTTTATTTACAAAAATTTATGCAGAAATGCTGTTGTTTCCACGCAAAACCAATTCCACTAAACACCTCGGAACACGAGTGTCAACAATTGTGCATACAATTCTTCTTCTGTAAGTAAATTCCGGTTTATTGTACAGAATATCCTTCACTTTTCTTATTAAACTTGACACAATTAAATTATTCTGTGTATGTATCGTAAATTTGCAGCCGTCCCGTCGTATGAAATGAAAAGCAAAGCGCAACGTTTTATTATAATCAACGGAAATCAAATCAGCCCAAGTCACCTTTTACATAAAACTTTTACTTGTTGTGCGAGGAGAGCCAAGAAGCTACTCGAGTTTAGTTAGTTGAAGAGAAGATTATGATGAGATGAGATGAGATGAAGGCTAAAAAGCCAGTAATGGAGATCAGGATCACTAACTAAGAACCACCAAATTGAGACGAAGATGCACATTACTTACAGGTTCTTCGTCCCCACGTAATAATACACGGATGGTGTTTTCATCCATCCATCCATTCCATTCCATCTTCCTTTTCATAGGCAAGATTCACATTCTCATTTTGTGAGTCAGTAGTGCATCAGTCTCACACAAAGAACAAAGTCTGGTCTGTCATGGGGGAAATTTGAGACGTGTTTTATAAGAGAGACGCATTTGTTCTTTCATTGTGAAGCTAATCAGAGTGGAACTTGTGCATTTGCATTATTACATTTTTATACTTTTTTTCTGCTCTTAAAGCACGAATGGAAAGTAATGTGACACTTTCCATGATAATTGGATATCGTGGTGTCGTGATGTCGTGCAGTTTTTTCGCTACTGAAATATCATCATCGCTCGTCCAGTCCAGTTACAGACTAATAAATAATAAGCGTCGGGTTGAAGAGGGTCTCTTATCTTCTCGGCTGGACTGATTATTAAATCACCATTTGCAATCTGGTTGCAAAATGCACTAATTTTTGTGTATGCATACAAAACCCAGGACAAAATAAAACTCGTTGTCAGTCATTATCAGATCAGAAGGTCGACTACTGACTGACATTGTCAGCAATGTTTTGTTACTACTGTAAAAACACGGTGTTGTTTAATTTTGAGTGTTTCGAGATAATGTGGGGATTGACTGACACTGAACTTAACTAAATATGTAATTACTGTACAGTGAAACCAGGACTGAAAATTCTGTAACAGTTTGAGAGAACAATTACCAAGTATGGTTATCCAAAAATTATACAATTCCTTCCACCAGATAAGTAAGGTGATTAGTCCGACCGTGAACTTTCTCCAGTGAGATATTTATTTATATAGTTTGGTGGTTTGAGTGTCACGCTATCGGACTCATTAGTGACCAGCAGACCAGTGTGTGGTCATAAATCTTGATCCCGTGATTATACACACATTTCGGACGTGAACTGAACCATGTCTTGGATCGAGGACCCCGGCATAGCGGATTTCAGAGGTTTCAACATCTCCCAATTAGGTCTGGACCAGGCCTGGATAAATGTCACCTCACTCGTCGAGGGGACAGCTTTATGGGTCTACGAATTGTCGTCAGACTGTCATAAAGTGAGTTATTTCATGTCCACACCACAAATAGGGACATGTCATGATTTATTTTCTCTTTTTTTTGCAGTGCCCCTTCGAAAAGAAGACAGCACTGAATTTCAGCGAGCCTTATAATTTTATCGTTAGTACAAAATTTCCCATGAAATATCGCTTCCGAACGAGAGGAGATGGTGAAACTTATGTCAAAGAGTCGGGAAATGATAGGTAGGTACATAAATGTTTTTAATAAGGTCTCAAATCGCAAATTTGTTCTCATCAAATTTCCTCCCATGCAGCTACAAATTTTGTGATATTGACCAAAATTTTGGAGAATTCGGCGTGTACAATATCCACCTCGGGGGATCGCAACGAAATCCGGAATGCCGCGTGGAAACTGCGTTGGATCCCGTTAACATTTACTATCGTAAGTACATAATTTAACCATTAATTAATGACTTTTATGCATCTCTCCATTTTTGCTCGCATGCAATTAATATTGACGACCACGACTAAATAATTCCGTTATTTTGCACGGTGCACATACAATTGTGGGTAGATTGACATTTTAAGATCACCAACCACATCACAACTTTCCATTTACTTTAGTCCACTTAAATAAAATATATGTATGTGTGCGTGTCAGTGTGTGGTGCATATTCACGAATTGGTAGGTTTTTTTAAAGCCTTGGTCAAGAATTTTCCTGTCATAAGAATAACAATAAAAATTAGGAGGAAGACAGAAGAAGAAAGTGAATGCACAATCACATCACAACAACAAATATGTATAACTTATAACCAGCATGAATAAAGTGGGGGGATCATGCTGAGAAATCTTGACTTTTATTATTTATGCGATGCAATACATTATCTTTTGACGATTCGAATCGAATCCGGACTTGGATGGAGAACTTCTTGAACATATTTATACATTTATAGAACTCGGAATATTATCCGTACGTCTTGCCTTGCATTATTTGAATCCATGTTCAAATCCAATTATTTGATGGGCATATGTACGTACCTTGAAAATTTTGTAAACTGCCCCCAGCCATTGTTGTCAGGAATGAAGTGATAGACATAAAATTTAGCATTCCATGTCCATCATCTTCTTTTATTTTATTTTATTCTACATGTTGAGATTCGGCCAAGGATTTAGAAATCCAATGACAGAAATATGTATCTCAAAAAAAATATTCAGACAAAATATTTTCACCCCAAAAAAAACTCCATCTAATCAACTCATTTGCACCCATTTGATCAAATTAAAGTGTGTTATCGCTAATTCGAGACAAGTATGATCTCGTCATCATTAACTTTCTGTACCCTTCAGCGTTCGTGCAAGCAAATAACTGAATTAGCACCAGCAAAGATTAAATTAGTGCCCAATCCTCGACTCGAGTTAACAACACGAAGTGATAATAACGACATTATTATTTATCATTTTCAAATGAATCACAGAAAGAATCAACAAATTATTATTTAGCAACAAACAACGGACGGGCTCAACTTACATAAAAATATATTTCTTCGCGACCTACTTTTTCGCCTTAATAATAAGATTTATTAAATGGATGCGACACTAAATATTTTTTCTTTTTTATATCCTCTCGTGTCCCGTCACAATCCTAACCTTTGACAAAGTCGGTTTCAAATCCGTGCATAATGAGCAGCCAGTAAATCATTTTTGAAATGAAATGAAATAATAAATGATCTTATACGACAAGAAAGTAGTGTTAATTTTTTATCTTCCTCCTTCTTCTTCTCGGTAATAAATAAGTGATCAAATCGTGGTATTACATTTCAATAATATTATTCCCACTTCTTTAAATCATCATGCCTCTTATTCGAAAGAATAAGATTTATTCGAATCCATCCAATCCACTCCGTATTTTATGAGGTGGTCGTAAAAACCGTGTTCCTCACTCTTGTCGAGAGAGCGATTTTCGTTATGTAAATGGCTTTATTTTTATTTCGACACGTTTCACTCAAATAATAAGTTAGTCAGTCTCTTCCTACGATATTTAGGAATGACCACACTTTTGCCGTATTTTTTTTTCTCTTACCTGCAAGATAACTACTTGAGATTAACTAACCCCATCAAGTCAAGTCTGGCAAAAGGAAGACTTGGTTTGTTGGTGTCAATTGAAATCCACCACACACCGACCACAGTTTATGTGTAGTTATTTATCAGCCCCGTGGCATAATATAATACATTGTCTTAAGTGATTTTCATCTCGCTGGGCGTGTTCCGCACGTAAGTCGTCAGTGTTTAAAATTAATAAATGAGAAGAGAACGAGGATGAGGAAACGAGAAAAACAATAGAAAAAAATAATATTCAGCTCAGCCGTCTCCTTTGCACAACAAAGAGACGCCAGTTACTTACTTACACGGACAAAACAAAACGATTCGAAACTTGAGAAACAATCGATATCGATGGTGGTAAATGGTTAGGAAGCAGGTGCGTGTGTCGATTCTGCGCGGCTTCTACTTTATCTCTCGAGTCGTGTCGCGACGATATGATTAATTATTCTGTAATGACCTTTGACTTGAAATTCGAAACTCGACGGAATATTACACCGACCGACCGACACCAAGATAAAGAGGCTTCATGATGGCAGAATATTTATTTATACGGTGGGTAGATCGATCGATAGTGGTGGTGATGATGATCGTGCGAAAAACAAAGAACAGCATCCGCCGTATACATAATAAATTTCTTGCATTTTTTGCCAACAAATGGAAAGTTTTTTATACTTGGTTGATTTCACGGGATATTTTATCTCTAATGGAATTAGTCACGGTGGCATCAGCATATCTTCTCATATTCAATTTTTTGGCTAGACAGGAACTCATTTTCAGCACGTGCCTCGGCCTCCTCAAAGAAATGATTGTTGTGGAAAATGAATTTATTTAAAATATTTTTGTACTGAAATCCTTATTGATTTTTTTTCAGCTCTTCTTCTCGCCTTTTTATTCTACTTGATCTTCGGACTCTTGTTCCTCCTCGTGAGCACGGGTCACACTCGACTAAAGCTATGGTTCAAGTCATCCTCGTCCGGTTCGTCGTCGAAAACGTCGTCTTCCTCGGTAGACAACAACCCAGCGGGCGGGGGAGGAGCAGGTGGTGGTGAAAATGTCATCGTAACGACGACACCACATCCGAGCAGTAGTAGTCAGCAACAAATCTATGGAATCACGTCGGCGTCGTCGTCCTCCAATCCAAATGGGGTTAGACGACTCTCCACCGCTTCAGGGTCTGGCGTCAGCGTGGGCACGAATCCACATTACGGGAACAATGGCGTGTACGGATATAATCCGAACTATGCCCCGGTTGGAGTCGCCCCTGAAGCGTCATACAGTCCCACGGCCACGACGGAAGTGTCCATTTCGAGTAAGTTACGTACATATTTCAATTTGTATTTAGATATGAAAATGATCTGGGTCAGTCAGTCATTAAGGAGAGTATTTACAATTGCTTAATCACTTTCATTTTTCACACCTGCCTTAAATATCTACTATTTACCTTCTGGCAGGCAGGAAGACGTAATTATGTATTTGCTATTTGAATAGAAATTGAGACCAGCGAAATATTTGTGGTTGGCTGGTATATTTTTCTGTGATATTGAAAGCAATTTAGTCATTTTCTCAGAAGAAAATCGTGTTAAGTAAGACTTTAGAATTTTTGACTGGAATTCTACATAGTCGGGAACACTCAAGTGTCAACAGCTGATTGCTAAAAAACTACGCTGCAAAATAAAAATCTGATAAGTGCATTAGATTCGCCATGCGATTTACATTATGATTCACTATAGACTTTGCAATTTTTGAACATCTGGATAAATATATAGGAAATTGAAGAGAAGCGGGCGGCGATAGTTTTTCACAAAAAAAATCGAAGAAAAACAGTGAATTTGACATGTGCTGAAAAAGTCAAGGTTGCACTTTAATTTAGCCCGATGGACTATAGAAACGTTCATGAGGACCAGACTGACTAAGAACAGTCGAAGAAGAATTTTTTGAAAGCCTCCAAGGACCACACCCATCGTTTAGCCTCTCAAGCCTGGAATCCAAAGAAATTCACGGAATTCCAACGGAAACCGGGCTCACGGCTGACAGTGTCGATGAAAATTATCCAATGAGTGCTCAAATTGAAGCATAGGCTTAAGGCTTTGAAATGTGGTACTTGCCACATCCTGATCGTACCCGAAAGGAAAGCCAGATTAAATAAATGCAGGAGTCACCTCAAGCGGTACGCTCCAAAAAAGGGAGCAGGATTCTTTTTACGAATGAGGAGATTTTCACATCGGAAAAATCGTTTAACAAGCGAGTTGTCCTAATCTACGCAAAATTGATCAAAGACATCCCCCGATATAGACAAAAGGTCAGAAAGTCACATTTTCCAGGTTTTTTGATGATTTTGGCAGGTGGGAGATAATTGGGGTAATTTCTCTACATTTTGCTGAAAACTGGGGGGAGGTGGGGGAATAAAATTTCTTAAAATATGTTTTTGAGTCCGTGGTACATCCCCTAAGTCAGACCCAATTCAATGGAATCGATGGAACCTCTTACCAGGACTCAGCACGAATTTATAGTGCAAAAAATGACCCAAGCGTAGCTAAAAAAAGAAATTCCTGTCTTTATCTCCAATCAGAATTGGTCATCATCCTTGATGGATTTGAACCACCGGAATATGAAAAATGGTCAAAGTTAGGGGCAAAGGTGTGTTCTAAGCCCCGTAGAAGTGCCGAGGCTTGGAAAAAATTTCTGACCCCGGAATGCCACAAAATGTCCCTGGAATCTGTGCGTAATTCCATCAAGGAGTGGCCGCCTCGTCTTTAGCGTGGCATTGACGCAGGAGGAGGAAATTTTTAAGACTAAAAATTGTTTTTGAATTGAAATTTATCTGGCTTTTCGGTAAAATAAATCAAAAATTGCTAAGTTGAAATTTACAAAAGTAATAAAGCTATATGTCATTGACACTTGAGTGTTTCCGACTATGTATAAAGTAATCTAAATTAGTTTTGCAAGCTGCAAGCAAAAGCTGTAAAGGGAACTCAGCCGTGACGCCAACAAAAGTTAAAGAAGCAAAAGTCATTCCTTATTTTGTTTACCCGAGCCAATTCATTCACAGTTCCTTCGTTCATACAAATAAAAGTTACGACTACGAGTTTAATCATAAAAACAACACTAAAGTGAAAGGATGAATTGGCACTTTTACATAAATGTTGTTCTACCTACACTGAAAACCATTAGCGAAATGTTTGTGTAATGAAATTGCAACTTTGCAAATTTTTAACAATCCTTTCAAATTAACGATTTCAAGCAAAATTCTCCAGCACCCATAAAAGTAAAACCAATATGTACCCTAATTCTAATCGATTTTTTTTCATCAGCAATTTCCTCCACCCCGACCTCCACGACGGTGACCACATATGGAAAACCCCACCAGCAGCAGGGGATGTCTTCGTCCATCGAGGCCAACCCTGCCGTCAGGATGCCAATTAATCCCACCATCAGCAACAACTCGACTTCATCATCAACTAATACTGGCCCCATTAATAATAATAATAATAATAACAATCATGCGAGTCAAAATCAGCCACAAAGCCAACCCTCCAGACAGCAAAAGAGATTGAGATCACTCGATACGTTCAGAGGGTACGTTTTAACCTTACATATTTGCGGTCATGATTAATTTCTCGAATATTTAATGATCCTACAACTTACGAAATCATGTCGTAAGTCGCATTGTTTTACACATCGGTGTATTGACAGCAGTCAAAGTCAAAGGATTATTATTATTAATGCTGCAAAGGTCGAACCAAATACATTTTGGATGGAGTGACAGTAGCAAAAAAAAATATGGATATGTAATCAACTCATTCAATAATGGATCGCTAGTCGACACAATCCAATTGTTGCAGGGACCAAATGTGTTATGTACTTATGATTTTGATTTCGTTCCCATCATTCATTCAGATTAAGCACGCCTTGTTAATTGTCATGTTATTTGCAGCTCATTTATACATTTGTCGACACATTTGAAACTGCAAGAGTCACGAATATAAATTGTTGTGTAGGACAAAAGTTGCATACATACTTGCAAAGTTTTATTGTAGTAATCTCGATCACGTAGAAGACTTGTAAAGCCGCGTGGCCTTCATATTGACCTTATAATATCTGTAGTAGACTTTTGTTAATTTGGTTGATGGTCGTGGGTTCAACTCTGCACTATGTGTACTTGATTGATAGATTAAATTCCTAAATTCATTACCATTTGGATTTGCATTTCTTTTGATAACATTACACGACAGAATAATGAAGGATTACGTGGTTATCGGTATCATGCAAAATTTAATTATTCCAAGCCAACTGGTTGGTTGGGAAGGTGGGTGGGTGTAAAAAAAAGTAGCCAGTCAATCATCCAATCCACATATCGATGATGCTTTTTACATATGTATTTGTAGCTGCGAATTTATGATTGCACCAAGTGTTGCTTTAATTAGATAGAATAGACTGCGAAACGAAATCAAAGTTGGGCCAATGAAATTTATAAGTTGCTCTAATTACAAGAGTGAGATTTTTATTTTTATTTGTTCTTGCCAAACTTTCTGTTTCATTCGTTTTCCTTTCATCCCCTCGACAATGATATGCATGATGAGATCATTGTTTTGAAATTAAAGAGATGCGATAAAATCAAGCGAAATGGGAATTGCTTTGACTTTGACTTGGTTGTGTGTGTCTGATCAATCCTATTTTAAAAATCGAATACCGATGTATTTATAATGGATGCCTCTTCCTTTCATGAATTAAAAAATGTTACCAATGTTAATTTTTTTCTCTTAAATTTTAATCAATAGGATGTGTATTTTGGTCATGATTTTCGTGAATGACGGTGGGGCCGGATACTACTTCTTTGGACATGCGACGTGGGATGGTGAGGACATTATTGTCGTTTATAGAGAGGATTTATAGTGCTAAATGCTTTCCTTTTTTTTTACTAAAGGACTTTACATCGCCGACTTGGTTTTCCCTTGGTAAGTTGTTTTTTTTATGGCAAGGCACGTTCTCGGATTTTCCCAGTGATTGGTTGATGGAAATGTCAACTTCCTGTTTTTTTAATTAATTAAAAGGTTCCTGTGGATCATGGGAGTTTGCATTCCGGTAATTTAAGTTCGGGGTTTAAAATTAGTATAATTTGTGCATATATTTATGGACGTATTTACTTCATGCATATTAATTTGTATAGGTGTCAATCAAGTCACAAGTAAAACGTGGAAATTCCAGGTGGACTATTTTCAAGAGGATTTTTATCCGTTCATGCAAACTCATTTTGATTGGAATACTTCTTGGATCCTTATGGGGACCTGTTGACATCAATACTATGCGCATTCCTGGAGTTTTACAGAGGTGAAAGGACTTTCACTTTCTTTTTTACGTAGACTTTTGCGTATGTCAAATACCTATGTATTCATAAAATGAAAATCTGCCAGGTTTGGAATATGCTATTTTGTCTGCTGTACCCTTGTGTTATTCTGCATGACGGTGAACATCACGAAACCTGAAGCGGTAATAGCGATGACCTTAAAAAATCATCACAACTTTGATAAATACATTGGTAGAGCTGACCATTATCATTTTTTCTTCAGAGTAAAATTAGAGCTGTTCTTCAAGACGTTCAGATAATCTGGATCGCCTGGATCCTCGTCCTCCTTCTTGTCCTCACTCATTGCATGCTCACATTTTTCTTGGAAGTTCCCGGATGCCCGACGTAATTTTATTTAAAAAATACAGAAATTCTAATTAAAGGAAAAGATTAACCTTAATTAAAAACTGTGTTAATCACGTTTAGCGGTTATCTGGGACCGGGCGGACTTCACGACTACTTTTACGAACCTTACCAAACCATCGGACCACACTGCATTGGCGGCGCGGCTGGCTACATTGATAAGGAAGTTATCCAAAAACGACACATTTACCAATGGCCAACCACCATTGGGACCTACAAAAGTGAAGCTTACGACCCCGAAGGACTTCTTGGCATGCTCACGTCCATCTTCCAAGTCTGGCTGGGCGTTCAAACCGGTGTCACAATGTTGGTCTATCCGAGAGCATCGTCCCGTTTGAAGCGTTGGGGGGCATGGGCAGTTGTCACCGGAGCGCTGGGTACACTTTTATGCGGCTGCAAGCAAACTGGGGGATGGATTCCACTAAACAAGAATTTATGGTGGGTATTTAATTTATAATTAAATAAATTAAATTTTAATTAATAAGTAACTATTTAACGATAGGTCGCTATCCTTTGTCCTGGTCACCAATTGCTTCGCCCTCCTCCTCCTCGCCTTCCTCTACTTTGTCATCGACATTAAGCGGTGGTGGTCGGGGTCACCCTTTTTCGAACCGGGGATGAATTCTATCCTCCTCTATGTTGGACATAGCGTCGCAAACAGCATGCTCCCCTGGCATTACGGTAATTAATTAAAATTTAACTGCGAGGATTTACTTGAACATTCAACAATTGAATAACTATGCATTTACAGTTTATGGCCCGATGAGGACACATTTCGCCCGACTGATCGAATCCCTTTGGGGGACGTCCCTCTGGGTCGTGGTCGCTATCTATTTGTACCAAAAGAAAACATTTTGGACACTTTAGACAGCTTTTTTTTACATTAAAGATGTATCTCTGCCATAAATCATATTTATAATATTCATCTTGCCTTAACTATCCATTTATTTTTCTGTTATTATTATACATTTATACCTGTGCAGATTATTATTACTGTAAATATGTACATATATACTATATTTTAATTGCAATTATGTAGCTTTCATTAATTAAGTCAGTGTTATTGTAGAATTGGTTATTATATGATGGTAATTCATAAAATAAATAAATGGATAAGTTTAAAGAAAATTTCACCGAGCATGAAAATAAATAATTCAACATCCATATAATTTTTTTATAAAAGTCTAATAAAAAATGGCACATAAATCGCATGTACATTTCTTTAAATGCGATAAAGCATTGTGAATTAAAAAAAGAGATTTACTGTTCAAACATAGAAAAAATACACCACGGAATATTATGCAAATTCTATTTTTTATAAAACCAGAATATTATACAAATTCTAATTTTTCTAAAACCAGAATATTATTATCAGATAGATAATTTGGTCGTAAAATTAAATTGAATTGATAATTTGATCAGGTTTTGAACATTTAGCAAAAAAAATAAATCTCGCAAAAATCGCGAAAACGAGTATTGAACAAAGACGAACATCGACAGCGGAGTCATCTTTGCACTTTTTGTGAAATCTGGCCGAACTAAAAGGGGGTTTGCGGTGCGAAAGCTTAAACTCGACGACGGAAGTGAGATCATAATAGTTGTCAAAGTATTATTTTCGTTACTGGCATTTAACAGCAGCAGTATTGGCTGACCCTACCCATTTACAACACTGTCAAACTTTTGTTTCTGCCCAGTGCTAATTAATTAATCGCTAATTAAGAGTGTTTCCTTACCAGAGGATATTATTCCGATATGCAATAAGTGTTCGATTTGGTAACAAGATTGGAAGAAAGCCGGCTACTTTTTGTGTGGACGGGATAAAACAAATATTTACCAAAGTTTGTAATTTTTAGGAGGAAATTTTACAGGTAATTTTTTAAAGAAATTTAACTCGTTTTTGTTAATGTTTGTGATAAGTGATGTTCTTGTTGTGTGCTTGGGTGTTAAGCTAATTTAAAGTGTGCTGTTTGTTTACTGTGTTGCTAATTTGTTAAAAAGTTGTATGAATATTTTGCTTGCAATTTGTAATTTACACATTTGACATTCTGTAATTAATAGTTTAATTGTTTAAATTTCAAATTTAGGTTACTATACTGGACAAGTCCATTTCCAAGAGTGGAAAGGGCAACACAAATTAGTAGAAGAGCAATATATGATATAATATTCTCACGTACTTTTTAAAAGACATAAAAATGGTAAGTTTCTAAATTATAAGATTTGATTTCATGCTTTTACTTTTCAATATGTTTCAATTTTTTAAATCAACTCTAATTATAGACAGAGCAACAGTTGGACTGCGCCCTTGATTTGATGCGGCGATTGCCACCTCAGCAAATAGAAAAGAATTTGAGTGACCTGATAGATCTGGTGCCTGACCTTTGCGAAGACCTCTTATCTTCTGTTGACCAACCTCTTAAAATCGCACGAGATAAATTATTGGGGAAAGACTACCTGCTCTGCGATTACAATCGAGATGGTGATTCCTACAGGTGACTAATAGTTAATGACATTAATAGTTTGATGAACTATACTTTAATCGTTATACTAATTTTTTAGATCTCCATGGTCTAATACTTATGATCCCCCTTTGGAAGACGACTCATATGCCCCAGCTATGCCCACCGAGAGACTACGGAAGTTAGAAGTTGACGCAAATGCTGCGTTTGAACAATATCGTGAAATGTATTTCGAAGGAGGTATTAAGAAAATGTTTTAATTAATTTACGAGTTTGTAGCATTGCTAAAATTTGTGCATAATTTTACAGGCGTGTCTTCGGTGTACCTTTGGGATTTGGAGCATGGATTTGCTGGTAACTTCATACATGAAATAAATATAACACGACACGATTCAGTTTTGGCTAACAAAATTAAATTTTGTTAGGTGTGATACTAATAAAAAAGGCTGGCGATGGATCCAAGAAGATTAAAGGGGTACGCTATTATCATTGTGTCTTGATTACGATGTACTAATAGTAATGTTCGTGGAATTGTAGTGTTGGGACTCTATTCATGTCGTCGAAGTAGTTGAAAAATCCACGGGTCGTTCTGCCCATTACAAATTGACGTCAACTGCCATGCTTTGGTTACAAACTAGTAAACCAGGTATAAAATACTTTGACGAAGGTTCTTGTGGCGATTTGACTTAAGTAATCAAGATTCAAGTGTATTTTTCTATCAGGTTCCGGAACGATGAACCTTGGTGGAAGCCTTACTCGGCAAATGGAACAAGATTCACCCATAAGTGAAACCTCCCCCCATATTGCAAACATTGGTAAAATGGTGGAAGACATGGAAAATAAGATTCGATCCACCCTTAATGAAATCTACTTTGGGAAAACTCGCGACATTGTGAACGGGTTAAGATCAGTCAATTCCTTGTCGGATCAGCGAAAAAATGCCGACTTGAAGAAAGACTTGGCCCGAGCCCTTATTACGAGACAAGCTAATAAGGGAGATTCCCAATAATAATATAATATAAAACTACTATTTTCTCCTCCAATCTGATAATGGCTTATCAAAAAGTGTATAATAGTAATATAATGAGTTATTGACCAGTGCTTTACGGCACACTTTGTTCATTTTGATGCAATATTTGGTATTATTATTTTATAATTTATTGTCGAAATGAAATATTTATACAAAAAAAAGAAATCCTAAACTTCAAGACTTTGCTTGTCGATGCAAATTGTACAACTAAATGTAAAACGTTACTAAAATGTTTACTGATTATTAAGTTTATAGGCGTGTGTGTAATTTAAAAGCAAATTCCTACTACAATTTTCACACTACTTTCGTAATTTATGAGTTACCAGTGTTTGTGTTTTTAGGGTTAAGTTTGGCTTTAATAATTTCGCGAATGAGTCAGTACTAATATACCTGCTAATTATTAATCATTAATTACATAGGATTATTAAGTATATTAATGAAGTCTTCTACATATATAAACCCTACCTTACTTTAATCTCTACGTCTACCAAAGTGCTCAAACTAGAAAGAAACCGAATCGAAATACTGAATTCCATTTTGAGCCAAAATTAAAATATTATGTATTTAAATAGGAATAACTTGCTCAAGAAGTACTTTAAAATGAAATTCGTGAAAATCTTCTTGTCTCCAAATTACATAGTGTAATTAAAAACTTGCTAAAAATTGTATCCTAACTAACTTAAAATCCATATCAAGTCTGATTCAACATACTAATTTGAATTGAACAGTTTTCATAATTTTGTAATCTACTAGCTTTCCTGTAAATATACGATTGCATGAGTACCTAAAAAAACCCAATATAAATTATATGAAATCTTGAAAATCAACCACACTCCAAAAACATTTCTACTGCAATTGTACGTAGATCCGACTGTCAAATCTTTATATGTAAAAAGTATACAGTATACCAATTAATAATTAACTTAATTATAACTAACTTTTCTGTACAGGTTAATTATACAGTTTTCTAAAGTAAGAATAATATGTAATTGTAGCAAGATTTCTTTATACTACATATAGATAGCTAATTTAGTTATTTAAAAGTGTTGCTTAATAATAAAATATATAAAGTCGACAAATTTTCTTCCAATGTTCTATCATTTACAAAGTTGGTTTATGGTCAATCCCAATCCATAATCCAATCTTTAACATTGGGTAATCCGGATTAAAACCCAACTCTGCAGTTACATAATATAATGCGTGCATGTAAAGCATTTATTTTAATTAAACATAAAATCAACCACTGTTTGCATGACATGTCATCATTTTCATGGAAAAAGATCCCAGATTTTTACTTTTATTTTTTACCACCCCGGGTTTTGCGCTACCCGTGTTGTTTTCCTACCTAATTCGATACCTTAATTCAATGGCCTCTCAAATGGTCGTCATGGAAACGGTTCGTCAAAACAAAGCGGAAGGAAGTGCTTTTCATGTACAAAATTTTCTGGAGAGAAAAAGCCTGAATGATTCCCAAGGGAGCAAAATATGTAACAAATCTCACTTAGCAAATCGAACACGACACTTGATGCTAATTTTGAGCCCACCAAACAGAGGGAAAAAAGTACTCACGTTATACTTTTCTTGTTATTTACTGCCAAATGGTATTAAAATTCAGGAATAATTAAAAACTTCGATAACCTCATCCCGGTGTTTTAAGAGCGACGATAATTGCAATTTATCAGGTCGTAAAGAAATTGCGTGCGTAAGTAAATTATTATAAAGGACTTTGTAGGATAAATACATAATTAATTAGTTGAATTACAATTTTTTACTATTTTTACAGTCAGTAAAAGCTTAACATTAGTGAAAGGGAGTAGAAATTTGGAAATAGTTATTTAAATTACACGGCACCGGCCGACGACGCCATGAGCTATGCGAGAAAAACGTCCCCACCACCGATGTGGAGCAAGGGTAACTTTTTACAATCTAGATCTAGTGATATGTTAAATGATAAGCAAGTTGATATGTATTTTGTCATCCAATTTTAATGACGTCCTTGTCTTCACCAGCATCATCCCAAGTCCCCGAGAAGAATCATATGACTGAAAACTATCGAAGGATGAAAACCATTGCGGCAGACGGACAGAGGAAGCGATTCGAACCTTTGAAGGCCCGATTTGTTCCCGGAGTTACAAAAAATGATCGATATGCTCACGTCCCGTCTAAAGTGGGAGCGTTTTTGAAAGGAGGTCAATCCCTGATACCTCCACAGAGATCATTTTCAGACGAACTTGCAAACCGCAGGGTGCAACAGGGTCAAAAATTTGTGGTAAATGGAGGAGGACCAAGAAATAGATCTACACCACTCCCACAACATGGACAACAGCAGTATCATCAGCAAAATGGGAATGGAATAGCACATGGTACTGAATATTAATAAGGATAAATATTTAGCTTAATATATGCATGTGAAAGTAAAGTTTTATTTTCATAAACTTAATTATTGCAGGGCCGGCAGTAAATAGATTATCTCGTAGTTCAATAGACCTGAGGTCACAGACCAGCCAGTCTGGATTTAATCATCCCCTGCAACGTCAAGGTTCCATTAGTGCTTCTGGAGACGGATTTCACGAATTCCCAAGTGTACAAATCCTACAGCCAAATCCTCCCGATGAGTCGATTTACAAATGGAAATTCAATGATGAAGATGAACTTGTAAGGAATGGTGGTGGTGGTGCTAATTTTCATAGCAGTCAACACAGTCTGCCACCACAAGCCCATCAACCACATTGCCATCGTGTCGAATACCTTCCTTGTGACGGGATATGTGCTTCGGAAGAAACGATCGTTAATAATCCTGACAGTGCTCGATCCACTTCATCCCGAACTTCGCGAGGATGTAATACAGAAGAGACGAGAATATTTCCGGAAGCAAAGATGCAGCAACAGCCATACCACTTTAGAGGGATGACTCTTGGCGCACACGACGCCCAATCGAGCAACGACCTTCGCCCTAATAATCAAAACTTTTATCAACCCCCCTCCTCCTCGAATCACTTGGATCGATCGCAACAAACAGGAATGACCAGCATAAGTGGTTTCACTAATGGAAATCATATTCCAACAAACGCCCCTGTTTCGCATCGTCGATACCAAGAAAGGCAAGGTGGATCTCTGCAAGAAAAACGAGCCAATGAACGAAACCTTTATCCATTTAATGGCGAAGGGAATGGTGTCAGCGTCGCGGACCAAATGAGAAGTTTGAGTATTCGTGACCAAGAACGACATAAGGAACGGCTGCTGAAATCTAACAGTTCTAGAGACGTTGGTGTGGGTGGAGATGTTCCTCACACGTTAGGAACTGTTCCAAAGTAAAAATTATTTTAAATTTCTTGTTAATTATGTTGTGTAATTTGTTTATAACAATAGTTGAACTTTCATTTTATAAGGTACTTAAAACAACGTCAAAAGGAATGGCGAGAAGAAGAGGTAGCTAAGCAAGAAGCGGAGCAAAATTCTCACATTCCAAATGGCTATGTCCTCATGTCCGAAGATGAGCGGATGGATAACTTGAGACAATTTCGAAAAAGTGAGCAAAATAAAATAAAAATAGCCAAGATCGATGATATTAATTAATTAATGCTATCCTTACCCTATGTAAATACAGGTTACGAAATGTTGATTGCTGAACTGAACAGAATCCCCATTACTGTCGATACAATGCGTGTTCGAACTCACAAAGCGGATATAGAAAAACAGCTCACACGCTTGGAGGAAGCCATGAAGACGTTTTCGCGACCAAAAGTATGGGTCAAAGTGGATGACTGACACCTAGTGCTTATCCATAATGCAAATAGTTCCATCCCGACTATTACCAATACAACAATTCCTACATTCACTCCAACCGCAACCCAGTGCACCTAGAAACATGTCCATATAAATAATAAAATATAATGAAAATACTACTGTACAGCTTAACTGTGTACCCAAATCGAATAATATTTTGTACAGTACCAGTCATTATATGAATCTTACTTGATATGTGATTCACGCATGGAATTAATAATGGGCGTACTCACGACAACTTCTTATTTCGCATCGCAACTCATTTAGCAAACTTGCGAAAATCAAAATATTTCTGTCGTGAGGGGATTCGCAAAATATGACTTCGCAAAACTCTCTTATCTCGCAAATCTACTGAAAAACACCTATTTTGGTATTGTTTCCATGGATTTCTGTAATTTCTCTTGCAGAATTACTTTGCGAAATAAGGACATGCTCAATTGCTGGGTAAATTTGCGAAAAAAAATCCCATGGTTTTCCAGCAAAATTTTTGCGAAATCTCGCATATCTCGCAAAACTTCGCAAGTTATGTTGCTATGCTCAATTTGCGAGATATGCGAGATATGCGAAGGTTGACGTGAGTACGCTCAATAACAAAGATTATAGTGTGTGTATACAGATTTGACTCGAGGTATATACAAATATTTTAATATGTACTACTTACTACGAGAAGGGATTATATGCTAATTAATTATATTAATTGCATATTATGCAAATTATAGTACGGCAGACTAATTTATGGTGCCTTCGTCAATCTCTTCGTATAATATCGTGCATTATTTATTACAATATTTGTAAGTTCAGTAATATATGTTCAACATGAAAATCCACAATAATCATTTTAATTATACTTATAAATTAAAAGTTTTAATTGTTATATCTGTCATGTAATATGCACGTGAAAATATTAACGTTTTATCTGAAACTCAATTTTACCGAAATAAATGAATATAACCAATAATTCTGAATTAATTGATGCTATTTGCACTCGAGGTTCATTTCTTAATTACTCTTATTTTATTTGCTGTAAAATCTCGCGGTAAAAAGGTTTCCACCTGCCCCATACAGTTCGCACCCAATTCCATTCAAAGCTTATGGCAACTTAAAACTTTAGACATAGGGTTTTGAATGGAAGTGGGTACGAACAGTGTGGGCCAGGTGGAAACCTTTTTACCGCGAGATTTTATAGCCAAAAAAACAGGAGTAATTAATGGTTAACTAATCATCATCAAATGCTCGGAACAATCTCAATTTGGTCAGTTTCCAGCCGTGCTCTACCAATGTGAGAAAAGCGTTAACTTAACTTAGGCTTAACTTAACTTAGAGTCATAATTGATGGGGTGATTCCATCTATTTAGTATTTAATACTGCCTCCATATCTAATTCAAAATATTTTAATGTTCATCTCTGTGAATTCAGTTGCAAAAAATAATATGCCAGAAATGGGATTCGAACCCATGCCCAGAGAACTGGACTGCGACCTGAACGCAGCACGCCGAATCAGCCGAACTATTTATTTTTAATTGGCGTACAAATATTCAAAATTTCTAAATTTCTAGACGCCTAATAGAATGAAGTTGACGCCAAACTAAAATAAACTTCAATTTCTAAAATTCTAGAGGCCTAATCGAACGATTTTGACGCCAAAGTAAAATAAACTTCAATTTGGAATTATCTAAAATAGCGGTAGAAAGAATTTCAAAATTCCTTCTGGTAGCTGAGAAATAATTAAAAATGTGGGGTTGTGACGTCATTATTGTGACGTAGGCTTTGACGACACGAGTCTCACGTTAAGATCGCATGCATGAAAGTTATGAATGTGATGGTTAAATTGCCCCATAGTGTGGTGGTGGTTGACATGGTGATGTATTGGAGGGATATTAGAGTAGCGTCAGCCTTTGTTCGTGAGAGAAGAGAGAGAAGTGTGTAAGTAGCAGTCAAGCAAGTAGCAAGTAGCCATTTTGCTCTTTTTAAAATATTCAATTAAATTCTAAATTAATTACATAAAGCAATTTAATTAAAAGTTTTTAGTTATTTATATTCGTGTATTATATCCTAGTAAAAGTAAAGTGTTTTTGGCACAATTTTAGGGCATTTCAAGTCAAGTCCAATAAGACCAGTTTAAGTCCAATAAATAAGTCCAAGTCCAGTTTAAGAACAAGTTTAAGCTCAAGTCCAGTTTTAAGTATACGATTAGTTCAAGTTCAAGTTAGTCCAAGCATAAGCTAACTACGGCACGAGGTCAGATCGAACAAGTCACCAATTGGAGATGATGGAGGTACAAGTGGTACTAATTATTTCAAATTCCAACTCGTACAAGTTTACTTTATTTCCTTCTTTTTCTTCACAGCAAATAGCTGATACTATCGATCAAACCGCGCCCCCGGATCGTCCCCTGGTCCGATCTAATGCTCAAACCTCAATCATTTCTTTGAGCTCCTTGACGCCCCAAGAAGTTGGCACCATAAATTCCCAACTACAAGTACCACGACCATTAAAATCAAGCAGTGCGAGTGAATCTAGTGTAGTGAAAAAATGGATCTGTGATATTTGTGAAAAGAGTTATACGCTTAAGAAGAATTTAAAACAACATTTTGCCGAAAGCCACGTCAAATCAAACAAGTTTAGTTGTAGAAATTGTGAAGTTACCTTTGCCAGGAAAAGATCTTTAACACATCATATAGACAAAGAAATCTGTGTAGTTAAAAAAGACACAAGCGGTAACGACATAAAATTTAAGTGTTCAGTGTGCGAAATGGAATTTGGTTCAAAATTTGTCGTAGATCTACATACTAGACAAAACCATCCAGCCAACTTTTATCAATACACCTGTACACAGTGTGATCGGAAATACAGATCAAAAATAAAACTTAACCATCACATACGTGATATTCATAATCATGTCAAAGCAACATGTTCAGTTTGTGGATTTACGTGTAGACAAATTGATTTAAACAGTCATATCCAACACAAACATTCAAAAAGTGCGATTGAAAAGCAGGACGACAAAGTAGCAGCCATGTCTAAAGCTGAGATAAATAGAGAACGTTACAGAAAGTTGAGATCAGAGCCCGGTGACCTGATGATCAAATCAACTGTGAAATATAGCGATAAGTATTATTTGCACGTGAACAAACTCCAGCGGTTAAGAATTAAAATGCAATCAATTTTAAAACCTGATATCAAGGAACCAGCCATTAATCAACACCATATCAAAGGTTGGGGTTATGTATCGGAGGGAACTGACTGTCCCATCACGTATGAAAAACTAAACGAAGAGGATAAACGTAAATGACATGATTTATGATTCCTTTTTTTATATATTATCGAACATAACTATTTAATTGAGACGTTGTGTATCCAAACAGGTAATTTGCTACAAGTATTCGGGTATGTTTGGCGAGATGGGAATACCTTCGAAATTTTGGAGGTGTACTTCGGCATGTGTGCTGAAGGAGCGGAGGATGGGGCTCGCCAAAAATGGAACAAGGTTTTAAAATACAGTGAAAAAGGGTGCTCAGACAGGTAATAATTATTAATAATAGTCTTAATCAATTCAATTTGTTAGACATTTTAACTAATCATTTTTAACTAATTTTTCATATTCACAAATAGTGAATGATAGCTGCAGGTCACTTTTTCTGCCCCGAAGAAGCATTTTTAGTTGAGGGGTTGATTGGTAGGAGCAAGTGGGTGGTTGGGCAACTAAAGTGGATTTCCCGAAACGAAGCTGGAGGAATCTGCTCTTTGAACCCGAAAGAATGTTACATGTGGTTAGAAGATTTTATTGGACAAATCCAGGAGTCGTTGAAAAATACAAACCGATTTTGGATAGATTTTCCCGGCACTAGTCAAAGCAAGTCAAATATTCCAACCAAAGAAGAAAGAAACGAAGATAAACGTAAAACCCTTCTAAAACAATTACACGACACTGAAGCAGAGTTGGAAGAGGAACGGAAAAATAGGACGGCGGCCGTCAATGCTCACAAAAAGATTGAGAAGGATTACAATGAACTTCTTAGTCAGATGGAGTCCAACAACAAGATGAAGGAGGATGCTCTCAGGCAATTGAAAACTATTCAAGGCCAAATGAAAGACTTGCAACGAGACGCTGAAGAAGCCCGTCTTGGTCGAGAAGAAGCAATTTCTGTCGCCAAAGATGCAGAAAAACGCCTTTAGGGAATTGAAACGGATATTTTCCAACTTCAAGAAGACCTCGCTGCTTCCGAAAGACAACGCCGAGCCGCAGAGCTGAAAGGGACGAATTGGCTGAACAAGGTAGCAACGGCACGAACGGGGGAACACTTTTGGTGGACGAGAAACGTCGTCTTGAAGGTAAGAAGAGTGGTAGAAGGAAAATGCATTAATATAACAGTTTTTATCCGAAATGCTTCAAATCTGTTTTACATTACAGCTCGAATTCAAAGTTTGAAGGAGGAACACAGTAATAATGATAAGTCCAAAGCTTTGAAACGACAATTGGATTAAACCGAGGAGGAAATTTCTAGAGAAAAGGCAATTAAACGCAAATTTCAAAATGATTTCGATGACCTGACCAAGAGTGCAAGACTTGAAAATCAGGAAAATGAGTCCATCCAACATATTAAACCTAATCATAACTTTAAAAAGCAACCTTCTAAATTCCTGGGCCCTTCTAGTCGGTGCGGACTATCAAAAACGGATATCACCAGCTCATTCTTCAAAATAAGTGTCTTGAAAAACAACTAACTTTATAATATGAAACATAATAGAAATTTTTATGTATTATTATACATTTGTTGCGGCCTCTTCCGGGCCAACTGTTTATTTAATTGAACAACAATTAAAAAAAATCTGTTGATGCAAAAATATAAGACCTCATATACTTGCCAATTTATTTGTTAATTTATTTGTCAAGTGTAATTTGCATAGGGCAACCTCGATGGAGCTTAAATAAGTTAGTATTTAAATAAACCGTTGCAAACAAAATGTAGCAAAGAGATGAAAACATACGGAATTGCCTTTGTGACACGCCCACAATATAAGACTTAGACTAACAATTGAACGTATTTCAAACTGAATTTTTGAGTAAACTTTTTTGGTGAATTTTTTAGTTAATTTTCTAGAGAAATTTCCGAGCAACTATCGTAACGCTCCCCCCAGAATCGCCCAATCGCTGAAACGCCAAAAGGACGGTCCCAGAATCGCCGAAACGCCAAAAGGACGGTCCCAGAACGGCCGAAACGAAAAAAGACGCTCCCCTCAGAATCGCTGAAAAGCCGAAAGGACGGTCCAGAATCGCCGAAGCGCCAAAAGGACGGTCCCAGAATCGCCGAAACGCCAAAAGGACGGTCCCAGAACGGCCGAAACGAAAAAAAGACGCTCCCCTCAGAATCGCCGAATCGCTGAAAAGCCGAAAGGACGGTCCCGAATCGCCGAAACGCCAAAAGGACGGTCCTTGTAGCAGCAATTTGTATTCGCGTATTATAAGGCTCTAATTAATAACTCATCGTTCTGGCAAATTTTATAGTATACTACCATTAATATAGAACATGTGAGAATTTAGTTTATATCGATTGCATGATCCCAATCAGAGAAATTATTTAATCAAAAATTTAGCTTCATCCGCTATAGCGGGAGGTTTAAAGTTATGGTGCAATCAGATATACGATCCGTCAATTTTTCATAAATATTTGATCGCATATTATAAGACTCTGACTAACTATTGAACGTTCTCGTTATTTTTATGACAAACTTGAAGAGTTATAGATTATATGGGAATTTTTTTTGCCCCGATTTTTTTAGCCTAGTGGAACGAATTAACCAAGAATCTGTCATGTTATTAATTACCTGCATTTTTAATTATTTTTGATCGCATATTATAAGACTCTGACTAACAATTGAACGTTCTAGTTAATTTTACAGTAAACTAGAATAGTTATAGATTATATGGGAATTTTTTTTGCCCCGATTTTTTCACCCTAACTAGTAGAAAGAAGTAATTAAACATTTGCCTTGATCCGCTATAGCTGCAAGTTTGACTCTGTGGGGGAATGTGAGATATGGCTCCATCAATTTTTTATAATTTTTGATCGTATATTATAAGACTCCGACCAACAATTAAACGTTCTAGTTATTTTTATGATAAACTTGAAGAGTTATAGATTATATGGGAATTTTTTTTGCCCCCATTTTTTTAGCCTAGGTAGTGGAACGAATAACCAAGAATCTGTCATGTTATTAATTACCTGCATTTTTAATCATCTTTGATCGCATATTATAAGACTCTGATCAATAATTGAACGTTCTAGTTATTTTTATGATAAACTAGATTAATTATAGATTGTCTGGAAATTTTTTTTGCCCCGATTTTTTCACCCCAACTAGTAGAATCAATTAATTAAGAATTTACCATCATAATTAGGAGCGGCAAGTTTGAAGTGTGGGGCATTGAGAGACATCCATCAATCAATTTTTTGATAATTTTTGATGGCATATTATAAGGAACTGATTGAAAACTAAACGTTCTAGTAATTTTTATAATATTCTAGATTAATTATAGATTAGTGTGGAATTTTTTTTGCCCCGCTTTTTTCATCCTAACTAGTAGAACGAATTAATTAAAGATTTCACCATCGTAACTAGGAGCGGCAAGTGTGAATTTCGGGGCAAAGTGAGACATGGCTCCATCCATTTTTTAACAATTTTTAAACGCATATTATAAGGAACTGAGTGAAAACTAAACGTTCTAGTAATTTTTATAATATTCTAGATTAATTATAGATTAGTATGGAATTTTTTTTGCCCCGATTTTTTCACCCCAACTAGTAGAATCAATTAATTAAGAATTTACCATCATAATTAGGAGCGGCAAGTTTGAACTGTGGGGCATTGAGAGACATCCATCAATCAATTTTTTGATAATTTTTGATGGCATATTATAAGGAACTGATTGAAAACTAAACGTTCTAGTAATTTTTATAATATTCTAGATTAATTATAGTTTAGTATGGAATTTTTTTTGCCCCGATTTTTTCATCCCAACTAGCAGAAGGAATTAATTAAAGATTTTTCCATCGTAACTACGAGCGGGAGGTTTGAATTTCGGGGCAAAGTGAGACATGGCTCGATCCAGTTTTTGATAATTTTTAAACGCATATTATAAGGAACTAACTAAGAACTAAACGTTCTAGTAATTTTTATGACAAACTAGAGTAGTTGTAGTTTAGTTTTGAATTTTTTTTGCCCCGATTTTTTCATCCCAACTAGTAGAATCAATTAATTAAAGATTTTACCATCTTTACTTGGGGCGGCAAGTTTTAATTGTGGGGCATTGAGAGACATCCATCAATCAATTTTTTGATAATTTTTGATGGCATATTATAAGGCTCTGAGTGAAAACTAAACGTTCTAGTTAATTTTGTGACAAACTAGAATAGTTGTAGATTACTTGGGAATTTTTTTGCCTCGATTTTTTCACCCTAACTAGTAGAACTAATTAATTAAAGATTTTACCATCTTTACTTGGCGCGGGAAGTTTGAATTTTGGGGCAGTGTGAGATATGGGTCCATCATTTTTGAACAATTTTTAAACGCATATTATAAGGTTCCTATTGAAAACTAAACGTTTTAGTTAATTTTATGATCAACTAGATTATTTATCGATTAGCTTGGAATTTTTTTTTGCCCAGATTTTTTGACCCCAACTTGCAGAACGAATTAATTCAGAATTTACCATCATAAGTAGGAGCGGCAAGTTTGAATTTTCGGGGCATTGTGAAAAATGGTTCTAGCAATTTTTAATAATTTTTGATCGCATATTATAAGATTCTGACTAACAATTGAACGTTCTAGTTAATTTTATGATAAACTAGATTAATTATAGATTTGCTGGTAATTTTTTTTTGCCTCGATTCCTTATCACTAATTAGTAGAATCGAATTAATCAAAGATTTATCTTTATCCGCTGCAGGGGGAATTTCGAATTTGCGGGGCAGTGTGAGATATGGCTCCATCAATTTTTCAATTTTTATACAATGCGACCCACACCGCCAGGGGGTCAGCATAAGTCAAAACCATGTCAATTTCTGAAATCCCCGTCCAAAACTACGTCTTAAACGGTGGAAACAAAATATTCGACAATTTTCGAGTTTGGCATCGTCTACACGGTCACACGGTCATCGCACATCGAAATGATGACGATTTCTGAAATCCCCATCCAAAAATACGTGTAAAACGGCGGAAACAAAAAATTCGACGCGTTTGACGGTTGGCGTCATCACCGTGGCGCCATTACCTTATGACCATCAAGGCCCATCTTCGAACTCATCCCGTCCCCAAAAATTAGAAACTCGTTGGCGAAAACCGCCTGTCGAAATTCGAATCCGTTCTAAAGTTATCGTGGAAACGGACGGACAGACGGACAGACAGACAGACAGACAGACAAGACATTTCCATAAAGGGGTTTTCACCCCTTAATAATGTATACATCTTCTTGTACCCATACCTTGTATGGACACATTCATATGTATGCAGCCATAATCTACATTATAAATATTTTCACGATGACAGATAAAAACTTTGTTAGCAAAAAATCTCACCACTTCCATCAACTGAACTATGCAACAAGTGGCGTGAGTGAAATATTACACAACTTTTCTTCTGACCAACCACCATCTCTTGACCTGTCACCCGGCCGTCATCATCATGCACAAGTCATAACTAGTTGTATTAATCTCGTAAAATTTTAAAATCTTTTCCCCCACGATGTGGGGCAAAAACAATCTGCTAATTTCACTTAAATATTTATCCTCCACTATAAAAACTGAGCGAGGGTTTCATAATTATGCATTTCATTCCTGTTTGTAAACTGTTAGGCTAAAGAAGAGTCATCCATTTAGTATCATTTTAATTTGAATCTGCGAATTGCGTTGCAAAAAACGTGCAAAAAAATCTGCCAGAAATGGGATTCGAACCCATGCCCAGAGAACTGGACTACGCCCTGAACGTAGCGCCTTAACCACTCGGCCATCCTGGCAATGATTTGTAAGTTGTATCGGTATATCCAGTGAAAAGAATCCCTCCTCTTCTGGACATGAAAAATTGTGTTCCAATTTTTTTAACAATTTTATTATTGCTCTATTTTGCAAATTCGAGCACATGAACTGCTTCATTTGTTATAAGAGTTCCAAGTGATCCATAATTACATTAGCCGAATTATTATATTATTTAACACCAGTTTATTTTTAAATGGGCGTACAAATATTCAATTTCTAGATGCCTAATCTCGAATGATTTTGACGCCAAAATAAAATAAAACAAAATAAAGGCGCTGCGTTCAGGTCGCAGTCCAGTTCTCTGGGCGTGGGTTCGAACTGACATCAAAAATTTTGTTCAAATTTTTTTTAACAATTGTTGCTTTATTTTACAAATTCGAGCACATGTAAAGCATAAAATAATTCTGTGCTTTACTCGGTTACCGAGTAAAGCACAGAATAGCTTTACTCACAAAAGCTACCAAGTTTAATAAACGTTTCAAAAATTAACTTCATTACCCCACTAAAAACGAAGGATAGTAAAATAGTTTGATATGTAAAAATATATTCATTTTGTGAGATTGTGATTACTTATTAAACATTTTACGAGCTAATTTATTTGAAAAGATGCCAATAATACAAGTAAATTAGCTCGTAATATTTTTAATAAGTAATCACAATCTCACAAAATGAATATACCAAACTATTTTACTACCCTTCGTTATGAAACGTTTCCCACTTCTGACAAAAATTTGTGCATGAAAACTTCTCAAGCTCATTTTTACTTTACTCACTTTATTATTTTGCAAATTAAAATATAGCACATAAATTATGACGCTTTCAATTAAATAAGTAAACCAGAACTTGACCAAGATCAATATAGTTTTAAATACTATTATTATTATTAAACTATTTTACTACTGCTTTTTTCACGCAACATTCAGAAATTTTGATATTAGGAGCTTATTTCTAAGAATTTTGTAAATGATAACCGGATGTTGTTAGAATTTTGCGTTTTGATTCGCTAATAATATTGTTATTATTATGAAAGTAGAAAAAGAGGGAGTAATCTCTTCTTTTACTTCTTTTTAGAACCGGAACCTCCAGATTTAGGATCTCCTGGTTTCTTAGAGGCGGCTGCAGCTGGTGCTGGTGGATCTGCCTCTTTTTTGGGCGAATTAGATGATGGCAGTCCTTCCAAGACTTGTTGGAGATAATCGGCATCTGCTAAACCTTCGTCCGGAGTTGACACGACTTGAGTCGGTATTTCGTCGACATCCATTGCCTCCTCGGATGAAGCTTCCTTTTTTACAGCGGTCGGTTTAGCTACTTCAGTTGCAGCTAAAGTTTGAAAATAAGACAAAGTTTAGTTCATTAACGTTTAAACGTGCGTGTGAATCTTTATCCAATTACCATCCTGCATAGACATTTGCATAGCGTACGCAATCTGCTCTTCTTCGGTCATGGAAGAAAAATCTGGTGCACCGCCGCTCGAGGAGCGTGGAGCTCCGGCTGGATTATCAATTGACATTTGCAAAGCTTGTTCCAACATTCGTTCCTCGTTGGAGGCTAAAAATTAAGGATTAAAATTAAACATCAGCTTCCCATTTTAGTTCAATTCAATGAATAAAATAATCAAGCTACCTCCTTCCGTCCCAGATTCGGGATTATTCCCACGCGACTCGGCCTCTTGACGGGCACGTTGTTCCTCCATTGAGACTCGGAGTGCCAACGCCAGTTCTGGATCGTCGCCATCCATCCCAAAGTCATATCCTCCGGCGCCAATGCCTGGAGCTGGCCCGCCGTCCTCTGTCTGCAAAATTGGAGATTGAACGAGAGCATCTGTCAAACTTGGAGAACCAGCCACGGTCAAGAGATGACTTCCAGTCCCGTCCTTTCCATTCAACGTTTCAATAAAGGCATTTAGCGACGCAGCATTTCCTTTCTCTTCCCCGAACGATACGACGTCCACGTTAACTTTCTCTTTCTTAAGTCGTTTCGCCAACCGGACCAATTCAGCTTGGTCGACAGCGTCCATTGGGCTACCGACAAAGACGATGATTCTCATCTTATGATTCTTTCCCTATAGACGGAGATGACATTAGTTTATGGTCGTTAAAAGTAGTAGGCTTTCATCCAGAGGTAACTCACCTGACGATGTTTAAGAGCTAGATGTGCTACTCGTAGACCAGATAAAAGCTTGAGCTCCCCTTGGGGTTGAAGAGCAAGCAATTTCGAAATTAGTTTATTCACATCAGTCGTTAGAGTCGTTAGTACTTCAGAACTATAAATATGTAAAAAAAAGTAGTGGAATAAATGTAAATTATCACAGAACTGGTAATGCCTTTAACTAATTATTTACCTTGCCATCGTCAATAGTCCAACATTATTCTCGGGGTTAGAACGAGTTTTACTGTGACAAACGATACTCACAGCATCTTGCATCGCAGCTAATCGCGTCGGTACGAAATCTCCATTGCGCATAAAGTCGCTGTCATCGACGCTAAATTATAATTAAGGCAAGAACAAATTTATTAAATCAATGTAAGAACTAATTAAAATGAGGTCGAAAAACAATTGAAATAACTTTTAGTAAAAGAATGACTTGAACTTTAACTCACCAGATCATTGTACTTTCTAGAACCATCTTGACACTTAAATCGTCACTTCTCCGTACGACAAAATTTCCAAAAATAGGAAAATTAGAGCAGGAATACTGTTTTCCAAAAATCTAAAATCTGCAGAAAAAAAGAGTAGAAATTACTGAGTTGATGACGGATGCAAAAATCAGTAAATTTATATTTCCCTCAAAATCTCACCATGCCCGTTCTCTGTACAAAAAACTTGTCTCATTTCAGGAATCTCATTTCATTTCACGAATTGAAATATTACAAGAAATATTTAAATTTCTGAAATACAAACAAATTTTCCCAACTAAAAATTACGTGAAGTGAAAGTGCATGCCCTTCTTTGACAGCAAAAAACATTAACGATCCATTTACAGTAGAACGTGAGTACTACTTGAGGAGAAAGCTAAATCTCACTTTCCTCACTAATAAAATAGTAATAAGTTTCTACATACTTTTGCTTTTGGACATTAGTTATATAAGCATTTTAAGAAACTTATTATTTCTCACTCCACTTCATCCCATCAAAAAATCATTATTTCTTAAAAACATCCTTGCAAATATTTGTTTTCATGGTGCCCATGTTAATTTGCTTCAAAACAACAATTTAATAGGGTTAAATTGCCTCCACTAGATATGCATGTTACAACTGCAATTATTTACTTGATTGTCATCATTAAACTTTCACCTTTGAAATTAATAATTTTAAAAGCCATCCTTTTCACTGAAGACCTTCAAATATAAATAGCAACGCTTTCTCCATGTGCCAGGGTAGGATTCTATTTTTGCCTCAATTTCTTACGAAGAAAATTGACCTGTAATTGGATACCACTACGTCTCCGCCAAATTGTCTTATATTTACTACGCACATCGTATTCGCTCAATTTAATATTCATGAAATTATTCCATCACACAACCACCGGTTCCTATTTATTTAGTTGCTCTTCATATTCTTTACTTTGCTAGCTAGAAAGCTAACAAAATCAGAAAAGGTTACACACACGCTCACCTTTCCAGTTTATAAATAAACACGAAAATACAACACACTCTGTTCATTTGTTATATCAACTTTCTCTGTATATATTCTTTTAATCAGAATACTCAGATTGGATAAAAAAAGAAATGGCAGAGTTCAAACATTGTTTTTTTGTTTATATAATTCAAGGAGAAGATTTGTTTGGTATACGGAAGTGGATAAAAACAATGCAATAAGTAATTAAAGCTGCCATTTCACTAATAAAATCTGCTTTTTTCTTCAGTTTAGTAAAATCGTCATTTTGATGAAATCTAATCTAATCTAATTTTGATGAAAATGTTGATACATACGTAAAGTAAAATATTGCTTCCATTAATTATTTAGATTACTTAATTATTTTGTTTACTTCATTTCTTTAATATTTCACATTTCATGTGTGATTGACAAGAAAATTACGTAAATGCTCAACTACGCGCGTGACATATCAGTTTTGCAGAATAGTTTTCAGGCTTGATGACGAAAATGCCTAAAGCGAAAGTCGTCACCCATTTCTTGCTCAACACTTCTACGCTTCTTAATTAATTAGTTTTATAGCTTTGACCTTTTTGTCAACACTAGTCTCCATCCAAACAGTGAGGAATTAGTTCATATCGTAGTTGTGAAGTTGTAGACAAATTCCATGTACGAAAGCTTCCTGCGTCATCATGGCATTCATTTCATGCTTTCACTTTGGGCCAGGGTTCGGAAAAACCCAGGGTTTTAATAAAAAATTATAAAACCCATGGGTTTTAATGGGTTTTACCATGTTAGTTGGGTTTTATTTGGGTTTTAATGGGTTTTAATGGGTTTTATTGGGTTTAAATGGGTTTTATTGGGTTTTAAGTAATAACTTCACAAAAATAATTCGGAATTTGTATCTATTCGGAAATTATTTTTGTTTTATAACACTTGAAATCTGTGATGCTAAAGGATGGAGTCAATTGTTGATTTGTTCCGAATTTTCATATATTAGAATAGTAATGAAATAAACTGCTTTAGAATGAATTGAGATAACGTCTTCTAATGTATGGGAGATGTATTTAACTTTTAGAATGTAGTTTTAAGGTAAAATTCAATTAAAACCCAATAAAACCCATTAAAACCCAAATAAAACCCACTTAACATGGTAAAACCCAGTGGGTTTTATTCATTTACAACCCATTAAAACCCAATAAAACCCAATAAAACCCAACCCATTAAAACCCAGGTCGGAACACCCTGCTTTGGGCAAACAAACCAGATTTGACAGGATTTCCACTCCTTCAACGAGAGTTTCTTATCTATTGGGCAGAAAGAGAGCTGATTTTCTGCGTTATCAACCCAATTAATGCACCATTCATAAAAATGAGACTTTCTCTTTTCCAATTGTTACATCAGAGAGGCCGACAGATTGTGGAAATTCAGTGGTGGCGTGTACAATTTGTTTCTTCGTGTAACATCTTGACCCGACATTTGTTCATATATTTGTAATGCAGTTCCAGACACGCAGAAATAATGCAGCCGTCATAATTCTGGTTTGTAGTGCAGAATTTGGTGGTCACAGATGGCAAAATTCAACGAACTCGAGGATTTGATCCTCACGAGGGAGAAAAACGAGGTGAAATGAAAAAGAGAAACTGGATCAAACCAACCCGTTTTATTAATCGTCTGCTGAATCGAATTGCACGAATGACGAGATGTGGCTACTGACAACTTGTTACAGAGCTGAAAAATGACATTTTCCCCAGAAAATTGTTCGCCAAACTCTATCAATTAACAGGATGACTGGTCATAATATGACCAAGACTATATTATAGTCTTGGTCGTTCATAAATGATATATTCTTTAAAGTTTGAAAAAACGAGGACAATCGTCTTCGGTAACGGCAAATGGCTCGCATTAAATGTGATGTCATTAAAAACTTTGCGTATCCATCCAATTCGGGACAAGGTTTTGCCTTGAAATATGTAAAAGTTAAACTTTTCTAATGCAATTGGCATTCTCATTATAATTAAGTCCATTAAACCAGTCAACTTCCGAGCGAGAGATAACGCCGTAAACTTGCCTCGTGTGCCAGGACGCTAACAAGGAGAATGATGTAGGTCAGGTGAAATTGTTTGCCACGCACTGTTTCCTCCAAATTCACGGTCTCTGCACCTCTGCTGGCACGAGAAGCACCAAAGAAAATGCTTACCTAGAAAACACAAAGGAGCAAATAAGTGGATGAGTAGACCGAATTGTGTCCCAAACTTCCGGTGGACGGAGGAGCATCAGCCACGAGCGGAGAAAGAAGGGGGTCTAGGTTCACCCAAATCTCGTTATCCGTGCCACGAGACGATGACAATCTTGGACTCAATTGTTCTATGATAATAATTTACTTACTCGCTCTGGATTCCGTGTTTGAAGAAAATTTAGATTTTAACGGCACAAAATCTCGCATGAAGAGAATGTTAAAATTGTTCAAAATTTTGGGTTCGTCTCCTTAATTGGATCGCCCCAACTAATCACTATTCGCCACATCATTGACCCAGTCCAAACCCCAAATGGTCCTAATTTCCGTTATCTGTGGTAAACTTTAGTGGTTTGACGCCGTTTGTTGATTTTGACCCCATTACTCCACGGAATCAGGGTCAGTTTGCTTTTATTGCACGGCGCACATATCACCGCAGAATGACAAGTATTGTCTGCAACTCCGACTGGATTGCCAGTTTTCTAAGTACGTGTTATAACTGTGTCATGATGATGCAACTACTTATGTGCGAAACCGACATGGATACCGACATTGGTTCACTTTCACTCTCATTATATTTCCTACTGGATGAAATGAGAAAGTGAAAGCGAGGCTGTGTACGATAAGAATTTGGTAAGTCATAGTGCAGACTGTACATATGTATACTCATAAAACCGGTTTATTAATCTTCCCCGCCCGGGTATTCTTTCAAACCTTCCTTTAACCCGATATTGGGTCATCACTTTCTCCGAAAACCTTGACCTGTGCGTTTGAACCTCACGATCGGACATCGTGTTGCCTCAGAATCCAATAAAAAACCTTCGTTTTCCTTTGTCTCGCTCTCGTATTTACTTTGACTCGTCCATTTCGTCTGGACGAAGGAGCAAAGCCACTTATTTATGGCAGACACAGGCGGACGGATCTGTTCTCCTGTTTTATTTCGGAGGCGGATTCATCAATTATTTCCCCAGAGTGAAATTGCTACTGGGATTTGAAACAAGTTGCTGCAATGCAATACAATTCTTCATCTTTGAGGATCAAATGGGCAGAACATATGATTACATTGAGCCAATTCTGAGCCCATATTATTGGTTTTATTATGTATTTCGTCATCTCGTTCTCATCATGAGGAAAAGCCGACGGGTTTATGTTCTTGCATTGTTCGGAAAGAAAGGGAAATGAACGTGACCCCGATTTCTTCTTCAAAGTCATAATTCCGTGAGATCAGTTTACCTCGTGTTGAGCTGAACGAGCTGGTTAATCAAGTCGCGGACTTATGGAGGAGAAAGTTCGCGTCAAGGTTAATTCATGTAGATTTTGCAGTTTGTTTCGCTCTTCCTCGGTAAAAAAATCAGTGTCAATTCAATCACTCTCTTGTTTAGTGAGGTTTGAAGTCGTAAATATTTTGTTTTTGGGTTAGTGGGTCACACATTTCAAAATCAGGACCTATCCAAAGCTGCGATTGCAAAACCAACCACGTTTCAAAGAGGAGAAAGCTCCAGTGGTGTTGGTTTGTGTGTCATAATCACTGCTTTTGCTTCCTGTTAATTAGTTTAGATTTTGATGTGGATTGAAAATTGACAACTTTGTGTGACACGCAAATGAGGGATTGTTGAAAATTTCAAGATGTAGGAAATTATGTCTGCTGCACATGCTTGAACAAGGTAATTAAAAGCGATGAACGTCTGGATGGCTCGGTTGAAGGACGGTTTGGAGAAATATGAGAAGCTGCACCAATTAGCAGCACCTTTTGCCACTTGCAGTAACAATGAACTTGGTTAATTTATTACATAATGGGAAAAGAAACGGCTGGGCAAATACTCGTCGGACGAACACCTGTTAACTTTCACCAGCATGCAGTAGTTCTTGGTGAACTGTGACGCGACAATTCTGTCTGGCTGTCCAAAGTTCAAAATTTCGCTAGTCTGGAATTTTATGAATGAT